CTCCTCCTCCTCCTCCTCCTCCTCCTCCTCCTCCTTCTTTCCCCCCACTTCACCCGCCCGACTGTCCTTTCAATTCTTCCTAGTCTCTTCTATCTCACTTCCCAGTTTCGCCCCCTCCCCACGCGGGGTCTCTGCTCATGCGAGTTTGTTGAGGTACCCATCACGTTCCCCGCTTATCAATGGCCTCGGTTTCGCCACCAAAACCGTGGGAAAGAGCTGGTGCCACTGCTGGTATGTTCACCACACTCTACCCGTCGGGGTCTATGTGTCCTTACTCAACCTCATCATAGGATCTGTCGCAACATCTTCACCCTCCACAGCTGGTTCAGCAACGATGGTGGCCTCTTCGCCTGCCTCGGCCGCAACCACTAGCGCCGCTTCGACCACAACCTCCACAACCGCTTCCCCCGACCTACCGTCACGTCCTAACACTCTCAACGCCGTTGTGAACCGCACAGCCTCCAATTACTCGCCATATGGAGCTTCTCGATTAGGCACGAGTCCATACGGTGGCTATGGCGGCTACGGGGCCTACTCTTCTCCCTACTCTCGCTTCGGGACCATGGGCTCGATGTATGGCGGCTATGGAGGCTACGGCGGCATGTACGGCGGCATGGGAGGGATGTACGGCGGTGGCATGCCTGGCGATCCGAACGACCCGAACAGCTTGACCAACTCCTTCAGTCAAAGCACGCAGGCGACTTTCCATATGATTGAGAGCATTGTCGGAGCTTTTGGTGGGTTCGCTCAGATGCTGGAGAGTACCTATATGGCGACTCATAGCTCGTTCTTCGGTATGTTGTATCTGGGTTTGGTATGATTTCACCTATGCTAATGACTTTTTTATTTTAAAAAAGCTATGGTTTCCGTGGCGGAGCAGCTTGGAAACCTCCGCAATACTCTGGGCTCTGCTTTGGGCATTTTCACTTTGATTCGCTGGTTCAGAACATTGATCGCCAAGATCACCGGTCGTCCTCCACCGGCGGATGCTACCGCCCTTACGCCGGCTGCCTTTGCGGCTTTCATGAACGGTCGGGCCGCTGCGACGCTGCCTGATGGCTCGCCCGCCCCGCCGAAGCCCTCGAAGAAGCCCTTCTTTATGTTCCTCATCGCCGTCTTTGGTCTTCCGTATCTGATGGGCAAGCTCATCAACGCGCTCGCACGTTCACAGGAGGAACAGCGTCGCCAGATGATGATCGGCCCGAATGGCGAGCCCACGCAGCAGGCACCGCTGGACCCGTCTAAGCTCGACTTCTGCCGCGTGCTATATGATTACACTCCGGAGTCCCAGGAAAGCTCCGGCATCGACTTGGCTGTCAAGAAGGGCGATATAGTCGCTGTGCTGAGCAAGTCAGACCCGATGGGTAATGCCTCAGAATGGTGGCGATGCCGTGCCCGCGATGGTCGAGTCGGATACCTCCCTGGCCCGTACCTGGAAACAATCCAGCGTCGTCCTCAGCAGCAAGCGATTACCTCGGGCAATGAGGCCAACAGCCGCAGTAACTCGCTGCAAGCTCATTTGAATGACGAACCGGTGGGAGCGGCCGTCAAGCCCGAGCTGAAGGGCAAGATGGGCGATATCTCGCCGGAGAGCTTTCAGAAGAGCGCCTTCTACACCTGATTAGCCTGACATCATGCTTGTCGCATCATCTTTTTCATCCACCCGCCCACTTGCATAAAGCTCGGTGTGGAAGTGATGGCCAGGCCCGAAGACTCATCTGTGGTGATTATGTGATGCCATGAGTCGGGCTATTGGGCTATTGACGACACTTTTTTTTTCTAGTGCAGCTGTTTGTTGTTCTACGGACTTTTGATAGCGTTGGGTACTCGGTCCATGGATTCTACTTTTCGTGTATTGCGTGGTTGCTTTCATCATGTGTATAATTCCTATCTTAGTTGTTTTAGCGATAAGGAAGAGCCGCAGTCGCCTATGTGTGCTCTTCCGCTGTGGGTGTTCATACAGGCGCAAAGGAAGAATCAAAATGCTACTTCACGAGTCTTCATAATTCAATCAATTCTTTCAATTGGTGGTATCATATTGCAATGATGGTTTCCGATGAATAAGATAATGAGAATACACAGAGGGTGAGACAAGCTCAAAATTCACCTAAATGTGTTGTTTTATTCGGCTGGGAATGTGTTGTTCTCATAGGCAGCGAACTCTGGATTAGTATTCTTTCTTCACCAACTGAGTAAGTATTCTCCATGATCGCGTACCAGAACACCAGTGACTGGGCACTATTATCATTATCATCATCATCATTATTATTATCGCTACCGTCATAGAAAAGAAATACTACTATCTATACCTCGATTTACATTGCACCATACCCAGAAATAACAGTACTCTAAGGCCCTGGGATCAGGGTGATTTCTCCATCCGAGAATCATCCCACCATCCCTACCTGCTCACCAGTTAGATCATTCCTGGTATTCCTGACATCCCCGACCCTACACAGTAACTTTGCCTACATACAAGTATGTGGTTGGTGGAGGATGATGATGATGATGATGATGATGATGGCGGTGGTGGCGGTGGCGGAAGTAGAAGAGGGAGGGGAAGGGGAAGGGGAAGGAGAAGGGGAAGGGGAAGGGGGAAAACGGAGAGAAGAGCCTTGCACTGTACTCTGTAGTGTATGTATCCGGGGGATAGATAGATTTGCTCTGCGCAGATTCAAACTATGAGTGGTTGGTGCAGAGTACAACAGTCACTGCCCATAGGTTACCTCCCACTTAGTGATACAGTGTCTCTTCTCTTGGCATTGTTTCTCTCGCTAGCTGGCTGGCCGGGTGGCTGAGTAACTAAGTCAATTTAGTAACTACTGTACAGTTAGTTATGTAGTAGTTGGCGGGGTCAGTGACTTCCCCTCTTCCTCTCCTCCTTCTCTAACAGACTAGACAGACACTAGACTAGACACTACACTGAAGTGGACACACATAACACACACTAGACTAGAAATCCCCCCAATAGCCAAAGGACAGTTCATCTACTAAATCGTACTTTGTCCATCGGAGAAAGTAGGGAAACAGGGTACCTTTACTGATTCCCCTTTGATGAATATCCTTGTTGATATTCGATCGGCAGCGGCGGGGGCGCGATCAGATCCTTGTACTGTAACTACTTACTTACGACTATTATGGCTACTACTTAGTATCTAGGTCAAAAAACCGTTCAGTTGCCTTGAATGCGGCCCATTTACTAATGCTTCCCTGTTCAATTTGCTGGTCCCTGTCAAAGGGGGTGTGGTCCTTTAATGCAATCATATATTTGTATGTACTGTACAGACTGCTATGTGTATAGAACACGCCGGTGTACTGTGGACGACGGCACACTTGGCTCAAGCACCCGCCGCATGGAGCGGCGACAGAAAAAGTACTGTACAGCTTGCGATTCTTCGCACACATAGATAGGCCTTTCCTTCTCTTCGTGCGTGGGTGGGCCCTTGGCTAATTGGCCATTTGAAGCGACAAAAAATCCGGACTTGGTTTTCCAATGTACGTACTAGTACATACATACCCTTGTCTATAGTTAGCTTGAGACTCTGGTCCATTTGTTCGCTTGAAGGTTGGTTCTTGGGGCTTCGATTGGTTTGTCCCGTTGAAATTCTTGTCGGGTGACGTGCGCATGGGTGGACGCGAGGATTATATTAATGTTCTTGTAGGGAACTCAGTAGTCGAGAGCCGGAGTTCGTTGCGGTCGAGAACAAGCGTCTGGGAGTATCGCCTCTTGGTTGCAGGTGCTGTGTCTGATGTCTTTCTCTCTGCAAGCTGGCTACCGTCTGTGCATCTCCTTCGTTCGTCCCATAATCGTGGTGTGAACAAGTAAAATAGCTTTCGTGAGTGACATACAAGGAATTGGTATGTTGGTGTGCTGAAGGTCTCTTCTGCACCAAGCACCAATGCCTTAGCATTTTCATTGTCGATTGAAAGACCGGCGCGACGAATCTCGGACGACTGAAGTCTGCTTGGTTGATTCATGCCATTGTGACGGGTGTGCTGCCACACATCATGTTGCCCACAGCGATAGCTGTGCCAATTGTCGAGCATCTCAGAAACAGCCCATACATCTGCGTTGGGTTCAGCCGGTTCACAGATCCAGTTGGGCGCGATAACGCAGAGTCCATGCGGACAAGAGTTTGTCTGCTCATAGGTCGAGATTCTCAGGGGCCGTCGTCTCTAGCGGAGTGAGTGGTCGGTTCTCTGACAGGCTGATAAGTGCTGGGCGCAAAACCTAGCGTCATGAGACGCGAAAGCGCAAGGTCGAATCAGATAAAATCGTGTAGTAGCAGCCGGAGTGTGACTAAAGCGGCAAACCATTAGACAAACCATACCAGCTCTGACCCTCTGACCAGATGTATCCTGTCTCTTATCTTAGGTATACCAAGACCTACACTCAACCTTTCCCGATAAAGCTAAACCATAGATGCTCTATATAGTTGGAAATTTGCAAAGTAAGAAGAAAGCGCACGTGAAGCTGTAGATACGACAGCGGGGACTGATGCAGGCAGTGAAGCAGCGATGAACTGATAGTGACCACGACACCATCTGGAGCCCGAGCGATCTATGTCGCCTGGGTCCTCAGCAGAACCAAGAAATGCACAAAGAACCGGGCGAATTCCAAAGATACATAGCATACCATTCGAAGGGGTGACTGGACGGTGGCCAGCTGTCGGCCTCTAAGGCATAGGCGATTCGCAGAGGTGGCATCACTGGGACACATCGTCATGGGGAGATGTGAACTTGGACATGGATTGATCAAGAGTCCGAGACAAGGTCAAAAGTTGACCCTGGAACACGTCGAGTGCCTTCCAGTAATCATCGTTGGCGATCGGCTTGGGGGGAGCCGTGGGAAGAGCCGTGGGAGGAGCCGTCGGGGTAGGTGAGACCGGTAGAGGTGCTTGATGGTCGACTTCTGGGTCTGGAAGTGGCTCCATCTTCTCATCGTCTACATTTACTTGATTCGTTTAGCTCTGCTACCACAAAGCATCGTGGTTGTGGGAAAGTCAAACGGCATGGCAAGAGACGTAGTAGGACAGATGCATCAGGGCGGGGCAGGGGCATACTCACAGAAACGAGATGGAGTCTCGGTCATAGGCGACAGGGTCATAGCCTTTTCGTCTGGCTCCGGTGTGTAGTATTCGATGTCTGTAGGGGTCTCTGTGACGCAGCATAAGCGATGCATGCACAACACAGTCACTCAGGACCGGAAAGCTTACCTGGCTCGGGGCTTGTCGGAAGATTTTGGTGTAACTCTTGCTGCGTTTGCGGCATCACCGGTTGGGTCTCCACCGTGGGGATGATGGTATTCGGAGAGATGCCCTCACGAGCGTGATCCAGTTCCCAGTGGTTGCCATATCTTCGGACAAACCGAGAGATGCGCTTGGGTTCGACCACTTGGCCGGCCACCCGAAACGCCGTTCGCTTGCCCTCTGCAGCTCGCCTTTGTTGCTTGCGGAGCATGATATGGACTTCTTTGGCTTTGATGTTCTTACGAACATTCCAGGCAGCCAGGCGATCTTTGTATTGTTTTTCTCTAGAGACTTCCAAGTCAGGTGATGTTTGTTCTCGATCCATTGCATGATTGATGGGGGAGGGTGAAGAATGGCACAAAAAGCAAAAAGCAATAATGGGAGACCGCGCGCACAGTCCCCTCCTTTCTTGGGATCTCGATTACAGACTAAGAAAGGGGCCGGACTTCCTGCGACAGCCAGGCGGGGAAGGAATGGGATAAATGAAGAGAAGGATGGAAGGAAATGGACAGCTATACGATGCCTGAAAGTGATGATTCTCCTCCATATATCTTTTTACATCGCGAAGCTTCAAATGGTCATTGCGGTAAAGGTTCTGGATAATGTCACGATAAATAGTCCAATCCTCAGACTTTTTCGGCTTGAATGGCCTTTCCTTGGAGAAGGAGGCAGAAGGACCGGTGGGGGTGGGCGTTGTTGTGGTGGTGGTGGTGTTGGTTGCGGTGGTGGAGGTGGAAGTGGAAGTGGAAGCAGTGGAGTTGGCGGATGTCGCTGCTGTGGTTGAACTTATTTGTGTTGTTGTAGGTTTGTCTGGTTTTGGTGTGGAAGTGGTGTTGATAGTAGGCAAAGGAATAGATGAAACCGGAGGCAAAGAACCGTTCATCATGAATCGATGACTCGTTGATCTCCGCCTTTCATACTCCGGACCCAGTCTGGACTCTCCTGACATTTGATGGTCTACAGGTGAATGGTGGGAATGAAGTGAGAAGAAGTGGTAGCACGGAAACTAGTTAGTTGTGGCAATAGGGCGATGGGTGGAGTCGGTTGTGCCAGGTGGAAGAGACAGAAGATGCGATGATGATATAGTTGGGTTTGGGGGTGAGGTTAAGAGAGAGAGAGAGAGAGAAAAAGGGAGAATGCAAGAGGAAGGGAAGGAAGAGAGAAGAATTGAAGGTGTCACGGTATGATGAAGCTTTGCCCCAGTCACTGCCCGCAAGTCTTCGGAAATAGTCGTGGTGATAGTAGCTGTCACTCCCTCAACCACCCCCAGCAGGAGCATATAATCCACGAGATGATTGATTCTTCCGGCTGCTACTGGTGTATTATGAACATCCTGCAGTTCGAGGAAACGGAACCAACACCAAGGGGGGAAATAAAGCAGAAAGAAAAAAAAAAGAAAAAGAAAAAGAACAAAAGTGAAAAGAAAAAGTCCAGAACGAAAAAAAGCAGAAGGAAAAGGTTGCAAAGAATAATGGGAAAATCACCAAAAGAAAAGAAAAGTTCTAGCCTACTCCGTACGCACTCACTGACAGTGTCTGTAGTCTGTACTGTAGTCTGTAGTCTGTAGGTACCGCCCTCCCTACACCAACCGAACCACTACGAATCCACTTCATTACTTATTGGCTGCATAATGTGCATCTGGCCATACGGAGTAAGTTCATAATAGTGTTTTATTTATAAGCTCCTGATCTTCCAGTCAAGTGCTGCCAACAAACATGAGACCAGCATCTCTCCCATCAGAAATCTTCCATCCTGGCAGTGATACCTGATACGAAGCAAGATGGTGCAGATGAAGATAACTAGTAGCGACCGACCTATTCTATAACTTGAAGTGTATCCAGTATTGAGTCTCACTCAGTACACAGTCGGACTGTGTATAATCAACTACATAACTTTACACAGTAACTCCATGATGGATGGGGAAAAGAGGCACAGGGCAACCGGGGAGTGGTTCGCCGCCGGGGTAAGATCCACCCCGGGCCACTAGTACCCGCGCTAATCGAAAAGTACGAATGCTGACTGGTGAGGCTAAAGACATCCGCTTGCCTGTTTTGGCGACCTGCTGCTGAACCCATGGGAGGAAAAGCCCGCGGATGCTGGCATCCCTGCTGCCGCGCCCCAATCACGGACCCTTTCAACATGGTCCGTGTACTTTTGTCACGTTCCGGTTTCCCCTCCTACGAGGTACGGAGTAAGTTACGGAGTACTCTTCTTCCTCCTCATGTACGCTGTACGGAGTGCCTTTTGGCCTACGAAAGGTACGTGGCTACTTCCCTGTCCATGTGTCCCGGATGTATTTTTCAGCACTGCTCCGACCGTTTCACTGTGCCTATTACTTAACGGATATCTCTTACCATGTTGGTCCATTGTGCCGATGGCTGAGACTCTGAGGGTAAGGAACGAAGAACAAGGGATGCGGGACATGACCCCTCCCAAAACAAGTGACAGACAAGAATAGATCCAGACGGCGGTGATCCCTTTCAGTGAGTCCTGCGCCAATTCTGCAGGTGCATTTACTGGGGATCATAATTCCCTTGCTATAGATAAATACTTGGTAGTTGGTACTCAGTGACTACAGTATTGATACTCTTGACTTGGTCGCTCGCCCTGCTTCCCTCCGCATGCCCTTTTTGTCCGGAAACAAATCACAAAAGCAAAACCAGAAACCAAAACAAAAGCACTGTGCTTTTCGACCATTGCAGGGATGGCAAGGAAGCAGGATCCGCTCGAAGGGAGACTTTGTTACTGGATCGTCTAAGAACTGACGCCTTAGCCTCATCCTGGCCGGGTTGGCGCCAGAATCCAGCCGGCTGTCTCGAAACACCCCTTGGCCCAATCGAGGAAAAAGGGCCTGGACCGAAGCTGAGACACCGCAATGACCGTTCGTACGATTCTCAATCTTCGGATTTCCTCAAGACAACACTATCGAACAACTCAAACGGCGCACGCGTGTTCCGGAGTTATGTCAGCCGGTCAGGCATGCCATCTTCCTGCCTGGAGATTTGGAGGGAAAATAAAGCCTCTGATCGGTGTGGCAAAGTGGAATCATAACCCGATGAGGAGCTAGACTGAGGCCTGAGCTTCGAAGAGCAAAACCTTCATTCTGTTCATCATCGTTGTGGCTCAAACGCCATCCAGATGCGGAAGAGACAGACAGGTAAGTTAAGTACTGTGGATCTGCTTTCTTTCCCGCCAAGGTATGTTTTCTTTGTGATCATTCCCTACCACCCACACTCCCCCAAGTTAATTCAGCCATAATTAGCATCTGATAGTCGAACTGAGGACTGGAACAGACCAGGGAACGTTCGGCCCGTCAGGTTGGCGGCTCGGATCGGAGGTCCGCCCGTTGATTGACCCAAAAGACGGACGGGGAAGCAAAAATACACCATTTGGTACGTTCAGCTTACCGAATGGGCCCGAGCACCCTTGGTTTCTCCTCGAGGGGTGGACAATCCTCGTTCTTAGATCTTCACTACTTGCTTGTGGGCAAAAAAGTAAGTTCTTCGATCACCATCGGCGACTCAGTGATTAACCTCGCCAGGCTCTTCATGAAAAGCCTGCTTGTCTGCATTTCAGACAACAAATGAAGAGTCACCTAAATTAGGACTTTTGACACCGGATGACATCAGCCAGGCGCATGGAAGGCCCCCCGAAGAAAGCATAGACTAACGAACTAGAGACGGGTGTGGGTATATCTTCTCCGGAGAACAATGACACTTTCCCCCTCGCCACGTCCACTGACGCTGCGTGTACCCCCCCCCCCCCCCCCCCCCCCCCCAACCAATGTCTAATACGTTACCACCCAGGAAGAATAACGGCTACTAGATATCTGGCCATTCATCTTCCGAAAGCAGACTACAGTGCAGCACAAACCAGCAGTTCGCGCTATATCAGTCCCCCGACAGCATGCATCTCAGTCTGCGAGGAGTCATCTATTGTCGCGCGGCTTCTCCTTCCGTTCTTCCTTTTCGATTCAACCCCAGGGAGACTTCACCTGATGGCGAATGCGAGGTACCTAACTCTCCCGCTTGTCACTAACCAGTCGAGAGCACTCTCAGGCTTCGGCCGGAGGGCGGCCATGCCCGTCTCTCTCCTACGGTTCACCCTACTGGTATCCGAGTACGCGGAAACTCAATTCATTTGAAGGCAGTTGCGGCCGACGAGACTTCTCATCGTACTCTGTCTCTGCGTTTATTCGGGCGCGCTTACAACAGAGCGACATCTCGGCCGAAGCATCAGCACCTGGGCAACAGCCAGCCACAGCCAACGTTAGATGAGATAGAAATGAGACTGGCAAGGCGGGAGTGGGCAGCGGAGGAGGATGCCGTAGATTCTAAGCAGACACCATCTATTGGAGGATTAGTCTCTTGCTCGGCCGCAGGCAGCTCAGCTCACATGCTCGTGCGATATTTTTCTATTACACAGCAGTTTTCAGAGTCAACGCCGGCTCTATTACTGGAGGACAACTGCAGGTATGTGTGAGGTAAGGTGAATCCTGGTCACTAACCATCAAGAAGGGGCAAAGTGCGCAGGAAAGACAGGAGCAGTAGGCCAGTAGGCAAGTTTCACCTACGCACTGGTGTGCATAGTAGGTTCCTGGGCGCCTTCTCTGAGATCGTTTCCATGTGTCAGCCAGGGTTTGCATCCATTAATCGTTACGTAGTTCATTCAGCACTTATCTCACGCACTGCTGACTTTCATATATTGACCAAACAGAAAGCAGTCAAACTAATTACCCAGTTCTGACTCTTACTCAATGCACTCACTGCAGTGAGCTGAGGGTAAGAAGCCCAGAGTAAATTGATTGGACCGGATCCCTTCTTCGCTCCTCGCCTGCAAATAGATTAAAGACGGGTCCAACCAACCCTTCTCCCCCTGAGTTACAGGTAGATTTATCTCTCGTGTCAAATCTCCATCTCTAGATCTAAGTCCTGCTTGGAATTATGTTATGCTGCTGCTGCTGCTTTGACCAATAGACTGCCACCACGCCATAGTGGTGTACATACCAAGGTGACCCCTCCCTCCCCTTGTAAATTTGCACTTGGAACCGCTACCTAGTTATCCAGATTCCGATGGATTTCTTCCATCACCACAATCGGCGTGGATGCTTGTCATAGTTATGTGATATTGTGTATAGAACTGTATTCAGGTGTAGGGTGTCCACACCCTCTCTCTCCCGGGGTCCTCGACCGGGCGAAACACGTACAGTAGAACAACCCAATTCAAAACCCCCCAAAGCCACCCAGCCATGCAAACGAGAAAACAAGAATCAAGTCAAATAAGGGTTTCTGGGGGAGCCATGCTTCCAGCTCTAATTCCAAACTGACACAGGGACACCCCTAAGGCAACCAACCCTGATATTTGTGTTGGTGTTGGTGATTTCATAAGAGAGACTTTTGCATGTAACTAACTAACTACTTATGCATGTACGGATGTACTTATGCACGCGCATGTCTGTCCTGGTGGGTTATCCACCAATACTGAATACTGTTCGCGGAGGTTGAGTCTATGTGAAGGAGGAGGTAACAAGACGCTCCATATTCTGGATGTACTAGTACAGATTGATAAACCGAAAGGAAAGAAAGAGCAGGAGGGGGATACTGTAAACTCCCAATTGGACAGTAGAATCGATAGTAAGGCCCAGTAGTTCAAGTCTCCAGCTCAGCTCGGGAGGTAAGTTAGCGAGATTCAGATCCGATGAGTTACTAGTAAGTGAATAGTAGTGAGAGTGGGCTGTTGTCAGACGGAGGTTTCCTCCGTACTGCGTGACCAACCCAGAGTATTCATCCTAACTGTATACAATTCGTTCCATAGTGAAACTTGCCCATCGTGCTCAGTTCACTATGTAAGTAGGTACTGTTGTACTAATTTTATTTTATGACTCCCGCCTGGCGATTGGTTGTATAGGTAGTTAAAGCCACTGCACAGTGTTGTGGGCTGATCGCTCAACAATCTGCGCTAGTACACAATGACCAACTACGGTGCACCGGACAATACAATAATCCCAGAACATTGTGGCTTGCATGGCCCATCAATTCTTTTGTCACCTGGGTTTTCGGGTTTTCTTTGTTCTCGCAGTTATCAACATGCAGGATCGGAACAGAATAGAGCAAACAAAAATCCGACCACCAAAAAAAAAAGCAAAAAACAACAAAAAACAACAACAAGGCTCTTCTCCTGAATGGTCTACAGATGCAGGTTACGAGATGGCATGGCTACAGGTCCAACTGCAAAAATCAGGGCAAGGATCGGAAGTACTACTTCCATAAACATGCATAAGGCAGTCAGTTGATGAACACAAGGCAAAAAGAGGGTGATCTCCTATCAAATTCCACTAAGAAATAATTGTGTCAGGCAGACAGACAGACTAGAGGATGATCTCCCGCCCTTCCTCACATTGCCCATCAGTCTTTTTTCCAAGGCAGCCGGTCCATCCCCAAACGATAATCCAAGTAAGCTCCAAGTATCAGCCATGCAGTGGCCCACTGGCTATCCCTGTTCTGACTCAGGAAAACTCTTCTCCAAACCGGCTTTTGCTCCCTTCGCCGTCGTCCTTGTTTCTTACCTGGCGCCTTTCCTGTTTCCAACCCTGCGGACCTCCGTCGAAGGAGGGTCTCGCAGCCTGGCCGTTGGATCAGGACCTGATCAGGAGGACCTATAGACAGGAACAGTCCATAGAACCTGACTATTGCTCCGTAGTGTGGATCACCTGGCAACACGTAATAGGTGCCATGCCCGCTCACGGCCATTCCGACAGACTATAACGCAAGGAAGAACGAGGTCGCGCACGGAGGCAACCCGTACATTCCCATCGCCAGCAAGTGGTGGATCAGGGCTCTTTTCGCCCTGCCTAGGCAGAGCGAATTCGTGGCAGTCAATGCGAACTAGCCAGGGGTCGATGACTTGTCTTGGCTGGGCGCCTACCGCCCTCGCCTGAAATAGCATCGCTTCGGCTGGGGTTTCTGAGACTACTGCTAGCCAAGGTGCTTGGAGTACGGCCATCCCTTGTCGGCCGCAGCGTCTAGTTGCACCGTGGCCTTATTTGGTAGGCGAACTGGCGGCCTGTTCTCCCGCTGCCACAGCCGCAGACGCCATGGCAGCTGAGCTACCGGAGCCGGCGCTGGCGATATTGCTGGTATGAGCCAACAAGAACTTACAACAGGTCAAAGTGTACTTGCAAGCACGCGTCCAGGTCTCATCATTTTGGTTGAATCCGAGCTTGATGCTTGCGTCGCCAATTCGGTCTTTTTTGATCTCATAGGGCAGCTTCAGACCGGTCACCGTGGCAGTCGGTTGACCTCGCCGATTGGAAGTCGCGGGCGCCGGGGTCTTCTCTACATACTCACCCAGCTGACGTAGGCATTCCAGAAAAGCCACCATTCCATTGTCAAACCGGCGGTGAAGCCATGGCAAGTTCAGCGGCAGCTCGCCCGATGAGAACAGATCAAGCGTGGTGATTTTAGGAGGCGCCGACGGCCCTGCGTTGCCTCCCCCGATCACTGATTGAGCTGGAGACGGTCGGGATGGTTCGAGTCGGTCGATGCGAGACATCGATCCCATGGGCTTAAGTTGGTACCCCTGGAACTGAAACCCCAGTTTGCTGGCAACGGTCGCCAGCAGCAGAGCCGTTTGTCCCCAGGCCGCATTGATCTCGGGCCAGTCCACGGATGGGTTAGCCAAGCGACCGAGACGCAGCCCGTTGATGGTGCCAAAAAACCCATCGTGGCCAATGCAGAAAGCATCATTGTAGACATTCGTCCTCTGTAGCCTTTCCAACTGCCGGGAATCGTGGTCGTACTTCATGTTCAGCGCATCCCGTTCGTTCTGGAACTCGGAAAGCGTAAGAGCGAAGGCATTGCGATCTCGCCAGAACTTCTCTTCCTCCAGATCCAGCTGGCGGGCCTCGGCCTCTAGCAAGGCGATTTCCTCATCCAAGCCGGCCTTTTCTTTCTCGAGGGCGAGAAGCTCGGCGAAAGCCGCCTCCTCTGCAGCCAACGTGTCTTTGAGGGACTGCTGGGCCGCGTCAAATTCCTCCGCCGTAGGGATCTCAGCCTTCAGATCTCGCAGGAAAGAGCTGTACGCATCCCGCTCTTTCTTGGAATCCGCCAATCGCTTCTCCATCCCCTCGATCAGTAGGTCTGTACATTCCAAACAGATGGGATGATCTATGTCCGAACGGGCAGAGATGATGTCAAAAAGCCGAGCGGTACGTTCGACCTGATCTGCAAAGGAGCTTTCATCGATGTCCCCTCGACTAGGATGATTTGAGGTGTTGGCGGGTGTGCTGCCGCTGACAGCCCTGTTGTTGCCCGGGGATGAACCATCGCTGGTTCCGTTCGCCCCGGAGATCATCCCGTGAGGCGGTCCAACTTGAGATTCAGTGAGCATTACAAACGACATATTTCCACTGTCGCCTCGAGCAAGTCTCGCTGGATGGGTTTGGCTGCGAGCTGCCTGCCTGGGTGGCGGGATCGACCTTCGATTATACACGGGAGATGTGGATTGCTTGGAGACTCGGTCGTAGAGCTCCCGGCGTTCTTGCGGGAAGCTCGGTTTGGAGGACGAGTGAGCGCCATGATCTGGAACGGATCGACCGGTAGAGCCTTCGTCGGATTGTATGGTCAGTGCTGCAGTTGAGCATGAGGTGGAAGGCTATGAAGTAAATCCACCTACCGACAAGGAGGTCAAAAGCCGCGGGATTGAGCGACTCGAGAGAGCCGTCTAGTTTGAGAGGTGTGCGACAGTTTTGGCAATACATGGTTGCGAATTTGTTATTCGTAGGTTTTCATGCATTCTGGTTTGAGAGACGTGGGAGAGTGAATGGGAAGGGAAGATGGGGGTAGATTCGATGTGCTGGAACTTTGATTGAACTGTAAGCGAAGAGACAGCGAGACGTCGTCATGCGGCCACCCGGCGGTGGTCAATTGCGGGTGCGCGCGCCGCGTGTGTTTTCTTTTTGGCGTCTCGGCTCTCCTTGAAAAGGTTGGAGAACCTTCAGTTTGAGAGTATCACATCGCAGGTCGTGCTTTCAACTTCAAACGCATTGCGCTGGAAGCCAGGTCGGCGGCCGCAGTTTCTCGATCTCTGAAATAGTCCTCTGGCCCTATTCTACACCCTTGAATTGCTGCGAACTCATCCTTATCATTGAATGAATCCTCATGAACCTCACTTTACGAGCCGAATCGTCCATCAATGTAGGCCAGACTCCCTTCCTCCCCTCCCCTTTCACATATCCCGCTTCGTACGATGCGTGAGAAACACAAGCTGACATTATTTCAAATTGTGTTACTCTACAGCCTGATAGTGCGAACGCAAGTCCCACGTCCATCTTACAGTTCAGTGTTTCCATATTGCAAAATCAACAAAATCGAAAGTCCTCATCCCTACGTAACACTATCTGCTCCCCCGAATACTGCGCACAGTCTACACATCCAGGAACATGGAGCGACCTACCAAGCGAGCTCGGTTCGCCTTGCCAGTAGAGCCCGATGAAGACGGCGGGGACGACATTGATATCCACGAAGCGCGGGCCCAGAACGACCAACGTCTCAAGTCGATCTTCGAGGGAATCTTCGAAAAATACGGCAAGGATTTCACAGACGTTGGCGATGAGATTGATCTTCAGACGGGCAAAATCATCGTGAACAATGGCCACATCCAAGAACTAGAGGAGGAAGGGGAAGAGGATCCCGAAGCAGCCACCACTTCGGGCTGGCGACAATTTGAGCGAGAGCGTTCTATTGCTTCGGACGGAAAGGTTGATCAGCACTCGTCTACCGCGTTGTCTATTGAGGAGACTAGCAGTGATTTGGCTGGGGCTGCGGGAATGGACGGTAATCGGAACAGTGATTCACGAACTCACTCTCCCGCGTTGTCGATCCCGGAGCCGCAGTCCGGACCGGCGTTCCTGCACCATCATCACCAGACAGCTTGGGAAGAAGAGGCCTCGGATGCACCCAATGAGGTCGATGACGATGAAGCAAGTGTGGACTCTTTGCTGGATAACACGCTGCGCATCGAAAGCATTCTCCCAGAGCAACGCGCCGGCGCCGAGACCGATACGACCACTGGCCGGCTTGGGATGGGAAAAGCAAAACCTGCGGCTGAAGCGCCCGCCCAATCCCACGGCCAGAGACGCAGCCAAGTGGCGGAGGAGCTATGGCGGGTGCCCGAAATCGACGCGAGCTTCTCCACGCCGACATGGAATAGGTCACGACCTACCCCAGCGGCGTCCACGGTGAATCGCGTTCGCTCGCAGTCTCCACCGGGAGCTGGCTCCCTCTGGTCCGTACCTGCAACGTCGCGACGAGGCCCTCGTAGGGATCACCACGCAAGGATCACGAAAAGCAGACCGCAGCAGAGAACCACCCAGTCGAGCCCCGTCGTCTGCGACTGGTCCTTTGCAGAAACTCCCGATGGAGATGAGTCTGACGACCCATTGCAGGAGAACTACGAGCCGTCCCCAACACCCAAACGGAGCATCCATGTCCGCAGGCAGACGGCCGTGGAAGCTCAATCATCGCATCCTTTGAACTATCAATGCGCGGATTGCAAACAGGTTTTCGTACGGGGCGGGTACATCACCCATCTCAAGGCAATTGCCTCTAGACCGTTTGACGGCCAGCACGATCGGTCGGAAGTTGCTCGCCGACTTGAGGATTTGACAAACGAACCCGCGTCAAAGTCGCCGGCCAAAACAACAGCATCAGCCACATCAAGCATTCTTATTGGTTCTGTAAAGAGGACAGCTCAGTCGCGCGCAAATGATCTACGGGATAACGACGCTACTCCTACGAAGAAACGTGCTCGAAATGTCATCCAGCCGGACGAAGCGAGATTAATCATCACAATGAGACAAGTACAGGGGAAGAAATGGAGTGAAATCCTCGACTGCCTTCCACACACGAAACTAACATCGCTGATCCAATGGAATTGCAAACATTGGAGTGATCGTCGGGCGAATCCACCCTTATTGTCTAAGCCGTGGTCCAAAGCCGAGCGAGCGATCCTAAGCAAGTTTGTAGAGCAAGAAGGCCTAAGCTGGACCACAATCCGCGAAAAACTACCTGGCCGGCCTCACGCTGGGATTGAGTTCGAGCTGTTACAGCTCTGGGCTGGCAAGGATGCATTGTGACAGTGTCCAGCAGCCAGAATGACTGGACGGAAAGCTCAATCGGTTCCGACGAATCGAATCACAGATGAACGGCAACTGAGTCAGGGCGCCGATTCTGACATGCAGTCCGTCAGCGGGTCCGATCGGCCACAGCATGTTAACTTCCAGATCCCGGCATTCGTGTCCGGACCCACTAGGTCCAGCCGAAGCGAGGGATTGTGTTTGATATCATCGCCCTGCCAGATGAAACCGAGTAGATATGCTGCCTTTTTGAGCGGTAATGAAACAAGTCATATACCTTGTCCGCTTGCAGCAGCAATAATACCATTAGTGGGATTAGCTTGTCTGAGCCGTGCCCCTTCTCCAGGGATCATGCTTTCCAAGGCTCTTGCCGTACCTGTGTCCTTCAATCTGGCCCCGAACATTCTGCGCGAGACAGCATGGGTTGGACATATCAAGCCTCCTGCTCGTCCGTGGCGTTCAGCACGTCTTCGAGCCTGGTGTCAACCGCGCCACCAACATCCCCTGCTTTTGCCCAGAATCGCGAGAGATGCCTTGACCCGGAGTCGGAAAGGACCGTCACGATTCTATGCCCTGGGCCAAGCTTCATCGCTGTCTTGACTGCGGCAAAGCCTGTAGTGTATTGATTTAGCCACAATGTGATGAACGTGACACTTGGAGGATTGCTTACAATTGACCGCACTGCTGCTACCAAGGAATAACCCGTCCTTCTCCACCAGCCATCTAGCCATTGCTAAAGCCTGCGCATCCGTCACTCGGACAGCGTCGTTGACCAATTCTTTGCCCGCTTCGAAATTAGCCGTCACTCGGTTGATACCAATGCCTTCGACAATAGTGTCCACCTGCCGACGTCGTCTAGTGCCTTCTCTTTCCTTCACATCAAACATGACCCCATAACGGACTCTGTTGTACAGCCCACTGCCTTGAGGATCGGCTAGGACCACGCTGAGGTTGGGGATTCGCGGCTTCAGGAAAAGCGCTACGCCAGAGATCGTGCCGCCAGTTCCAGCACCTGCAATGAAGGCGTCCAGCTGGCCATTACACTGAGCATAGATCTCAGGCCCTGTGCCATTGAAGTGGGCTCGCCAATTGGCCTCATTTTCGAACTGATCCGCGAAGAACCCTCTGCCGCTGGTGGTGGAGGATGCAGTTTGTTCCTGCGCAAGGAAGCGTGCGCGGTTGACAAAATTGTCTTTCTCGACGATGGGTGCGGGTGGGACGCGATCCACTATGGCACCCAGCTTCAATAGAAGGTTAGACTTCTCGATAGCCTGGTCGGACGGCATGCAGCTAGGGATGTGTCAGCACAATTGAGCTTGTGGGTGGACTCAATACATACATATGGGCCAGGTAGCCCTTCGCTCGGGCCAAGGAGGCTAAAGAGATTCCTGTAGAACCGGATGTGCCTTCGTAGATGGTGTCTCCTGAATAAGGTCTCAGATAACCGTGCTCTTCGGCCTGTGAGATGTGAGAGATTTGCCTCGATACGTCATGAAGAGCATCAAGCATACGATTTCGATCATGCTCAGCGCAACCCGGTCTTTAGAGCTCTGCCCAGCTCCATTCAAGAACTAGAAGAATGAATGAGCCCATTGATACGTCCTTCAATTTGTAGTCAAGGGTGTAGAATCGCCATGGAGGAACAATGACGTACCTCGGCCTTGCCCAAGATCTCACAACCAGTCGCGTCGGATAAGGACTTGATGCGGAACAAAGGAGTATTTCCGATGCAGCCCTCAATACCTTCTACAATGGCTGGTGGACCAGGTCTTGCGATGAGAGTATCGGCGGAGACATCAGCGGAGTCTGTCGCGGGTTGGGATTGACGGCGAGCAGCTAAATATTCCTGAATGCGGTGTTCCAGCTCAGGATACACCACGTCTTTAAGACCAATGGTCAAGAGAACACCTGCGACAAAAGCAGTGCCAATGTAGAGGCGGGAATGATCATCCATGACTGCATACAGTACTAGAGTTGATCATTGAATGGGGTTGTGGTGATGGGACTGAGTAGCAGCAGTTGATGAGCGGCGGGCGGAAGAAAAGCTTGGACCAGCCGCGCGACACCCGCCTCCAAGTCTCGTGCTCTCATCCTTCCTTCTCCTCCTCCTCTTCCTCTTCCTGACAGATTGCTTCGTGCTACCGTCCACAGTCAATCCCTTGACGTCCTGTCCATGGACTCTCCGGTCCTGAATCAGCTGCTGAGGCAGTTGTTCCGACACCCCGCCTGTCAATCCTTCAAATCCTCGCCCGCCCTCTCCGCGCGCCGACCGGGTTGCGTGCGCCTGTCCCCTTCATCTTATTCACACCACCGTCAACAGTGTCGACATTTCTTCTTCAAGAAGCTACAGGCTGCAACCGTTAGCGTTAAGAAACCTTCCAATGATGGCACGATCTGGAACGATCGTCGCTTTATCAACAGAGACATATCGGAGGAACTTGAACGATTTCCGATGGTCACGGCCAAAGAACTCCGCCATCACCGCGAGCGGCCGCGGCAGGTGAAGATGTGGGGACGGGAATTTATCGATGGTAAGGACCCTGTCGCAAGGGCTGTTGTGGCTGGAGTGACGACTAACAAACCCGACGTGCTGTTGCAGACAGTCTGTACAATTACCACTATGGCTATTTCTCCCACCATGCTACCATTTTCAGCCCGGGAGAGCCCTTTGTCTTCAACGAAATCGCCGACGGGCCCACGTTTCATAAGATGCTGCAGGAGCGATATACCGAGTTGGAGGACCGCCTAGACGAAATTGAGCCCGACGTCGCCCGTCAGCTTTGGCATACCCCGACCGAACTCTTTCAGCCTTACTACGGGGAGACGATTGCGCGGTACTTGGTGTCAAACTACAAGCTGACGTCGTACCCCTACCACGACCTGATCATCTACGAGATGGGCGCCGGCAATGGAACGATGATGAGGAATGTGTTGGACTACATCCGCGACGCGGACTACGAGGTCTACCAACGAACCAAGTATAAGATCATCGAGATCTCGCCGGCTCTGGCGACTTTGCAGATGAAGAATCTGGTCGAATCGGCTGAGTCGGCTGGGCACCAGGACCGCCTCGAGATCATCAACCGGTCGATTTTCGATTGGAACACCTATGTGCATTCGCCGTGCTACTTCCTTGCCCTCGAGGTCTTTGACAACTTTTCCCACGACATCATCCGCTACAACCTCAAGACGGAGCAGCCCCAGCAAGGAGGTGTCTTGATCGATGCCGACGGCGAGTTCCACGAATGGTACCGGTCAAACCTGGATCCGGTCGCCGCTCGCTTCCTGCGTGTGCGACAGGCTGCTGCCCGGCGCCCGTTTCCTTCGCCGCTGGGCTCGAAGTACAGGCGGGCGCTACGCCCGTATCTGCTTGCCGACAACCAATACTCACTGCCGGAGTATATCCCGACGCGGCTCATGCAGTTCTTCGATATCCTCAACAACTATTTCCCGGGTCACCGTTTAGTGGCCAGTGACTTTAGCACCCTCCCCGACACGGTTCGCGGGCTGAATGCGCCTGTGGTGCAGACCCGGTACGAGCGGCGTACCATCCCTGTGACGACCCCCTATGTATGTATCCGTGCCATTGCCTGTGGTATGAATAATCTCTGACTAGCGCGCAGGTCCAACAAGGATACTTCGATATCTTCTTCCCGACAGACTTTAATGTGATTGAGGACATGTACCGGGCGATCACCGGCAAGTTGACGCAGGTGGTGAGCCACGAGGACTTCATGCAGCGCTGGGCGTATATTGGAGACACGGAGACGAAGAACGGCGAGAATCCGATGCTGACGTGGTACAAGAACGCCAGCATGATGATGACCGTGTGAGTGGTTCTTGGGTAAAGAAAGGATTGTAAGATAGAGGCGATACCAAGCATGAAACTACTATCTTATCTGGGGGAATTATCCGGATCTTCGGCATTGTACGGAGGGAGATAGGTCGAATGCGTTCATGATTGGCAGTGTATTTGAGGGGGATATTCTGACAAATGTACAGGAATGGAGATAATGAATCCCTAGCAGCCATTGACTATTCGAGTAGTAGAAGGTTATCTCTTCTATATGATGCTATATACTACTATTGACGAGGCACATAAATACTTCTCCGCATCAACCCCGCTCCCAACACCTCATTCCTGCATTCCTCCCTCCCTCCTCCCCTCATATCCCCTACATTCTCATCCATTGTATCATTGAACATCACTCTTCTCCTTTCTTTTTTGTATTGCACAACAATGACAATGAACGACCCCCTGCCCGCCTGGAAACCCACCGTCTACGCCAAACGCCAGGCCCAACTCGCCGCCATCCCCGAAGCCTGGCGTCTCCCGTCCATCCCCAAAGACATCGACACCCTGACGTCCATCCGCACCTGCGGCATCTTGACTGCGCAGGAACTCCAATGGACCGAAGCCACCGAGACCACCGAGCTTTTGCGCTTGTTAGCGTCCCGCCAGATCAGCGCTGTGCAGCTGACGACGGCATTCTGCAAGCGCGCCGCCATCGCGCAGCAGCTGACCAAGTGTCTGACGGAGATCTTTTTCGATCGGGCGTTGGCGCACGCACAGAAGCTGGATGAGGAGTTGGAACGCACGGGGAAGGTGACTGGTCCGTTGCATGGATTGCCTGTGTCGATCAAGGATCGGTTTGATCTGGAGGGGTTTGATACTACGGTTGGTCTGTTTGCCTATTTGCTCGGGTTGATGAGTGTCTGTGTTTGACTGATGCTATAGGTTGGGTTGGACTCGTTGGCAAACCGGCGAAGAAATCCAGCTCGATTGCTGTCTTGTTGGAGTCGATGGGGGCGGTGCTGTATGTTAAGACTAATGTGCCGCAGTCGCTTATGGTAGGTCATGCCTTGATCTCATCACTATAGACTTACAAGCCTGGGGAACAGCAATTGGACACTGATGGAGATAGATGTCTGACTCCTACAACCATGTCTTCGGCCAGTCGATCAACGCCTTCAACAGCAAGCTCATCTCCGGCGGAAGTTCCGGTGGCGAGGGCGCACTGATTGGCACTGGAGGCAGTATCCTGGGAATTGGCACAGATATCGGAGGGTCCATTCGCATTCCGGCGAATTTGCAGGGACTGTATTCGATCTGTCCGAGCAGGGGCCGCGTGCCGTGGAACTGCTCTTTGTATGATTTCCGTCTTCCCTGTGGAGTGTCCGGCTGGGGTGCGTGATGGATTTCCATCACCTGCCCACGGGACTTTCTCATGACACTTCCAGGCTGACGGTATGTAGCATGCACCAACACTACCTCGTGCCCCCCGTCGCTGGCCCCATGGCCCGCAGCCTTTCGTCCGTGGAGCACTTCATGCACGCCCTTCTCGCCTCGGAGCCCTGGACGCTGGACCCAGGCTGTGTCCCGATCCCGTGGCGGACGGAGCTGGCTGCGAAGCCGGCGCGGAAGTTGAGGGTGGGGATCATCCATGATGACGGGGTCGTCAAGCCGCAGCCGCCGATTGCGCGGGCGATGCGCGAGGTGGAGCAGAAATTGAAAGATGCTGGGCATGAGGGTCAGACTCCCCTCCTCGTATCCATTATCCAAGCCGTCCCCGCAACCCCGTCGTTATACTCGTTTTCCAGTTCCATCACGAAGTACACCTCAGATTCATCATAGGATTGAGTAAACTGACAAGCACAAAGTGATCCCCTACCCCACGACGCTCCACGAAGAAGGCACCGCCCTCTGGACAAAAGCCATTTTAGCCGACGGAGGCCAACACTGCCGGTATCTATGCGACATAGTTGGCGAACCGTTGATCGAGGGGATGGTTGTGGGCACTCCGGAGGATGAGTTATCGGTTGAAGAGAGGGAGAAGGTGCGTGCCGGGCCTACCTTCACCTTTCCCTTTCCCTTTCCCAAACCAAGGCCCCGTTCTCTCATACCCCTTTGCCTCCTCTCCCTTTCATACCCCATACTAATGGTAAACAAAACATAGCTCGAAGAAACAAAATGGACCTACCAGGAGACCTACCTCTCCCAATGGACCTCCCACGCCATCGACGCCCTCCTCATGCCCGTAACACCGTGGGTCGGCTACCGTCCGAAATCCTGGGTTGTCAGCAACCAGTGGCTGGGGTACACGGCGCTGTGGAACCTGCTGGACTACGCGGCCGTGACTGTGCCCGTGACGCGGGCGGACGCGACGCTCGATGACCCGAGCGGCCCAGAACAGGAGGGCTGGAGGGGCCATACGGTGCGGAATGAGGCGGATCGCTTTAATTTTGAACAATGTTTGTCTCCTGTTTTTGCTCCCTTCGTTCTTTTCCTGGAGAGAAATTCTTCGGGGAAAAAAAGGGTATGTGGTTGTGGAAAAAAACCTAGGACTGACGAGGTATGATTGATATAGATGATATCGATTTGGTCAAGGATATGCCGATCACGGTGCAAGTGGTTGGGGGCCGTTTTGGAGAGGAGAAGGCGATGGCGGTTGCGAAGGTTTTGGAGGAGGTCTTGAGATAGATTTTGTAGACTGGTAGACTTCGCAGTATACTACTATACACACATACTAGATTCTTTACATGGAAAATGGATTCAATCCATGTTGCAAAAACAATCGTCTAAATGTCGAGAACACCACCAGCACCAACACCAGCACCAGCTACAGCTACAGCTACAGCTTGGCCTGCTCCCCTTGATTATTCTGCCACGCAAACCCAATCTTCTTGCCAATCCCCGGCTCAACAATCACATTCACCACCGTCGGGCCCTCACTCGCGAACCCGCGCCGCGTCGCCTCGACCAGCTCCTCCTCCGTGCGCACAAACCACCCCTCCCCGCCGCACATGGTCGCCAGCATTTCGTACCGCGTCTCATACAACAGACTCGTCGACCGCAGCCCGCGCTTTCCATCATCCGACTTGGTATCGTTCTGCGCCGTCTGCTCCTGCAGCGTCTTCCACTCACCCGCCGAGCGCGTGTCCCCATGGTAGATGCCGGAGTTGTTGACCACGAAGATGAGCGCGGGGATGCGGTAGCGAGCCAGGGTCTCGATCTCCATGGCGCTAAACCCGAAGGCGCTGTCGCCCTCGAAGGCGACGATCTTCTTCGGCCTCTCCCCCGTGGAGATGGCGTTGTACGCTTCATGCGCCGCTACTATATACCCCATGCCCACCCCCATCGTGGCGTAGGTGCCGGCATCCAGCCGTTGGCGGGGGTGGTCCACCGGGAAAATCGACCGGGAGATGTCCATCGTGTTCGCCCCCTCGGACACGTACACCACGCCGCCGCTGGTCTCGGGCGCCAGCTCGTCCAGCGTCGACTTGATGAGATGGAAAGCCCGCTGATACGTCATCGGAGCGTCCCGCGGGGTCGGGCGGTGGGCCGCCTGGGTCGCAGTCTTGGTGTTCTTCTGGATCGACGCGTCCAGCACCTCCAGGAACGTGTGCTTCTGGCCGTCTCGCAGAGGTGCAGACGGGATGTATCGCCAGTTCGATAGCGCCGCCGCGAGCTGGTCCACCACCAAGCCGATGTCCCCGAGGATGCCCAGCTCGGCGGCGCCGGCGTTGCGCCCGATCTCCTCGGCGCAGAGGTCCACCTGGATGATCTTGGCCGAGGGCGACCACTTGGGCGCCTCCCCGAAGTGGAGGATCCAGTTGAGGCGGGCGCCGAGCACGAGCACCACGTCGGCATGCTTGAGGGCGGCGCTGCGGGCGCTGGACACGTTGTGCTTGTGAGAGTCCGGCAGCACCCCCTTGCCCATCGGGGTTGGCAGGAACGGGAGGCCAGCGCGGTCGACGAGGCGGCGGAGCTGCGTTTCCGCCCGCGCGTACGCGGCACCCTTGCCGACGACCAGCAACGGCGCCTTGGCCGCCTTGAGCAGCTGCGCCGCCTTGAGGATTAGCGCCGGGTCGCCACTGGCCTTGGGCGGCGCGGCCACCCGCATGGTCTCCGGCTGCGGCAGACGGACCTCCGTTGCGGCGGCGCGGCCCTGGATGATGTCGGCGGGGAGGTCGACAAAGGTCGGGCCGGGACGACCATACCAGCAGGTGCGGTAGGCGTTTTTCACGGCCCCGGGAATGAAGTCGAGGGAGGAGGCGCGCACCGCAAGCTTGGTGTGCGGCGTCAGGAAGGAGATGGCGTCCAGTTCCTGGAATGCGCCCTTGGTGATCGCGGTGGTCTCGGCCGATCCGGCGAGGACCAGCAACGGGAAGTTGTTAGCTGTCGCGTTGCCAATCTAGTCAGGGGTTGGATCTGTTAGCACGAGAGGCGTTGAGTTTTGGGGTTTGCTGGGTGACGACCCACTCCGGCAATAGTATGCAGAACTCCCGGTCCTCCCACGACGAGACAGACACCTGGTCGTCCGGTCATGTAGCCATACACGCTGGCCGCGTAGCTGCAAGCCTGCTCATTGCGGAAGGCGACGAAGCGAATGCCCAGGTTGATGGCTTCCTCGGCGATTTCCACGACGGGGATACCGACAATACCAAAGATGACGGTGACGCCCAGATCGCGCAGCGTCCGGGCGATGAGCTGGGCACCGGTAACCTCAGCCATTGTTGGAGTGATTAGAAGCTTGGCAGAAGACAATTAGTTGTGAATGAGAACCGATAGATAAGATGAGAATTAAACTGGCTGCTCAGCAGACCAGAGTATGGTGATATGGTGAAGGACAACGCAGAGACAGAGAGAGAGAAACCGAGGCAGAAGCATTTCACGGCATGACGCAACAGCCGGGGTTTCTGCCCCAGGCATCAACATCTACTTCTACAAGGCTATGTATGTACTGTACATCTACATCAAATATCTACTACACTCCACATTCTAATCGTAGAATAGATGTGATTATATTCATTCGCCAAGCTGCACACTCATGCCTCTAGTTCAGTGTTGCTATGTAATGGTATGGTGCAACCCATCACTTCGTCGAAACCATACACACATGGAAAGTCATCAAACTCCGCTACATGCTCCTGTGCCCGCAGACTTTCCCTAGAACTCGAACTCCTTGCGGAAGACATTGACGTCCATCCCGGCCACCACCTGGTCGGCGAGATCCCGACGACCCATCTGGCTGAACACCCGCCGCAACGTGTCGTACAGGTTGGTGCTCTGGTTCTGGCTGACATGGAGCATCCGCTCGAGCTGCTCGTCGGCAATTCCACCCTCGCCCCCGATAATTTCGCGCGCCCGCTCGCGGCCCTCTTGCTCCACGACTCGGTGCATCGACAATGCTCCCAAGAGATGCTGCGCGGCTTCCGGGTAGCATCCGATGTTGATGCAAGAAACGCCCAGGTTGTAACGAGCGCGCACGAAATTCGGGTTGATGTTCAGCGCCTGCTCGTAGGCCTCGATCGCCTCCTCGGACCGACCCGAGTTGGCAAGCGTAGCCCCCAGGCGGTTCCACAGCAGGTGAAGCTGCTCCTGTTGGTTGGTGGTGCCCGACTCCGTCGAGGCCAGCGCAGCCGAGAAGCAGTCGACCGCCTTGTCGTACTCTTCAGCACAGTAGAATAGAACCCCCAGCCCCACCTGCACATCCGGGTCCATCTGCTCACCCGACGGCGACAACTGGGCGGCCTGAATGAAGAGGTCGGTGACCCGGTCATGAAGCAGCTGGCGGTCCGTGAATCCAAGATCGGCATCTTCCGAGACGTCCTTGGGGTCGATGATCTGCGGGTACTTGACGGAGAGCCAGCGCTCCAGGGTGCGGTAGGCGGTAGAGTCGTAGCCTTCATTAGTGTAAGAGACGGCGAGGCCCATGAGAGCGTCCAGATTGCCCGCGTCAATCTTCAGGGCCTGCTCCAGAGCTCGAATGGCGGGCAGTTCCTTCTCGTTCTGAGCCTGCGCGGTTCCCAGCATCGTCCAAGCCTGAACGTGTTGCGGGTCCTTTTGGACCGCCGCCTCGAAGGCCAAGGCAGCCAGAGACAGATTGCCACCTTCCTTCATGATCTTGACCCCCTCCTCGAATGGGTTGTTGACATTCTGGAACACATTGTCTTCCTCGAACAGGTACTCGCCCAACTGCGGATTGCGGAACCGAGTGTTGAGGGCCTCAAAGCCGTCCCAGTCTCCCATATCGCCCATGTGGAGGTTCTCATCGACGTTGAAATCGGTCTCGCCCTCCGCCAATTTCCTAGTGACTGCGGCCTCAGCTTGAACTCTTTGCCACACGTTTTCAAACGCATCAAAATTCTCCGTGATGTCGGTGGGCACTGACCTGTCCAGCTCATTCAGCTCCGCCTCCATGGCTGCGTTAGCCGCATCGTCCAGTTTCTGGGTGTCGGCCGTCTCCATCTCGGCGAACTGCGCCTCCCAGTTCTCGTCGTCGAGCTCAACCATCCGCCCCTTGCCTTTGTCCTGCGCCACCGCCTCGGCCGGTTGCTGCTGCATGGCCATCGGACCGAGACTATTGTGCATCATCCCCATCCCACCCATAGCCCCCATAGCTCCCATACCCATGTACCCCATAGGACGCTGGTAACCAGCCAGCATCGGGGACGGGGCCGAGGCAACCGAGTGGGCCGCTTGCGGCATGCCCGTTCGACTCTGTTGTTGATAGCGGGCGAATTCGGCCGGCGAAAACCCCGCCGGGGCATTCATCATGGGTCCCTGGGAGCCATTGAACGCGGCCTCCATCCGTGCATGCTCGCCGGCATCGAACTCCGCCGCCCAGCCAGGAGATCCTGTCCGCTGGGGCGTGTTCTGGAACTGGTCCAATTCACGTCTCAGTTGTTCCATCGCAAAGGGCTGCGGAGTAGCGCCCGGTAGTTGGCCGGGTTGTTGAGCGAATTCGTCCATCATCTAGACATTTGTGCGGCGAAGAGTTAGTGGACAAGGAAAAACTGGCTGTGGGCGGGCCACTACTCCGCGGGGGGGGGGGGGGGGGGGGGGGGGGGGCGGGGGTGATGGGTACGGTATGTCGTCCATGGATGCCGATGATGGAGAGAGAGACAGAGAGAGAGAGAGAGAGATGTCCGCAAAGGGGGTGAGAGGGGGAGGGACGGTTTATGCTGGACAAAGTGGAAACCTACCTGGTCTTGACCACCCATCATGCCTCTGGACCGCATGCCTTCTTGCATGCCTCCCGGACCTCGCCCGACGAGGCGATCTCGTTGTAAAGACTTGTCATCTTGGACATGCTTTGTGAACTGTGTCAGCGGGTTCCCAGCCGTAGAGCACTCCGCGCCACCGAGGAATGACATAGTGTGAAACTGTATGCAGGATTAACGCTATTCGGAAACCACGTCTGAAGATCAAATGCACGCAAGATCTAAAAAAGGCTCAGTTGTAGAAAGAAAGAGAGATAAGAGGGGAGAGAAGTGTGGAGAAAGAGAAGAAGGAACCGTGAAGTGAGGAGACTCTAAGCGCAAAGACGTGGGGTTCCGGCGCGGCTTCGCAGCCGACCGGCGGAAAAGATACCGAGGCTCCCCGGGAGTCACGTGTTTACAACTCGACGATAACAGAGTGAGAAGTGATCAATGCAGTGAATAGATTGTACGATCATTTTCTTGTAATATACATGAGGATGGATTACTTAAACACACACACATTGAAAAGTTGCTGGACCTCTTACTCCTGGTCAAGAGGCACCTCCGAGTTCTCCGTCTTCTCTCCTTTAGGGTCGTTGATACCCTTGTGCTTGGAGCTGTAGTCGACGCGCAGCTTCCTGCCGTAGGGGTTCTTGTTCATGAGGATTTCCTTAGCCTCGCGCGAGTGCTCCAGATCGACGAAATCAGCGTGAGCGAAGCCGCGGGGCTGACCGGTGCGACGGTCAATGGCCACGCGCACGTCGATCACACCGGGAATATCGCTGAACAGATCATTGAGGTCACGGTCGGTCATCTCGAAGGGCATGTTGCCAATGTAAAGCGACTTGGAGGGGGGCGAGGAAATGGGCCTCCTCATCTTGGTCTGCGCATACATGACGCTGATACGGCGTCCCTCGTAGATACGCATGTGCATCTCTTCGATGGCGCGCTGAGCCGACTCTATCGAATCGAAATCCAAGTAGCCGAATCTATTGCAAGACACGGTTTAGTCAATCCGCGAAGAAGCAAAAGCCCGGAGAATAGGAGGAACTAGCTTACCCCTTGCTGATTCCACGTCCATCCATGATGAGGTTCACCCGTCGCACCTCACCGAACTGGGCAAAGTGGTTCTTGAGGTCCTCAGCCGTAACATCGTAGAAAAGGTTTCCGAGGAAGACAGTGGTCTTCGGCTCCGGCTCGGAGGTGAAAGAGTTACCGTAGCCTCTCCGGGGTTTACGGTCAGACAGTTGGTCAAGGGTCTCCTGGCCCCGCTCGGTGTATCTCCGGGGTCTACGGTCGACGGCTTGGTCCAAGTATTCCTCAGCGGCTTGCTCGGCGACAACATCTTCAGCGGCCTGCGCGGGAGTGTGCTTGACCTCCTCAGCGACTTGCTCGGCAGCCTGCTGGGCAGCGTTCTCCTTTTGCTCGGCGTACTGCGCAACAGCCTCGAGAATGCTCTCGTTGCTGGTCTCCTCCTTGGCCTCGGGAGCTACGGGCTTGTTCTGGGCATCATCGCTGTTCCACCGACTCTGGAGCTGAGATTGGACGGGTCTGTTGGCGAGCGTAAGGCGCAGAGCACTGGACGGACTCGAACGGGGGATGGCGACTCTGCTGGAAGAGAGCAACAGCCGGGAGGCTGCTTGACGGAAACAGTGCCTGAATTGAAAAGAGTCCGGAGTTAAAATGGATGCCTGAGATAGTCGTCCGGAGAAAACTCACATTTTTGTTAATTCGAGATGTCAAAAATGGAAAAAAAAAAAAAAAAAAGAAAAACAAATACTAGGTGTTAAATGAAGTTTTCCGACTAAGAATATGTGGCAAGGAATCGCGTCCCGTTCGGAGACATGAACAAAAACTTTCCTTATCAGCAAAATCACGTGATATGGAAGATAGCAAGCCAACCCCAATTTGTCCGGGGCGGTTTGAGAGATCACACCAGACCAGAGGCTTAATTTACTTACCTTTTCCATAGACTCGCTTAAATAGAGTCCACTACACACTGCACGCGAGAACAACTATGGACAATAGTGAAACTAGTGGACCCAGACACAGAGTGTAGATGATTATTAGTATATGCATGACCCGTTGGAACGCCCCGTTGTGTATTATACATCCAGATCTCAAACTCAATCCTCAGACGGGACCCAACGAAACATGAAGAATTAACGTGACTGAGAGGGTCAACAAAACAAAGCTGGTGAACATAGAGCACTCAGTCGTGTCTTATTCGCCATCCCGGAAAGCTGCGACTTATTCTGCGGAAACCCGAAGTGAACACAAACCCAATCCATATAGACTGAAACTCCCATATTGCCGACCAACTTTTGATTCATTAAAATCAACTAGGTCCTGGAAGCTAGACCTAGATAGCATCTGAGCAATGTCATTGCTTTAGGTTCCAGGCCCGGTACTTGAGTTCTTAAGAGGTGAGGAGTTGACAGAATAGCCTGCCGTGGACATGGCAACATTATTATCATAGCCATTGCCATCTCCGAGGTATACGTTAGTGCTCCGAGGTAAGGAACGCATTCTGTCAGGAACGTTGCTCTGTGATGCTGGCAACTGTGTTGATAAAGGGGCTTGACCCGGTTGTTGCTGTGGCACATCTCCCGCAGGCCACCATTGCGAAGGTATATCCATTGCTGAATTTTGAATATATGTATCCCAAGCGTCCTATCGTCATAGTTAGCCACCTGTCTATTGCCAACGTATCGATGAGTTAGCATACCCAGTCCAGGTTCAATTGCATGTCAGGCACCTGCCCGAACATTGCGCTGAACGGCGATGGTGTCCCTGGAATCTCTGCAGCGTTTGCAAAGCCATTAGGCATCGACAGTTGTTGGTCTGTCATCTTGTAGGTAGAGTCGTTGAGTGTTGACTGACTTGTTGACGGCATGGGGCTCATTCCACTGCTCAGAAGTCCCAGTGTCATCGCGGCGCTCTGTTTCTCATCCTGCGGTTCGAAGGCCGCCGCGGACGCGGCGGAATTTTCGGCAAATCCCAAGTTCAGCTTGGCAAGCATCACTCCCAGAGCACCGGCTGCTTTCCAAGCATCAATAGTCTCATCACGAAGCTCGTCCCAGATCTCTTGGCTCCGTTGCAGCGCGGCCACCATCTCTTCTCGACCTTCCCGGTTATAGGCATAAGAGTCGCTGGAAGTTCGACCAGATGCCTGTAGTTGCTGGCCGTGGTAGAGATCGAGGCAAAAAATGGTTGCTGCGAGCAGATAATCGGAAGAGCCAAGTGAGGTTAGCTTGTTATATCTGCTGCGTAGACGGCCTGTGGGCCGCGTCTCGTCGTGAAGCATTGATTGGTAGCGCAGCAGCTCCATTGCAGAATCAAGGCAGGTTCGTCTAGAGTATGTGAATCGAGGGTTTTCGCGCGCTCGAACAAGGTATTGTCGATGAAGAACGCATTGTGCTTTGTGGTATACACTCACGACCTAGACACTCACTGTCAATACTGCAGTCAACCGGCAAATCGGGACGAACTCACTGCAAAGCGTGACAAGATGAGATTGGGAGAGTCCAATGGACAATCCTCGATAGGGCGAACGAGCAAGTGCTCCGGGATCAGATCTCGAGCTCGGCGAAGCTCCGCATCAAGCTCCATCACTTTGTCATAAGACGATCCATTCGAACAACGTGAAGTTTGCTCGGTGACAAGGCCAAAAATGTATGTCAGCCGTGCTTTTGCAATCAAGAATGATATCGGCGTCGGCTCATTGGCCGGACGCGAAGGTGGAAGTTCCTGACAATTCTCGTCAAAGTCGTCGTCGTACAGATTTCGTGGAAGCTCAGTATCACTGTCAGTAGAGCGGATCATGCTAGGCAATCCAATTTGCGAGGAAAATGATAGATCCGCCTGCCGCACAAAAGTCCACACGCGACGACGCATCTCGCCCTGGAAAGGTGTTATATTTGGAAACATCTTCGAGTCACGGTGATAGCCCATTCTCATGGCTAGTCGCGCAATCACACCAACAAGAACCCACACAGATACATCTGCTTCCCTGGTTTGGCAGAAGTCACCATGAAGATGAAAGATCAAACTCTCGATGACATACGGATATGGCTTGGTATAATCAGCTAAGGTAAGGCACTGAGCCACGAGGTTCCTGAAAGTGCCAGCCATGTCTAGGGACTTGCCCCGGAACTCCGGGGGTTCGTCTCCGTTGCGATGATACGAGAGCATGGCTAATCGCATCATGGCAAAGAGCATACCAATCCAGATAGTACACGTTTGCGACGGATCTTCCCAGTGTTTATTGTACTAAGAAGGATTAGTGATACGGTACTCGTCAAGGATAATTAACAAATGCCACGTACTTGTGCCTGAAAGGTGGGCCCATGAAGAATATCTGCTTTGAGGTGAGTACAGACGCATAGAAGATGCAGAGCGGCTCTGACTTACGCGTCGATGGATCATAGCAGCTGAAGTAGCGCGCGATCAGCATGTCTGTCGTATATTTCGAAGGGAAGGAGGACATTATTTCCGCCCGACTTGCAGGTTTCATAGCCCCAAAGAGCAGAGCGGATCCCTGAACGTCAGTTGGAAGCTGGGTTGTTTTGAGTTTCTCAGTTTGCTCCTCGTATTGTTTCTTGTGCGTGTGGAAATAATTTCGAACTTCCGCGATCTAGAAGCCGGCGTTAATCGCCTACGAAAATACTGAGTCGTGCAGGGCAACTTACATCACTGAGCACAGATGCCCAATGTACCTCACTGATATAATAGGACTTGTTGTTGTCCACTTTCATGATACCAAACGATTTTGTGACTTGTTCGGTATCGCTCTCTTCCGGACCACCAGGAGTTTCAACATCCACGTCGATATCACCCGAGTTCGGGACAGATCCCGTGCTGCTGCTGTTGCCAGAGATCGCAGCGATAGCCGCCGCGGGGCCTGCAGACTGGGATCCATTTGTCATGAGCGATAGCACCAGGCTCTCTAGTCGATCAATCCTATTCTGCATATCGTCCGGAGAGCTCGAAGCCGACGGCTGCGACACGTTCTTCTTCCGCGCATTCGCTTGAGCGTATGAGCACGAAGTCGCATCCCCCCGCTTGATGCAGTTCTCGCAGGGATGAGCACGGTTGCATTTCAGCCTGATGACTCCACTGTTAGCGCAAATGCGAATGCGGCCAGCGAGGCAAGTGCTTACTTCCGATGCCGACATGGCGCACACGAGAGAGGGACTCGGTTTCTTTTCCTAATGACTCTGAATTGTCCCTCTGGAGAAAATGCGCCAGCGCTCGAGGAGGTTGTGGATGGTGGTGTCGGAGACATATTGAACTATACTATATAAAACACTTTGCGGTGAAACAAGCGATTGCGAGATCTACTCGGGTGAATAGTCGGGAGGGTATGATCCGCCCCAGAAATCGCTTGTAGCCGGCCTGAGATGGCGTAGAGCTCAGGCGCAGGAGGATTTAGGGTATCGGAGGGCGATCAAAGGTGTGGGGATGGGATGTTGGCCTTGTAGCCGGCGCAAGCTGTCGACGAATGTGAGGACAATACGACAAGGCTGATAAAATCGGTGCGCAGTCCTCTGGAAGCCCACCAGCGCAGCCAGCACGCGTCCTAATAATCAGAAGCCTTTGTTGCAGAAGGGAGCTCGACCCAGCGATTGATCGCACTAGTTGCGTGGGACGCGATCGAGCAGGCGTTATGGTACGATCGACGGGGGCGCAACAATGGGCGACCGAGGGAAACGGTTGTCGGTCGTCGTTGAACAAGGTTGAAAAGACGCGGGCTAGTATTGACTCGAGCTTGAAGGCGACGACACGGACTCAGGTCGTACACAAGTCGGGAACAAACGAAAAGAAAGTGCCGAACAACAGAACGATGAAGAGGGAGAAAAGAAATCCGATGAGGGGTACGATCGGCGAACTGGCTTCGTGATCGGGCTTGAGAGAAATAGCAGCAAGGAGCCGGTCAAGCCGGGCTTATCAGGCAAGACAAAAACTAGCGATGGAGAAGAGGATGGTGTATGGATTATCGACGCCTGGAAGAGGCACGTAGTTGGGTTGGAATTGAAGTAAGCGAGATTGCGACACTCAAGGTAGTGAGTGAGGCAGTAGTAATTGTAGGTTATTATCTCCGTTATCACCTCCTCCAACTTCCGAAGGCGGTCGGTCAGTAGGCACACAGCTGACGTAATGACAGGGAGAGCCACAGGCAACAGTTCAAGTTTACGAATTCAAAAGGGCATCAGGAAAATGAACAGGGTGGGTGCACTGTAGGTTGGCTGGCAGAGATGGCAGAAAATGGTACTGCGTATCAAGAGTCAATGCGCTTATGGGAGGGGAAAAAGCCAGTGAAGTACGGAGTAGAGCTAGAATGCAACCGCCCGTCTTACGGAAACCCCGACACCCTGATTTAGGTAGACTTGCTGCACGGTTTGACTCACTCAGCTGCTTCTACTCCGTCCCTAGATAAGACATATTAAATTAGGAGAACAATTTCATCTTAAGAATATCTACTTACTCATGAAACAGCCAAGACTTACACCTACGTGCTGAGGAGACCCAATGCAAGCACACATGCTTCGGAATTATTCTTCGTATTCGTAAGCTCATGTCCCATGGCCAACGTCACAACCGCATGCAGCTTACTATCAGCAGAAAATAACATCACATAATGCAAGGAACCGCTGTAGAGAATACAGGACAGGAATGTAGCTTGCAAGAATACATCGCTAATGAATATAAGAGTCTCTGCCATCGATGCCTACGGACTTCCCATCGTTTGACTTTTTCAAAGTATGTATGTTGGCCCCTAGGTTATTGTCAATCCGCCGTATAATCCTCGAGGTATACTCGACGTTCAGCGAGATTTTTCTTTGAAATGGGTAAATGCATGCACTGGGCAGCGAAGCACTACAGGTTACACCGCAGTCATGCAATGCAGCGCGATCAATTCTCAGAACCGAAATTCCAACTCGGCTGATTGTGGTTCCTGAGGCTGCGACGCTGGGGCGGTGCCATTCTCGTGGGTTCCGGTGACTGGTCATAGGTATCCCAGGAGGGCTCCAGCGCCTTCACAGCTTTCTGGCGGTCTCCGGGCATAGGCCTTCTATTCTCTGCATTGCGCTTGCTGTCCCGGGGCGACTCGTCGGCCATATCCCAGTGGGTCTCAAGCTCCTTCTTACGGTTGGCGCCATTGTTGTTGACTTTCGAGAGAGGTGGGTTGGCGCCTTGAGAGGATCCGTCATCCTCCTTGTTGTCGAAGAGGTGGTTCTTGTAGAGGCCCAAGCCTTTGTTCTGGAACGAGCTGATAATGCGCCCGCCTGCTTCACCTTCCGGCTCGTCAGTCAACGAGAAGTGTGTTTTAGCATCAGGACGAGGCTGCGCGACCCGCGGACGAGCTGGAGGGGACGTGAGGTCCGGCTCATCGTCGCTCCATCCAAAGTGACGAATCTCCTCTCCACGAGGCTGGCGTGTGGGTTTCTCAGGAGTCACAAAGTCTTCAAAATCCCAGTGAGGGGCCTGTCGCGACACAGGGCGCAAGGGCTTGTCCTTGACCTCCCGGGTGCTGTTGTCCGCGCCAAGCTCGAAGTGTTCGTAACGCTTGGGGTGAGCCCTGTAGGCAATCTGCTGGAGGCCGCCTTCTTTCGCGACAGTCTCATCGTCATCGAAAATGCGATTGGGGTGTAGGTTCTTAGGTGCGCCAGCCTTAGGGGGGATTCGCTTTCTGGAGGGGGACATATCGGGAGTATCGTCATCGGCGAGACCTTCGGTACTTAGGAAAAGCTCGCCGTACTCGCGTGCTGGAGGTTTGGCGGATGCAGGAGCTCGTGGGGCGCGCACGGGCTCACCTCGTTCCTTGCTTGGTGATAGAAGTTCAAAAAGGGAGTCAGCGGCATGAGGATCCTTGATGTACTTTTTTCCCGGAGAGGCGACCGTGCGCCCCGAAGCACCTTCTTTCTCCTCTGCGTACGCAGGCGGAGCGGGCGCAGAAGCAGACCCCGGCCCGTTATCCGGGGCGCTCGAAGAGATAGCGGATTTGAGAAGGCGGAATTGGTCTTTGGCGTCGCGAATAGGCCAGCCACGAGCACGAGAACCGATTACGTCGACTTGTTTCAGTAACGACGCCTGGTCCCAGTAGATGCGGACATTCTGGATTTGCTGTTGGGCATTGAAGCGAACGATATGAACCTAAATACCATCAAGCAGATGTTTAGCTCGATTCAATAGTGTGAGAAGCCAAATTGCATGGGGCGCAAGATTACCGTGGGAAAGGTAGCGACGTGATCGGCCAGGAAGTTGTCGTCCAGCTGGGGAAGATAGGCCCCGCCGCCAGACACAAACTCCAGCGTGGTTTCAATATCCAAACATAAAGAGTTGGTGTTTTCGAAAGCGTCCAAGATATTCTCCGACTTAGTCTTGACAATGCGCTGCTGTTTGGTGAAATGACTGAGAATGGCAGCATCGCCGTCTACCTTGGTAGTGGTGGTAATGTAGATCAGGGAGGCATCGGTGGCCAAGGGAACCGACTTGGGGTTGGTCAGGAACCGGCTGTACACGTCTTTCAAAGACATGATTTCTGCAGTCGGAAACGAACGTAAAGGGGTGGGGAGTACAATGCAGGATGCTGTGAGTGAAGAGAAAGTGGAAATGAGAGGGAAAGAAGAGATGTCAAGATATGTGGGGAGAGAGAGAGAGAGAGTCAGTCGGAGGAGCAGCGAGATTGTTGTTGCTGAGGGACGGACGACAGCACATGGCGGACCGCGCGAACCACAGCCGGACGAGGACGGGAAGGCGCAGCCATTCATTTCCCCCACCGAGTCCTGTGTTTCATACTTATGTACTGTATGCACATTCCAAACTTTAACGAAGCATCTGCTTGACCACGCATCACCCAATGGAAAGTTTCTACAGATACTACAGAGTACAAGCAAGATCTTCTCCGACTGCGCTGAGGAGGAAGGCTTTAGTTGAAGTGGGTTCGATCCTCCATTCAGCGCACTGTGAAGTTCCACTTCCTGCACGGACCTGGTAGCCACTACAGCCGCTGCTGCTGGCAGGACAGCCCCGGAGGAACCCTGATGGGCTTTCATAAAGGCTGTGCTAGTCTTCTTCGAGTTGCCCAGATATCCTTAATCGACAATGGGACCTTCCATCCACAGCTCTCCTATCTCTCCCACTGGCATCAAATCGGTTACATCCGCTTTCACAACCCAGGTACAAGCACCAGGATCTATGCCGATAGTTGAGTCGTTTGCGTTGTTCGGGCGGGTGACAATGGCCATGCTAATGGTAGAACATTCGGCAGGACTGTAGGCTTTGATGACTGTTGAGCGTGTGGAAAACTCCTTCATCAGGGCGGCTTTCAGAGGCTCTCCACCAAAGTGAAACGTTCGGAGACTGTCCGGCAGCTCTACGGCGCTGAACCATGCCACCGAGAGAATCAAGACGGCATAGTTGACTTGATATTTGCGGAGCGCTGCAGCCCCGTCCGCCTCTTGTTCGCCTTCGGATGGCACGCACAGGCAGCTTCCAATCATCATAGCGTAGATCATCTTACACCAGGCTGCATCGAAAGCGTACGATGCAAAGTCAAATATACGGTCGGTTTCTCGTTTATTGAAGCCTCTTTTGCTAGTGAGCCACCGCACTGGCATATTTGGCATGGCTTATAATGGCGCCCTTCGGGGTACCGGTGCTCCCGGAAGTGAAAACGATATACAGCCATGCTAACGGGCTGACAGTAGGGATGGAATCTGGCTGGTTGTGAGGCAAATATTGGCTCGAGCTCTCGTGCAAAATGAATTGAGCGCAGCCCAAGACCGACGCGTTGGCCTTGTCTTCGCACGTGCTGGAAAGGGAGGGGGCATCGAGCACTGTCGAAGCGCATCCGCTTTCCATGACCGCCAGCGGGGATCCGGGGACCCATCAGGACTTTTCCATGAGTACAATGTTGAGGCTGTTGGGCTGGACGCCGTCTTGAGTGAACCGCTGGGCGAGACGGGCGAAAAAAGTCGCCCAATTCTCGATAAGTCAAGTTGCCATCATAGGCTGAGGCAGCCATGAGGCTAGGATGCTGCCGTGCTCGTTTCATAAAAGCACCATAAATGCAGGTCTCAACGCTCGGGGTAGATGTGCGATTCATGTCCATATCTGCTTGAAGTCTTGGATGGAGATAAGCTCGAGGTCCACTAGGGGCCTTCCGGTGCTTCCTGGTAAGCAGGCTTCGCGGAGATGGGCTCGTATCCTCTCATGAGCTGAACGAAAAAGGCTTCATCTGCAGGGCTGTGGTGACCAAAGGTGTTGATACGAACCATCTTATTCACTTTCAAGAGACACTAAAGCAAAATACTCCCTGTGAGAGGTTGCTCTCGACCGATGGAGATCAGAGAAGCCATTTCAAGTTCGTTCTCTTTGTTGACTGTCTTTAGGACACAACTCGCAAGCCTAGTTTAAGCTTCATCAACCCACCCCCCAGATAAGAGCTTTGTTAGCAAGGCAGATAAATAGAAGCATTGTAAAGGGCTTCACCATGTAATCCTCCGCCACATCGTTCGCAATTGAGGGCGACAGCTGCGCGAGCAGGACGAGCGGGATGAGGCGTTGTAGCGGGGATGATGCGGGAGCCGGGAAGGTGGACGGAGTACAGTAGACGAGCGGGTCCAATGGGCGGGGTCGCTGGGGGGGGACAGGGTGGGGCGGACGGAGGGGAGCGCCTGGCGCTTGCGGAGCCGTAGTACAGTATCCATGGCAGTCAGTGCCGCTGTTACAGTATGAAAGGCGATTTTCTAGTGAGGTGGTTTGGACCGGGGATATAATATCTATAATTTTAAGCAATTCAGAGCAGCGATGACTCAAGTACTTTCAGCAGCAGAGAGTTGTTAACGCAACGAGGAGGGCAAATCTGGATGTGACAGGTTGTTGTTGCCGGGCATTTGACCGAAGGGGTGGTGGGAGTAACAAGTTAAGGCTAAGCTTCAGGCTCTAAATGCTCGCGTCAGCACTACTCCCTAGGTCAACATGTGAGGCATTTTCGTTTAAGCCCCCAAGGTAGTAGCATGGAAATTCATAAAGGCATTGTTGGAGTCATTTTCTAGCTTTACTGGAAGACAAACACTTAGCCACCATGTCCACCAGCGCAACCACCACCACCACCACCACCATCAAACCCGCCTGGTACCAACCCAGCGTCACCACCATCGACCCCGCCGCGCAGTCCCTACTGGAGGAGTACAGCGGGCTCGCCCCTGAAGAGGTCCTTCCCCATGTCTTAGCCCTGGTATGTACTAGCACCCCCGCTCCTCCTCCTTCTCTCACAGACCATCCACTAAAACAAACCGCCAGAGAGACGAAGCCTTCGACATCTTCCCCTACCCATGCATCGGCCAGATGCGGTTCCTGAGCTGGCACCTCGGGCGCCTCCCGTTCTACGAGAAAGTGCTCGCCCATCTCCGCGCGTCGCCGGCCAACGGCTTCCTTGATGCGGGGTGCTGCGTCGGCCAGGAGATGCGGCATCTGGTGCACCGCGCCTCCATCCCGGCGGCGCAGCTGTACGGCTTCGACTTAGAACCGGGGTTCTTCGAGCTGGGCTATAAGCTCTTTCGGGACAATGCGGAGACGTTCCCGGCGACGTTCGTGAGCGGGGACCTGGGCGTGGAGGACGAGGACTGGGCGAGAGGACAAATCGTGGCCGCGGTGCGGGGCAAGGTTGACGTCGTCTGGGCCGGCTCGCTGCTGCATTTCTGGGACTACGAGGGCCAGGTTCGCGGCGTGCAGCGCTTGATCGGACTGACCAGAGACAAACCGGGGACCGTGGTCTGCGGGCGGCAGATGGGGAGTACGGTCGCGGGCATGTACGAGCTGACTGGCTTGATGGATCGCACGATGCACTACCGGCATGATGTGGGCAGCTTACAGGACTTGTGGCGCGAGGTCGAAGCAAGAACAGGGTCGAAATGGGAGGTACAGGCTGGGTTGGAGGTCGGGGAGACGACGGTCAAGATGCGCAATATGAGCTTTGTGGATGATAATGCGAGGGTGATTTGGTGGTGTGCGACGAGGGTGCAGTGAGTCGTGCTCAGAGAAAGGATATGAGAGAGATATGAGTATGGACAGGTGTCAAAGTCTCCGTCTGCATGATGCCTGTGTAGGAACTTCCCGCTCTTTTAGGGTTTCAGCATTGAGAAGCATTTCGATCTGTGTGTGATCCAGCGACGCCTGACCTTGCAGCTGCTTCTTCAATTCGTTCTGGAAGATGGCGTCTCCTATGCTTTGCATTACCGCGCTACCAAGTCATTGTGTGAAAAGAACAGTAGTTATCCCGACCGGGACCTATTGAGGTCTGTCCTTCAATGCAGATTGAACTGTAAGTAAAGGCATCTGAGCCGCGAATCTACATCCCAGGCCTTTAAAAAATCTTATAACCGACCCACGATGCAGACGTTGATGATACAGTGAAACTTGGGTAGATCTCGTTCGCAATGCAGAGAAAGGCAGAGTCGATGGAGAACCACGGATTATGGTACTTGACCTGTTTGGCTAACTCAATCCAGCGTCAGTGGGAATCTTCGTAACAATGGAGGGTATAAATCGAGCGCATCCGGCCAAATCAAGTGGTTTTCGAAGGGACCCGTGATGGATCCCCGAGTTTCGAGGCGGATGGAAGAACAGAGGCAATGACACCACAGCCACTGCTCCCGCTGGCAGTTCATTAGAAAAGGCACCATCTTCAAGTATATTCAGCCAGGGCACCTCCAATAGTTAGGGTGACAACAGTCCCAAGGGCACAAAGAGAGCTTGCCAGCCCAGTGAACAGTGGACGCTGCTGAGAGGTCGTTATCAATGCAATAACTGACAGACAACCGGATACCACCCCGAGCCTCCAGCACCAGCAACAGCTCTACTAAGTATGAACAATTTCGAACTGTTCGCCAGGCCTCCAATCAGAGATCCCAGAAGAAAACATATCGTAAAACACGAGGTACGTCCACCGCAGTGACAATAAATGAAGAGAGCTTGCCACCGATAGGCTGAAGGGTGCACATCGTGAGCGGTTATGTAGCTGCCCATACCAGCCGATATCAGCCGTGGCATGAAACTGAGTCGATATTGAAGGAATGGCCTTCAAGAGGTGTCTTTTAGTCCCACAGAAGATTGAACAACAGAAGCAAGAACATTTCACTGAACTCACAGTGAGGTATCGTGCCCAGCCATCTAGTGCTTTGAAGGTGTCAGTGTAGTCAGTCATAGCCCAGCTCTCTCCGTCCATCATGAAACCTTTCCCCATCCACATGAATGACATCCTCGAGAACCTGGCGTCCAGAAGGAAGGGTATCTTCATGAGGAGTGTCCAATGTGACACAGACGCGGCCATGTGCTGCGATGACGAGAGACTGTAGGTTCCCGGCTAGCAGTGGTGTGGCAGCTGAACGTGGCAGAAATCGGGACGACTGTTAGTGTTTTGTTCTCGTTGGGGATTCTCGGATGGGGAGATGAACTACTAGTAAGGAGATATTCGAGAATCTAGCTACTTATCTGGCAATCTGTATGGTTATATTCTTGATTATGTACCTCAGCACGTTCTGATTTCGAGAATCTGCACTTGACATCCCACTGTTCATCTGAAAACTGGAAAGGTCTCTGCTAAAGAAGACGCCATGCACCCACCTTGCCCTGCAATCCGCCATCTCTCGCATTCCTTGCAATCCAAAGCTGGCGTTTCCCAACCGGTAAGTGATCCAGAGCCTGCGTGATCCTCACGGTACTTTCTTCCGGCGCAGTATAAATGGTCTTGCCGGAAATATGATCCATTCTCATCCCCCTTCAGGAAAATACTTCTGCATCTCCCGCATCGCAGCTATAGGCTGGCGCAGCTTGCTGCTATCATGGTATAGGCATAGCGTACGGGATTCGTCACTGGAGTGAGGACTGGGAAACAGCTCGCGATCTTCTCAACTTAACGAATGGTACCTACAGCCTAGACTATAAGAATCAATCTTCATTGTCTGATGCGGCTGCAGATAATATGCCTGCGGATAAGACAGTGTCAGTAAAGAAGAGTATGCAACAGTGACAATAAGTTCATGAAGTGTGTGGTTCCTACGGCTGAGACAATATGGTCAAGTGGGAGGAGGCACCCACCCGGTCAGCAACGATCCTTGTTAGGGCATACAACAGAGGTGCGTGCTCCGTTAAAGAAATGTGAGTGTCCCAAAGTACACACAGATCGCTCGGGTGCTGGCCATGGGAGGCGCACAGAACAGTTCAGTTTAGAATACTGCAGTGTGTACTTCGTAGTAGGTAGCATGTACGATCTTTTAAATGATACTTCCTTTTGGACCATACTTTATCTTCGGTCTATGACCACAGCCACTCCTCGGCTAAATAGTCGGGCAATGATGCTCCGGGCACATGTGCCAGTTCGACCTCTCTACTCATGCACTACCCACTGCAATCGAAACGATAAACCCAAGGATAATGCACAAAAATTCATCTTATCTATTCATTTCTATCCAAACACGCCTCCCTGGTCTTCTTTCGACTGTACAAAAACAAGTCAACAACGCCTTTTCTTTTATAAAAATTACGTAGCCGTCACGGCTCCGAGCAGCCACCCATCCGCTCCCGTTGTTCTTTGTCTTATCTTGCGTTTGTCTTGCCATACTGACAAGAGCCATTTAAGAGACTGATGCCCCAGCGCCCAGGCAGCCCTGTTCGCCTGCGCGGGCTTTTTGCTTGGAGAAGCAGGACACCATCCTCCCAAATGATATCCCACTGGACGGGGCCCGTTCAATGCGCCTCTGTCAAGCCTTAGCAAGTGCACACCATCCCAGACCTGAGTTGAAAGAACGATTCTTCGTTTGACTCCATATAGTGGCGCAGATTGGCGGGACAACAGGCTAAAGGTGATGAGGCTTCCTTTGCAGTGGCGTGTTATCTCGGCTAAAGGAAGTGGGAAGAGGAAATTGCTCATCCCAAAAAATTACAAGGGTCTGGCAGAAAGGTCACGCGCGTCAGTAAACGGGTCATGCGCAATTTCAGAAGCACAACACTCACCCCAAAAAGTCCTCTTTAATTGTACCAATGGCGTTGATCGCCGCCACGTCGGGCTTCACACCCAGAATCTTGAGCCGCAGGCTCGTTCCCTTCTCAATGACCTGGTCTGCATGATCCGTGTACTGAGGCGGTACCGTGTTGGGCTCCCATTTGATATCCGAGGGGATGTTCTTTATCCAGTTCGTTAGCGCTCAGCTTTCTTACGTCGCATTTCCCCCACGTCCCAGCTGTGGTGTGTATGTACCTTACGCGCGATGAACACGGACAGCGGGCCCGCCAAGGTGAAAATCCCGGTAGGCTTGACGGATGTGACAATCGCATCGACCTGCAAGTTAGCGCCATGGTTAGCATCCAAAAATAGATCTGTGCAAACGAATTCTGCGCAGCGTACAGTCTCGCCTCGGAAGGGCTTCCATATGATCGCACGGTACTTGATCGTGTACTCTGCCTGTCCACTACCGGGCAGCACGCGCCCCTCGCCGATGTCGACCATGTCCATTACGCAGATGACAAAGTGATCGCCCGTACACCGGCCTTCTTCCTCCTCATTTAACCGGGTGATCAGGTATTCCCGCATGTTGGGGCCGAAGAAGGACGGGTGCAAGGTGATGACCTTGATTTCCTCCTTGAGGAAGAACATCTTGATTGGGTTGGATTCTGCTGTCTTCCCAACGAGAGCGCGCGGTGGCCGGAAGTCGTGATGTCGATCGACGTGAAGGACTAGCTATGGGTTGCGGATAGATCTTATCCGGCGCAACTGCGAGCGTTGGAGTCACGTAGGTCGTGTAGATGAGACTGAGATGCTTCGCAGGGGAGTCGTGAAGCGAGCGTGATCGTGATGCTGAATTCGTACCGAGCAAATGCAATTGAAGCTCAATGTGGGGGGATATCAACAACTCGTGAGGGTCGCGTACAGCGCGGTACAAATCGCAAGATCACAAAGAACAATGCAGCAAGGGAATCAGAACGACAAGTGACCCCAGTCTGAAAGAAAAGACAGCCCACGGGAACGTTGAGCGCAAACCGGAATGATTTGACGTCGTCGTCAATTGAGCGACAATCACTGTCTGGATCCGCGGGCAGCTCGATTGAGTCACATGACATGCGTGGGTGGAGGGTCTGCCCGGTTACCGTACGGATACACCATATATACTCCTGGGGTGCTCGATTAGTGGGTAATTTACTCCGGTGTTGACGGAATTTCGGTACTTTGGAGGTACGATCATAAGACGAGGCCGAAGGGTAAGTTCAACAAGATCCTCGGCCCTTCTGAACTCCTCTCTGTACAACGAATGACGTTTGCACAAGCAATAAACGGTGCCGCATAAAATGTCTTATCCTTCCACCTGATCAGGCAACACATTATTGTGGGGAAGCAAATAGTAGCAGTCTTTGTTCAGTCTGGATATCGATCTTCTTCATTCCTCGCCCTCACCTTGACTGACAATACTGTGTACTTCTGCGTCTCTGGTGTGTCCACCATGGCTCTGAACCTTGAAAAGCAGCTGCTCTTTGTGAGGCCCTTCTTCCGGCACCCGCCGCCCTTTTGAGAAGAGAGAACTCGGTCGCTAACCCACGCAAACAAACTTCCAGTATGGCGCTTATCACAACAATCCTGTACGTCCACTTTTCTTTCCTATACCGTCGCGAAACTTATTTTCTTGGTTGTCAGGTAAACGTTGCGATCCACCTAACATGCGTGCCGATACTTCTGTTTACGGGCATTGCCCTGGTATGACTCTCATTCCCGAGCAAGCCAGCAATATATATTTCCTGACACCATGCTATTCGCCAGGCGTCCAACACGCCAACGCTCATTGCCACGCCTGCGGCTTTGCAGATTGAGAACCTCCCGCTCAACCTTGGAACAATTGCGGCAATCGTATACTCGACCTTCTATATCCTTTTGGAGCCTGTAGCCGGTGCTTTAGTGACGCCGCTGATCCTCGGAGGTGCAGCCGGCGCAAATCACCTTCTGGGTACCTACGGCGCGAGCGCGAACTACTGGTTTGCTGGAATCCACGTGGTTTCCTGGCTGGCGCAATTTGTCGGCCATGGTGCCTTCGAGAAACGGGCCCCGGCGCTGCTGGATAACCTTGTGCAGGCGCTGCTGCTCGCTCCGCTGTTTGTTTGGATGGAGATTCTCTTCTCTTGCGGGTATCGTCCAGAACTGAACAAGAGGTATCATGAGAGTGTGAACAAGGAAATCGCCGCGTTCAAGGCCCAGAAGAATCAGGCGAAGAAATGATCGGGGCGCGACTTAATGCTCCTTCACCGATTGGCGTTGGAGTTCGGTAGTAATCAGCTTTTAGAGCGACGATGGCGCTTGCGCTTTAGGATCAGCAACTTGTCTACAAGGAGGTAAGAGGTTTCGGGAGCAGAAAGGCGGAATTTGGAGAATGCATCGTTGTTTTCAGAGCGTGAACTGGTTTAGTGGTTGGGATTGCGTTGCAGATATTCTCCAGTTAATACTCATATTATACTATGGATCTCGTCTGGACTTGTCGCTTCCAAGTGCTCCGTAGGAACTCTGTCCTAAAGTGGAGCATGATGTAAGTTACTGCAATCGGAAGGGGATTGGAGGAAATGACAGGGTAGAAGCGGCAATGGTCGGGTGGGCATCCAAGGAACGTTGAGCGACTCCAGTCAAGTCAAGGGTACAAAGAAAGGCGCGGAAGCCATGATGGAGCACGAAGAAAGTCGGTGCAGAGTAGAAAAGAGTGAAAAAGTAGGTGTGAAATGCGACATCTCATCCGGACGTCCGTGACCGCCTGGGACAGTGTATGGAGACGGCCGGGGATGGGGGAAAGAATTCCCACCGGGACAACCGGTCAAACAAAAGCAAGGCAAGAAGATTTATTTGGTTTGCTGGCAGCGGCAGCAACACTGGCTGGCATTCAGTAGTTACGACTACTCGGTAGGTGCTCCGTACGTACACTGGTACAGTACCAGCAAGGCCCTGCTGCAGTGCGGGCTGCGACGAAAATACAACTGACTAAGCCAACCAACCAGCAGTAACTTAGTTATCCGCAGATCCGAGAGCAACACAGAGAAATTGAAATACCGTGGAAATGAAAATTGGAAACGGACAGGTGGCCCGGGTGAGCCTAGCAACCAAGCAACCAGCCACGGCTGGCTGAGTATGTTTCGACCATGATTTTTTTTTGAGAGAGATGTATGTAAAAAGTAGTCTTACAGAAACCACAATTACTTAGACAAAACCAAAAACAAAAAATAATTGTAACCTCCAAATCAGATAGTAGATCGTTCATACCATAAATACATCCAACCCGGCGTTTTCGTTTTCTTGGGGACGGGTGGGTTGTCCCGTGAGCGCACTAGGGCGGCTTCGGAGGTTGCTGAGGCTCGGCAAACTAGGATTAGTGCCAGTTCTGAGAATCCCTCCCAACCCCGACGACAAAGCTCTCCTCTCCTCCATCCACAATCCTTTCTCCTCTTCTTCCCTTCCCCCCCCCTCCCCCCAATTACATCTCTCCTTCAGAGAAATCATCCTCCCACACCTCTGAACCCTTTTCACAATGTTCAGGAACGCTTTGCGGCAGTCTAGCCGCACCGTTGCGGCTGCCTCTGCCACTGGCAGAATCGCTTCCGTGAGTCCTATCCCTTGTCATCTCGACTTCGTCCATTCAATTCGACCTACTATATCGGGGAAGTCATCTCAATGACACTTTCAATCGCCTCTCTACCCATCGCAATACATCTCATCAGCTTTTGACGCGTTTTGACTACGTGGTTGTGGTGTTGACAAATTTTGCCTACGTCTTCCAGGTTCGCGCCGCTGTTCCCGGTCCCATCTCTGGTGCCTCCAAGCAGATCCGCTCCTACGCTGCTGAGGCCAAGGCCTCTCCCACTGAGGTCTCTTCCATCCTTGAGCAGAGAATTCGTGGTGTTCAGGAGGAGGCTGGTCTTGCCGAGACTGGACGTGTCCTTTCCGTCGGGTACGTGACGAAATCCCTGCCGTGAAAATTTTGGACGCGCCTTCCACATCATCAAATCCATCGAAGAAACATCCAAAAATCATCGAGAATTCGGCCGTCAACGCTTCTATCATGGAAAGATCATCGAACTAACATGAATACGACAATAGTGACGGTATTGCCCGTGTCCATGGCATGACTAACGTCCAGGCTGAGGAGCTGGTCGAGTACGTACCCACTCAATCCACGACTAATTGATATTTGAGATCACTAACAGTCTCCCAGGTTCGCCTCTGGTGTCAAGGGTATGTGCATGAACCTCGAAGCCGGCCAGGTCGGTGTTGTGCTTTTCGGTTCCGACCGTCTCGTCAGGGAGGGTGAGACTGTCAAGCGTACCGGAGAGATTGTATGTTGCCATTGTACCCCGACTTCAAGCCATTCGACCTCGAGCTTAGAACTAATCCTGTCCACAGGTTGATGTTCCCGTTGGTCCTGAGATGCTCGGCCGTGTCGTCGACGCTCTCGGTAACCCCATCGATGGCAAGGGTCCCATCAACACCAAGGCCAAGAGCCGTGCTCAGCTTAAGGCCCCTGGTATTCTGCCCCGTCACTCCGTCAACCAGCCCGTCCAGACTGGTCTTAAGTGTGTCGACTCCATGGTCCCCATCGGCCGTGGTCAGCGTGAGTTGATCATCGGTGACCGTCAGACCGGTAAGACCGCTGTCGCTCTCGATGCCATCCTCAACCAGAAGCGTTGGAACAACACCTCCAGCGATGAGAGCAAGAAGCTGTACTGTATCTACGTTGCCGTCGGTCAGAAGCGTTCCACCGTCGCTCAGCTCGTCAAGACCCTTGAGGAGAACGACTCCATGAAGTACTCCATCATCGTCGCTGCCACTGCCTCCGAGGCTGCTCCCCTCCAGTACCTCGCTCCCTTCACTGGTTGCGCCATGGGTGAGTGGTTCCGTGACAACGGCCGCCACGCCGTCATCATCTACGACGATCTCTCCAAGCAGGCCGTCGCCTACCGTCAGATGTCCCTCCTGCTCCGTCGTCCCCCTGGTCGTGAGGCCTACCCCGGTGACGTTTTCTACCTCCACTCTCGTCTCCTCGAGCGTGCTGCCAAGATGAACGACAAGCACGGTGGTGGTTCCCTCACTGCCCTCCCCGTCATTGAGACCCAGGGTGGTGATGTGTCTGCCTACATTCCCACCAACGTCATTTCCATCACTGACGGCCAGATCTTCTTGGAGGCTGAGCTGTTCTACAAGGGTATCCGCCCTGCCATTAACGTCGGTCTGTCCGTCTCCCGTGTCGGTTCCGCTGCCCAGGTCAAGGCCATGAAGCAGGTCGCCGGTTCCCTGAAGCTGTTCTTGGCTCAGTACCGTGAGGTTGCTGCCTTCGCCCAGTTCGGTTCCGATCTCGATGCCTCCACCAAGCAGACCCTCAACCGTGGTGAGCGTCTCACCGAGCTTCTTAAGCAGAAGCAGTACTCCCCCATGTCCGTTCCCGACATGGTTCCCCTGATCTTCGCTGGTGTCAACGGTTACCTTGACTCCATCCCCGTCGCCAAGATCCTCACCTGGGAGTCCGACTTCCTTGCTCACCTCAAGAGCAACCACCCCGAGATCCAGGAGACCATCGAGAAGGAGGGCCAGGTCAGCAAGGACCTCGAGGCTCAGCTCCGTGAGGTCATTGTCAACTTCAACAAGTCCTTCAACGCATAGGTGAGCAATTGGCCTCTGGGTGATTAGTCCACCGTGTACTGTTTTTATCCTGACTCTATCTGTATAGACAAGATAGCTTGTACAATTTGAGACCACTGTTTTGTTTTGCTGTTAAAACCCGGAGCTTCGGATCGGCCGAGCACTTGGCTGGATGTAACTGCATCTCCCCTGATGGCTTTTTACCCATCTGATCTTCTGTAGCTACAACGCAAGGTAAAACGGTGGGACGAAGGCAAAAAGATACGATTAATATCCTGTACGTTTAGATCTTTTCGCGCGACAAATGAATGAGGTAGTGGGAAAAGAATCACCGGGCACGGATCCGGAATGGTCCAGCTGGTCTTCGCCCATGATCCCACCATTGTCTACATATATGCAGCCTAAATATGATTTCCTTTGTTCATTAACAGGGGTTTGCCTGTGATCTCTGGTGGGGACTGTAGTTGGAGCCCCGAAACTCCGATCTTGTCACTAATCCGGGGTAACCAGGGGACGCACATAGAGGCGAGATCGAATTCGACATGATGATATATGGGGTGGCCGCATGGGAGAAAAGGGCCGGGCACGCCAATGCTGTGTATTGCCCCGGTTTCTTACTTAGCATGTCCGCGTAGTATTTTATGTGGTAAGAGTTCGGGACTAGATTTTCTCCACCAAGTTAGCTCAAGTGTCTGCACTAAATCATCATTGCTGAGGCTAATTGCAAGTCGATAGAATAGTGCACTGACTGGTCCTGCCCGCGACTGGCGCCGATGAGCGGCCGAATGCGGGCATGCTTTTTTATCGATAAGCGAGCGGTTTTGCCGTCCCAAATTTTCTTCCATACCCCTCCAACCATAGCCCACTCCAACCTTTAAAGCTATCAGTTTGTTTGATTGTTTAGACGATTTCTCTACCGTCGCACCGATGGCTTCTGCTACAGACTCGGCTCCGTCTTCCTGCAAGGTCATGCTTTCCAAGCATGTTGCCAATAACCTGCTTGAGGAAGTTCAGGAGGGCGTGAAGATGCTGGAGAAGCCGCCTCACCTGGTCGGATTCCTCGCGAACAACGACCCGGCGGCTCTGATGTATGCCCAGATGACGGAGAAGACTTGCACGGAAAAGTGAGCATTCTTTCCCACTTCCTCTTCATTGGTATCATACCTCTGTGTGTGCCTCTGTTTCTCTCCGGCGCATCACCAATGACTCCCCACCTGCGATTTCGGAGGCCGAAGCGGCAGTAACAATCCGGGTTCCCTATGAGTCACGTCGTAGCTAACGTAGTCTTTTTGTCTCTATTGTATAGTGGCTTCCGTTACTCCCTCCGTGAAGTTGCCCGGGACGATCTCGAGCAGGCCATCCTCAATGCCAACGTCGATCCGGACGTCGACGGCATCATCGTATATTACCCCATCTTCAACAACCGCCAGGATCAGTACCTGCAGCAGATTGTCGACGTATCCAAAGATGTAGAGGGTCTCACCCACCGGTACATCTTCAACATGTACCAGAACATCCGTTTCCTGGACCCAGAAACGAAGCGTCAGAAGTGCATCCTCCCCTGCACTCCCTTGGCCATCATCAAGATTCTCGAGTACCTGAACATTTACAACACGATATTGCCTTACGGCAACCGCCTCTTCGGCCACACTGTCTGCGTGGTGAACCGCAGCGAGGTTGTGGGACGCCCGCTTGCCGCTCTGTTGGCCAACGACGGTGCTTGCGTTTACAGTGTCGACGTCAACGGCATCCAAAAGTTCACCCGTGGGGAGGGTCTGAAGAAGGGCAGACACGAGGTTGTGGAACTCGAGGGAAAGACCCTGAAGGATGTCGTTCCCCTCTGTGACGTGGTTATCTCCGGTGTCCCTGGTGAGAAGTACAAGTTCGACACCAGCCTTCTCAGAGAGGGAGCTGTGTGCCTCAACTTCTCCAGCGAGAAGGTATGTTCCGTGGGAGCTACTTTGCATGCGAAGATATATCTGACATTCGTTTGCGCACAGAATTTCGGACCCGAGGTGAAGGAGAAGGCCTCCATCTTTGTTCCCTCCACTGGAAAGGTGACGATCGTTGTCTTGCTCAGAAACTTGTTGGTAAGTAGGACATCCGTCTATCTTCGACGGCTTGATGAAGAAACCTGCCAACTAACTATCACACACAGAGACTCATCCAGAACAAGAGATTGGATGATGTCAAACCCGCCCAGGCCACTGAGCGTCCGGGCACTCTGGAAGCTGCCTCGTGAAGCCCTCACTGGCGAGACCACTTTTCTTATGTCTAAAAATCTAGCACGGAAAGACGATATAGCGAAGTTAGCCATAGATATTCTACACTTTTCCTTCGGTTCCTGGGCTCGACGAATTTTCATGTAAACCATGCTGTGAATACGACTATGCTCTGACTGATTATCAAGCATTTGTGGAATAAAAAGTTTTGACAAACCTTAGCGCTCCGAAGATTGTACTTTGAATGCACGCCAAGGGAGAGTGATCTGGAGCCTTGGCCACAGCCAAGCTCTAGTTGAGGAATTCCATTCGAGACAGCAGGTGACATCTACCCAGATATGATCCGGGACTTTTACGCTATCTTGACATGCAATGGACCTCTGAAAAAAAAAAAGCTCGTATAAACACATACTCTGTTTTCAACGTTTTACTTCCCCTTCTTTGCCCCCTCAACCTGATCCGTCTCCTCAACGGCGACAAGACTGGCAACACCGCCAGTTTTCTTCTCGATCTCATTTGCCGCGAGCCGCAGGACCTCAATCTCGTTAGCCAGCCAGTCCCGGAGCGGCTGGATGTGGAAAGTCCCATCCTCTGCAAACCACTTCGTGAAGGACGTCTCGATCTCCTTCTCCTGAATCACCTTGCCTGCGGGGGACGTGTACTGGACCTTGAGCTTGTAGAGAGGGGAATGCTTCTTGACGGAGGAGCGGATCACAATCTGAACACCGAACACATTAGCGCCGACATACAATACAAATACAAATCATCTGAGCTGTCACAGTCCATCCCGTGATATGTACCCAGGAAAAAGGGGACAGGGAGCTACGACATACCGTTTCACCCGACTTGCGCTTCCCTCGGAACACTTCGCCCGCCTCGACGGCCCAGATCCAGTATGTGAGCAGGGAGTTGAGAAGGAAGTACGATGCGACGGCCGCCAGGATCCACGGCGACCGCGTCGCCTCCCATTTCAGCATGCGGTCCGCGTAGAAGGTGAAGCCCGCGATGGCGACGGCCGAGTAGCCCAGCAGCAGGCGGACGTTGATCTTGGTGTTGTCTTGGCTGAATCTATAGGGTTGCGGGAGGGTGGTGAGGTGGGGTGCGAGGGCGTCGTCGGTGGTGGATTTGAGGTCTGGTGAGCAGGGAGATGTTAGGGATGATTTGCAGTACTGGTGGTTGCTTTGCTATACAGGTTGCTGTTATGGAGGGGTTTTATATGACTGTGAGGTACGAACCATTGCTTGAGTAAACAGGCACCTTGGGTACCTCTGCGGACGACATTTTGGGAGTTATTCTGGTCTCGATGGGTATGGTAGCGATTATATAAGAGTCAACAAGTATTCAGAAAATGGATAGTGGTTTGAAAGGCACTGTAGATCGCCAGAAAAAAAAAAGTATCCAAGTGAAGAGGTGCCGCCGGTCTCATTGTCGGAGGAGTTGCGGCGAGCTGTCCCTTTCGCGAAGCTAAAGCGGCATGCGGCATGCGCCAAGGCAGCAAGGCCGCCTCCCCGTCCTCACCCCATCGAACCTCGCGGGGAGCTAAGCTGAGTCCTCTTCTGCTTCTGGTCCGGATTGAGCGACCAACGTTCATCAACCTACACCCCTGGTATTCTTCGAAATGGCATTGCAGGGGGTCGAGCAGACGATCCTTCGGGATCCTGCTCTTTTGTATGTCTCTGAACGGATTCTGATCCGCACGTCGAAGCTGACCTGAGACCCGATTATAGCTATTGGATCGTGTTTCCTATTACTATTGTCATGGTACGCCCCTGCTGATCTCCAAAACTCAAGCCCATTGTGATTCCGCTCATGACTCGCTAACTCACGAGAACAGATTCTCACTGGTATCCTCCGCCATTACGCCACCGTCCTCATGAACAACCCCCCGAAGCCCGCCGCGACGCTGGCCGAGTCCCGTGAACGCCTGGGCCTGATCCGCGGCGTCAACTTTCGAAACAACGCCTACGTGCTCAGCCCGGACTCGTTTGAGATGCGGCGCAAATACCTCATTGACGCGTACCACGAGGGGGCTTTCCTCAAGGATCCGGAGAACCGCGGCCAGCCGCCGGCGAACCCGATGACGGACCCGGCGGGCATGGAGGCGATGATGGGCATGATGAAGGGAAACATGATGATGATGATCCCGCAAACGCTGATTATGAGCTGGATTAATGCTTTTTTCTCGGGGTTTGTTATCTGTAGGTCTTTTCTGTCGGGGTTGCAGGTTGTGCGAATGTGGGTGTGGACCTCGAGTGGCTGACACACGGATTAGTGAAATTGCCGTTCCCTCTTACCATCCGGTTCAAGTCGATGCTGCAGTCCGGTGTCATGACCCGCGATCTGGATGTGAGATGGGTGTCGAGTCTTTCGTGGTATTTCCTGAATCTGTTTGGTCTGCAGTCTGTGTTTGGGTTTATTTTGGGTAGCGATAATGGTGAGTTCCGCCTGGAAGTCTGCATCGTGGGTGTTTTATACTGATTTCTGGGAACATGTAAAGCGGCCAATCATATGGCGTCACAGATGGCCGGGATGAACCCTGCTGCTGGCATGAACCCCTTCCAGCCGGGCCAGGACCCCGACAAGATGTATCAGAATGAGGCAGAGAATCTCGCCGTCATGGAGCACTTCTGCATTTTGGACGGTATTGAGGAGCGGATCTTGCAAAACTATGGCGGCCAGTGAGGCCTGTCGAGTTAGTTTTCGATTGGCGAGTAGACTTCTTTGCTCTTTGGTGTTATAGTTCTCGATATGTAGGCTTGGATGTAGATGTGCTGCAGGTTATAAAAAATCTTATTTCCAGGCGGGATGATTGCACTGGTTCTGAATCTCAATGTGCGCAAATAAGAGTTGATCATAATATATATTCGTGGCTCATCACTTCAAAAACATTTCATCGGCCCGCATAATATATACTACACCCGCCATAGTACCCTACGTACAATCCTAACGATAGTTGATCACCCCATTTAGCACCCAAACCTCACCGTTCGACACTTTCTCCGCAATACTATCCACCTCCACATCTCCCGGCTGAATCTATCAATGGAGTTAGTAGCTTCACTCACCACAGAAACAAACCCCAACACCAGGTGAGAAACATACCCGAATCTTATCCCCAGCCCTCGACCACGTCAACTTATCCCCCAACAGCGTCTCGGCCTCCTCTCCCTCGCGCCACGGACTTGTCGCGACCACATGCGCCTTGACGAACCGCTCCAGATTCCGGGAGGCGCGGTCCTGCCCGTCCTTCCCCTCATACGCTTGAGCCTCGCCGAACCGCGCGATATCATCCGGGTTCTCCCACGGCTTGCGCGGCAGGTCCTGGATGGCGCCGTTGCGCGGCGCCAGCACGGTCACATTGTGCGCTGCGTCGCCGAGGCGCGCGTCAACGGACTCGAATTGCCGCGTGAGCGAGGCGAAGATGTTCACGCCGCGGGTCTTGGGCAGCACGTCTGCGAGGCTGACCCCGTCGTCGTTGCGAGGCGGGCTGTTGTTCTCTTCTTCAGGCGGAAGGACGGCATTGGTTGCGGGATTGCTGCCCATTGCTGCCCTTACTGCTGCTGCTTCTGCTTGGATGGACTGTTGAGTGGTGAGCAGCCAGTTGCTGGGGTTGAGGCTGTCGCTTAGACGGCGCAGATGAGGTTTATCGATTAGTGGGCCGGGGAGGCGTTTGCGGAACTGCAGGGTCCAGGTTGCTGAGGCTGAGGGGATGAGTGCTGTTACGATGAGGAAGAGGATTAAAAGGTTTAGGGTTACTCTGAGGACAATGCCTTGCATATTTGATGATAATGGATGTGATGAGCGTCGTTATAACTAGATATATAGTTCGATTACTCTATAGTTGCGGGGGTGGAAAAACCCATGACGCAACGGGATGCGTCGCTGCCATCCACCCCACGTGATTCTCTAACTTATCGATAAGGGCATGAGCCACAAAACACTCCAGCCCAGGCGTCATGCTTTCCGGTCGCGGAGAAAGGCAAGAAAGATAGAGCGGGGATATCTCCGGAGACTGGATTTTGTGCATTGACACTACAATTGCACTACCTATTCTTTGCGCAAATTCATCACCCGCCACGCAATCCAGCATGTCGGCACTGCAGACTTTTATGCTGGTTGTGGACCACGATAAGCAGGAAGCCCAGCAGATCGCTGAACGTGTCGCTCAAGGTGGGGTTTTTGAATGCTCTGCTACTCTTCCTATGCGCTTTGGGGATTGATCCTTTGCATGGCTGCTTGCTAATACCTCAGTCAATCAACAGACGTCGAGAGTAAGAAGACGACCCTCATTGAGGTGGTTCAGTCGCTAGTGGAATATGTCAACGATGAAGACCCAATCCTCCGCGGCAAAGCTGTGTCCTTTCTTACCGCGGTCATCAAGGAGCTTCCCCCCAAATTCCTCACGAGGCAACAAATTCAAGTTTTAACGACCTTTTTTTGTGATCGGGCTCAGGATGGGGGTGCGGTTGCTGGGTTGGAAACGCTGCAGAAGTTGGATCGGTTCAACAAGCCTCTGGCGGAGGAGGTTGCTCGGGCGTAAGTGCTGGTTCTCTTTGCGGTGGTATATTTGAGGAAGTGCAATCGAGGTGTTTGGTGGAGCAAGATGCGGTGCTTGTATGGAGCGCTGACTTGTGCAGGATCTTTGAACAATTTCAGGACTTGCAGTCTCGTTCCCAGTCTCAACGGTTCCAGGTTTATCAGTTGCTGAACGAATTGATGCTGAATTACCGGTCTGGTGCGTTTGATACCCAATCTGTATGGCGGAGCTGTCGGAAAGAGCCATACTGACCTGCCCAGCGCTTCATGATATGGGCGATGAGTCTCTGGTTGGAATTGTGGACCTGGTCACGGGCGAGAAGGACCCCCGCAACTTGATGTTGGTATTTTCGATACTCAAGGTGGTGATGGTGGAATGGGACATCTCCACCCATGCGGAGGTAAGTGCTGTTGGAATTTGGGAATGCTCTCGCTAATTCCGGTAGCTCCTGTTCGACGCAGTCTACAATTACTTCCCTATCACTTTCAGACCCCCGCCGAACGACCCGTACGGCATCACGGCCCAAGATCTGAAGGACCGCCTGCAGGACTGCATTTCGTCGAATAGTCTCTTTGCGCCACACGCTATCCCGTCCTTGCTGGATAAGCTTGATTCGACGTCCCCGAATGTCAAGGTATGCTGTATAACTAGACTGGATTGACTCAGGCTGACTTGTGGACAGCGGGACGCTCTTAATGCTTTGATTGCCTGTATCGAGTCCTATGACCCCAACACTGTATCCCGCTACTCCATCACGATATGGGAGACTTTGAAGTTCGAGATCCTCAACGCCCAGGAAGAGTTCCTCTCCGAACTCTCCCTTAAGGTGCTGCAGGGCATCACCAAGCGTCTGTCGGAGGGAATCACGCAGATTTCCGATCAGTTGCCTCTTGCCCAGTACTTGCGCCCTATCACCAAGGAATGCAACGAGCAACTGCGGGAGCCGCAACAAAAACAGGCCAAGCCTGCTCAACAAATCCTCAGTTCTGTATCGTCTGCTTCAGCACCTGCATTCACCCTGATCGTCCAGACGGTCGTTGCACCCCTCTTGACCATTTACCAAGAGGCTGACGGCATTGCCAAGCAACGAGCTCTTCTGGACACGCTCGGGGTTCTCTTTGACTCGTCGATCAAGGTGTTTGGGGAATGGGCCTCGCGCGATTCTGAGCTCACTTTCGAAAATCCGCTCCTTGAATTCAAGGACCAATTCTCTGAGATTTTCGGCCAGGCCTTGATGGGTGCCATCAAGGAGGAGGTCTCATTCCGTACCTCTGCGCTCAAAGGACTCTTGCGTTTGTCCGTCCTACGCGACTACTTCCAGGACAACGAAATCGGCTTGTTTGTGCAATACCTCGATGAGATCCTGCTAAAGGAGGAGTCTGTCGGCCGAGATGACATCAAGAAAGAGGCAATCACTGCTCTGACGGAGATCTCAAAACACAAGCCTCGGTTGATTCTAGACATCACGTTCCCTGCGTTTGTGGCCACGCTCCCCGACTCGATTGAAGAAGCGGACAAGGGGTACATGAAGACTCTCGATGTGCTTGCGAAGATCAGTGTGGAGAAGGACATTTTCGAGACTCTGGTTCGAAGACTGCTCAGCAAACTGAACGTTCTGCTGCAGCGCGAGCATTCCGGCTCCGTGGAGTACCCCCGAGCGATCCTCCTGACTATCCTCTTCGTCATGAACCAGAGAAAAATGGAGGAAGACCCCAATTTGGAGTTCTATTATGACAAGATCGTGGTCAGTTTGTGCCGCAGCGCCGCAGCGGGCTCTACTTCCCCTGCCCCGAACAACATTCTCAGCGATGCCACCGTTCTGGACGTCCTAGGGCGATTATGCAACCTCATCGTGCGAGCTCTGCCCAGGAGCAAGCAGGATGAGATCGCTCAGAACGTCTACACACTGTTCACCTCGACCGAGGAGTTCCAACCAGTGCCATTTGCCCCGTCGCCCAACGCCAGCCAGAAGCGTACGATGATTCTATCGACCGCCATCCTTGCTGCGTTGCCCGCCGACGTTCCCAACCTGCCCTACGCCACCAATCCCAACATGTCCGCGCTCCTCGCCGACATGGCCAACCGCGCGACTGGCGAGACGGAGCCAGCGACGCAGTACGCCTTTCTCCGACATCTGGCATTACTGGCCAACAAATTCCTACCCAAGTCCGACCTGGCGCTGGCGTCCGACCTCTTCTACGCCCTCCTGCCACCGGGGAGCGAAACCAGCAGAGTCAACCCGGGCACGATCCACACCCTCTTCTGGCTGTCAAAGGGCTTGGTCCTGCGCCTAGCCCCGACCACGACGCAGCACCTTACCTCCCTCCTCGCGCTGGTGTCGTCTGTGGACGAAGAAACCAGCCTCACGGCGGCGCGCAGCTTCTCCATCCTCCTCCGCCACGACGAGATCCTCTCCGCGACCAACGGGGCCAACATCCGCCTTTTGTGTAGACAACGTGTCTTCACAACTCTGACGCCTCAGATCTCCTCTCGCATCCGCGAAGTCAATCTCAGTTCCTCCTCTGCAGCGGCAGCCGAACCGCAGCCCCAAACCCAACACATCAAACCCGCCCACCTGACCGCGCTAAGCGGCATCCTCTCGACCATCCCTCCCCCGCTCGTCCTCCCGGAACTGCCCACCCTCCTCCCGCTCCTCCTCCAGACCCTCGACCTCTCCACCGCCGCCTCCACCCCAGTCCGCCTCGCCACCCTCTCCACCCTGGCCGTCATCATCCGCGACAACGGTGTCGCCGTCATCGACCAATGCGGCCACGTCCAAAGCCTTGTCACGCGCCTCTTGTCCACCGCCGAGTATTCGCCCGCCAACCACCACCCGAAACTCCGCGTCGACGCCCTCAACTGCCTCTACCTGCTCGCTCAGACCCCTGGCAGCAGCAGCAGCGGCGGCGCCGAGTCCGCCGCACCGGCCATCGCGCGGACAGGGCGTCTCTCCCCACTCCTACCTGTGAAGAACCAAGTGGTGCGCGCCCTGCGGGCCATCCTGGACGATCCGAAGCGCGAGGTGCGTAAGGCGGCGGTGGATGCGCGGGCCGCGTGGTTGCGGGGTGTGGATGATGCGGGTGACGAGGAGGATTAAAAAAATGGGGGTGGGGTTCCCCCGCCTCGGTTGCAGTTGTTGTTGTTGGTGTCTAGGAAGATTCTAGCTAGAGAAAAAAAAATATATATATATTTATTTCCTATCTTTTTCCGCATGTTCCTGGTTCCAAGTTGATGGGGGGTAGTAGATGGGGCTGTATTTCCGGTCGTGACCTGATGGGTGCGTCATATTCGATGTGTTTTCTGGTTCCTACTAGGGTTGTATAACAAGCAAATGAGGCCGTCAGACCAGATGTTGACGCTCCACCCTATCCAGTCTTCATTCTGTGTCGTATGTTCAACTTCATCTTGTCATAGTCCCAGTTGAGAAGGCAGGCAGGCAGGCAGCAGGCAGGCAGGCAAAAACAGCGCATAGGGGGGACGGACTACACTAGCGATAAGGACAAGATGCAGGCACCAGTGAATTGAACCAACGTGAGTATTCGCCTCTCAGTTTTGAGCTGATGCGGAAGGCAAGGTATCTACCTTCATATTCAGACGGTTTGGTTTTAACGAGCAGGGAAGGCTTTCGAGGTTTGTTTCAGTAGACAGACAGTCGATAAATACGAATTCCATCATCTACTTATCAGGCGTTACCCTATGATCTTAGACTAAATTATAGGTGGGTTGATGATAGACAGTTATATCTAGAATGCTATACCACCTCATCGTTGCACTTAAATGACGAAGACCTGAGTAGGCTGGAATTGAATTATGAAGTATGAACTATGGACTATCCCTGACCCTGTTCTGCCTTCACAAGCCCTACTGCCAACTGCCATTCCCTCCACCCCCGTCATCCCCCAAAGCAATCTTGTACCCTCAAACTACGTCCCCAACAGATCATCACATTCTCGTCACAGCGCATCAGCGCCAAACTATCTTACTCTCCTTTCCGTCTACGAAGCCTCTACCCCGAGCAAACTACCGAAAACGAGATGGAGAAAATGAACTACCAGAACTCCTCGGGCGAGAAGACATCAACCTGCGCCGGGTACTGAACCACGCCTCTCGAGTCCACGCGAGCACTTATAGTATCATCGCTGTGCGAGTCATTACCAAGCGACAAACCTACAACACCGCGTGGCTGAGCACAGCTGCGCAATGAAGTTGCTGTAGTAGTATGCTCAGCAGCCAAGTCTATCCCGGGCCGAGCATTCCAGTATCCCACGGCGTCGATGCGCTGGATCACCGTCTTAGCTAGAAGAAATATATCGCCCAGACCGGCGTGACCGATCGCTTTGGCGACGGGGCTGGGGGTCTCCATCTCAGTCCCGATTGCATCGGCATCCGCATCTGCACTTACATTGATCTCGCGCAGCAGAGCAGCAGCATGACGGCCGAACAGGTCGATTCCCCGCCAATCGGATGACCGCTCGCCCACTTCGAGGTCGGTATTGGAGTTGAGAAGAGCATCAATCGCCGGACTGACTAGTGATGCTTCATACCACAGTTGACCGTTGCTCACCATGTCCGCAGGCGCGGTCGCACGGGCCCGCCTGATAGTTGGGTCAGTGACGTGCTTTCCATGGATTAAGTCTTGCACTTCGGTGACTTGCAAGAATATGTGCGATGTCGCGTTGATATCATCCTCGCTAGGCTTTTGGCTAGGACGAGTATCCGATGTTGCTGAAGCCTCCTCATCGCACTGCAGATGACGGTGACGAGTCCAGCGTTTCATGTACACATTCTCTAGGGTGACCTTGTTGTCGACGTCACTGGGCAGACGTGTGTAGATGCGGATGAGAGTGCGATCCGGCTCAATCCACATGCTCTTGACGAGGTCTTGGGCGATCTGCTCAAACTCCGGATTGATATCACCAACGAATCCCGTCACTTTCTTGACAGATAGATTGGCATCCCATGTGTTGCCCGGAAAATGAAAGTTCACTGCACCAAGTGCCTTCCCTGGCTCTCGAACGCTGCAACCCCCATTTTCATTGATGACTACTATGAAAATCTGGTTGGCCCGGGTGCGAAAGTGATATTCGTAAGAGACACCGTAGTCAGTGTATTCCTGCTCAAATAGACGATGCTTGCCATCAGCCTTGGAAGTTCGAATGTCCACCATGTGGTCAATGTCGGCGCCCGAGGTCGTAAGTCTCTTGATGAACTTGGTTGTCGGTGCAGAAAGTCCAGATTGCGGACTGAAGACCTTATTCCAAGTTTCTGCAATCATGGAGTCCTCATTGTATGTTTTGGGAAGAAGAGGCACCAAGATCAAACCGAATTGCATTTCGAGACACATTGCGCCAGGGTAACATGCCGCCGAGTCAAGGATGGGAATCATAGAATCGTAAAGGCGCTTCACCTGTCTCTGAGCCGCCGGATCTTCCACTGATGAAGGCTTCGGCCCATTTGTGACCTGTACAATGGAGCTGGTTGTTGATTTCTGACTTTTAGGAGAGCAGACAGGCTTCTTCTTAGGCTTGCCAATTCCCCAAGAGTCTTCCAATGTTGCTTGTCGTCTCGCCTTCGTTTCTGCTTTGCTTCTAGCAGCACTAGAGCTCTTCGGAGCCTTATGTCTTGTCTTGCGAAACTCTCTCGATGTCACTTCATCGGAGGACTCTCTTTCCGAGCGATCTGCCCTTCTCAAATTGGCGACCATAGCTTGAGCCCACGACTCATTTGCTTGACTGCGGGGGGCCGGGGCAGTGGTCGCTTCGTTTGTCGTGGGAAGCACCTCTGTTGCTGCCGCATTGTATCTCTGGCGAAGAAATTCAAGCCTTCCCACTTGGCTCATAGCATTGTTGATGCGCGAGGGAGCGGCTTCAAGACATGACCCGGAATTGCTGGAGTCCAAAAAGTTTTCCGTTCCAAGATTGAGCCCTAACAGATCGATACTGGCTCTCTCTACGGATCCTGTGGTATCGGTGCCGCACGGTGACGATCCTGATGGGAGTAGAGCTGGCTGGTTGAAAGTGATGCCTTGAACACTGGCAGCAGCCGTCACTGGCACGTTGATGTCAATCAGCTGATTTTGACGGCCAGGCTTCCAATTTGCTGCTGGACCAATATTAGGTGTACTCCGTTTGCCGAAAGATCGTTGTGTATGCGACCTCGTCAGATCGTACCTGGTACTCTTGGATGTTGACGGCGCAGTTGACTTGTTCACCGAGGACAACACTTGGGATCTGGGCCGAGACTCGGTGCCAGCCTTTTCCGCCGGCTTTACATCCTGTAAGTCCTGGTTGCCATATTTTATATCGTACTGCATCACCCAGCGTCTTCGAGGCGCTAGGCCGTTCCCATTCAATCCGGGAGTTGTAGCGTTCGGCGACTCAGACTCTGCAATTGGAGGTGTTTTGCCAGAAGTCGGCCTTGCTTCGGAGACTGAGGGAGCAACTTGTGATTTGGGCTTGGAGCTTGTTGGAACGACCCGGCGCACTTTCACACCGGCCGGTCTGTGAGGCCCACTTGCGTCAATTACATTGCCTGGTCCAGGAGCTGAAGGCTTGGAAACAAGGGCCTGGAGAGCAGGAGTCGGGGCCGCTAGAAGAGGCTGAGTGGTATCCAAGACCACGGATTCCCGTTCAGGAATGTCTTTTTCTACTTGAGCTCCTTCAACGACCCATTGGTTCACCTGCTTGGCCTTTTCAGCTGTCAAATAAGGATGCAGTGACGCTGGGATTTCCATGGTCATCGCGTCGGTTTTCGAAATGGTGCTATCGGCAATAGACACTACTGCATTGTATTGCTCGCCGCTTCCAAGCTGCTGGAAGGTGAAGTCGTTCCAGATGCGGGACTTGCCGGGGTCGTAAGCCAGATGTGGGGGGTTCACCAGATTCGGCGGCATTCTCAGCGTGTGTGTGTCCGGGTCGAGCGAGGCTTGTACTGAGACATACATCTCACCCGGAGCGGCGTTTGGGTCCAAACACGGATCTGCTAAGACTCGACGCTCAGCAATTGGGTTCAAGGTATTGTAAGTCTGAAGACGATAACGCGAGCATTCATCTTCCGCAGTGACGAGGATATTGGCTATGATAGGCCGCTGAATGCATGTCTACCATGTGGATGAGCGGGTGGCGCTTCTGGCCATAAAGGAGTCGGACTTACCAAGGGCCGTTCAACCCGCGTCAGCTTGGCCAGAGCTTCATCTACATCCCCTTCGCTGGTGCCCGAGACTTGGATTCCCTTTGTATCGTCACGCATGGTGATCTCGGTTGAAGTGAGGTCGGCGATGCTATCGAGTATGCTTTTAGACTCAAAGGAGTAGCACCCCAGCCCCCCATTGGGCGACAGCCAGAGCTTGGTGATATGGATGATGGAGGTAGGAATAAGTTCGCAGCTTTCGTCAGGGCTTGGGTTGAGTTCTTCTAGACTGCCGTTACTTTGGAGAGCAGAGGTCATATCTATCCGGTAAGTACGTGGCGCCTGCATCGATATGACGATGGTCAGTAGATCAAAGGATGAGCCCGCCGATATGGGAATAAGAGAGACTGCAGGCTGACATCAAGTAGATCTTTAAATTCTTGAGCTGCAATAGTATCGGCGACAAGAGTGGCAATCTTCGCTATGTGGTTATGGAGGGGACCTTTGACGGTGAGGATCTTATAAGTAAGAGTCATCAGCAAAGACGACAAAGACGACCAAGAAGTGAAATACGATGATTCACTTGCATTGTCATGCTTGATATATTCAATATGGCAGTCTGGTTGACAGGTCACCTTCCTAGAGTAGGTGTCAATTAGGCAGCCAAAGGAAAGGCCGGGTTGAGAAGACGAGGTACTTGATTTCTTCACTAACTTCTTCAACCTAATTCAAGTTAAGTGTCAGAATACATGGTGCCTGGAGTGAATCAGGGTAACCACTTACACCGATAGGCTCAAAGCCCCATATGGAGGCGAGCGCCAGACGCTGCTCGTAAGCCATTTCGGTCAATTGAAGTTGACGGGCAACAACAGCCGCGTATTCAATGCAGCACTGGGGCTTATATGACAGTTCTACAAGATCATAATACGAAAATGGGCAAGAGCCAAAACTGGAGGAGAGGTATCATGCGGTGAAATTCAGGTTGGTCAGTTCCAAAGAGTCAGATGAGGGGGAGAGAGAGGGAGTTGAAGTGAAGACAGATGGTAGAAGCAGAGGCAAAGGGAAAAGGGCAGGAGCAACAAACAGTGTTAGGCCTGGGAGGCACAACACCCTGTACTGTACGGTCTGTACGGTCTGTACGGTTTGTACCCCAAGTAACGAACGCTGCTACAACAAACAGCGAGCGGGTGAAAATGCAGAAAACAGCCACTCCTGGTGGCTGATTCGCCTCCTCAGAAGAAATTCGAAGAGATTATTCTGAGGTGATGATACTTCTGTATGTGATTAAAGCAGTTGTCTATCGAGGTATAGCGAGGTATAATGACACTGGACAGCGGTGTACTTTGAACATGATAGTAACAAGTAGGGACATGACGGTCTATGTTTCCCAGGGTATCAAGCACTCCCAAACTCCTCATACCTCCCAGAGATATGCCAGGGAGCAGATAATGAATAAAGAACAGTGTGGTAAAGAAACAGATGCAAAGAAGGTGAAGATGAAGTGGGAAGAATAAGAGTACAAGAATGGAATGCAGAAGATGTGTGTGTTCAGGACCCTCGATCATCACCACTGCCAGATTGACGCAGGTAGTCAACGGGGTGCCATTGGGATGCTGCTCGATTGCAGGCTCAAGATCTTCCGCAATCAAGGTCAACGTGCCTGCCGTTAAACCCGAGCCTGTCAATCATGGAGGCCCCGGCAGAGAATATTGCCTAGACCGTCATAGAACCGTGTTTGGACCCCTTCATCGGGTGTCCTTGACTTGCTCCTTGAGCTGCATGACCCACCTCATTTTCCCCTCGGTTTCCTTCAACGAGGCCAGAGCGGCGTCAATGTTGGTATCGCTTTGCCGGCCACTCTCGATGAGCGCTCTGACTTCCTCATCATGCGCCCGCTTATATGTCTTGAAGTTGGCGTACAGCGCATCGAATCTCTCGCGGGCGAGCTCAAGCTCCTGGTCCTTCTCCGCCAAGATCGCATCTAAGCGCCCCAGCTTGCTGTTCTTGTCGTCAAACTGCTTCTTCATAGTCGAGATATCGTCTTTGATTGACTTGAGCTTCCTCTGCTGTTCGGCTCGTTCCCGGTGTGCCGACTTGGCCAAGATGTCGTACTGGGTCCGCGAATGGTTGGTGATCTCCTGCAACTCGGCGCATTTGCGGTGGAAATCGTCCTGCGCGACCCCCATCATCTGATTGACCTTCTTTGCCTCGCCCTCCGCCCGAACCCGACGATCCTTCTCAGCCTGCACCTCCGCCCGCAACTCTTCGATTTTCTTGTCCTTGCGCGCAATCGAATGCCGGTTCGTCTCGTTCGCTTGCTCGAGGTTTCGAAGACGTTCGGTCATGTTCTCCGCCTGCACCTTGTAGGCATCGTTCATCCGCTGTGTTTCTTCGGCGCGAGAGCGATAGAGGCTACACTCCCGAGTCAAGCGCGCGACTTCCTCCTGAAGGTTGTGGATAACACGCCCGGACTTGCCCGTGGCTGCATGTCCGACCGCCGACGACCATTCCGTGGCCGAGGTATCCTGGTTTGGGAAATTCGCGAAGCCGTTGGTGCTACTGGGTGAGGTGGATAACGCGGGGTCTGTCATTCACACATGCCATGGAATCAGCGCTCCGGAATCTTGAGACGGGGCGATGCGCCATGGGAGGGTTGATTCATCGCCGATATGCATGCAGAGGGGACGTACCTGGTGAAGATGGGGGAGGGGGGGCTCCGTTCGGTCGCTCGGGGGTGGAGATTTCGTTGAAGAGTCCATTGTACTGATGCATGTTCAATTGTGTTTCCACATGGGGAAGACTGACACGAGGCGCTTGAGGGGGATCTGACGTAGGAGGCAGCGAAAGCATTTCCGGGTCAGCATGATTCGTTTCTGGAAGCTTGGGTGTCTTCTTGCCCCGACCGAATCGGGTCATTCCGACCATAACGAAAGTAGATGGAATGTTTGAGGGAGGTGAAGGTGCCGCAATTGGCAACACGGCGAGGGAAAAGAGAGAAGCGGAGCAGGCATCCAAGCAGGAACCTGCCCCAGAAGAGTCGAGGGGATTCAACCCAAGCCGGAAAACAGGCGTTTCTGTTGGGCCGCAGTAAGGGGAAAATGTAGGCACGCTGTAAACACAAAGCTAACACAACTGACAGTGCACCCACCCACACACACATACAACGCCCGAATCCCTGGGGTATCGACAAAAAAACAAGAAGGCAGAGGAAAAAATGGCAGGGAAGGGATGGGGAACGAATCGACATGAAAGAAGGGGGCTCGCAGAAAAGTGAGCACATACCACGGAGTGGATCAAGACTTGATTGCAGGAGATCTGCAGCAGGAACAGTGAAATGATGGTCAGTCTGATGCTTATTCATCGCCGAGACATCACAGAAATTCTCCGGTGAATGAGCAAAAAAAGTGCAGAAATGCAGTTGAAAATTCGATGTGATGTTGAAACTAGCAGGAATCGGAGAATTGGAGGAAGGGTTTTGGCCTTGTCTGTTGCTCCAAAAAACATACCGTCACTGTCCAAGCACGACGTGGGGTGGGCGCCAGCACAAAATGGGGCTGATTAATGTGACGATCCGGACTGGGTTCCAGTAATAATAGACACTACTAATGAAAGAAAGAGAGAGAGAGAGAGAGAGAGGACTGATGATAAGACAAATTTATGTTCAGCAGTGAAGTCAGAAGAGAAATGAATGAGTGGTATGGAACAATCAAGAATACTAAATAAGTTAATGAATGGGATCCAGCGGCTGTCAACGAGTCGCCCGCCACTAACTCAACTTGATTTTAACGGATGATCGATCATCTGCAGTGGCCCCCCCCAAAATCCTTTGTTTCGCCTGATGCTTCCGATCCGCTGCCTCCGAGACTTACAAGGGTATAACTAGTACAGTCCAATGTGGTCAGAGCATTTATTAATAGCAGCACCAGCAGCAACTCAGAAATTATTGATCAAACAAGTTGATCGTACAAAACTTGACACTTTGCAAAGGGGCCCTCCGCGAATCTGCAGACCCAATCCTGACGATGACGTCTGAATCGGAACAACAATTCGCGTTCGGCCCGAGCCAAAGGTCTGGTTCTATGTACAGGGAAGAAAGAGAAGCAGAATTTGAAACAGCACACAACCCCTGTCGCCCATGAGAGCCATCCCCATACGGCCCTATTCAGTGCGAGTCGGATTGAGTCTGCACGGCACCCTGAAAAAGCACGCACGGATATTTCTCCGACAACAGATCAAGTCAAGCTCGACTGTCACCTCGGCTGGAATCCCATTTAAATCCGCCTAGACGAGGTAAACAATCATGGCGAGAGCACCAAACATGAAGCCCAGCCCCGTGGTACGAGCGGATGCAGCACCACTCTGCATGTAGGCAGCCATGGCAGTCTTGCTATTAGCGACTCCCGCAGCGTTCGGGTCGTTCTCCGCTGCGTTCACAGTGAACGTTTGACCATCATTGCCCTTCTGAACGGTCTGCATCTCATCGTGGGGCGCTGTGTCGGTTGGGTACGCAGCCTGAGTACTGGGGCCGGCTGCGGGGGGGATCAAGGAAACAGGCAGTGGCTTGGGGCTGGGCTTGGGGCTCGGGAGGGCCGCCGGCGAGATAGCAGGGCTAGGAGGGCTCCCATCCGTGACTTGCAGGAGTCCCGAGTAGTTTACAAAGCCGTCCTGCTCGATCTGGAAGGCATAGTCTTCGCCGTTCTCTATCGTGGAGTCCGGAGTCCAGGTGAAGGAGCCTCCTCCAGCGGTGCGGGACAGAGTTTGAACGGTGTCAAGGTTCTGGGAGTCACCTTTGCGCAGTGTGACGGTCACGGGCTGAAACAAGCATCAGCAATTGGAACCAGACAGCTTAGCCAGTGTGTTAGGAAGCGTACCGTTTCCGAGTCCGTCTGCCACTTGAGAGTGGTAGGCTGTCCAGCATGAATGACCTCCGGCCATTGAGTGAAAGACAGGGCTGCTTGAGCAATCCCAACCTGGGCCAGGCATGCGAAGGCCGCAACAAGAGAGTCAGAAGCGCGCATTTTGGGGTTGATTCGTGATAAATTGATGGGATCAGATCACAAATTGATTTCACGCGGTGGCAGTTTTGACTTCAATGGTTCTGCTGCAGAGAGGGACTTGGGCTTTCAAAGACTGCTCAAAGACTTGGCTGACTCGTGTGGACTGCTGGATATCGATAGGGACAGACTATGCCTTCTTGGCTGTTGTTAGTATTGCAAAACACTATACGTACCTGGTTGACTTGTCGGACTCAGAATGGCGCGAGGGATCGAAGGACGGATGGAAGGGTGACAGCAAGGTGATAAAAGAAGAGTCTGGCACATGGCTTCGCCACTTGTTGCCCTCCAAAACAACGCGTATCCAAACAATAGTTCTACCTGAATGCCAATGAAGGGGAAGGGGCGCACATGCCGGGCATGGTTTCTGGCATTCCTGAGGGAGTGGTCGACAAACACCAAGCATGGAACAAGCTGGGGAATGAATGAGGAGCACACCCGAGTTTTACTGCTCGCTGATGATGTTGCGGGTGGCGTTCACAAGAGGCGCTTTTCAAAGAGATCAGTTCCTAGAAATCTCAGACCAATGATCAAACAGCCACGATAGCCTCAGACCCGGAAGTGTTCGGTGTTGCTGCTCAAGGATGCCTCTAAAGTTGAGGTGGTCTAAACCACAGAATGACCCTGGGATCGTCCAGGAATGCAAGCATAGGTGCATGGCTCGTGATGATCCAGAAGAAGCTCAACACGACATTCAGAGTTAAGGAGAGTCTCACTTCGCCATGAACGAGAATTAACGAACGCTGGTGGCATGAGACCTTATCTTCTTGACACGTCATAGGAATCAGTTATTCCGGGGGCACAAGGCACAACGACTCCTTTCAACAATACCAAGGCTGTGTCTGCTCGCCTACAGTCAAGCCGCACAAACACTGTTGATGTTTTGGTTTTCGCTGGGGGACAAAAATGTCAGTTCGGTTGGACGATATTTACCTGCAAGGGGCGCCGATCAAGAGAGGAGTTTAGAGCAACTGATTCAAGGATTTGTCTCGTGCAGTAGCCACGATCCAACACAACATGGCTCATCTTACCCCTGGTCGATCATCACGCTCATGAAGCCGATCATGCAGACCCGATCTTCTATACCAAGTCTTGGCGTCTCACCAGGCCTCCAGACGGGTTGCCGTGCGGCAGTCGGACGTTCACGGCCTCATCTCTCGAAACAACCAGATGGACAGGAGAGATTCAGCGAAGGCTCGCTATGCCGATATTCGACTAGCTCTCTCCGCAGCGCCGTCTGTCTCGGGATAGAGCGGAGATCGCAACGGTAACATTTGGCCGACACGCCCGAAGCCGCTTGCCGATTACCGGAAGCGGAAATCCTCAGAACCTCATTTCTGCTGCAGACCGGTTTGTTGCCAAAGTTAATCGGCTTATCAGCAGTCAGGGAGACAGAGTTCCATCTCACTCCAGCGATATCTCAGCAATGGGTCCAGTCCGGATGCATCTTCGTGACCCTCAGGGAGCCTGAGGTTACTGTTGCTTTTCCCTTTGCACCCTCGGTGTTCCTTCCGTGCTAAGGCGGAGATGGAGGGAAAGAGAGAGAGAGAGAGGGAGGGAGAGAGAGAAAGACAAAAAGAGAAAAGGCGACACCAGCCCCGATGGAGAGACCATCGTCGTGTGAAATTCTGTCTTTTCCTCTCCTCTTCCAACCACACACCATTCTTATCACTATAACCACTATGCCGATGGCATAGATTCATCGAGTCACTCGTTTCCCAGTAACAACCTTCCGTCTATACAGCACCCGTCAATTCTATGGACCATCTGCGTTCCATGACCTGAGAAAAAGAAAACGCAAGGAAAAGACACCTGCAGCCAGCATTGGGGATGTTACGAGCAGACATAACCATCCAACCGGTGCCCGGCGCACCACCACAACCACCACAACCATCCACACCAACTACCGCATCTTTCCATCACCCCAACACCCACCCAACCGGGAGCACGACAGCTGCAACCTTAACAAGAACACCCTCCTCCCCAACGACGCAGCGGTTCTACCGCTTCAAGACCAACGATGACCGCCCGCCCACCCCACCCCCCAGCATCCCCGCGACCGCTTTGGTATCAACATCCTCATCAACCCCCAGCGCCCAACTCCTGCTCCTCGAAAGCACCCGCCGCACCGCCCTCTACACCCTAACTCTCTGCCGCAACGTCATTGCCATCCTCGAGCTCACCCGTCTCCGCAAGTCGCGCATCGGCCTCCTCCACTGGATCGAGTTCTGGCATCAGTACTACGGGCAACGGTTCGGGCGCGCTCTCGCGGCGCACGTCACGCACGCTCTGGGCCGGATCGATAGCTTATTCCGGGCGGTGGCCAGCGACCTCCACCAACTGACGCAGCGCGTACACGACGCCGTCGCCGCGGCGACCTCGGAGGTCGAGATCCTGAGGCTGCTGGAGCGCATGGAAGACGAGGTGGGCGTGCGACGGCGCCGGCGCCGCAAGAAGGCCCAGTCGACCATCCGCAGAATGCGCGCCAACCTCGAGGCCATTCCCGTGCAAGTCAGTGACGATCTGCTCGACGACCTCAAGCGCGGCGTGTTTGCGTTGGATGTCTACTGCGATTACTACCCTGGGGATGAAAGCAATAGCAGCACGGTTGCGAGAAGCGGTGCAGTTGGCACCAGCAGCAGCAGCAGCAGTAGCAGCAGCGGCAGTAGTAGGGGTAGCGGTGGTGGCATGGGCCAGTATGGCGGTGGTGATTGGGGATGGACGAATACGACGTATCTGGCGCGTCGGCCGGTGAGCTCGTTGGCGCTTTCGGCGCAGCAACTCCACCACTACCGGAATGGATGGTCGAGCTCCGGGTCTGCGGCTGATGGGGCTTGGATGGCGTTGTCGATGCCGGTTCATCAGGAGGAGGATGGCAGGCGGCCTGAGCAGAGGCGTCGGTCGAGTCCACGTCGTCATTCTCACTCTCATCCTCATCCTGATTCTTGATGGGTCCATTCGTCTTGTGTTCTTTTTCACTTTTTCACTGATAGACTTTTTGGGTGTTTACTTTTCTATTTCTTGCTGCCCTGGGCGCGCCCACATTACCCTTCCCAGGTTAGGAAGGTCGATATCAATCTCATTCTTGAATCTTGGTGAGTTAGATCACCCGCCACATGTTGGTCGAATAGGATAGAAATAGCAGTTGTTACTTTTATTTTCCGGTTCAGAGAACCCACATCCCATGGAAATCTTTGAAAAAAAAAGAGTCGCTAAATTATGTACAGTAAGTGAAAAGGTAGAAGGTATTCTAGTCGTAACAACCCCGTGCGCCAAGCAGATCCACACCTATGCAAACTCCCACAATTCTCGGAGCAGGCTGCCCGGTGCAGTGTCCTGGCCCCCGTCTTCTTCCAGCAGGCGATTCGTGAAGATCCGACGCGGTATTTGGTACTCGACGACGGGGACGCGTTTGAACGGCTTGTCCTCTGTGCCCAACTCGGCCTGCAGCATGCCCTGGTACGTGTAGTCCAGAAAGTCCTCGAGGTGGTAGAACTGTTTGGTGAACTGCTCGGCGAGGATGCGGACGATGGCGGCGACGTTGGGGTGGTAGTGCGACTGGAGGGTCTCGAGCTCCCAGAGACTGCTGTCGATGGCGCGCGTGCGGATGGGGTCGGGCTCGCGCGGGTCGTAGGGGTCGTCCATGCCCTTGGCGGCGAGGATGGCGGCGCGGTCCGCGTCACTGACGGGGCGGTGCAGCATGAAGGCGCAGGTCGGGTGCTGCTTGAGGAGGTTGTAGACGAAGGGGGCAATGGCGACGATGGCCGTCGGGGGCGCGTTGAGCGCCAGCCGCGACAGGCGCTTGATGAAGCTGGCGATCAGGGCGGCGGGGAGATGGGTCGAGGCGAGGAAGGTGTTCATCAACCGGAAGAAGCGCGAGCGGTGCTTCGAGTGCAGCAGGTCGGCATCCAGCAGACTGTACAGCTTCGGGTAAAACTGCGGGTAGTCCAGGTTCTTCTCCTGGATGAGGTAGAACAGGCCCGACAGCGCGAGCAGCGAGGTCGCTCCGCCCACGTTGTAGGAGTCGGTCAAGAAGTCCATCAGGAGTTCAGGCCGGAGGAACCACGGCTCGATGTTGTGCACCATGATGCGCAGCAGGTGCTTGCGCTGCGCTTGCGACAGGTTGTTGCGCAGGATCGCCAGCCACGCTTCCTGCGCGTGCTTCTTGTGAGACTTGACCGACACCACTCGCTTGTTGTTCTTGCTGGTTTTCGTGTAGAAGCTCTCGAACTCGTGTTCGGGCGTGGGGATTGAGTCGCATGCGGAGAGGATCGTGGTAAGGGTGTCGATGGTTTGCGAGCTGCGGGGGACGCTGGCGTATTGACTGTAGACATGGAGGAGGAGGCGTGGTTAGCTTGATGCGGGTCTGGTATGGATGGATGTTGCATACGCGAGTTGAATGAAGGTATAGTAGCGCACGTCCTCAAACTCCTTGGCCTTCGAGATGAACTCGGAGAGGACCGCTTGGCCGTTGTTGGCCTCCACCACAGCCTCGACAACATTTTTGAACAGACCCGTCAACCAAATGCCGTCGTCTCCGGGCAGATGTGTGGCACGCTCGTTGACAATGCAGAGGCACAAGGTCAAGGCGGTGATCTAGATCACTTAGTATACTTTTGTCCATGTTGAACCTGGGGCAGATACACGAACCTGCGACGAGGGATCACTCTCGCGGATGATCGACAGCAGCTCTTTTTGGTATTCCCTGAGACGCTCTTTCAACCACGCAACGATGATCTTCTCGTTCTCTGCGGCGCGGCTTGACTCGGTCAAATTCCCTCCCGCAATCAGTCGGCTGAACACACGACACAGCGCCAATGCAGCCGGGACATTCGGTTTGGCAGACCCCTGGGTGGAGAGCATCGAGATCAGGGTTGCGATGTTGTTGTAGTGCTTTCGCGATTCGGAGATTTGGTCTTCGAGCCGTTGGATCTCGGCGGTCGCATCGACGGACTCGGTTTCAGCGACGGCACGCCGTTTTGACGACGGCACAGCACTCTCTTTGACATTCTTTCTCTTCTTGGAGGCCGGGGGCCCGACGGTAGCTGCAGGCATGTTGGACTAGACGGGAAAACTCGCGACAGACGTCAATGGAGAAGCGCAGGTCCACCGCCAGCGACTTTTACTTCCCGAAATCAACCATGAATTTTTGGAGAAATCCCTCGGCTACGCGGTTTTTCCGCACCAGGACGCCAGACCCGAAGCGGCTTAGTGCCCTTCCGCACCAGGCCAAACCGCCATTCCGACCTCAGTCTCCTCATTTCCGTTCAACCACGTCCACATCCTGTCACAGGTTCTATCCATCGCTACAATGGCTTCGCGTTTGGCTAAGAGCACCCTCGGTATGCCGCTCCGGGCTCTTCCCGACCTGCTCTATCGTTTGATGACGGTCATTAACCCCCTCTAGGTGCCGCCCGGTTGCGGCCGACCCTTCCCTCGCGCAATGTCGCTCCCATCACGGCCACCTTGACCGCGTCCCGCTCGGCCTCCAGCGTCTCTACCGAGGACCCCAAGAAGAAGGCTCAGTCCATCCTCGATGCTCTGCCCGGCAACTCCCTGGTTTCCAAGACTGCCACCCTTTCCGCCGCCGCCGGTCTGTCCATCGCCGCCATCAGCAACGAGCTCTACGTGATGAACGAGGAAACCGTTGCTGCTTTCTGTCTTCTCAGCGTCTTCACTGCCGTCTTCAAGTACGGTGGTCCTGCTTACCGCGAGTGGGCTGAGGGTCAGGTCCAGAAGCACAAGGACATCCTGAACGCTGCCCGTGCCGACCACACCAACGCCGTCAAGCAGCGTATGGAGAACGTCAAGGAGCTGTCCGGTGTTGTTGAGCTCACCAAGCAGCTCTTTGCTGTTTCCAAGGTATTTTTTTTCTTTGCTGCTTTGCTGCTGGATCATGCACTCGGGGGGGGGGAACAGTTTGTCGCTAACGATGACGTAGGAAACCGCCCAGCTCGAGGCCAAGGCCTACGAGCTCGAGCAGCGCACTGCTCTGGCCACCGAGGCCAAGCAGGTGCTTGACTCGTGGGTCCGCTACGAGGGTCAGGTCAAGCAGCGCCAGCAGCGCGAGCTTGCTGACAGCGTCATTGCCAAGATCCACAAGGAGCTTGAGAACCCCAAGGTTCTCCAGCAGATCCTCCAGCAGAGCGTTGCTGATGTTGAGCGTAAGTTCTTGGTTTGGATGGATGATTAGATGTGGATGATGAGATGCTAATGATGGATGCAGGCATCATGTCCTCCAAGGCTCAGTAAACGACTGCATGGATAGCTTGGCACTAAGTCTCATGTACAAATTAAGATCATTTCTATTATCAGTTAGAATACCAAGTACTGGTTGACAAGCCTGATCGCTGTTGAGCGGGTGATGAGATTGTAATCGTATGCTCTGTATCACTAAGTAAGTTTATGTGACAAAAAGGCAAATTAAATTAACAGAAAGGAAGAGATTGCCGCCAAGCCGAGAGGCTGTCACGACTGGCCCAACCATGGGTTTTCCTTATTATTAACTTATAGCCTCCAGCTCTTATGGTTACACCACAACACAGCCTCACTGACGAATCCCTCCCATCTTCCATCTTCTGTCACAAAATGCAGTTGATCAAGTGGCAGTGAATATTTTTCCTAAATCTCGACGACAAAACACCTTTTCCAAACCTCATCATCGTCCCTTCTTTTCCCGCAGTCTCCACTTTTCTCCCTCCGCGATAAGCCGAATCGCAACAATATGCCACTGCGCGACAAGCTCCAACGCCAGCAGAAGGGATCCCTCACCACCAGCCCTCCAACCAACCAAGCAACCCAACAACATGCAGCGCCCACCACCCCAGTCAGCAACCCCAGCGTCCCGCACTTTACCTTCATTCGCACCGACACGACCACCCAAGAAGTGATCCGCCCACCCGTCTTCGACGGCGATGCCCCGGACCCGGACCCGGACCCAGACCCAAACCTACCAGCAGCCGCCGCCGCCGCCGCCGCCGCCGCAACCTCGACGCTCTCCCCCGTCTCGCCCCCGTCCCCCTCCTCCTCCTGCTCCTCCCCGCAGCACCGTAAATCCCGCCTCAACCCCTTCCGCCGATCGCGGGCCGCCTCGCAGTCCTCCGGCGTGACCTCCCCGCCACGCGCCCGGGGCGAAGGCCGCCTGTCGCATCTGCTGCATCTCGACCGCGGCGGCGGCGGGGTGGGCGGCGGCGGGTCGCGGAGCTCGAGCTCCTCGTCCGTCAACATCCCGCGCGACCTGCCGCAGATCCGTACGAGCAGCCGCCGAGGCGACGACGCGCAGGATGTGGAGGCCGAGTGGGAGCGACGCGCGACGGTGCTGGTGCAGCGGAACCCGCAGTTCGCGGCTGCGTGTCTGTCGCCGACGAGTGCGCCGTCGGGGTTCGGGATGGGGATGGATGGGGCGGCGTCGCGGTCGCGGAGCTCGAGTCGGAGTCGGATTAATGACCCGGATGGTGATGTGAGTGATTGTCGTGGATGGGGGGGAAAAAGGGTTGTGTGGCTGATTAAGGTGCGAATAGGTGAATATTCAAGAGGCGATTCGACTACATGAGGCTGGAGGTATGTTATCCGCTTTTGGGCGGGGTCGGGTGTCTGTTTTTATCATTTGCTGATTGGAGGGGGGGAGGGGTGATAGATCTGGAACGATCTACGAAGATGTTCGGTCACTTGGCGGACCCGGACGGGCCCAACAATGCCCTCAGTCAAGTGCTGTATGGGCTTGCACTTCGGTGAGTGAGCACTCTTGCTTTGTAGTTGACGGGTTGGGCGAAGCTGCAGCGGTGCTGACTCCGGGCGGTTCTTACAGACACGGCTGGGGATGTGAGCCCGACCAGGACAAGGCAGTTAGCTATCTGTCAGCGGCAGCGGCCAACTCGGCGTCGATCGAGTCCGAGGCGCTCGAGGCCGGCATCAAGAAGGGGGGCGCGGCCAAGGGCGAGCTGACGCTGGCGATTTTCGAGCTGGCCAACTGCTTCCGCAACGGCTGGGGCGTGAAGAAGGATCCGGTCGCGGCACGCCAGTACTACGAGACAGCCGCCAACCTCGGCGATACGGACGCGATGAACGAGGCTGCTTGGTGCTACCTCGAAGGGTTTGGAGGGAAAAAGGACAAGGTACGGTTCGCTCGGGCCATGGGCTGAGGCTCGAGGCGCATTCACCTGTCAGACATCGGGACTAATTCGTTGCATGCGAAATGCAGTTCGTGGCTGCGACGTACTATCGATTGGCGGAGGAGAAAGGAAGTAAAACCATGGGCAATTCTTGGTACGTGCTGTGCGTCTCGCTGCAGGAGCCGTCACCTGCAAGCGAGGACATGATAGGCGCTCGTTGCTGGTGGACGGCATCCTCCCAGCCACCCATTAAAATCACGGCTGTTGTTCCCCCCCTTTGAAGTGTGTTCAGGCTGACATGAGGTCTGGTGGATTTGACAGGATCTGGAAGGACAAGTACAACCCGCGCTGAATCTAGGATGAGATGAGGTACGACGTCAGTGGTCCGGTCGACTTGTGGTTACCTCAGTCTTGATGAGGGTCTAGCCTGCCGGCTCGGCTATTCAGGCAGGATAGAGACTCCTGGTTGGGTGGTTAGGGAGCTGAAAATGATACCCCGCTCATGATAAGGCTGCGATAGATGCAGTAGACGCAGTATGGCGAGAGTCGAGACCTACTGGTGCACTTCGGCTCATGTGAAAGGATATAGACTCTATTCCTGCTCGAGATATGGACAGCAATGCTCAGCTGTTGACTTGACTTGAAGTTCCTTCGTTTTCATGTCTTTAGGATGTGTCAGTGCAGTGAATGAAACCACTCCCAGTGTATCGTTGAATGCTATGTAGATTGCGTCTATCGCCTCAGCCCACTGCTGTCTCAGGTAGTTGTACATGATCCGAGAGTGGACTCGCTACTGTCCGTCGATTTCCCCTACAGAGAGGGTCGTACAGAGGCATAGTCTAAAGAGCAGCAGCCACTCAGAGGCACACTGACACTTATAACCAGGAAACAGAATCCAAGCAAAGTATGAAACAGCACACCAGCACAGAGCATACTCCTCCTACCCGCCTAGAAAACTAATAAGCCGAGGTTGAAATAAGTATCGACTCGGACTGTAATGAGCCGAGCTGCAGTACAAGGGAGATCTACTTGGTACCTGGTACCGTACTTTGGGGAGAAATACCAACAACTGCAAACCAATGTCCACTGGAATAGCCACTGAAAACCAGCCAGTGCACCTCCCACGTGCACTGTGCATCACATGTTAACTCCACCCTTCCATACACACAGCTGAGCCCATCCTATGGAGGGAGTCGCGGAGTAAGCAAGGACACGGATACGGATATCTACATGTATGTATGTATGTATGTATGTATAATTATGATGATGCATGCATGATGCATGTGTACCACTTAATACCTACCTACCATCCTACCTACCATCCTACCTCTATCGCCTACCCATCTACTACTGATGTATGTACAGCACAGCACAGCACAGTACATTCAGTTCCTTCAATATCTCTGTACTTTGGCGTAGACCTGCATACTACTATAAAAGGCAGGAGTACATGGAGAGAGAGAGATAGCGCTTCTGCGTTGTCTGCCTCCTCTACCTACTGAGAGATTTGCATACTAAGTGAAACAGGGAATGAATCGCCTGGTAGATGTGTAGTCATGAGGCAGTACGTGTTTCTCTGATGTGCTGATCTAACTCCGATAGGTACAGTAGTAGTAGTACCACCCCCTACTCACCACCTACCTACCCACTGACATGGACATGGACCAGGTAGATCTTCCTACGAGGTACTTGCCACAATTGCCACAGAGTGGTTAAGGTTGTGCTGTTGCTGCTGCTGCCTTGGCTTAAGAGGCGAGGTATTGGAGTATAGGACTCGAGTACAGAGTCGAGTACAGAGTCGAGTACAGTACCTGAGCACAACGGTCATTTCACTCGACGAGTACGGAATACGTTCTCAACGTAAGAGGAAGGGCTTCTCGTGTGCGGTCTAGAGCTCATTGGAGCGTGCTCTGCTCTGCTCTGCTTGTGCTTGGACATATTGACACTTAGTATATACCCTACAGAATCCATGGACCACACAGTAACTTCCTCCTTGGCTACAGAATGGTCGATGAAATGCATATAGAGTGGATTATCCCCAGACACACAGTATCCCCAGACAGCCCCGGCAGACCTTGGCTAATATCAGAGCAATGCCAGACAAATACGCCAACACCAAAAATGCAGATACCAACAAAAGAGATCAATGGATGTATGCAATTCGCAGACAGGATGAACAGCCAGGAAGCACACCAAACCTACCCCTCAACATAGCCAACTGCTGCAGTCAGTCAGCCAAGGCTGGGGGTAGTGGTGAGTCGGTCCCGCGTCACTTCATCTGCACTGCACGTACAAGCCCCCAATTGTCTGACAAAGGAGAATGAGTAAGGAATGAATCGAGTGGGTAGCGCCAAGAATCACCAGCTCCAGAAAACAAACCCGAACCGCCACCCTCATAAACATTAAAACCATCCAGACCATAAATCATCAACATGAAAAACCATAAGTCGTATCGTAACATAACATATCAATCATAACACAGGTGCCGCCCTCAGCCCCGTATGCTCGCAATGCAAAAAAGCAGCCCCAAACCCCAAAGTCAGACTCATCGTTCCGACACCAGCCAGTAACGTCAGGCCGTTCCGTTGTTCCGTTCATTGTTCGTAAAGAAGTCGTTAGTTGGTAATTTCGTGAAGCACAGAGGAGCCCTCTGTGTTCGAGTATGTGTGTGCACGAATTCCAAGGTAGGCTGCCACCACCAACCTTGGAGAAGAGTCGAAGAAAAAGAATGTTCAAGATAGTCCGAGTCAGTCTCATAAGTGATAGCATGTACTCGAATGCAAAGTAGTAAGCCCGGAGCGCCCCGTCAGGGGCCGCGTGATCAATAAGTTATATACGCCGGAAGCCGAGGAAAGAAAGCGTGAGCGCGCAAATCAAAATCAAACATCGCTAATAGACTGATCAATGTAGTAATTGCTAGCCGGCAGACCGAATCCAGTCGAAATGAAGTCATTGCCAGTGGAGTAAAAGCTGTCTATGTATATATGGGCTAATCATTCTGGCTTATGTTGGCCATGTAGTCGTAGGGTCGTTAAAAAAAGCACAATCTCGGGTGCTGAAGTGCAAAGAAGGGTCGGTCTTCCAGAAGACTCGGGCGAAAGGAGAGAGGCAACAGAACTGGGTCAGGCCGCGGTGTCTGTGGACGCAGAAAAGCAACGCAGGCAGAAGGAAGGAGGAATGGAGGAGAGGTCAATAGGTGAGTCTCACCACCGACCGACCTAGGTATTTACTAGTGGCCAAAACTGGCGTCTTCTTCCTTGACCGGAGAGACGCCGCATTCTTGGACCATGCGACGGAAGTCCCGGATCACCTTTTCAGGCACCCGGTCCCACAGCAGAGACCGCGAGTAGACATCCGAGGTGGCCTTGGCCGACAGCTTGCCATAGACGCTACCTCGCATGGCCGCCAGCGCTTGCTGGAGGTTCGACGGCTGCTGCTTGTAGTCCACACCAGCGTCATCGAACGTAGTCAAAGAGTTGTATTGATCCGCATTGAGAGCGAAGGCCTGCTCTTGCTCCTGCTGCTTGGTGGGCATGACGAGCGTGTGGTGGAGCTCGTCAAGGTTGGACGCCGCATTGCCCGTCATCTGGGCCAATTGGGCGCTACTGATCGTGCTAGGCATGACGGCACCAGCCGAGGAGGCGACAGGCGCCTGACCCATGGGCTGGGCGAGCTCGGGAGGAGATGACGACAGCACGGCCTTCAGCACGTTGGCTGATTCCGCGCGGTACTCCTCCGAGAGCTGGGGCATGGAGCGAGGCGACAGCGAGGAGCCGTTCGAGGCGATGAATGCACCAAAGAGCAGGCACATGTAGAATGCATTCCAGCTGAACGGGTGGTCGCCGTGGCCCGCCTTGTCCTTCTCGTGCGAGGCGACAACCATCGCACTCGATTGGGCCGAGGGCGCGGCAACGGCCTCGGCGTCCAAAGAGAGGCTGTTGACCATGGTGAAGTCCTCCCACGGGCTGCTGTCCATGGTCAAGTTCTCAAAGTCGGAGAATTCGGAGGGCAGATTCGAGGGGGCGGAGATCCGGGCGGGACGCTCGAGTTTCTCCACGGTCTCCTTGAGAATGTTGTTCTTCTTGCGGAGGTCGGCCGTCTCGAGGGTATGCACGCGGATCAGCTCGTCCTTCTCCATGTGCATGGTGTTGATGTACTGGGTGATCTCCTGCTGGGCAGCCATCCATTCGCTCTTCTCGCGAAGGAGCTCTGCCTCGCGCAGGCGCATGTTCTGCAGCTCCTCCTCGAGGTCGCTGATGATCTGCGTGAACTGCTTCTTCTCCTCTTCCAGCTTCTCGGTGTGGAGCTTCTTGCGCTGGCGGGAGTCCAATCTAGCGGCGGGTTAGTGATGAGATGATGGGGGGGGGGGGGAGGGGACCAGTCGAGTGACTTACGCAGCCTGACGGTTTCGCAGTAGGCGCTTCTGCTGCTTCAGCTCCTTGATCTCGTCCTCATTGGTAGACTGGCTGATGAGCTGGTCGATATTGCTCAGCGTGCGTTCGGCAGGGATCTCAAAGCGGGCATTCTTCTTGCGGATGCCGTCCCGGCGCATGCTCAACGGGGAGCTGTTGCGGTAGGTGGGACTCTTGGTCGGGCGGGCCACAGCCTCGGCCATGTCGGTGGCAGCAGGCATCCAGCCCTGACTCGACTGCGGCGACATGGCAACGGCGGCCGGGTGCGCAAAGGCCATGCCGGGGCGGTAAGACATGGAGGGGATGTTGATGGTGTTGACAGGGCCGACGGCACCGCCCGCGAAGGGAGCCGAGGCGCTGTGGTCCAGCTCGGAAGGGAACTGCTCGTACATGGCAGTGGGAGTGCAGGCGCCCGAGTCCTTGGACAAGGACCACGAGGGCTGGTGCGCGTATGCTGCGGACGGATGAGCGCCGTCGACGCGCATGAAAGGGTGGGGAGCGGATTCAAAGAACGGATGGCCCACTTGGGAGTTGTGGCGGGACTGATTGCTGGAGACGGAGTGGGAGAAGTCGGACCAGACGGAATCTCGATGCGTGTATGCATCGGGTGCATGATCATAGGAGGGTCTGCGGTGGTCGGCAGTGGAAGAAGAAGACATGTCGGGCGAAGTAGAATCCAGGATCTTATCATCTAATACACTCATCTCATCCTCTTCGGAAAATGCAGGTTTGGCATCCAAGGTGGTAGGAGATTGTTGATAGAAGTCAAATGATGACGGTTGAGAATATCTTGCCATGATGGGAGAATGTGAATATGATGAAGAGAGGAAGAAGAGGAGGAGGAAGAGGAGGAAGAGAGAGAGAGAGAGACGAGGAGATGAAGAGGAAGAAACGGTGTTCGATGGTCGTCGCCCAAAGAAGAAAGCGTCGTGGTAATTAAACCGACACCCAAGAGGCGGTGTGTTTAGAAAAAAACCAAGAATTAAACAGGTCCAAAATGAGGTGCGGGGTTGGAGATCGCGCTTGATGGGCGATCAAAAGGTAGCAGGTCTGGGAGATCCAGGAGGATAGATTTGGATGAAAGAGTTCAGAGAGGAAGTTTGAAGTCAAACACACAGCGAGATGATGATGAGGATGGAGAAGAAGGGGGTTGCGCGAGTAATGGAGGAAGAAGATTGGTAGTTGTAGGCGCGAAGGCGACCAAAAGTGGAGAGGCAGGGAAGAGGCAGAGGGAGAAGAAGAAGAAGAAGTATATGGATCTTATGAGTATCGTGGTAAAATCAGGAATGATGTTGATGGGAAAGGGAAGAGAACAAGTGACAAACGGGGAGGGAACGAGTTCCTACATATACTAAATTGCAAGTATCGATCTTGTAGTAGAAGTAGTAGTAGTCAGTCAGGAAGGATGCTTGGATAGGAACCTGAAGTTGGTCCCTGAATGTCCGAGTCCGAGTCCAAGAAGAGAATGAATGGGGATCGCATCCCAAAACCTACTAAATTAGAAGTGAATTGACTCCCAAAACCAAAATTGAATTTTATGTTGGTTAATTGAGAGGAATTACATTTACTTTACCTAAACCCCACAGGTAGATGTTAGATAGATAGCAAAAAAAAGAATACCTAATAATCAACAACCGAGAATAACTCCCCCACTATACCAGGCACTGCTACTGATCGGACTTGCCCATCAACCCACAGCTTCCACTGCTTCGAAAGGACCCATCCATCAACATCCACCCATGAACTCCTCCTCCACCAAGAAAAGCCCATCCGGCGGTCAGCGGGAAAGTCAAAAGACGAGGCGAGGATTTCTGACTGTTCCCGAGCTTAACGGGTGATCATCATTGGATGCTTCGTTGGGCAGACGTGCAGCAGCTGGCAGGGGGAGAGACCGTTCCCAGAAGTCGCCAAAATTTCGCCAGAACAGGTGAATAATCAGCTTGCACGGACGAATTACGATCATGACGCTTCTCGTGGTCTGCTTGGCCGTGGGCGCGGCTACTTGATAGACATACATACGCTAACTTAGTCATGTACATACATAATTCGTGAGTTAGTTACTTTGGTGACTCCTGACTACTGACTATAACTAGTTAGTTGACTGACTGACTGAATTAGTCACATTCAGTTGAAGGTGGCCCGTGATTTTCTCCCAGCGAGGATCCGTACTTTTGCGAGGAGACGGACGGAGTCGACTACTGAACTGTGCACGCACCATATACTATAATTACTCGGCGGACTGATGACTACCACCACGATGCCCTATTAACGAAAGAACTCTCAGTCACCCGATGCTTGGCCGAAGGTGCAATAAGCTCCTCATGCACATCACTCAGTCTTGTGCAGGAAGAGCATCCAGCCTCAATGAACTATATACGCATATCTTTTAAGAAAGGGCAACCCTAATCTGACCGACCTCAGTTTGCCCTCCTCAGTGTGCACTCTCACCACTGCAATGATTTTTTGGTGACCATGTCCTCCGTCGGCGACTGAGTGTCAGTGTCAGCCAAACAGTCAGTAGTAATCTCCAAGAAGACGGAGTATCAAACAGCCGTTGCCGGGGATTGTGGTTCTGTCCTGGTCGGTATCCCAACACTACCGACCGACCGATAGATACTGTGTAGATAGATAGATACCTTAGATACATACAGTACCAGATAGATCCCATGGAATCCAGTGCCACGGGGTGGGGCCATCGCCCACCGGTTATCGATAGCCTATCAACCACTATACGCTCGAACCAAGCCGTGACCCCTCCGTCTTTTGAACTCTCCACCAAGAGACACCGCCCGATGACCCCCCGGAAACATGACACAAAAATCTCATCACATCCGAAGCCGAACGATTGGTACCTGGCTGGCTGTTTGACTGACGAGAGGGTGATTCCACAGAACCACCAGCTGGATGTCACGGTAGCTGAGAGGGGTAACTATCTAGTTACTCCCAGTCATGAGAGTCAGGAGGGGGTGCAGGTTACGTTAGCAAAGAAAAAACGGTCGCAGTGGCCCGTGGGTTTACGGCCAGTCCAGTCCAGTCCACGGGTAGCCTCGATGCTGCCCGAACGAGGGATCGATCGTCTGTGCGCCTCGCTCTCAACCGCCAAAGTCCAGGTGCATCGCATCTTCGACTCTTCCCGCCTCTGCTCGTCTCATGATCGACTGAGCGTGAAGTCTGCCTTTTTCTTCCCCGTGCACCGAAGCTAGTAGTGAATGCTTCGGCTTGGCCTACCCATGTCACTCAATGATCCCGACCGGCGAATCAATGCTCAGCTGAGTCTGGGAGGAGCCAAAGAGGGATCAGATGAACAGACGGACGGGACGAGGAGGCTGTCATACAATCCTGGATACGGGTAAATCGAGTCCTTCGATCTCCTCGGCCAATCATTCTACAACCGGTGTGACATCCAAGAGGGAGGCAAGGGCTCTGGCTAGACTGGCGATGACGATATGGTTTTGATTCACTGGAACGAGTGCCTGGACTGTACCTACGGTGATCATCAGCCAGTTTACTGTAGTTACTATGTACAGGACACTGCGAAAGTAGAAGAGACCAAAACATTGAAAAGTATCTCTGGTACCGGTAGGGCCGGCCCGTGAGCTCGATCCAGTGATCCAGTCTCCTCCAAACGGTTAGTGCAGCCTCTCTACTGAATTATTGCAACCGCCCGCCCACTTGCGCACACGCGCTACAGACAATCACTTCTTACACAAGGACATGCACAATGCAGCGGGTGCAGAGCCAGACATATCAGAACTTTCTACATGCCGAGTCAGTTTGGAGAAGACGATATCCGGGTCAACCGCGCGAGTGAGCCGCGACGAGTCCAGCCTGCCCTGCTCTTGGATTTCTTTTTAGGTATGATAGTACGCACAGGAAGGCACGAGATGGATGATACTGTAGGAACTGAGTGAAGCTTTGTTCCTCGTTGGGTACTCCGTACAGTCCTACCTCTCATCACCTCGTAGTAATAGAAAATTAACTTATTATCAGTAGGTAACTTAGGTACCTTGTTTAACTATTCAAGCAAGGGATTATGTCATTCAGAGGGTTTCTCAAAACCTGGAACCACCACCTCCGTCCTGTCGGCACATCAAGCTATACTTAGTACTAGGTATAAATTCAACGAACTGTAGAAGCAGCAGCAGCAGCAGCATCATCTCTACCCAAACATCGCTCTCAGACCATAAGCTCAGCCCTCAACTCTCAGCCCCTGACCCAACCCAACCAAACCACCCAAACAGCCCAAGACCAACCCTAAAATCCCCGCGAGTCCATTTCAAGGTAATTTACGCAGCACAAGCACAAGTAAGGCATCAGTGCTTGCCCTCTTTTCTGGGTAGAAGGGACGGGACTTCTCCTGACCAGGTAGGGACGTACCTCAGGTAGGAGTGAGTATTAGTCCATCCCATCACATCACCCATACTCTTAGTTATCCTCCAAATTACCCATCATCCCGCACGGATCCCCTCTACCCTTCAACCCCAGCCCGCACGCCAACCCACACCCCAGCTCAATCCCATGAACCGAGCAAGCAACAGTGGCACCTGCTGCACCGTCCAAACGGATCTCGAACCCTTTCCGTGTGCACTGCAAGGAGCAGCAGCAGCAGCAGCAAGATGCCACGAGTGAGGCGAGATATACTTCTGCCCTGGTTCGTCAGCGTGGCAATTTGAGTTAAGTTGAGTTATTTTGTAGCTGAGCTGATTCACTGGATTGCGACTAGTAAAGTAGATGATATGTACTATATACCCTAATGCTTGAAAGTTGGTCGGGGAAGTATGTCGCGCGTGTGCTGCTATGGTTTGGTTGCGTTGGCTTGGGGGTTACTTGGGTAGTGATTCATGTTATGCGATGCGATGGGTGTGCAGAATGTGAAACACGAGGATGTTTAGGGTAGCTATGGTGAAGGGTGAGGCCGTAGCCGAGATCAGTCGGCATCCGGAGTACTCTGGTACAGTGTCTACTATCAGAAAAGTGAAGCTGCGAAAACTCAGACAGGGAGTCGCTATCCTATGCACTCTTTAGGATTCACTAAGTACATATCTTCCCTCACCCTGGTGTATCAGAAATGATACATATGTACCGTCAACGCCAGATCTCCGAGGCAGGCACTGCATACATGGACGACAGCTGTGCATTTACCCCAAACCGTTAATCACCGTTCCAACCAACCCACAGCTTATGCAACAGATTCAGGCCTAGGGAGTCCCCAGTCGGGGATGAGCAATCCTATCGTAGCAGCGACAGCTCCCGCAAAGCCACCAGTCAGCTGAGCTCCAGTCCAAACAACGCGGTAGCAAAAGATGGGGTACATACTCACACACATGGTGTACGTGGTGAATGACACACATACAGACACACATACAGATACACATACAGATACACATACAGACACGCACAGAGCAAACAGCAAACAGCATACAGTATGGAGTACTCCGTACTCCGTAGCAAACAACAACAAACAAGTTCAGCTAGTCTTTGCTGCTAATCCCTACGGTTAGGCACTCAGATGCATTTCATCTTATCGATAAGATGCGATTGCAGGCCCTGCATGCATCGGGCATGGCAAAGGAACACGGACATCACCACCACCACCGTTCAAGCCTTAGTGTGCACCGTGAAGGAAGTTTGGCCAATGGGAATTCTTCCTCCTCTGAAGGTTCAGTGAGTTGGTGTTTCAGTTTGGAAGGGAAGTCCTGTACAGCATGTGGCCGGATATTATGGGTCATTGTTTTTAGCTGTCGATTTGCTAGAGCTATAGCTACAACTACAACTGCCTTAGTAGCCTCCTTCTGAGTACGGATAATTAAGGAACGCCATACCCCAGCGACGTCTCATCCAGTAGTCCGACAGCGATACCCATGGGGGTTGGGTATGGCTGATTTGGTGCCTCGTCTGTTGGGTTGGTTGTCAGTCAATCACAGTACGGACATATTGAACTTCGTTATGATCCACCCTCTCAAAGACTGTAGCTTGTATGACACCTGCACTGCTCCAATTAGGAGTGTTTCGTACTCGACAGGCAGAGTATGCACAACGCCTAATGGAGACATCTTCTGGAAGGCTTACCTGACCGGAATGATAGCCCCACAGCAGTAGTTTATCAGTCGCTTCTCGCGATAATCGCGTAAACCACCGATCATGCAAATTGTATAGTGCTAGCTACTGACTGACGGCCGAGGTCGCCCTGCATAAGCTACCTCTACCGTTGATGCAATGCACGCACGCACACCCGCTCTATCCCCTGTACACAAGTCCAGGATTATTTTCTGCAGCATCCGACGACGCCAGATTTCCCCTCGATAACCCGTGCGTGTCGATTTGCCTCTGACCGGCAAATCGGAGGAGAACAACACACTATTACCACCACCAGACGGCCCCGAGATCACGGCGGTCCTGTCGGTGAACTTGAAACACGATGAGGCGTGGCCGCTCGAGTGGCACCAGGCTGCAGTGATTATTCCTACGGAGTAAATCCCGAGAAGCAGAAGCAAAAGGCCCGAAAAGGGAGGAGATACCAAGCACGGCGGTACAGACGGTGTGCGGTGGTGGAGACGGGCTCATCATTCCGGGTTCCTGGATCCGATCAGTTACTCCCGTTGGCAGTACTGGGTGGCGCACGTAAAAGACGGCGGTCGAGGAAAGTTCCGGCGGAGACTTATGCATCCTGTCAAAAAGTCGCCATCGGGACGGTCAGTCCTAAGTCTCGGCGACAGCCACTGTTCCGGGTAATTGCTCTGCAAGACGGAGGTACTTTCTTTGCAAGTAAAGAAGTTGCAACAGAGGCGGATGACGATGCCGAGGGGTCATTCTGGCGGTGTACAACTTAGTACAAAGAGTGCGGGCGACCCAATTGGGCATATCAACGGTGGAGCTGGGAGCGGTCTCTGTTGACGCGGATTAGATAGTAACGTATCCAAGTACCCATGGACTCCGTAGTAAAGGCTATTTTCCGAAGATTTGACCATGCGCAACACTAAGCTCCATCGTTGGGACGTCATAATACCCGCTAAATCACTCACAGACGCCCGTGCAGGTCGACACCATACCACGCACGGGGGAATCTCCCAGATCAATTAGTACGAACAAGACGATCCAACCGGACCATGCACGATCAGCATCAAAGTACGGGAATTAGCTATCCTTTCGGGTAGGATAAGATGTCACGGTCGACCGGTGAGATGATTGGCTTTAAGCAGCACTCGGTTGCATGATGTGATTGTTGCCCAACGCGATAGCTACCGGTACAACGGAGAGCAGACAACCACAGTCGCATGGCTACACTCTTCCAGCTTAGACCTAGCAGCATCGATGGTTCGTCCTTGAAACGTCTGCAGTCCGGGGAGGAAGAGTGAGTTGCGGTGGTTTGACATTGCGACGATGAGAAACTTCACCGGAGGTGTTTCGTCTTGACAACTACCTGCGCTCATAGGTCGACTTTTCGATGACTGCGTAGCATCAGCTTTCACTGAAGTCAGAGAGCTTGAGTGTGTTTCAACCTAGTCTGATCTACGTGTAATCACGAATCAAGGGGCCTTTGGCCGGCAGACAGTGAGCCCAGTGTATCAGAACCACGCGGAAGAATAGAGGTTCAGTCAGCCCGATAAGAATGCAGCAGTTGAGGTACCAGAAAGAGTGGAGACGAGAAGAATAACGAGGGAGAGAGATGGAAGATGGAGAAATTAGCAGCAGCTCCATACGGACCGAGTCAGCACATCCACAAGACCCGACTCTTCTCCTATCGGAAGAGAGCAGATAGTTCCCCCAGAACATATACACAGTAATCATCGCGGCCGTCTATCTGCAGTCCCAGTTCCTGGGAACCAAGGAACTGAAACATAATCTCGGTCTCGAGAGGAAGAATGACGATTGGTTGGGCAAGAGCTTTCTCAAATTAGGCGGTGATGATAGAGGAAACAGAAAAGGGGAGAAGCAGCAGCAGCAGCAGCAGCAGCAGCAGCAGCAGCAGCAGTAGTAGCCAAATAGTGACTCAGGCACAGACTCTACTGCATTGACCTGGGATCGGATCGCCTTGTCATGCAGCACACATGTGTGTGTAGTTGGTTTAGTTTAGCATCATGCGCCATGCGCTTGTTGCGGTGGACGTTCGGACCGCTTGGTCTCCTCACTGTCTGCATTCAGATGTACTCCCGTATAAGGACTCTCGCTATAAGGTCGGTGTGCGAGATGTCTCCAGAGATATGATTGCATCCTGTTGGTACTCCGTCTTTACTCCGTCGGGAGATTCGCATTGGATGGCTATCAGCAACCCGGCAGATCCACGCCTCGCAAACCTGAAACATGCTTTCTGTTCCTTCTGCTTACCCCAGGAACACGCGGTCAAGGACTGATTGGAATAGCGCTTGGTCAGGTAGAAACAGCATAACTCAAACCGAGCCCATTTTGGAGACTTACCATGAGAATGGGATGAAGCAGCCAGTGACGCTGCGGGATGGCCAGCGAGAGTCTTGCATCGTTGGTTGAGCTTGTTCTTCACCGACCTGGATGAGGGGGAGAATGGACCCCTGGTTCGTTTAACGAGAGAAAGGACGGAGGTTAGGGAGGGAGCGTGCATTGCATTGCATGTCCATCGGATGCGGATCCACGGGATGGGTTGTGGATGTGGATGTGAAGGTATACAGAAAATGACAGTTAATTAGCCAGCTTAACCAAAGACTAATCCGTAGGGTAGCTACAGTGCAAAGCTAAGCTCTCCTCTCTACCTGATCACCGACTAGTCGGTCAATTCAGCCAGTGAAAGAGTGACTCACAGATGGGTACTGCCTGATTCCCCCTGTCTCCATCATCCCTATGTCTCATGAACTTGAAGATGTTCCACATCCATAAGGTAGTAACTACTCATTGGAGACACGATCATCTAGAGTCGTCTACGATGTTTCAGGTTCGACCAAACCAAGTCCAAAAAACAGTCTCAGATTCTACCTTCGATCAATCAACATAATGAAAGGGTATCTTGGCCTGCCACTGGTACACGACAATCCATGAAGCATAAACTTTCAATCCAAAGCAAGTATGTTCGTTTTCAACTCTCGCTCATTCACTATTCCTTGTTTTTGTCTTTTGCACTCTGACTTTCTTTCTTTCTTTCTTTTTTTGGTTTTCTCCCTTGTCTTCATTTCCCCATACAACCTCAGCCAATGTCAATTACAAAACTGCTACGGAGTTAGTGGGCAAAATGTACAACTAGAGGGGAACAAAGTCCTGTTGCCGCGCGAGGTCTCCAACGTCAGACCCGGCAGCAATGAGCTCCGACTCATCCTCGTCCAGATCGTCCGAGTCGACGTCATCTGAGTCGATTTCGTCGTATTCTTCGTCATCGCTGGAGGCGTCCGACTCTGCGTCATCGTCCTCACCAACCGTCTTGGTGACGGCATTCTTCATCTGCCCGGCACGGTCGACATGGGGCAGCCGGCAATTTTTCTTATGGCATACGCCAGTGTTGGCGTAGTCCGGACACTCGTGCACATGTCGTTCGTCGCACTGGGCGCCTTTCTCGCAGTATCCTAGGGTGGCAAAGTCCCTGCACACAGGAGCGCCAGGTGTCACCCGAACATGGGCGTAGCGACACTCGGGGTTCGCACAGCGACCTCGAAGAAAATGTACACATGCGGGGGATCGGTGGGGCGAAGGCTCGTGGGAAAGATCGCAACTCATACCTGAGTTGCATTTACCAGTCTGGAGAAAGTCCTTGCAAATAGCAACTTTGTTGGGGTCGTGAGTGTAGGGACACAAGGGTCCTTTGTAGCAGCTGCCTAGAGATCATCCGATACACAGTCCGATCAGCACTTCCAGTCAACAAATGAGAAGAAAGAAGAAAGCAAAGGAATAATAGACGGCCGAAAGCCTATCGTTGGGGAGAGTGTCGGTACCCGTCGTAGTGAATCGCTGGCAAAGAGCGTCCTTCTTCTTGACCGCCATCGGTTTCCTGTGGCAGATGTAAGTTGACAAAGCACTGAACACTTCAGCAATAAGAGGCATTCACCTCTTGGACGTAACAGCACCCAGCCGATGCAGGTTTCCATTCTTGCTACGAACAAAGACCACCCCGGCAATCGTAACTCTTTTCGGCGTATTGTTGGCCGTATTCGGATCATCTACCATCGGTAAGCCAGTTCTCATAGCAGGGAGCATTTTTGGAACGTGAAAGACAGAAAGAGAAAAGGAAATGAAAATGCATAACGGTAGGAACACGCACCAGACACTCGAATCAGCTTACTGCCGCCGCGCGAAACTCGGAAGGGCACCTCGTTGACCAAGACCTGATATTCAGCCGCCTGTTCACCCGCGGCAACAGCGGGACTGGTCGTCGGCGCGGCGGCAAAGCCAGACGGCTGATACATGCGACCATGGCCCAGCGCATACCGGAGCACTCTGGCCTGCTCGATCTGTGCCTTCTTCTGTGACTTCGCCTTGCGGCTCTCCTCCATCGCCTTGGCCCGCGACTGAGCCTCCTTGTCGTAGATGGCCGAGTTGATCAGCTGCATGTGCCGGTCGCGCTTCGCCACCCATTTATTGTTGTTGCCCTCGCCTTCGGTGTCCGTTCCGGCGCCTGCAGATGGCGTCGAGCCTGGTGTTCCCGATGCAGTGGTGGGGGGATTGTTGTTGAGGACGAGCGTTCGGTGGCGGTGGGGGGCAGAGTAATGGCGGCCGCCGCGGGGATACGGTCGTCCGCGATACGGCGCCCACACTCGTCCTCGTGATGGCACATGTCGCGAGACATATTGCCCGGCGGGAATTTCGCTTGTGTAAGAGGACTCGGGCTGCGTATGTTGATTCTTGTGTCGATTGATTTGGCCTGTTGGCGAAGGGATTAGCGTTTGCGAGGGGTGAGGCAAGGATGAATGACTACCAGCAAGCTGACTGATCTTTGCCATGAGATCTTGATCTTCTGTCATGATGAAAGGATAAAGGTATCGGCTATGTTAGTAGTTTACTGGTGAAGATGGTGCCGTCTATACGGAGCTGGTCGAGAAGCTGTAAATGAGAGTTAATGCTGAGCGTGTTGTTGATAGAGAGCCGGTGACGAAAGCTGCCCGGCGGCGAATCGATCACGTGATGTGATTCAGCTTGGGGAGCTACAAGATGAACTGTCGCTTCGCTTCGTCAGAAGGAAATTAATTCCTTTCGAAATGACTCGAAAATGTGATACAATGAATATTGATAGCTAGAGGTGAAGGATGAACCTGTGGTCTAAGCCCCCACTGGAGATATCTAAAACAAATTTGTATGAAATCATCACTCCAGAAACCCAAAAGCAGAGTGATGTAAAGAAACGCCATGGCCTATGCAAAGATACATCTGTGCCCTTTTAGACAACATTCTCGAACTGTGCATCATCATTATCGGTCATCATCCCGGAAGCCATCGGATCGTCCTCCGAGGCTTCATCGAAGTTATAGTCGCCTGGAGGGAGTTCCTCCTTGGCATCTCCATAGGCCATGGCGTTTGCATAGTTGCTCTCCTTGGCCTCGGGCTTGAGCTCCCAAGTCATAGCAAAGTCTCCGGACTTAACCAAATGCGCCACCATCTCCAGAGTCTGCTTGAGATAGGCTTCTGGTTGTCGTAGCCGGGCCTTGAGTGTCTTAAAAGGCCAGTACTTGTACTCGCGGAAGGCCTGGTAGATGAGATCGAGGAGCTCGTTCTGCGGCATACGCGTGGTTTTGTTTTCCTGAGCCTTGATTTTGGCGGGCTTGGTCGCTTGCTGGTGGGGGAGTTAGCGTAAGCTACTGACAAAAACGACAGAAAGCACGGAGGCTGACTTACCACAAAGGCCCCCTTGTCGCTGGGCAGTGCATTGCGCGACTGGAGCAGCTTGCCCGGGATCTTATCAATGAAGACGGTCTCGCGCCTGGGTTTCAGCGCCTCCATCGCCTTCTTCTCCGACAGCATGCGGAATTCCTCATTTTCTACCGGCAAGCAGTTGAACTCTTCCCCTACGCTGCCCACCAGCGCCGTTTGTTCTACAGTCCATGTGAGCATTAAGCCGCGCAACACGCGCGAAGCCAATGTGGTAATACATACTCGGCACAGTCTTACGCACATACGGCTCCCATTTCTTCTTGCGCTCCTTCTTCTTCATCTCGCGCTTCATGGACTCGTACAGCGCGGAGCGGGCCTCGCCGAAGACCACCATGCGATTCTCCTGACCAGGGAGATCGCGTTCCGTGAAGAGGTAAGTGTTCTGGGTCGAATGGGAGGTGGCTTCCGTGTTGATTGTCTGTCGCTGCAGAATATAGTCTTTGGGAATCTCGCGATTGTCGTCTCTCTCATTGATGCGCAAACTGACCTACAACGACAGCATGGTGATTAGCCCAAAGCGCGGTCCCGGTGCCCCCGCTACTGTCGAGGATGGGACGATCGAGTCGAAATTCCACAGCGGTCTCTTACTCGTTTAATATCATTTGGCGTTCCCTCCACCCTCATTGTCCCCACTTGGATCTCCTCATCGTCGTCTAAATCGTTTGTGATCTTCGCCCAATGCTCCCACAGCGACCGGGGCAGGCGCGAGAGCCAGACGCTGCGCTGGGCCTGCGAGAAATCCAAATCGCCGGCATCTTCGTATAGATCCTCGTCGTCGATGTCGGCGAGCACGGTGTCTTTGCTGTCGGGGTCGGGTTTGATGTATGGCGCCGTCTGAGCATCAGGATCCTGCTTGATTTGGGGAACCATGACGCTAGACAAGTGGGTGTTAGGGTGGTGGCGCGGGTGTCGGGGAGGAGGGTCGACGGGCGGGTTATGCTGGCGAAAATATCAAGGGATCAAGAGTAGGCACAAACAATGGACTTTTGAGGTGAAGTGTTGAGAAAGCTGCGAGGATAGCAAGCATTGATTTGAGAGCTCAATAGATGGGGGGAGGAGAAGGTTGGCTGCTGCTCTCTGTTTCTTTCCCTCCGCCGCCGTTCGATCGGGGCGGGATTCAAGGCGGTGTGGCAGCAGGGCTGGAGGGATTGGATGCCATCGCCTGTTCTTCTTTGTTTAGACTCAGACTTCAATCAACTGAATGAACTTAACCTTGATGGGTTGTGGCTCAAGAGCTTCCTTTGTTTCGGCTCAACAGTTCCGGTGTGAGCGCAGGAGCTGAGAGAGGCCCAGCTTCCCCGATGATTAACTAGCTGCATGAGATAGCTGGCTAACTAAATGCCTGGAACGATGTTCATTGAAGGTGAGACTGGTTGACAGGTATAACACAGATATTAGAATCTGCTGGAAGGACATTCGGGATTGTCAGTAATGAAGTAGGATACGGGGACTCGTAGCGAGACATACCTGAATCTCATTCCTGAGACTCATCGACATCGAAGTACATCATACACTTCAGACAGAAGTTGATGTCCAGTACATACAGTAGAGTCGAGTGTAACTGCATCAACCACAGCGCCGAGCCGCTTATCGATAAGCCATCCTCCACCTCCACCTTCAGCTTCAGCTTCTACTCATTATATTCACATCCCCTCGTCTCTCGAATCTCAATAACCAGCAGCCTCATCACTCACCCATAAGCCTTCTACTTCTTTATAATACCCAATTCGTATCTTATCTCACTCACAGCCTCCCTCATCCCCCCCCCTCCCGTTCCATGGCCTCCCAAAAGCTCATCTCCGCACTAGCGGAGATTGAGAGCACGACCAACTCGCAAACCAAACTCCAACAATACAATGACCTCCTCACGAACCTCGTACAAACCGCCTCACCCGCGCAACTTCCTCAAGACCTCATTGCCTACCTCGACTCGATCCTCAGCGAGAACCTCAGCATCGTCGCCGCCCGGCCCCTCCTCGACCACTTCATCACCCTCCTCCGCCCGCAGCCCGCAGACACGCGCATCACTGTGGGCCAGCACGCAGTGACACTTCTCTCATCCAGGTCAACCTCAGTCGAAGAACAAGATGCAGCCATCCGCGAGATTCTGGCAGATGCCTACGAAGCGGCAGAAGACTACATCGCGGCGGCGCGGGCGCTGCAAGGGATTCACATCGACAGCTCGCAGCGGCAGGTGTCTGACGCGGCAAAGGTGCGGCTGTGGATCCGGATCGTGCGACTTTATCTGGAGGAGGATGACACGACGAGTGCCGAGGCGGTGCTAAACCGCATCAAGAACCTGCCCAGCAAGATCGAGGATCCGGAGCTGAAGCTGCACTTCAAGCTGGCGCAGGCGCGCGTGTTCGACGCCCGCCGCCGCTTCCTGGACGCCAGCCAGGAGTACCTGGGGGTGAGTCTGGCGGGCGGCGTCGACGAGGCGGACCGCCTGCAGGCGCTGGCGGCGGCCATCCGCTGCGCCGTGCTGGCCCCGGCCGGCCCGCAGCGCGCCCGCCTCCTCGCCTCCCTGTACAAGGATGAGCGTGCCACCTCCGTCGACGAGTTTGCCATTCTTGAGAAGATATTCCTGGACCGTCTGCTCGTGCCCGCCGAGGTGGAGGCGTTTGCGCTGCGGCTGGCGCCTCACCAGCTGGCCGTCACGGCCGACGGCACGACGGTGCTGGATAAGGCGGTCGTGGAGCACAATCTCGTGGCTGCGAGTAAGCTCTACGAGAACATCACGACGGATGCGCTGGGCGTGATCCTGGGGCTGCAGGGTAGTGGCCAGTTCACAGCGGGGGAGAAGGCCGAGGCGTACGCGGCGCGCATGGTCGAGCAGGGCCGGCTGAAGGGGAGCATCGATCAGATTGACGGCGTGATTTACTTTGAGGTCGGCGCGGCGGTCCCCTCGGGTAGGCATATCCGACAGTGGGATGCGGGCGTGCAGAGTCTCGCGGAGGATGTCGAGCGCGTTGCGACGAGTATTACCGAGGCGTTCCCGGTAGGTTCTTTCCTCGAATAGAATGGGATGAAGAAGAATAATGCTAAACGTGTATCGATAGGAGTTTGCGGCCGAGCAGGCGGCAGTGCAATAAGAGTTGGTTGGATGGTGGTTTTCTAAGAGCAGAGCTAGGTTTTTGGAAACAGGACTCTTTGTAGTCGGGCATAGCTAGAAACAGGAAGGCCTCTCCTTGTTATGAGACGAGCTAGTTTCCCACGAAAAGCGAGCTTTAAGAACGCCATTACTATCATACAGGCAGAGCAAAGGTATCTACAAGAAAAGAGTCTCATGCGTCATAAGTCCTTTGTAGGGTCATCCTCGTTCGTCTATTCTCTATCCTTGTTGGTTTCTATAAGGTCAATATTAGGAAGTGTAAAGTCTGTCGAGGTCGACGCTCAAGCATGCTGCGGGGATAACGCATCACACTCAGTTTTGATATCTGATGCTTTGCTTTGGAAAGGAAAGGTGGATAGAGGGGTGATGTTCTCTTCGCTTCCGAGCGCAGGACTAGAAAGACATGTCCCACCGAAACCAAGCTGAAATAGTCTGTAAACTCATCTCTCTTGGTTCAATTTCATCCAATACGGGGTGTTGTCCAGCTGGCCAGTGTCGCTGCAGCGGGTGGATGAGTACATTACTCGCATTCTTCGCTCTTCCCCCCATCTAAACACCAGTCTCCATTCATCTACCCTAGCCTTGGGAACCGATTGAGGTTGCAGTAGCACGATCAAATGGGATGCTCATGCCTACAAAACACATGAAACATACTCCGACCGCGACCCCGACCACGACCACAACATCTCACTGCGCCCGGCCCAAACACCTCCAAACCACCACAACCCCTAAAAGTGGAATCCATGATGCTGCTAAAATTGACATCTCGACCCAGTAAGCACTTTGTTTGGCCATCTTCGCGTCTAGCCCCTGTTACGACCTCCAGGGCGGCTTGGCCTTAGGAGTGGACTTTCGCAATTGCAGTTAATGTCTCGAACGAGTGGGGGCTGTGACCGAGTGAAAAGATGGATGTGTGGCTCTGGCGACGCGTTGGGAGTAGCAGACCCTCCCAAAAGTGACTTCGCGCGATGCATTCACAGCTCGGTTGGTTGTCTGGTGACCGGGTACGGTGAGTGGTTGAGCTAAACGTTCAAAATTCCATGCGCAAGGTTCCGTTGATTTACATCACGAATCACACATGGGTGTTAGAACTCTCCTCGCTGACTTTAATATCCGTGCGCACGGTAATGTCCATGGGATGGTGCTGGGTTTGTGTGAAAATAGATGACGACCCGTCGTGCTCGTCCGTCGATGTGGAGCGCGAACCGCCCAGCCCCTCCTCCATCTTGTAGAAGTCGCGCGCGGCAGCAGAGGTGGAAGAGCCGGCGGCACCAGAAGAGGACTTGTGGGCCACGGCGCCGGCCGAGACAACAAACTGCGAGGTGCTGACGTCTGTGGGAATGTAGTACGGCGCCGTGCGGTAGCGGCGGTGAGACGGCAGCTTGAAGCGCGGGAACAAGCCGCGGATGATGGGAAGACAGGAGCAGATTAGGCCGACTGATGGCTCGACATGCGTCCAAAGCGTGGCGTGGTAGACCGTATAAGTGGTGTCGGCGTTTTCGATCCAGAACAGAACCACGATCCGGTAGATACTGGCGAAGCAGACAAAAGTACCCAGCGCAAACACCCCGTTTAGGGCCAGTTTGTCCTGCCAGGCGCGGTGGAGACCCCAGATCATTGGGATTGGAAGGATCAAGATCACAAAGTCCATCAGCACGTTAAAGGCTTGGTTGACGATGATCAGCGTCATGCCATCGAGGCACTGGCCGGGCACGCTGTGATCCCAGTAGGCTCGCAGTGGCCGGCATTGTAGCGCGCAGGCGAGAAAAATAGCCATCCCCCAGACGGTGATAAGGAGATTGATGCCGAAAGTGGTCCATTGGAAGGGCTTGGTCGTGAAGACTCGGCGGTAGAAACAGATGATGGATATTTTGATGACGGGGCAGAGGAGGAAGTAGGTGAATTGGTTTGCAAGGAAGATCTAAACGGTAAGTGTTAGCACTGAAGAAGTGTGTAAGGGAAGCATCCCTACCTTGTAGAAGTTTTTCATGGTGTTATTGCTCAAGCTATCTTGATGGGCTCCGTTGCCTCCAATAGTGACCCCTAGGTGCATTGTTAGCAGGTTTGAGAGTATGACCGAGAGCTGCTTTCACTCACAGAAGCCCAGTTCGATCAACATGCCGAGCAGAAGTATTATCGACGCAAAGGAAAGGAAATCATCAACGCCAAAGTGTACTCTTCGCTTCAGTCGGGCAATTGCGCGCAGTATGACTGCAATAAAGGAAAGACCAACCAACACTGACACGATGCTGATCATCTCTCTGCCTCTCGAAGTGAGGGCCATGGTGAAAAGTGTCGGTCAAGGCTATAGTATGAAGAAAAAAACCGATGTGAAAAGAATGAATGAGAGGGTATGCATGAGAGTGAAGCGTAACAATCAAAACATGATTGATTGATTACATACACGAGATAGACACAGACCAAATACCAGTCTCGATGCCTCAGAAAGGTTGGTAGCAATCCCAAGACGTTGAGTCGATGAAGGTCAACCTCAGGCCGAACAGTAGCATAAACGTGGACCGCCAAACCCGAGTCACAAGTGGAAACCAGCCTGATATGTAGACTACGCGAGGCATAATACCTTGACCATATGGGAAGCCTCCCCGATGGGTCTGCATAAGAAGTCCGGAGCGAAGGATCCTCCCCTACTAGTGTTTGCGAACTGGCGCAATTGTCATTTATTGGAAATTTGAGACATGTGGGATGCACTGGGCAATCTGACTCCCAGCTGGAACCCCAGCACTACCATGCTGCCACGGTGGAGTAGTTTGTTTCTTCAACATGGCAAAAGAGGCTTCAACCTGCCGATCTTGAACAAGCACGAGCCGAGATCAGAGGATCTGCGTAAGCTCGTGGCGAGAAGAGGTTTGGCATCGGTCCAGTACCCGAGTATGCGCTCAACTGTCTCTTCAGTTTTTTGCACAGCAAATTGAAGGAGAACTTTTTCTGTGGTTAGTCACCAAATGAGCTGGCACGGGGATTCCCATCCTGGTGCGTCGATTAATCCAGGAAGGGGAAGGGAAGAGCAACCATTGAAATTCAAATCAAGTCCAAGATGAAATGATGGCTCGTGCCATCGAAATTGAGCTCCACCGATCAGAAAAAAAAAGATCTCTACTGTGTAGTTCCATTTGGTAACCTCTGGGTCTGGACGGATAAGAGCGGGAGAGAGAGATCGGAACGAGTCAGGACTCAGCATCAGGCGTCAACGGGAAGTTCGACGCCATCCCGCCACGCTTATACCACGCTTGCCTCCATCGGTTCCGGGCGGGGTTCGGTAGGCTCGGACCTTGTGCGGTACCGATTTAGCCAAGCTGGACGACCGATTAGTACTTAGAGCATCCCAACCGAGGCACTGGGCTCGCCTCCTTGTGGGTGGGATAATCAGGGGATGCTATTCTTGACGAGATCCTGGGGGCATGGTAGTGCTCAATACCTGGGTCCAAGAAGTAGTTTGTCTCCCCACTAGCACTCCGCACACTGAGCACACATAAAAACCATCGCTATCGAATCGATTGCTGGACGGCCAAATCCGATGTGAGCGGGACAATGTGCACATATGAATGCAGCCTAGCAGCCAGAGAGGAACCACGATGGACAACTTTCAGCCATTCTCGTCCCCAATGCAGACGATCATCGGAGTCCGATTGTCTCTGATTGAACAACAAGCCAGAGAGACAGAGTCCACCAACTCTCTCATGCGGCCAGCCTGCTCCACCAGCCCGAGTGGATCCTTTACACCACAGTCAATTTGAGTCAACTTCAAATCCTTTGCTTTTCGGCCGCAAGAGTCCAGAATCCCCGAGTCTCCGTCCTTGCAATAAATTGCTCCGAGTCTCCGATGCATGTGCTCCTCGGTCTCGCTGTCGGGCTCTCCTTCTCTTCTCGTGAATCGAACCGATGGTATACGTTGTTCGCGGTGCTGGAGCATGGTAGGCTGCGCCGATCGGCTGTCTGTGACCCCCTGAAAGGTCGTGCGTTACCTAAAATCAACGGCATGGTATTCATCGGTCAAATGGGCCGGCAAGTAGGGGATAGCCTCCTGTTTAAAGGCACAGCAACGCACGCGCACAATTCCCACAGCAGGTCGTTTGTGGACAAAGTTGAGTCTAGGGCAGTAGTATCCTCAATAGTCTCAGTGAAGTTTAATCCGCTGTCAGCTGGAATAGGTAAGAGAATCTTCGTTTGGATCGACTTGCATGACGGCATGCCATGCGCTGTATATGTGGGTGCCTCGTACCACTTCCAGGGGTGATATTCGGCGACAAAATGCAGCGCAGGGTCGACATAGTCAGCTTCGAACCTATCTGATGCAGGGTCGCCCTTCGGACCATATTTGGTAGATTGTAGTGAAACCATGGTCATTTAGTCAATTAGATGCACTAGTTCAATATGGAGAGAATAGCATTGTTCCTAGGCTAAGTCATGGGTGGGGACTGCTATCCGACCCGTTGTTGTTGGCCCTGTTTGTTCTTTCCTCTTGCCAATCCAGCTGCCAATACTTAAGATGAAGATCTCACTCACTTTTTGGCGGGGTCCAAGCCAAGATCCTGCGAGTCTGTGCCAGGTTGTTAACAGTTCCAGTGCATGCCCTGATCTCTTGCTTGATCTAGAGTCCAATCTACCAAGTTACGCCCACCCACTATGACGGTTGTTTCTCTTGCTACTGGGCCAGCAGTGGCTGCACCACCCACTCGTCCCCCAGTGATCCCTCTGATCATCAATGGAAAGGAGGAGTCAGCAGAGTCTACATTCGACGTGATCAGCCCATATACCAACGAGCCTTGCTGGAAAGCCGCCTCCGCCTCCCCGCAAGATGCCATTCGCGCTGTGGAGGCAGCAGAGGCAGCCTTCCCAGCGTGGTCGCAGACCAAACCCACCGTGCGGCGCGACATTCTCCTGAAGGCAGCAGACATCCTGGAGAATCGTCTCAAGGAGAATGCGGAATACATGCGGACAGAAATGGGCGCGGATGTGGGTGCGTCACAGTTCTTCATTGTTCCGCTCGGGATCGCCATGCTCAGGGACATCGCGGGGCGCATCACTTCCATTTGTGGCAGTGTACCCATTGTCGAGGAAGAAGGTCAGAGTGCGATGATCTACAAGGAGCCCATGGGAGTCATCCTGGGAATTGTGCCTTGGTATGTTGTGTCTTTCCATTAGTCCATCTTGGAGCTACAACGGCACGCTTAATTCACAAGTCAGCGAGGGTATGTGCATAATAAGACTGACACGTTTGCTCAAAGGAACGCACCATACGTCTTTGGCATCCGTGCTGCCGCGTGTGCGCTCGCCGCCGGCAACACGACGGTCCTGAAGGCCTCCGAAAACAGCCCTTGCAGCTACTGGGCGCTGACCCGTGCGTTCGTGGACGCAGGCATGCCGTCCGGTTGCTTCAACCTGATCACTTGCCGGCAGCAAGATGCCGCTCCGGTAGTCAATGCCATGGTCGAGCATCCGGCCGTGCGCAAAATCAACTTTACGGGAAGCACAGCCGTGGGTAGGAAATTGGCTGCAGTTTGCGGGCAGAACCTCAAACCCTGCTTGATGGAGTTGGGTGGGAAGAATAGCTCCATCGTATGCGCGGATGCCAACATTGAAACGGCCGTCAAGGGGGTCCTGGCCGGTGCTTATTTAAATGTAAGTTGCTGTTTCACCAGCGTCTCTGAAGGTCTGGCGTTGTCTGACGTCAAACTGTAGTCGGGTCAAATCTGCATGGCCACAGACCGCATCCTCGTTCACTCCTCCATCGCACCAGCTTTTATTGATGCGCTCAAGGCGGCGCTCAATTCGAACCTGGATCCCTCGTCGCCTCCTCCGACACTTGTGAGCATGGCGTCCAAGAAGCGTGTTGAGCGATTGGTGAAAGAGGCACTTGAAGGTGGTGCCCAGCTGCTTTCTGGTTCTATGGATGAGGGGGCACAGACTGGTGGTGGCGTGCGTATGCCTCCGATCCTTCTGGGTAATGTGACGGAGAACATGACAGTGTGGCAAGAAGAAGCCTTTGCTTCAGTGGCCGCCTGTATGGTTGTGAACAGCGACGAGGAAGCGATCCGACTAGCAAATAACAGCGGATATGGCTTGTCTGCAGCGGTGTTCACTGAAGACCTGCGCAAAGGTCTAGCGATGGCCAAGAAGATCCAATCTGGGTATGTCTCGAGCTGTATTTCCTTCCAAGCTCGCAATGCTAATTACTACTACTGCAGTGCCGTCCATATCAACAGCATGACCATTCATGACGAAGCTGTCCTTCCCCATGGTGGAGTGAAGAACAGTGGATGGGGCCGATTCAACTCATCCCAGGGATTGGAAGAATTCCTTGTGACCAAGAGCGTAACTTGGATGGACTGAACAGGTGTGTAGAGGCAAGCAAGGAGGAACCTGACGACGAAATGTACATAGAGAGGTTTTAGAGCGCGGTATACATGAGATCCCGGCCGCCGTGAGCGGTACATTCGATACTTCCACCACTACCAATGAACCATGTGTAGCATTTCTAGCGGAGTTTAGACATTATCCCGAGCATCAGCACGATCTGGCCCTCTCAACGCGTACAGTCAGTAGGAAATGACGAACCTATCTGTAAAAGTTATCCCGAACCCCCGAAACCACCTCTCTCCCAGCCTTCGGGATATCTCCCTCCGAGAAAGGAACCACCCCAAGAACCAGTCACGTAAATTACTGAACAACCACCAGACCGTGTAACGATAGACATTCCAGAACGGGTTCATCTCAAGCTACAAAATCGATACAGTCGGATCCTGCTGCTAATCTAATAACCTTAAAGGCACCACATGCTGGGGTTGGGAAGAGGAAGCGCTCAACTGCAGTGGCTAATGGGCTGTAGACCGTGTCGGCGATTGCTTTTACTGTATCTGGTAGTTTCAATTGACGAAAAGTCCTACGTCACCTGTGCAGCTCGGAATTCGAATTAGTCGCTATTGATTGGTGGATTAAGTGGTGTTGTCAGCAGGGTGATGGTCAGGTGATCAATTGCCGATCCTCAGGGTAACTGTACCAGACTACCGGTAAGTGTCGTTTGGTGTAAAGAATTTGTTACCGAGAGAGTAGATCGTGATATGGTATTACTATCTGGAAGAAAGAGATGAGTGCATCCGACCAGTTTGAAGCAGTCTTGTGAACAAGAGGGGAGAGTCGGTGTGGCTGTAGCATTCGAGGGGATGTAGTTGCTCCGTACTGTAGAATCAAGCCACTACCATTCGGTCCGAGGTACATGTTTCGGCTTGCGCGGAAGCGAGGGCAGTGATCCCGCTGAAGAGTGCATACTTACCTGGGGGTGATATACTACTGATTTCTCTTTACTGTCTACGAGTTATGTGCGAGTATATAGGATTACGTCTAGGCTTGTTTGAATCAGTGTTGGAATTAAGGATGACCAATATAGCAGCTATTGTAGCTTCGAGTCTTCAAGCTTGGGGAAGCATACCGGTATTCAAGGCTTGACATGGCGGGGAAAAATACCTGGCCGAGTACATCTGAAACCCCCACAAGAAGAGAGGGATCGTCCGCGCGGGGATGACGGGCTGACTTAAGCCTGGATGCTCATTTGCTCTTTTCCAGGGCATGTGAAAGGGACTCGAGCTCTACGGCGGTATTGAGCATCTGCTGACTTTTGTCTGGGATGGAAATATCTTGTTTCGGCATGTGATGGTATGTGAGAAGGAAACTCACAAATAGAAGTATATGTCTTGAGTCTTGCTATAGAGGATAGGTGTCTAGCATGACAGTCCCATCTTCATCCAGACAGAAAGTGGGTTAATCGATCCTCATACACCAAGTCAGACCAAGACAAATCAAGCATGTCAATAGTAGAGACAGACGGTAATGGTAATGGTAACTCAAGCCTCAGAGCTGGACAGTACCGGTACGTACGGTATGGACCAGGTAAGGGCGATGGAGGGAGGGAGGATGAGCCTCGGCCGATAAAGCAACTTCTCCCCCGATCGGCTTCTGAACGTGGAATTCCTGGGGTTTCTTAAGATCTGCCCATTCATCATTATTCACTCTTCTTCCGATTCTTCAAATACTTTGTAACCTGCTCTGCTCTCCATCTGTCTTTTGTCTTCTCATTTCTCCCCCACACATTTCTCCCCCACACATTTCCCCCCATCTTCCTCCTCCATCTCCTCTTCTGCACATCATGACGACTGCCCCCAGGATTATTGTGGTCGGCGGTGGATGTGAGTCTCGGTCTCTCACTTAACCCTTTCCAGCTTTCCCCGCATTGCTGACCATTGCCTTCTCGCTCAGTGTCCGGTCTCAGTGCCGCCCACACCGTCTATCTCAACGGTGGAAATGTCCTCGTTCTCGATAAGCAGGGTGCGTTTTCCATAAGACTATGGAGTCCCAAATTGAAGTCGCGCTCTTTTCTGCTCTCAAGGCTAACTCCAGACAGCCTTCTTCGGTGGCAACTCCACCAAAGCCACTTCCGGTATCAATGGCGCCCTGACGCGCACCCAGGTTGACCTCGGCATCCCCGACAGTGTCAAGACCTTTTACGAAGATACTCTCAAATCCGCCAGAGACAAAGCCCGCCCAGACCTCATCAAGGTCCTAACTTACAATTCTGCTGCCGCCGTGGAATGGCTGCAGGATGTCTTCAACCTTGATCTGACACTCGTCTCCCGCCTGGGGTGAGTCCTCCTTCGTCAGCGTTTCTGTAGCCTTGATCGCCTATGCTGACCTGCCTAGTGGTCACTCCCAGCCCCGCACACACCGTGGTCACGATGCCAAGTTCCCCGGAATGGCCATCACCTACGCCCTCATGCAACGGCTAGAAGAGCTCACCGAGGCGGAGCCCGACCGTGTCCAGATTATCAAGAAAGCCCGCGTCACCTCTATCAACAAGTCCGGAAACACTGTTACGGGTGTTACCTATGAGTACGACGGTGAGACGCACACCGCTGATGGTGTGGTCGTTCTGGCCACAGGTGGCTATGCTGCCGACTTTGGTGATGGGTCTCTTCTCAAGCAGCACCGCCCAGACACTTTCGGTCTGTCCAGCACCAACGGTACCCATGCCACGGGCGATGGTCAAAAGATGTTGATGGAGATTGGCGCGAACGGGATTGACATGGACAAGGTCCAGGTGCACCCTACTGGTCTGGTCGACCCCAAGGACCCCACCGCCAAGTTCAAGTTCCTGGCTGCCGAGGCCCTTCGTGGTGAGGGTGGTCTCCTCCTCAACTCGGACGGTGAGCGTTTCTCCGATGAGTTGGGTCACCGTGACTACGTTTCCGGGCAGATGTGGAAGGAGAAGGAGAAGAACAAGTGGCCTATCCGCCTTGTGCTCAACAGCAAGGCCTCGAATGTGCTTGATTTCCACACTCGTCACTACTCCGGTCGTGGCTTGATGAGGAAGATGACGGGCAAGGAGCTGGCCAAGGAGATTGGCTGCGGCGAGGCTGCTCTCAAGAAGACCTTCGACGACTACAACGCCATCGCTGAGGGCAAGAAGAAGGACCCCTGGGGCAAGCGTTTCTTCCACAACCTGCCATTCAGCATCGATGATGACTTCCATGTGGCTCTCATGGAGCCCGTCCTCCACTTCACCATGGGTGGTATTGAGATCAACCAGCACGCCGAGGTTCTCAACAGCGAGAAGCAGCCTTTCGAGGGACTCTACGCCTGCGGTGAGCTTGCCGGTGGTGTTCACGGTGCCAATCGTCTAGGTGGTTCCTCTCTCTTGGGCTGCGTTGTGTACGGCCGTGTTGCCGGTGACAGCGCTAGCCAGTACCTCTTCAAGCGTCTTCTCTCTGGTGGCGCATCGACTGCCCAGCAGCGTCTGGGCCAGATCTCTCTGCACATCGACCCGTCGACCCCCGGCAAGATCGCCGTCGAATGGACTGGAGCCGGTACTGGTAGCGGTCAAATCTCTGCGGGTGCCGGAACTCCTGCTGCTTCGGCTCAGGCCGCGAAGTCTAGCGCCACTCCCGCGGGGGCCCCGGAGACTGCCAAGCCCAACAGCCCGGCCAAGTTCAGCATCCCTGAAAAGGAGTATACCATGGAGGAGGTTGCCAAGCACAACAAGAAGGAGGACCTGTGGATCGTGGTTAAGGGGGTTGTATTAGATGTCACTAACTGGTTGGACGAGCACCCCGGCGGTGCCAATGCTCTGTTCAACTTCATGGGTCGTGATGCCACCGAAGGTTTGTTTCCCCTCCCGGCTCTTGTCGATGCTCTGAGACTAATTGGCCTTAATAGAATTCGCGATGCTCCACGACGACGAGGTAATCCCGAAGTACGCCGCCCACATTGTCATTGGCCGGGTCAAGGGACAGACCCCTAGCCTAGAGCTATGATAGAGTGCGGTAGAGTCTTGGATTTTGTTCAGAAAATGATATTGTAGCCATGTTGATACATACCCTAGTCAGTTCGATTACTTTGTTTTTTTTTTTTTCTTTGCTTGTTGTGGTGCATGGCTTTTGATCATGATGGGGCTCGAAGTGCATTTTTTTGGCTCGGTTTTTGTAACATACAAGTTGGATACAGACATCAATTGATGTTCATCTTAGATGTGTTGTTCCGGTTTAGAATTTGTAGCTGGTGGGTTTACCATGTAGGCTTCTAGGCTTGATGGAAGGAAAATGGGTAGGAGTGAGTAGGTGCCGAGAGATCCGCCAGGGTTGTTGCGAAAGACACTATAATAGCTATTATAATAGTATTAAAGACTAAATATTATAGATTATTTAGCTAATATTTCAATTTCTTAGTCTAAGAAATATAATTAACTTGTTCTACGGAGTGCATACCTAGCACCCGATTTTGAAAGACCGTTGCTACATCACGTCCGTTACTTCCGTCTTCTCTTTCTGTCCTTCAATTCCTTGAACACACCCCGACAAATATTCACAATGGCGAAAGGATCAAGAGAAGCGTTAAGTCTGATCTCCCCGGCCTGGTGCTGTCGATATGACCGATCGGCAGGACACAGCAGGTTGCGGGTCGAGATCCTGAGTTCTCCTGTTTGGGCGAGATCCACGAGAGAGCCTCGAGGGGGGGGAGGAGGGTTTGTGATAAGAAGGCCATGGACGTCATCGAATTTAAGCCGGGATGATTTCACAATTTTTGGTCTTCGCGTCAGAGTCGAAGTGGGGGGTTCTGTCGTGCCTTGACAGGAAACTATAACCTGTGGATTTACTTTACGCCTGGATATGTGATTCAGTCGGTTCTTGGAGGAAGTGAGTGACATTTGAAACAGGGCCTTGTCTAGCTTTCAAGGATTATTGGGCTTCTAGACCCCATCATGTGGGTTTCAGAACCAGCTTATTTGGTGGATAGATCAGATAACTAGTCCGGTTGCAACCTGCTGCAGAGCATATTGACTTCTTGAATATCTTCGGTGCCGTCACGAGGAGACCGGTGAATCTTCCTTCAGCTCGTGTCGGATGAAACTGGGCTGAGGCTGTTATTGTTATCTGACATGTTAGACAGGACAGGAATGTCTTATCAACTAGTGGGTGCAGTTGAGGCTGTAGTCACTATAATTACTTGCATCGTCGTGGTGGTGGCTTATCTAATGTTTCATTCATTAGTTAATTAGTTAACTTAGCTAACTACTTCGCTATTGTTGGTCCCTGGAATCAATGCTTCCATCCTCAACCATTTGAAGACTGATCAACATTAACACCTTAGGGAGGTCAAGTAAGGCCAATCTAGATCGAATCCCGACTCCACTCACAATATTAGCATGATTTGACCTGAGCAGACTAATATGGTCATTGGGTGTCAGCTTTCAAGTGGCCTGATCGTCTCTGCCTGTGCTGACCAGACCAGATCGATATCCGGCCCACTCCGATGGCTGGCGGCACACAGCCGCAACATCAACACTCCACGATAACAACAACAGCAGCAGCAGCATTCCGCTTCGCCAGTATCCAACTCCTGCGCCTTCTATCGCCACTACGGGACTTCAATCCTTGGAAATACAATCGTCTCTGATCAACCAACCCTGTCAGTCTCCCGGCGAAAGCCCGGCCTACACAAGATTCGTCCTCGGCCGAAGACGACGGACTAGATCGGGATCGGCCCCTTACTACGATTCCCAACTGATCATCTCCGTTCATGGTGCCTTACAAGTTCTCCACTGTCTATTCCACTCAATCAATCCCACCATCCCACCCACTTGCGGGGTGGGATCGGGGCAATGGCACCCGCGCGTGAGAGCTGAAAAGCTGCTGGAACCACATTCATTGGCAATTTGGAATCTGTGGCCCAATCTACTGACAAGTGGAAAATTTCTCTTGCTCTCCCCCGACGAGAGAAGTGGGGACATTGGTCTTCCGCTTCAATTGTATCTTTAATCTATTTGCCGTTTGGTCATTGGGCCGCTAATCATGAATCGTGTTCAGCGCCGGTCGTGGATGGAGGAACAGAGATGACGGCTGGTGAAAAGAAAAAAAAGTGGGCAGTGCTGACTGAGACGCTTCTCTCGCGCATTTCCGTGGAAAAGACAAAAGCTTGAAGGAGGAGGGTTAGTTACGTTTGATTGTTTAGCAAGGGTAGTGGTCGTCTGTGGAGATTGGAGAGGGGGAACGGCTGCGCGACAATGGCCCAGATGCTCCGAAGGAGCGAGCCTTCAAGGCCCGAAATCTCGCGTGCTAAGTGCCAGGAGCAGCTGCGGCGGCAGCTGCTGGGGATCATACAAATGCTGTTTCTCCTTTCCTGATACGCGGGCTTCCCCTTACGTTGCTTTCCCACGTCCAGCGTTGATTTGTGTATACCACTCGACCCGCGAAGCAAAGGCGTTTGGTGGCTGGCCACGGACTCTTTCGGTCCCCTCGTTCGTTTTGTCGATTTCCCAAGTGCATCGCCATAATTCCTATCTTGCCATCGATCACCGAAGGTATCGAGGACTATTAGTCCCAGCACTCATCACAATGCCAAACCGGCCAAAGTTGGACCAATTTGATATCCGGCATGTAGATCGTCGGGAGCTATACACAGACTTCAGGAAGCGTATTGCATACCTCAAGGCCTTTTTGAATTTGGTGGACGGTACGGGATCTCTCTTTCCCGGTTGGCTCTCGCCAATGTCCCATATATATGCTAAGCTAAACCTGTCTTCAGATGATATTATTGTCTTCAACAAAGGGGCCAAGTACCTGAAGAGCGCGATTCCAGACCTCACGCATCGTCTGTACAGCAAAATGCTCGAGTTCGACATCACTGCCCGCGCGCTACGGACCCGCAACACCGCCTGCCATGCGCATGTGGAGGACCTATTCACGATTGACAGTCCCCACGTGGAGCGGCGCAAGATCTTCTGGAAATGGTATTTGACTCGGCTGTGCAATGACCCGAGCCAGATGGAGTACTGGGAGTACTTGGAGAAGGTAGGGTGAGTCGCGGGCTCTGCGCTCTGGGAATCGTTGGGTGGTTTCTGACATTGAACTTTCAGGAGGATGCATACTGGTAAAGAACTGCTGCACCCCTTGAACATCGAATACATTCATATGAACGCCTGCCTACGATACGTTGAAGACTTGTTGATCGAATGGATCTCCCTCCATCCGGAGATGACCGTTCGCTTCAAATTCGCCCTGATCCGCGCCGTGAACAAGATCATGTGCATCCAGAACGACTTGATCTCGAAATGCTACATTCCCGCAGGGCAGGAGTATGAAGAAAACGAGGGTGATGAGCCCACCATCCCCACGACGACAGCAGCAGCAGCAGCAGCAGCAGACTCGGACCCCCGTCGACCCAGTCTCGACGCCGCAACAATGGCATCACCTCACTTCCGGCCTCGCGCTGAATCCCAGGCCACCACCGGTACGACGGCCTCGAAGACGGCGAGCAGCATCCGGAGCGCCGAAACGCAGTTCTCGTCGTTGGCGCTGGATAAGGACAGAGACAGTCCGCTTCCGAGTTGCCTTACGCCAGGGTTGCCTTCCTCGTTGTCGCGACCAACCTCCCCCGCGGGCGAGTCGCTCAGCGCGAAAAGCATGACGACCACCACGAACAGCATAGCCGACCTCACCGCTCGGACCGGCTCCATGTCTACGATTGGCACCTTCTCCGACTCGTACGTGTCATACCCAGCCACTCCGCCTTCGACGTCTTCGAGCAGCAGTCTGCGCCCTGGACCGACGAACGCAAATATCTGGCGGAATTCCATGGTTGAGCTTGTGGCGCCGTTGACGGTGGAGTCGTTGCAGACGCTGGAGACGAAGATCTGGTCTGAGAGGATTTGACTTTGGGGTATGCTTGAGGGATAGTGCGGTATATTTTCTATTGGCCTGCTTGGTTCTGATTGTACATAGAAATGATGATAATATTGATTCTTCTGCCGTGTTGTGCTTTGATCGGATACGGTGCATTCACAGGGCAACAGGTATCTGTTCAGTATGCCTGTGTAGAACATCGTAATAAACAGGGAAAGCTATGACGTAGACCTATATCTCGTTCATATTGATTGTTGTTGTGTGCTATCAAGGATTGTATCTAAGCTCAGGTGAATGCGGTCTAGCTTTGTGCTTTTTATAGGGTGTTCACGCTGATGCGTTCATATTCTGCGAAGGACGATGATTTGTCTGGTATATGATATAGATGGTTCAGGGTCCGACTGCTAGTGTCACGGGTATATGTACGGCGGATTGGTTGGGCTGAGTACCTATGCTTGTGGAGGAACCTGGAATTGTGATTAATGATTTAGGTAACTATTGCAGGATACTACCGTCGACATCAGATAAATATGTAGCGATAAGTTGAGATCAAGCCATTGGAGGGGCAAGGCAGCGCCGCTGGGTTTACTACTTAGTTACTAACTAGGTAGTCATTGACATCGTATTGGCTGGATGATTTTATGCAGTGTAGATTTTTATTGACATTAGTGAACAGTGATACTCCATGTAAGTTAGCTTGTACTGGTGGCTCTACATTGTACTCTACTTACGCAGCCCAAGTCGCACGGTAGCTTCACTGTCTGCGGATATATTCATAATCATCACCTAGGTAAGGCTATTTCCCATAGTCCGAGATATACGCTACGCTACGCTGGACCCGTCTGCATATGCTTCAGTATCATCCTCAATCGTCGCACCGCAGGTCCTTCGTCCACAGGTTCACCGTTCAGCTCATTCTTCTTCGTGGACTGCATTTCCTGCTGGGCGGCTTCCAGCGTAGGCTGCAGATACCCCCAGACCTCGTCGTGATAGCGCTCTTCGACCGTGAGCCAGTCCGCTGCGCCTGGTAGCCCCGTCAGGACCGCGTCGCGTAGGACCACTGCCTCCGAGTTGGTGGTCGACGGAACGGTCTCCAAGAAACTGCCGATGTCTGGCACGAGGCTACGCGGGTTCAAGTGGTTCGTGCTGCTGCTGCTGCCGCCGCCGCCGCTGCTGCTGCTCGCGGGGAGCGCGCGACGGAAGGATTCGATGATCTGGATCTCTGCCGGGGTGAGCTGGACGGGCGCGGAGAGGTCCGTCTCGATGATGTCCGCTGGTTCGTCGGCAGAGGCAGGGAAGTTGGGGTCGAAGGTCGAGTCGGAGAGGAGGGAGACTACAGCCGCGCCGTCGGAGGAATCGGCCGCCGCTCTTCTGCCTTGTTCAATTTCCTCCAAAGACGAACCTCCCCCCTCGCCGATGTGTGAATCGTCGCTGCGTGTCCATCTCCCCTTGCCTTTATCCCTGTCCACTGTGCTTAATCCCGCTGCTGCGGGTGCGGTTGCTGCTGCTGCTGCTGCTGCAAGGTACATTCCATCGTTACTGTCGAGGGATGTCTCCCCATATGTGCGCTGGAATTCATCTTCCGCGAGCGAAGGGAGCTCGAACCCTCCGACTCGAGCGGGAGACGATGAACGGAATGTTTGGGATTGCGTGGACTGTTCAGCCCGTGAAGAGCTAGAGCGGGTGGTGTCGTGGTATTGTTGCGCGGCCGCTAGGGCGGACTGTGAGGCGGAGAAGGAGGTGGAGGAAGAGGAGGAGGCTTTCCCACTGCCGGCCAGCAATTGAGCGGTCTCTGCAGAAGGCGGGGCGGAGGGGGAAAAGACATTCTTTGCGAGTCCGGCTGCAGAATCCTGTATGCGACTGGCTAACGAGCGGCCCTCCTGCCCGTCTGCGCTGGCCCCGGCGGATGGTTTGGGCTCGGGCTCTTTGCGGTGAGGGATGGCGGGTTTGTCGTCACTGCTGCCCCGCTTCTGGTCGTCGGGCATGGTTCGTGATGAAGAAGAGGGAAGAGGAGGAGGAGGAGGAGGAGGAGGAGGAGGAGGAGAAAGGGAGTAATCGACCTATTCTGTCAATGAGGGGGCGCTGGATGAACAAAGAGACTAAGTAAATAAAGAAGGATCCAATTCTGCAAGCTATACGGAGTATACTAGACTATATGATCAAGTGTTCGGCTCAACGGCCTCCCCGTCGGTCGGAAATGGATAGAGTCAAGCAGGACACGCATGTGAAGAGCCTCAGGCCGGCAATAGCGATGGATTCCTGAGAATCAGGGCTGCCAGAAGGAAAAAACGCCCGATCATATCATGGATCCGATCACTTTAGTATACGGCAAGCCCGAAACGGCTCTCCCCGGTCATTATGATGAATCGGGACGGATTCTCTGCAGCTGAATGGTTTACTTTCCGGGGGTTCCTTCATTGTTAGTCATGACCTTTGTAATGATAGTTCAGGTAGCTTCACGGTGATGCCGGAGCTCTATGCAGAAGACCACGCCGGACTCATATCTCATAAATGGAGAGAATTGCCTTTGCGGAGTGGGAATGATTTTCCGATACGAACACCTCGATTGTGCGGAAGATCCATTGATCTATCAGAACAGACCGACTGCTAACTAACAGTACTTTACAGCTGAGAGTGGTTGATGTCAGCGCCCAGCTTCAGTTGGGTTGTTGTTGTTGCGTGTGGGTTTGACTTAAATTAACTTACTGTAAGTTACTCTAATCTTCCCTCTCTCTCTCTCCCCCCCACCACCAACCGACCGGACGGGTGTTTCCAAACCAAACCATCGCCTCACCCTCAAGGCTCAACCACTACGAAGTTACTAACTAACCACAGCTAAACCACCACCACCACCACCGCCGCACTTCTCCTCCTCCTCTTCTCTATCTCGCCCAAAGTATCGTCATCTTTCTTCCTTCCCACTTTCCCCTCCTAATCCTTCCCCCCTCCTCTCTCCCCCCCCTCCCCCCATCACGTCTTTTCTAAACCCCATCCTCTCTCTGTTTCTCCACCATTTTAACGGCCATCCCTTCTGGCCGGTTCTATCCGTTTTCCTTGAGATTTCTTTTTCTTTCTCATAGATTATCCCGCCCGCCAGTCTTGATGCACCCCAGAGAAGGGACTTGAAGGCAATACTAAAAATCCACCCCTCACACACACACAAAAAAAGAACACATCCCCTCTCTTCTTTTTATCATCATCGTCTTGCTTTGATCTTGTCAGCTTTGGCTGTCAATCTTTCGTCATCTTCAGCATACAACTGACTCACCCGGCCTCTGCCAATTCACCTGCTCGGCGGGCATCACGGCCTGGATTCCTTCCTCTCCGCCCGTTGCATTCCCTACCCGAGTCTTGCAACCCACAACTTCACGCACTTCTCATCCCCACAGCGTAACCTGTCGTCTGATCTCCGCTACTCGCATCAATCGATCCTTCTTGTTTAGTCGCCCACCACATAGATCATCGCGTGAAAAGTTCTCCCGCTCGAGTCTCTCCGCACGATATCGATATCGGCAGAACCCCCACCTTAATTTTCTCAACCCAAGATCCGCAACTTCTGGATCTTGACACCTTTCGTTCGTGCTTTCCTGGACGCTGCCCCGACAGAGGGTAGATTCGGAAGAAAATGGTAGACAGGGATCCAGGTACTCCCACCTGGAAGTTCACGCAGTAAGTATCGCCTGCCAACTATTCTCTTCGTGGTTTGGTGTTCGACGAGTGCCCTGCTAGCAATCCGTCTTCCATCTGGTCCTCCTGCCCGTAGCACTAACCGTCAATAGATGCTTTGGTGATAAAGGAGATGTGGAGGACATCACGGAAGGTACGTTGCCTAGATGACTTGTCTTGATGGATTCGCCTCTCGGAGGACCCCTCCACCTCAAAGCCTGACGGCGTCGGCGGGATGGACTGACCGTTTCTCTTTTGTCGACTAGCCGATATTATTTCGACCGTCGAGTTCGACCACACCGGAAACTACTTAGCTACAGGTGACAAGGGAGGACGAGTGGTGTTGTTCGAGAGGAATGAAACGGTACCGATGCCCACAGCCCACTATGACACCGGTCGGGTCTAATGATACCGCAGAAAAAAACCTGTGAATACAAGTTCCACACCGAATTCCAGTCGCACGAACCGGAGTTTGATTACCTGAAGTCTCTGGAGATCGAAGAGAAGATCAACAAGATTAAGTGGTGCAGGCGGCAGAATGCATCCCATTTCCTTCTTTCGACGAACGATAAGACGATAAAATTGTGGAAGGTCTTCGACAAGTCCTTGAAGGTTGTTGCAGAGAACAACCTCTCGAGCGAGCTGACTCCCGCGGGTGTGGGTGGTGGCGGCGCGCCCCGTGCGCCCCGACTCAACTTCAAGGATCCCTCGATGCTGAAGCTTCCTCGGATGACGCATCATGACACGGTTGTAGCCGCTGTTCCCCGAAGGACTTATGCCAACGCGCATGCGTATCACATCAACAGTATCTCCGTCAACAGTGATGGAGAGACCTTCATCAGCAGCGATGATCTGCGAATCAACCTGTGGAACCTGAACATCCAAGACCAGAGCTTCAACATCGTCGATATCAAACCCGCGAACATGGAGGAACTCACGGAGGTCATCACAGCCGCCGAATTTCACCCAGTCAGCTGTAACTGGTTCATGTACGCCAGCTCCAAGGGCACAATCAAGCTGGCAGATATGCGGCAGCGGGCATTGTGCGACGAACATTCCAAACGTAAGTCCTCTCAACTCTTGGTGGGAAGTCATCGGCCTGACATGCCCCTCTACAGTTTTCGAACAAGAGGAAGACGCCTCCTCCCGCTCCTTCTTCTCCGAAATCATCTCCTCAATTTCCGACGTACGATTCTCGCACGACGGCCGATACATCGTATCGAGGGACTACCTGACTGTCAAGATCTGGGACGTCAACATGGAGAGACAACCTGTCAAGACGATTCCCATCCACGAGCACCTGCGACCCCGCTTGTGCGACACCTACGAAAACGATAGCATATTCGACAAGTTTGAGGTCGTATTTTCGGGCGACGCGGAGAACGTGATGACCGGCAGCTACAACAACAATTTCATGATCTACCCCACCGACCAAAGCAAGGAGACCGAAATTGTGTTGCAGGCCGACAAGTCGGCTTTCAAGGCCAAGAAGGTTGGTGTCCCGACCCCCATGAACAAGGGCGCCAATGGCAAGAAGAATGGATCCCGCGCTGGCAGCCCGGCAGGCCCTGGAAGCCGGATGAAGAAGGAGACCGATGCGGACCAGATCGACTTCAACAAGAAGATCTTGCATATGAGCTGGCATCCTTATGAGGACAGTATCGCTATTGCTGCTACTAACAACGTGAGTCCCCCTCCTTGCATTCGTGGCATATTCCGGCTGACTCCTATGTGCTAGTTATTTGTCTTCTCCGCACTGTAAGTATTTCGACCAGGTGGCTATAATCATAATTGGACAGGGCGTGTCAGTATGTGAGACAGAGCAATCGTGGGACAGATATGAGACAAATGAAACTCCTAGCAGCAGCATTTGAAGATCCAAAATTAAGTTGCCAGTTCAAGTTCAGAACCTTCCCTTTCATTATCTTGGAGCTTGGTCGCGCCATCCGGTTTCGAGTCTATTGTCCGCCTGTCCCTTCAACCTGATGTCTGGTGACATTGGATGCCTGTTTGCTTCCATGTTGTGTTTTACAGTGGACCCAACGATGCTTGATGATTTTTTGGGGGAGGCGTTCAATGGAATTTGATAGAGAAAGACTACGTGGTACCTCCGGCGGGTTTTTTTTATCTATTCTCCCTGTCCTGTCCCATACCAGCCTTCTTTTAGAAAAATGGACCACGCTACGAATCAAAAGTATATGGGCTTCGCTGCTACACGATGTGTGGTAGATTCGATTGACCTGTAGGATACATCGAGTAGCCAGGATCTAGAATGTGGTGTCTGGCCGGATTGCAGTGATATACCAGGACGCGGATATGTCGGGCAGTGTCAACGCCGGATTGATCAGGTCAATGACGTCGGAGAAGTCAAAGCCCGACTAGCCGGCCCAGGCACTGCAGTCTCATTCAATCCCAGCCAATTGTCTGATTCACCGCCTCTTCCGGAATATCCTGAGCTCCGATGGGTGACGCTATAGCCAAAGAGGGCTTAGCGTGGTCAAATGCCTCTCCGCCTTCACTTTGGAGACCAGCCGTGATCGGTTGCGCGCAAACCGTCACCACGGCTCTCGCTCTATTGCTTGTGAGCTAAGACTGTCATTTTGTGAAGCTTTCTCTCTGTTCATTTTGATCTGCCTCTCTACTGTCTCCTTGGGATTCTAGCTCGGCCAAGTCCTGCACCTGTTTCACCTATCTGCAGCTGGCAGGCATCGGCACAGTGATGTCGCTGTGAAATAGAGTTGGGAGGAACAGAAACTCAAGCCCCCGTACAAAAGAAAACAGTGTCTGGCAACCTTAGCACCATCATTTGTCAAAAAAGTCGTTATTCCCCCTTGGACTGCCCTTGTGCTGTCCTCTCACCTATCGAGTTGAACCACTAGAGTTCTCTTCATGCACATAGACCATGAACTCTTCTGGGAACGATAACTGGCATCCCGGTGGCCCGCCAGCGCATCCTGGGATGGACCAGATGAACCAGCAACCTCGCGCCATGGGCTCATTCAGGTATATGCCTATGATCAGTAGCTGCTAAATTTTTTTGCATCTCCACGAGAACGCTCACTGACAAGACACCTCTAGCCAAAACCCACAGCCGCAACAGGGTCCGTCAGCGCAACCCACAGGTCCAGTTCTCCCACCTCCAGGCGGTTCGGATTCCTCTTTGTTCTCCCCTCTGCTTGTTCTTCGCGCCTATCGTACTGACACATCTGGTATTGTTAGGTCCTTATCATCCCGCAAACCAGCCCGGTGGTCATTCTCTTCCTGGTTTGGCTGAGCTGAGCCAGGGTCATGCCGGCCCACACCAACCTCCTGCCTACGGACAACACCCGCAGGGCCCCTCTCATAACCCTGGTCACTCGCTCCCGGGTATTGGCCAGGCCATGCAACACCCTTCTCCTCAGTCCCTGAGTCGGGACCGCGAGCGGGACTCCCGGGAACGAGAGCTGCTCGAAAGGCAGCGCCAGGAAGAACTGGCTCACAGAGAACGCGAAGTGCGCGAGCGAGAGCGCGAGCAGATCGAACGTCAGCAGCTGGAGCGACAACGTGAGCAGCAGCATCATGGAGTCCAGCATAGCGCCGCCTCAATCCCTTTGCACCAGCCCGTAGCCTCCAAAGTGCCTAATTCTATCCATGGCCCCAATGGTCTTCTCTCCAATCTGAGTTCGAATCCTACCAATGGCCCGCAGGGCTCCATGTCAACGGCTGGAGGCCCGGGGGCGCTCTATGGTCAGCAGATGCAGCATGGCGAAGGGGCGATAAGGTCTTACTTGCAGCATCCTGCAGGACCACCTGGTCAGCCCATGCCGGGTTTCAACGGCTCAGGCCCTGCGATTCCCGGAAATGTCGCTGCCCTGGCTGCCCAGCAGCAGGGTCAGCAGCCGATATTGAATGTGAGTGATTTCTCTTTCGACTTGATGTTAACCAGTCGCCAAACTTGCGGAATAATAGCCCCTAACGATACTTAGGACGCCCTCAGCTATTTAGATCAAGTCAAGGTTCGATTTGTTGATCAGCCTGACGTGTACAACCGGTTTCTTGATATCATGAAGGATTTCAAGAGTCAAGCGTAAGCTTTTCAAGCCCTAGCTCATTCCTTCTTTTTGCTTACTATGGACTAGAATCGATACCCCCGGGGTCATCCAGCGCGTCTCGACCCTGTTCAACGGTCATCCTACTTTGATCTCCGGATTCAATACCTTCTTGCCGCCAGGCTACCGGATCGAGTGCGGAACAGAGGACAACCCGGATGCTATCCGGGTCACTACACCGTCCGGCACAAACACCCTGAGTATGCCTCGCACAAGACATTCCTTGGAGTCCAGCGGAGAGCTTGGACCCTCAGGAGGCATGCCCTCTCACGGCCGGCCTGACTACTATGAGCAGTCTCGTCCTGGCTGGCAGCAACCGCAGCCTCAACCGCAGCCTCAGCAGCCCCAGCCTCAGCCACAGGGTAATCTGCCAGGGTCGTATTCTCCTGGGACCCGGATTATACCTGGCATTTTTGGACAGCAGGGTGGACAGAACCAGCCTCAGGAACATCATTTCGATTTCCCCACTCCACAAGAGCAGCAGGCTGCGGCGGGGGCGGCAGCCATGGCTCATCAATCAGACCAGAGGGGCGTGCACCTTCAGGGCGCACCCTCCGCCGCTGCTGCAGGCCTGGGAAGACCTTCGTTGCTGCACGTTCCTGTACCCTCTGGTCCAGGTTCTAACATCAACCAATCGATGAACAATCTGGCTGGAGTTGGAACAGGGATGCTCCAAGGCGGCCAGGCAGACCTGAACAAGCGGGGTCCTGTGGAGTTCAACCACGCCATCAGTTATGTGAACAAGATCAAGGTGAGAGAGAACCATGACCGCATTTGATAATTCTTTGTCATCATCGTCTAACTTGGAGGCACCAACAGAATCGGTTCTCAAGCGCCCCTGAGATCTACAAGCAGTTCCTCGAGATACTACAGACTTACCAGCGTGAATCAAAGCCAATTCAGGATGTATACGCTCAAGTTACTCAGCTGTTCAACACGGCACCGGACTTGCTGGAAGACTTCAAGCAATTTTTGCCTGAGTCGGCTGCTCATGCCAAACAACAGGCCGCAGCGCGCCAGGCAGAGGAGGCCGCTCCTACGAGTAATCTTCGTGGAGAGGCAAGCTATCCAAGTGCCGCTAACATTGCCTCACAAACTCCCAATCGTGACGTGAAGATGCCGCCCCTGGGTCAGTTTAATGTCAAGGACACGGCCAAGGACGGCAAGAAACGGCGGGGTGGGCCTGGAGCTCCCTCCACTATGGCCTCCTCGATTTCTGGACCTTCTACTGAGGCGGCCCGTATGGCGGAGACTCAGGCTGGTCGGGCCCCAGCGGTGCAGCCAGGTGCTGCTAATAAGGTGAGGATGCTTCTGTTTCATTTCCGCTTCACATGTGATCTCATTACCCGTCAAAATGCGCTTCAGCGGTGGATAGCTTGCGCTTGACACCATCTCATCCATGTTGCGCGTTTATTCCACCATACTCCCATACTGACCCGTTGAAGCGTGCCAAGGTTCACCATAAACCGTCTCAGGCGGAAGCTCCAGCTGTGTCGCCGACACTTGTTCCTGCGCTCCCTGAGCCGATCCAACCTTCGTTCTCACTGACTCCGACTCAAGAGGAATTTGCCTTCTTTGATCGCGTCAAGAAGTACATCGGGAATAAGCAGACATTCAGTGAGTTTCTCAAGCTCTGTAATCTCTATTCTACGGACTTGATCGACAGACACGTTCTCGTTAAGAGAGCTGCCAATTACATTGGCGCCAACCCTGAGCTCATGGCTTGGTTCAAGCGTTTCATGCATGTTGACGAACCTGAAGACAAGATCGTTGATGTCAAGGCGAAACAAGAGCCGGGCCTGGTCAATCTCTCCCACTGCCGCTCGCTTGGGCCGAGCTACCGTTTATTGCCAAAGCGCGAACGGCAAAAGCCTTGCAGTGGTCGCGACCAATTATGTTACAGCGTTCTCAACGATGAATGGGCCTCTCACCCTACGTGGGCCTCTGAGGACTCTGGCTTCGTGGCCCATCGCAAGAACCAGTTCGAGGATGCTCTGCATCGCATCGAAGAAGATCGGCACGACTACGACCATCACATTGAGGCTTGCACGCGTACCATTCAGCTCATCGAGCCTATCGTGCAGCAGTTCCTCGTCATGACCGATGCGGAAAGGGCTGCCTTCAAACTGCCTCCTGGTCTGGGCGGCCAGAGTGAAGCCATCTACCAGCGTGTGATCAAGAAGATCTATGACCGACAGCGGGGTGAGAAGATCATCAAGGAGATGTTCGAGCGACCGTGTCATGTCTTGCCTATCATCTTGTTCCGCCTGAAACAGAAGTGCGAAGAGTGGAAGGCTAGCCAGCGCGAATGGGATAAGATCTGGCGCGAGCAGATGCAAAAGGCCTACTGGCGCAGCTTGGATCACCAAGCGATTGCCAGCAAGGGTACTGACAAGAAGCTCTTTGTGGCGAAGCACATCCAAACCGAGATTCAGAACAAGTTCGAGGAGGGTCGGAATTTGCGGAAGAGCGGCTACCAGGTTCCTCGACATCAGTTCGAATACACTTTTGACGATCCGGCCGTCCTTATCGATGCAACGCACTTGCTGCTCACCTTTATTGACCGGAACTCGGCTGGGTTCGGCGCGGATCCACAAAAGGTCATGACTTTCATCAAGGACTTCATTCCGGTGTTCTTTGGCATGGATCGTGATACCTTCCATGTGTACATGAATGAGCTGTCTAGTGGCACGCCTCCGATCGACGAGGGGGATGATGAGAGTCTAGCTGCCGAGGATGCCTCGACTCCCCGCAGTCGCAAAGGTGGTGCTGGAAAGAAGATGGGTCTTCTCCGCGATGTGCTCGAGCGCGCGGGTGAAAAGGTGCATCGGGCCGAGAAGGAAGGCAGTGCCCCCAATAGTCGGGATGGCACGCCTGACGCTGTTCTGGTGCCCTCTACTCCGATCCCCGATCCCGCCGAATCCTTCGACGTGGCCGAACTCAAGTGGATGGAGCACCCAGGCCAGGGCAACTTCAACCAGCAACGAGAGTATAACCTCAACGAGACCTACGAGAAGAAGGTGCATCACCTGTACGCCAACCTTAACATCTATTGTTTCTTCCGCACATTCGAGATCTTGTATTCGCGCCTGCTTCGCATCAAGTTGCACGAGAAGGACGCTCATGAGGATGTGCGCCGTGCGTTGGTCGGAAAGCCAGCGCAGGAGCTCAACCTCATCGACAAGTTTCCGACCGACTTCTTCTACGACTGCGACCCGAAGGCCAATCTCTATCAACAGATTGTGCGGATGTGCGAGGAAGTGATCAAGGGTGACATGGAGACTACACATCTAGAGGAGACTCTTCGCCGGTACTACTTGCGGAGCGGCTACCAGTTGTACAACTTGGAGAAGATGTTCACGGGGATCTCCAAATTCGCGGGCGCGATCTTTAGTGGCGATTCGAAGGATCGCAGCTCGGATATCATGAACCTCTTCTTCAAGGAGCGTGACAGGGAGGAGACCACTCATAACCAGGAGATCCAGTACCGCAAGCAAGTCGAGCGGCTGGTAAAGGACGGAGACATGTACCGGATCACCTACGTAAGTTGTGTTTTTTGAGCTTTGCCGAGACCCCTGTACTAATCCAGTTTGTGCAGAACCCTGGCAGCAAGAAGGCGGCGGTGCAGCTGTTGACGCCTGAGGACGCCACCTTAGAGAACGAGGAACTCAGCCCGGAAGCGCGCTGGTCGTACTATGTCTCGGCGTACACCATGCGCGACCCGACGGAAGGCGTGGCCTTTTCGCAGATGCGCATGCCGTTCTTGAAGCGGAACCTGCCGGCCAAGCTGGAGCAGGAAGAGGAGTACAACCGGTACTACCGGCCGTTGGTGCACCAGGATGGGCTGATCATCCGCATCTGCGCCAACAGCTACCACATCCTATACGAGCCTGGCAGTTCCGACTGGTGGTGGCGGCCCACCACGACGACGGACGAATCAGGCGAAGAGGCGGGGGGTAAGGAGGAAGCAGCCGTCAAGGAACGACGGCGGGACCGGTTCATGGAGAAGCTGGTCAACAACCCTAGCTGGGCGCACGGGCTGAGCAAGGATCAGGTGGACGAGTCCAACCAGCGGTTCCGTTCCTGGATCACTGGGCCGGAGGGCGAGCCCAGTGGTGCTGGTACTGCGGCGTCCGAGGCTAAGGAGGACCAGGACGATGCAGAGATGGCAGATGTCCCGCCGCCTGCCGAGTCGGAAGCCAAGGAGCCGTGATGCAGACGGAACGGGTGGGAGGGGGGATTATGATGATGATTGATAACTCGCGGGGAGAGCTTCTTTTGACCTTCCTTGACTTTTCGTTCTTCTCCCGTCCCTGGAGCGGCGCAATTGAGGCATGTAATTTTATGTTTTTTTATTTATCATTGGACAGGGGGGGATACCGCTAGATTCCAGGTTCTTGTTCATTATTGATGTCCATGGCAAAGTGTATTTCTTTTCTCGATTGCTTCCAAATACATGACTAGCGAATCCGGGTTACACGAACGGGGGGGGTTCTATTTTGATATTTTGCAGGGAATGAGATGGGGAGTGGAGAGGACAGACAGCATTGGGTGGTTGACAGGGCGTGGATACGAGACAGGCGTGAATATGAGACAGGGCGTTTTGGCCGGGCCGGGAAGCTCAGGATCAGCCACTGCGCCACCATTCATCGACCCAGGAATTAATTGTTGTCTTTGGTATACACAGTCCAGTCCTCCATCCATGATTACCGGGGTCGGTCTTCTGAGCATGATGATCTCAATCAAAAATTTCTTGCTTTTCTTTTCTCAATTGTGCATGTATCGGTCACAGGACCCCCAAGGACTCCTGCCTGGCGTTTAAGTGTTATTAACCGCCTTGCTATGATTTGGCTGGGGGCATAAGAGAGCATCTGGACGTTTAGAGCTGCCGATCATGCAGGGGGACAAAAGCTCCGTGTGGCCGAGACTGCCTTAACCGATACAGCCCGAGACTGCGCCGGGGGCTGGGTCAAGTTCGGCCAAGGAGCGGCGATTCGTCGGTGGTGTTGGGGTGCAATTCCACCGAGATTGTCAGGCAGGACGTTGGTAGAAATCTAGCATGTCATCTTGCTTGATTCTAGATGTCTCGTAGTGAGTGCTATCGACATTTTGAAATGAGTACTAAGATTGTAATGTGTACAGACAGAAGAGATTGGATTGTCGAGGGAGGAGGAGGAGTGGAAGCTGCGGGCCGAGAAATGGCCGAGGGACTGACGTCAACCACTCGACATTTCGCTACAAGATGCGACGACAGGACCTGCTCACTTCAAGACTGTCTTCTCGGGCCATCTTACGGAGTACACTTTCATAACATGTTCATTCCCCGCAATTGATCACGGGGGTAAAACACTGTCCCGTAACGCCAAAGGAAACGAAAGATCCACCCATGGCCCCCGATGGGGAGGGAGCTTCACCCGTTGCGAGCTTGCGGCAGCTGTTTGCAGTTGCGCGCGGAGTAAGATACACCCACCGTGTGGGAGGTTCATCATTGCGGGGGGTGTGTTTGAGGTATGGAGTACTAGTAGTACCCTAGTGCTACTGCTTAGTACGGTAGTCTGGTAGCTTGTAAATTGTAATTCCACAGCTGAGATTCGCGATTGATTGATTGACTGACTCCGTATCTCCGAATCAACCGGGGCAGTGGAACGTGGCGGGGAGGACGAGCAGAGGGTATTTCTATCCCACTCCCTCCCACCTTCCCTCAATTTCTTTCTTCTTGTCTTTTCAACTCTTCCTCTCTCTTTCTCTTTTCTTTCCTCCCCCCTTTCTTCTCTCTGTATTGAACCAGATCTTTCCCCCCCTCCTCTTCTCTCCTCTCCTCTCTCCTCTCCTCTCCCCTCCTCTCATACTTAGTCACCGCCAGAGTCAACGTCACAATGGCAGCATCAGCCCTCCTCAAATCTCGCGTACGGCGACCCTCCTACCTCAACAAACTCGCCAAAGCGGAGGACTTGATTGATCTCTTCCCCCATGGATCGTACATCGGCTGGTCCGGATTCACGGGTGTAGGATATCCTAAGTATGTTGTCCGAGTCTGCTGGCGGCCTGTTGGCTAGCGACTCTGCATGCTCAATCTGAACCTACGACTAACCACACGTCACAGGAAAGTCCCCACCGCCCTCGCCGACTACGTCGAAAAGAACAACCTCCAGGGCAAACTCAAGTACAGCCTCTTTGTCGGAGCCTCCTCCGGCGCTGAGACGGAGAACCGATGGGCGCGGTTGAACATGATCGAGCGGCGGAGTCCGCACCAGGTCGGCAAGGAGATTGCGCGGGGAATCAACACGGGCGATATCAAGTTCTTTGACAAGCATTTGAGCATGTTTCCCAGTGATTTGGTTTATGTATGTCCCCGGACGACCCGGGCTTTGAAACATGGATTTGTGCTGACCGACGCAGGGCTGGTACACGCTCAACAAGCCCAAGAACCGCCTCGATGTCGCCGTCATCGAAGCCTCGGCCATCACTGAGGACGGTGGCATCATTCCCGGTGCCTCCGTCGGCGCCTCGCCCGAGTTTGTGCAGATGGCCGACAAGATCATTATTGAGGTCAACACGGCCAGTCCCTCGTTTGAAGGCTTGCACGACATTGTCATGTCGGACAAGCCACCACTCCGTAAACCCTACCTGATCATGCAGCCCGAGGACCGCATCGGCACGCCGCACATTCCCGTCGACCCCGAGAAGGTGGTTGCCATTGTCGAGTCGGACTACCCGGACCAGACGCAGCCCAACGCTCCCGAGGACGCGGGCTCGCAGGCCATCGCCAGCAACCTGATCGAGTTCCTCAAGCACGAGGTCAACCACGGCCGGCTGCCCAAGAACCTGCTGCCCATCCAGTCGGGTATTGGTAACATCGCCAACGCGGTGATTGGCGGCCTCAGCAAGGGCGGCGCCGACTTCACGAACCTCAAGGTGTGGACCGAGGTGTTGCAGGACTCGTTCCTGGATCTGTTCGACAGTGGCAACCTCGACTTCGCGACCGCGACCTCGATCCGCTTCAGCCCGGATGGATTCAAGCGGTTCTACGACAACTGGGAGCGCTACGCCGGCAAGCTGCTCCTCCGCCCGCAGCAGGTCTCCAACTCCCCTGAGATTATTCGGAGACTGGGCTGCATCGGCATGAACACCCCCGTCGAAGTAGACATCTACGCCCACGCCAACAGCACCTGCGTGATGGGCTCGCGGATGCTGAACGGACTGGGCGGCTCTGCCGACTTCCTGCGGTCCAGCAAGTACAGTATCATGCACACCCCGAGCACGCGGCCCAGCAAGATCGACCCCACGGGTGTCAGCTGTATCGTGCCGTTCTGTACGCACATTGACCAGACGGAGCATGATTTGGATGTGGTTGTCACCGAGCAGGTAACTAGTGTTCCTGTCGCTTGAAGTTGACCGAAATCATACTGACACGAACAGGGTCTCGCCGACGTCCGCGGCCTCTCCCCCCGCGAACGCGCCCGCGTCATCATTGACAAGTGTTCCCACCCCGACTACAAGCCCATCCTGACGGACTACCTGGACCGGGCGGAGTTTGAGTGTCTCAAGAAGGGCATGGCGCATGAGCCGCACCTGCTGTTCCAGGCGTTCAAGATGCACCAGAATCTGCAGGAGAAGGGAACGATGAAGATTGATTCATGGGAGTAGATTTAGGTGTAGCTGTGAATGATGTATGTCTTGATGCAAGAGGTGGAATATACCATAATTGAATTTATCTCATGTTATTGACTTGGGTCGTTTCATCGGGGATGGTAGAGTTCTGTTTTAGTGATACAGTGCCTTGCAATAAGGATTCGTAAGAAATAGCACACCAACATGTTTATATCCATAAAGAAGTCATGAAAAGTTCAATCACTTATGTAGAAACTAGTTAAAGCTGTGAAACAGTAATTGCAAGTATCCTAATGTTTTATCCACTATTCTTTACCTGCAGAATAGTTTTAACATATTTCCTATATTCTTCAGAATAAGTAATAACTTTGTCGCAAATCCTGGGAAGGATAAGTTGGGAGACTTGGTACTTCAAGAATATTCATACTTATGAGACCTTGGAGGTTAGGTTTCAGTCTGAGGCCGATGGAATGATTTCTGGTCAGAAAAGTCAGAAAATCTGTAGATTCTATAGAGAAACTTGTTGAGATTGAAAGCAAAAAAAAAAAAAAAAGGGGGGGGCAAACCCGGAATACCATATACGCTTGGCGTCCGTAGGTACAGCATGCTTGGAAGCAGCTTGTCTATTTCCTTAAGTGTGGATTGTTAGGTATGAAGTTGAATAGAAGTTGATTGGGCTCTGAAAGTATATCTATCCCAAGGCAGTAATGTCCCTAGTTGGCAATTTCTTACTTCACTATGGAGTTGGACAGAAGGATACACTCTCCCATGTGCTCGTGGAATCTTCGTGCAACTCGTCTGTCTCATCATTTCTGGTTAGTTTCGTCAAACCCTCAACTTAACTACTAGTTAGTATGGTTGGCGCAGTACTGACTTCGCCGAGGCATCACACAGATTTGATCGTGCGTTGCCCCCCTTACTCGGCTAATGTAGGTTTGCCTGGATGGATAGATGGGATGGTTAAAAGGGAGATGGTTACTAGTATATAAATAACACATTCTCACCGTATCTGCTGGTGTGCTGGATGAACGATTAGAGCTAGGTCTTGAGGCACAAAGAAACCTCTTTACTACGTAAGAATATCTTTGTGGATGAAAACTGAGTACAAGCACTGCTTTTTGCTTGTGTATGGATCTCCTCCTAAGCCTGCCTGTTGATTTGCGTATATATTTGTGGTTAACCTGTCAGTGGTCAATGCCAGTACCCTGTTGTGATGCTATTCATCTATTTTTGGAGAATGATGATGTGATTCATCTGCAGAGTATATGTGTTTGGATTCACAAATACCTGTGGCTAGATCTCAGAAGTGCGTCTCTGTTTGTTAACAGTATTTGCTGGTCGACTGCAGCACCAGATCTACCAAACCACCCACTGCCAGTGTGTCTGGTTCCTGGCCGATCTGCCAGGCCAGGCCATGCCTTTTCTCCCCGCATCATGCCACGGCATGCCATGACCCCGGGCCGATCAACAGCACATGTGAACCTATCCCTTCTCTTGTTCCCTTTCGACATTACAGATGATATGCAAAGTATTCGTCTTCAAGGTGCGGGCTGGCTGGGTCAATTGACTGGTGGGATTATAGAGTCAAACTATCTATAGATTTAGAGATAAGATAGAGCTTAAAGAGTCATGAATAGAATCAGAAGTTCAATGAGAACCTACACAGATTCAGAGTTATATGTAGTAATAAACAGGGGCAGTCAGGTCAATAGGGTCAAGCAGATAGAACAGGGAACTATATAAGAGTAACCTTTCTAAGTCAGCTCTATATGTCAATATGCAAAGGTGAAACATTGTATACCAATCATCACTCGTTATCTCGCACGCTTTCATATAGAGACTATAGTTACAAAACAGTCAAACTCATCGTATGCTCACGCTCGCCCTTCCCATTAGTCCCCTATGTTCACTCCTGCTGGACAGCAAGCCACCGCGCTAGACACTGCTCAAGACTATATCCAAGAAAAAGGCAAACGACCCTCAGAATCCCTCGGCGAACCAAACGGTACAAAACCTCCCACCCAACCCCGAAACAATCACCCAGAGTAGGGATTGTGATGCTGGTGATAAGGGGGGTAGCTGGCTTGCATTTGCAGGCGGAGGCGACGGTCTATTATATCATTCACTGTCAGCACAGGCCAAGTTCGGCGAAAGTCAGGTACGGGATAGTCTTACCCTTCTCAAAGTCCCGCCACCGTTTCATCGTGATCTGACTGCTGTCAAACTCGCCCTCCCCTGCTTCGTGTCCCTTGTCCTTGCCGCCCGCCGTCTGCCGCGTGTCGCCCCAGCTGAAATCATCAAACTTCCAGTACGAGTACGTCGGCAGCACAAAGTTCCACACCGGCAACGACAGCAAGTAAATCACCATCCACAGCACATACACCATGCGGTGCGCCGTCACCACCACCAACACCCCCGGCAACCCCAAGATCAATGCCAGCAGCACCAGTGGCAGCACCTGCACAGGCTGGTGGACGATCGAGTTGACCACCACGTAGAAGGTGAAGGCGATGGCCGCCGGCAGCACGAGCGTGCCCACCAACTCAATAAAAATGACAAACTGCATGCTGAAGCAGAACGTGCCGCAGAGGTCGCGCACCAGCACCAGCTCCATCAGGTTGTGCACCGTACTGTTGATCCAGCGCCGGCGCTGCGAAAGCAGCACCATGAACTTATCGGGGACCTGGGTCTTGCACACGGCCTGCGGCACGAAGATCTGCTTGCGCTTCGGGAAGGTTCGGAGCATCAGCGTCGACAGGTATCGGTCCTCACCCAGGAGCAGCAGATTCTTCTTGTGCAGCGTGTCTACGACGTTCTCCGAGTAGTGCTCGACCACGTCCGGATTGGCCAGAATCGGCACCCAGTAGTTCTGCCCGCCCTTGGGTGCTTTGATCCGGTACATCGAGAAACATCCTGGAAGACAGGTCACACCACCAAAGACCGATTCAAATGATTTAGCCTGGTGGTGGGAGACAAAGTATCTAGGTTGTGTTAGCTAGCAGCAACCAAGCAAGAGAAACAACCACACTTACTCGAACACCTGGATCATCGTTACCCAACTGTCTGTCTTATTCGCAATCTTCGTCTCGCCGCACAGTCCCATGACATCCGGATCTTTCACCATCGCCGAGATCATGTGGGTCAGACTATCCGGGAACACCTTGGTGTCTGCATCGACACACAAAAGCACCTCGTAGAAATCCGGCGGGATTCCAGTCACCAGCCAAAGCCCATTGAACATCTCAAACTCCAGCTCCGTCATCCGCTCATCGAACATCACCTTCTGCAAGAAGGACATCAGGATTATCTGACTGTCTCTCTTGCCCCGATTACCCGGCTTGGACTGGGTGGCTTCCGCCGGGGTTCCGCACTTGACGACGATCATCATGGGCACGCGCTGCTGCTTTTCCTCTGGAATGATGGAGTTGGCGCCATAGTCATAAAATCCAGCGTAGACTTTGGCCATGTTGTGTCGCTTCGATCCCGTGGCCACGGCAACATAGGAGAAGGGCTGGACCTCATCCATCGGGACGATTGGATCACGCATCATACGCAGGACAATCTCGGGGGTGGAGAACTCCTCGCCCTTACCCTTGATCATGCCGTCACAGATCACAATGATGGTTTTGTGGCTGTTCGGATAATCGGTCATCGCAATCGAGTCCAGCGTAGAGCGGATACCATCTTCACCTTCCGAGTAGCAAGTCACCAGACACAACGAATGAGCCAGAGGGAACCCATACGGCTGCCACTCAGGAGGCGGCTGAGGAATGACCGCTTCATGGACGAAGCCGCCCAGCCCCGCTGCTTCCGACTCCATCATCGTAGTCGAGTATCGTGAGTCCTGCAGCGCCAAGCTAGACCGGCTCGCTGAGTTGGCAGGGCGCGACCCATCAGCCCCCAAACTTCCCCCGCTGTCATTGTAGCTCTGCTTGTACACGGAGTTGCTCCCACCGGGCACCAGACGGGTGGTCGAATTTTGACTGGCCATGGTCACATATTGATACTTCTGTTTGCCCCCATTGCTGACGGTGTAGGGACTGGAAAAGCGAGACGTGGTAGGCAAGAAGCTGGCCCTCTTACCGGGCCGCTCCAGCATACTCGGGTCTGCGATTCGGGGTCCTGGGCGGTAGATATCGTTGGACCAGTCCTCAATCTGCTGGTTGCGCGTTTTGGAATCGGTGCTCATGCTGGTCCGCGCCGGGGCGTACTGCTTGGACAAGAACCACTGGAAAAGCAGGGCAAAGATGAATTTCACCACGACAATGGAGAGAATGAATATCAGGGACACATAGAGCACCACCTTGGAAGCAATGCAGCCGACCGTATCGGTGTCGATGCTGCCGACCTTGATGATCTGAGACAGGCATTTCCCAATCTTTTTCTCCTCGCCCGTCTGCAAGTAGTAGGTGAGATCGACTCCGCGCACGGCGGAGTTCTCCCGCAGCTCATCAAACTTGCTCGGGTATGTGACTTGCGACGTGTTGAACCACCGCAGCAGGTCCAAGTCCAAAACATTGCCCGAGTAGACAGCGAGATTCCTGCTCTGATTTTTGGTGTCCTCCCACGTATAGTACACATCGCCTGAGCTCTTCAGGCTGTAGAACGACTTGCGAGCCGCACCCGAGGTGTGACAAGCCCATCCGAGGTAGTAAGATACAGTCTCGTTCGGCTGGGACGAGCCATCCTGGTTGAAGGCGTGACACGGGAAATACCAGGCCAGGTCGCCATCCGAGTTGGTAGGCACATCGGAACCATCGGCAAGAGTAATCAAACCCTTGCAGTCCCCATTGACTTCCTGGAAGAAGAAGCTGCCGTCTTGGCCTCCATACTTGTGCGATAAATCCCAGAGCACGTTCGTCCCGGCTGGGATCCCCGCGGCCGCGGGGTGCGTCGAATGCGACAGGTCGTACGCCTGACCGTGGAAGATCATGTAGCTACTACTCACTTCATTGACCCTCAGCCGAGTTGGGGGCGTGCCGCAAACGGTGGCCGTAAAGCCAAAGGTTAGGAAGCCGACGAAAGCGCCAATCAGCAGGATGATACTGATCAACCCAATCTTCTCCCGCCAGGCGCTTCTCTGTGCCTTCTGCGGCATGCCAAAACACCTGAGGATGAAATCGGGGGCCCAGAAAGTGATGATCGCGCAATAGGTGGTCCACGGACTGGGTGGGCGGACCTGCTCTAAGGCCTTCTGGCGTTCTTTTTCTGCGGCAGCAGCTCGCTTCTTGATCCGACGGGATGACCTCCTCTTCTTGATTCGCCGTTTTGTGGGAACCCTTTCCATCGGTTGGTTCACATTTCCCTGAGTGACGTAAACTCCGGTTTTCCCCTTGGACTCCGAGCTTCGCGAGCTGTTGGTGTCTAATTCGCGCTCAAGACCCGCCATGGGCACGTCCCCCGTCTGCGATGGATCGGTCGGCATGTTCTGGGATTTCTGGCGATAGTGGTAATGTGGATGGGTTTCGTCGCCTCGCGTGCGCTCCGGTCTCACAAAGCTTTTTCGGTGTCGCGCATCTGGCCCCCAGTCGCCCCTCTCCACATCGGCATCGCTTCGTCTTCTTGAGCTGCGGGAGCGATGGTGGCGATGGTGGCGATGGCCCGAAGGGGAACTGTCGTCGTGATCATAGCGGCCTGTCGACTCGTGGGTACGATGCCGCCTCCGGGAGGAATCGCGATACGAATCAAAGGTTTCTTCTCGTCGCGGGGAGGCCTTCCCCGGACGTTGAGGAAGGGACATGACCTCGTGCCTAATTTCGATTCGGGTCAGTAATGCGTTTATCGAGCGCAATGTGTAGGATGTTTCTTTAGTGTGAGCGACAAGCAAATCGCGAGGATGTTGATTTCTCCACGGGTGGTTTGCATGTGAGAGCGGAGTCTGGGGTCCATAATGAGGAAACCATCAAGAAAGACCGCACCCACCTTCACCTCAGCATGAACCAAGGTATGCAGTCTGGCGTTTTGATTTGAATTTGCGTGTCCGTTGAAGACTTTCCTAAGCAACTCCTATGCAGGCGATGCCGGCGCAGGACGGGCTATACAGGTGCGGTAGCTCCGTGGTTGAGCGCCCGGAAACACTCCGGTAAAAGCTAGGAACGAGTGTGGAGAAAGAGGGCGAAAACCTCGGACAGAAAGCGAGCGAGTGCAGCAGACGGAAATTTAGCTGCCAAGGAACGAGGGACTGCCAAACTGGATGTGACCAGGGGCGATGGGATGGAGAAGCGAAGGAAAGGGGAGAGAGATTGGGATGGACGAAACCACGGCGCTCGAGAGATAGTGCGGAGTAACTAAAGAGTAACTAAACCACAGCAGTAGAATACCTTTTTTTACTAGTCCCTGTAAAGTTAAACTAGACACAATCCGGGAAACCAAGCCTAGTGTTATTGATTATTATTCCAAGGGCCCGCCCGTATTCCAATAATAAGAGATACGCCGGTGGTTCCCACGTTTGCCCCAAAGATCACGGGGGAGATCCGTTCTTATCGTTGCCAAGCCAGTCGAGTCGGGCCCATCCGATCAGCCAAAAGGAAGCGAGAAGGCGAGCAAAAAGAATGTTGGTGGGGAGGCAGCGGTGACAGGCGATGAGAGGAATGTGGCAATGAACCGAGGGGAGGAGGAGGAAGATGATGAGAGGAAACACGAGGGATGATGATTGATCTCTCTGGCATGAAATGAAATGAGATGAAATCCCGTGTACACAACAAATCCAGGTGCTGCTGCGGGTGGTCGCTAGGGGCAATGGATGGCCTGAGGTGTGCCCCGCTATAAATTAGACTAAGTTAACCCCGTCTCTCGTCCGTCAGCCCGAATCTGACCTGCGCCAGAGCAATTGCTGGAGCATTGTAAAAAAAGAGGGTTGTCCATGGTGCTGATGATTTGGATGGGCTGGAAGTGACTCTGGATACTGTTTCAATTCCGAGACAATCAGGCATGCAGACAGTGGCAGAGCAGTAACTGTTGAGTGTGTGTGTATGTAAGTTACTCCGGAGTACAGAGCATGCGAAGGCGAGGACAGACCACCGGGCGCCATCGGGGATTAGCGGGTCTCAGATACAAGGCTGGAGTCCGCCCCCCTCATGACATAATCAATCATCCATCAATCCCTCCATGTCAATCTCTCTCTCGTCTCTAACTTGGTACAGTATACACTATACTACGTACAGTACAACTGCAACCATGATCTTCCAGTGTCTTCCTAATGAGCTCTCTCCAACTGTCAACCAGGCCACTATCGGTCAACCTGCAGAGACCTTCCCTCAGTTGATGACACATTGTCTCAGCATGTAGTTACATAACTATCCGACCACACACACATCATGCACAATGTTCTATTTTTGAGGGCGAATCGGGTGGATGAGTCGCCACACCCTACCGGCAGGGTCCAGTGACTCTCAAAGTTTTCCTTTCTGCTTGTCTGTGGTTTGTGCCATCAAGGAACGTCCGTTATGGTTTAAATAAAAATAATTCTGTTCGTACCCGGTTACACCTGATAGGTCATCCTCTTGCTCACCGTCTCCTCAGACCGGTCGAGGCACAGTAGTACCCCTCGTAAACGAAGGGAACTGCGCCTGTTGTCTGTGGGTGGCTCGTGCGTGTGGTAATTTATCGATAGTACTCAGGAGCATCGTAAGTCTCTTGGGGCTGACAGCAGCCTGAACATTGAGAGGCTTTTGACCAAGTTAAGGGGTAAAGAGGATGATGGCTAAAGCTAATGGAAATCACAGCACGGAGTACCCACCAAGGGAAAAGAATTTATCTCAGCTCTTTTGACCAAAAGTTAGTTAACTAGTTCCTCTACCCATGGAGGAAACAAAATCCATAGTGAGGTGGATCCATCATTATACTTCCTTTCAACCCCAGCCCTGAAGACTCGCTGCAGGCGTGATGGGTCATGGGTCACCTGGTCGCATTAAGGTGGACCCTGATCTTCGACAAGAGGCCCGCAGGTCAGCGTTCGCCCCTGTACGAGGATTCAACATCCGGCAAATCGACCGACACGCATCCAGGGTGGTTATCAGTTGTTATCTGGATTCGACCGATAAGTAGTTCGTAGAGTTCACTTATGCTGCCAACTTGACAGTTCTTTAATTTGACGACCTTCCCTGCCCACCATGTCCGCCGGAATTCTCATCCGACAGACTTTTGACTTGGTTCGCATTATTGCACTGCTATTTTAAGTCTGCTCGTCCAAGCCCGCTACACCGCTTTGTTGTACTGCAGGATGAATATGCTGAGGCTTGTCCCAGTTGTTGCCCCAGGCTTGACCGCGTGCCACCGCCTCGGAATAGCGTCTCACAAGTCAGCTTCGAGGGATGATATGCATTGCATGGGAACACACTCAGAGGAGTTATAGAGACACTTTCTCCCCTACCTCACGGTTGTCGGCCTGGCGAGTATATGGATCGCCAGTGATACGAGATGCAGAGGCATAAGAATCCGCTCTTGCTCGCCGCTGACTACGCACTCTTCGATGACCCAGGAACAGTCTCGAACGAAGTGGTCCAGCAAGATAATGATACGACTTAGATGATGACACACATGTAGTCATCCTGCTCCGGGAGGCACCGAGATCCAGGCTCTACGACCTTACTCAATTTCCTGGATAATGAGAAGGTGTTATCCACTAAGGTAGTTTACGTCTCCAGATCATCCCAGCAAACAAGGAACCACTAGAGAGCCATTTGACAACAATGCTAAAGCCTGTCAGTGTCCATCCACAGTTCAGGCCGACGGGACCGGCAAAGTCCAAGATGTTAGGTATTGTGATCGTCGCGAACCATGACTGTTAGCGAGAGTGGACGTTGTAGCCTAGCGCTGAGCTGCACTAGTCGCGGCGGCTGCGTTCTCGTGACCCCGCGGCGAAACAGGCTAAAGAACCTGTCACCAAAGATGCTGCATACTGAACATGATGGAGGCTGGGAGCGCCTGCAATCTTCATCTTCGGGTCCTTTGCGACCGCGGGTCCCCGTGGGGAAAGGGGGGTTGGTTATTGGCACTTCTTGGCAAGGATGCCTTGATAGGCTGTAGTCTGATGGTCTTGAGATTGATCATTCTGTATTTATAGTTGCTGACGTGGTGGCTCGTTGACGCCGCGAAGTGCCCTTGAAGAATGTCCGGTCATGGCAGCATCAGCATCGCCATTTAGGTGGGGCAGGAGACGATCGTTTATTTGCTTGAATTGCTTGGAGAACGGAAATAGAACTGCAATAAGAGAGCTGCGATGACGCGACTTGTCAAACAGATCTCGAAACTACTCCGGAGTAGTATACATTGGATCACAGCATGAGCTGATATCAAATGGAGGGGATGGCCGGGAGGAGAGGAAAAGAGAAGCGCATGGAAGAGTGAAACATACGGTAGGACATACAGCGTGCAGCTCGTAATCTTTCCAGCGCCTGTCCGGGGGCTATTTTGGTTCCGAGCCACACTAGAGTCTTTTTAAAGCCACTGACGAACTGGTGACTAACCTCCGAGGGGCTTAGCGGTTTAGTTACAATTTGTTTAGAATAGTTTAGTTTAGTTTACTTTACTTTACTTACTAGTCAGGTAAAGGCAAGTACACCAACCAAGTGTGTTGCGTACCGTTACTCTCCCTTTTCTCGCCATTTCCTCTCATTCTCCCATCACCGCACCACATTTCTTTTCCCCTCCTCTCTCTTTCTCTCGCTCTCTCTCTCTCTCCCTCCCATTCTACTTAGCAGAGTGTCACTCTCGTTTGGGTCTCCTCTCTATATTCTCTGCCCCCGACTCTCGTTGGTCTGCGTGAACCTCCTCTCGTTTTGTACTGGCGGAATGACCTCTCGGAAGTACCGATCATCATTACGGTTCCTTCAACACATTTGACAAGGTAAGCCTGTCTACTCTGCCCGGTGGACCCCCCGATGTTCCTCCTCTCATTGACCCATCGTCTCCAGATTCTCCACATTCCTCAATCCCTGTCCGCCTGATAACCGGTGCACATCCCATCTCTCGGTGACTTGACATTCCATCTGTCGTTCCAAAATTGTTTCCTCGAATCTCCTTGATCTCCCACATGGCCACCTACATCGCCAATGCCTAGCCTCGCTGCCGATTTCTACTGCCTGGGTCTAGCCACATATCCACTCGCAAAGTTGGAGAGCTCACGGAGGATTACGTACGCCTCAGGAAACTGTGAGGAGTTGGCCCAATGGCAAGCCTAGAGGCCAGCAGATATTCGCAGCCGCTGCCCTCCCCTCCCCCCGTCTATCTCCGTTCATCCCCGCCCCTTCCCTCGCGTCACGAAACTTCCCGGCGACCCAGCTCGCATCATCAACTGAAGATGGTCTCAGCCCGCGAACAACCCCCGTCGCAACCGCTGGCGACCGGGGAAGACACACATCAGCCCGTCTCCGTTCCACGGGTGCGGATTCATGGCGAGGGAGACCAGCCCGTCCAGCATTTCCACCACGACGAATATGCTCTGTCACTTACGGGTGCTGCCTTTTCCGACTTGTCACTTGCGGAAAATTCCCCGACGCATGGGAAAGATATCCACGGTGCATCTCCACGTGAGGGAGAATTGTATCGAGCTCCGCGGCCGTCAGTCTACGGGCACACGCCCACGAGTAGTGGCTCGTGGTCTGTGGTTGACCCCAGCGCCAGAGAACAGCCCAACAGCAATGCAGGGACCAGCACATCCTCCTTGGACCAAGCCGCCAAGGAGGGCGGACCTGTCTCGCCGCGGGAAAGTATAGATAGCAGCACAGAGACACCAGAGGTCTATGAACCCTTACACTACCACCATCGTCCTTACGAGGTCCCTACGCCATCTCCGGCACCCGGGTCCGGAGAAAATGTCGGCACGAACGGTTATTTGAGCGCCAGACCTCGCCCGCGATCGACGTACTCATTCACATCCAGTGTCGGCGAGGGACGCCACCGGTCTCCTCATCTATCCCCATATCTTCATGGCCGGTCATCGTCGAGAGAGTCTGTGGCATCACCCGACATTCGGCCGCTAACCTTTGTGGATCAACTGAACAGCCACTATCCTCAGCCGGGTCCGGCCCCGGTGCAGCTCGGAAACTCCCAACTGCAGTCCGTCATCGGCAACAACGCCTCTTTGCTGAGCCACAAGCAGACCTTCGACATGTATCTGGCCAATGTCAAGAAGACAGGTGACCCGGCAGTGCAGTATGAGTTTGCCTTGTTTATGGTCAACGCAGCGCTGGACATGCCAGCGGACGGGTCCGGCGGAGATGCATCTGCCGTGTACGGGCGAAAGGCGTCGGAAATCTCTCGGAGCGGCATGCTGAAAGAAGCCAAGTCGATCCTCCAGCGGCTGTCGGATCGGAGCTACCCGTTTGCGCAATACTACATTGCGGACGGGTACGCATCTGGTTTATTCAGCAAGGGCAAGGAAGACTACGATCGGGCGTTTCCGCTGTTTGTGGCGGCCAGCAAACATGGTCACGTCGAGGCCTGCTATCGGGCGGCTCTGTGTTTTGAGTTTGGCTGGGGGACTCGGGTGGACGCTGCGCGTGCCCAGCAGTTCTACCGGCAAGCGGCATCCAAGAATCATCCGGGCGCGATGCTTCGGATGTCAAAGGCCTGTCTCGCGGGCGATATGGGCCTCGGGAAGCGGTATCGCGAGGGCATCAAATGGCTCAAGCGTGCGGCCGAGTCGGCGGACGAGCAGTACAACTCGGGGCCGTATGAGCTTGGATTGCTGCATGAAACCGGATATGGCGATGACGTGTTCCCGGATCCCTCGTACGCGGCTCAGCTCTTCACCAAGTCGGCCGACCTGGGACATGTGGAGGCCAGCTACCGGCTGGGAGACGCATACGAACACGGCAAGCTGGATTGCCCGCGGGACCCGGCTTTGTCGATCCACTTTTACACGGGGGCGGCCCAGGGCGGCCACCCTTTGGCGATGATGGCTCTGTGCGCGTGGTATCTCATCGGGGCGGAGCCGGTGCTCGAGAAGGACGAGGAGGAGGCGTATGAATGGGCCAAGCGTGCTGCTGAAGCTGGTAAGTCAATTGCTGTGTCTGGATTGTCTGTGCCTGGAGAGTGCCAGCTACTGAGACGTCGAATAGGGTTGGTGAAAGCGCAATATGCCATTGGGTACTTCACGGAGACGGGGATTGGATGTCGGCGGGACCCGCTGCAAGCCAATGTGTGGTATGTCAAGGCGGCGGAGCAAGGCGATGCGCGGGCGACGAACCGGCTGGCGACGATTCGAGCGGCGGCCGATGGGGTTGCGCCGAGTGCCGAAGAACCGGGCAAGAAGAAGGGGAAGCCGGGTGAGTGCGATTTTGCATGCATGGTGTTGCATCACTGAACTGCATACTAATTGGAATAGAGGGTAAAGCCAAACGCTTCAGCATTTTCTAAGGACACGCGCGACGGATGCACATTATGCATGATCATTGAGCCTTTATCTTGGAGACATTCTTTATACCAGCGGGAATGGCATTTCAACATAGCACTGCAATGCTTGGATACAGTTGAAAGTGAGTGTATATTGGGGGGGGTGTATGTACGCATAGGTGGTGCCGGGATTGAGCCTGGCCGTGGAGGAATGGACGGTGAATTGCAAAGTCAGATAACCACATGCACTGGCAAGATGTAGATGGTCACTTGGCTGTGCACGAGATGTGTTGCGATGTGTTTTCCGAGTGACATGGGATCAACAGGACTCTGGGTACTACACTATGTGAGGAGCGAGTATATAGCCGACGCCGATGAATACAGTAGATACAATACCAATGTGGAACGACCATATATCGAGGGCAGGTTCGTTGAAGATGGATCGAGCATATGATCCGCGGGCAGTTTAGTTGACACTGCATGACCTCACCTGTGTGCACGAACTCGGTCGTGATGAGACCGTATCAAGACAAAACTGCCGGCACGTCAAGATTTGATGTCTGCGGATTGCCTTATCTTTACCCTAAAGCAAGACCATGGTTACATGACATTGCCCTGCAAGTTACAACCCAAGATGAAATTGCAAATGGCCCCGCTAGGACTAATGAGGAGGATGGGGGCGAGAGAAGTGCCAATTTCTTAACCGGAGTAGTACTCCGGTTGACCCCGTTGATTTTGTTAGTCCAGTGGCGAGGTGGATCCATGGAGCGGTGAGCTCTTCCTTGCACCGCCTTCCGAATCTACATACGCGTGGAATATGAAGCTGTATACGCGTCACAAAATATATGATACTGATTTTGATCAAAAATGCCTTCTACACCTGAGCCTACCTCTCCTTCTGCTCCAAAAGCGATACATTCAAAGCGTCTTAATCGAGATGATCGCCTGCGAGTTCTTACTCTTCGAGACGCTGGATTTACATATCAACAAATTGTAAATCAGCTTCAAATCAGTTACCGCCAAGTTCAGTACACATGTCAAAGTGAACAAGCTACTCCTCGCAAGGCTAAAGGTGCTGAGCCAAAGCTTTCAGACGAAGAAGTGACTGAAGTTATTCGGTGGATTTCGAGCTCCAAGCGTACCCGCCGCTTACCATATCACCGCGTTATTGCAGAACTGAAGCTTCCTATCGGCGTCACTGCTTTAACGCGTGCTTTGAAAAAACGAGGCTATTCGCGTTACAAGGCTCTTCAAAAACCACTTCTTTCACCGGCTAATAGCAAGGCTCTTCAAAAACCACCGCTTTCACCGGCTAGTAGCAAGGCTCTTCAAGAACCACCGCTTTCACCGGCTAATGAACAGGCGAGGTTGGACGCGTCATCAATGGAATCGAATTCTTTGGACTCATGAAACCTGGGTTACTTCAGGCTTTCATAAACGGATTTATGTTACTCGCAAAGCTGGTGAAGAACTCGATGAAACACGTCTCTGTACAAGCCTACCACGTGAACGTGGCTGGATGTTTTGGGCATCTTTTCATAATACATACAACCAAAGGTCCATGTCTTTTTTTGGGAGAAAGAATGGGGTAGTATCAACGCCAAACGCTATTCCGAGCGAATCATTCCAAATATCGATGGTTATATACGCTTGATCGATGGTGATGAATATATACAGCTTCAATTAACGCAAGATAATGCGCCCGATGCAAGTAGAGACAATTCAAGAACTGGACGAACGCGGTATTTTTCCAATCACATGGCCTGCTTTTTCACCGGACCTGAATCCAATTGAGGCTGTTTGGAATTGGGATAAAGAACTGGATTGAACCGTTTTTTCCTCATGATGAGCAGTTATCATATGATCAGCTACGTGAGGTTGTACGGGCTGCTTGGGATGCTTTACCAGCTAATTACTTAAGGGAATTGATCGAAAGCATGCAGGCGAGGTGTGAGGCAGTTATCAACGCCGAAGGTGGCCATACAAAGTATTAATCATCAGATGAATAATCAAATATACGGCAGAATTCGAAGGATCCACTCTCTGAACTAACAAAATCAACGGGGTCAACCGGGAGTAATACGGGGGAATAACTGGGACTGGAGTGAGTCAGGGAGGGTCTCGTCTGGGGTCCAAAAGTGCCCTGGTTTTTTGAGAGGAAAAGAAAGAGGAGAGAAGGAGGATGGCTGGGCACCCGCCCCCCCCTCCCCTCCCCTCCCCTCCCCTCCCCTGCCGATCCACAGCTTCTCTCCGCAGGGATTCCCGCGCCGATCCCGCCGATTAGTCGCGCTACTGTTTCACTTACAGTAGTAGTTGGTACCGGCACATTCTCAGGGCTGCACGGCACTCTGAGTTACATACATCCACTCCAACCCGAATTCACTCAACGAGTCAATTGAATAGAACAGGAGCAGATGTAGATAACGTGTGAAAAACCATTCACGTTCTGCATGAATGACACAACCAACCGAAAGAAAATAATCCGACCGGAAACTTTCCCCCCCTCTGTAACAATTCACTCCAAGAGACGGACTGAGGGACTGAGGGACTGAGGGATCTACAGCTGAGACACCTCGTTAAGTCATAAAACCCTTGGCTTCTCCGAGTTTGTTTCCTGTTCCTTTTTCTCCTTCTCCTGATCTGCTCCTGTCTGCACCCAACCTCCTCTTCCGTCATACCTTTTATCTTTAGAAGTTATCCCCTGGCGGATTGTGTCCACGTTCTTTGCTTGATTGATTGAGTGGGATTGACTAGAGAAGTACCCGTGGTATGTGATGTTATTTGTCTGTCATCTCATCTGCCCTATTAGACCGAAGTTGTGTTGTGTGGCTCGTGGTTGTGCTCGTGGTGACTGTGGCCATGGGGTCGGGATCATCAACTCTCAGTCTGAAAAGGCTGGTTGTGTTGAAAAAAGCCGGTTCTAGCTAACAGTTTGTTTCTGCAGTTCGCCACCACACCAGATAATTTCTCCCATTTATAACATACACACTTCGAACCCATCGATCAACATGCGCTTCCTCGCTGTCCTCGCCCTCTTCGCCTCGATGGCTGTTGCCCGACCTGCTGAGAATGGGATGTTCAATATGGAGATTTCTTGCATTGGGGTAGGTTTTGTCCTTTGGCTTGTTACCTTTGGCTTTTGGTCAGAGGAGGGGATAACGGAGTGGAAAGCTACACTTTGGACATATGCATATGCATACTCCGCCAGTCCTCCAGCGAGCTTTTCACAATTCAATTCAAAGCTCGACTGAACCTCTGATCAAGCACATACATGAAGCTGTTTTAAGGAATAAAACTGACAAATGCATAGCTCAACGACAGAATGTGTATCTCCAACTCGACCAGCGGGATGGGCTGTTGTCCTCCCTTGACCTGCGGAGCGGATCATGTAAGTCTTTCTGTCTGGGGATGGGTTGAGCTGGGCTGACTAAGGGTGAAGCGCTGTCACCGTTGATTTGAGTATTAGCTTGATGCTGGAGGAATACTATTAGCTGCCTGCGGGGGGGGGTTGTTTGAGGGTAATGTCTGTTTGGTGAGGATAGAGGGAGTCTGTATCTAGAGTCAGGAGGGTGTGATATGCTATCTATAATATCAGCTAATGAGTGGAATTCATGGTGTGAGAGACTGGGTTTAGCGTGACGCTAATAATTACCATGTCCTTGCAGGGATTCTAGCAGTTTTGAGATACCGAGTAGGTCTACCTGGGAGGTATAGCTCGGACTGAAGCTATAGGATGTAAACCACCTGGAAGCTACAGAAGCTACACCCTCACAAGGCAATCAATCACTACCTAGAACCACATTCAACAGTCCATGGAATAACAGTAGAGTCCATTAAATAACAGTAAGCAAGTCAAACAACCAACCCACACACCACCCACAGAAAGTGCCTAGCAGCATTACAAAAACTTACTCGCCAAGCTCAGCAAACCCGCAGGACCCCCCGTACCACTCGACCCACTGCCCTGACTCTTCATGTACATCTTCAACGCCATCTCAGCGGCCTGGTTGATAGCGGACTGCTTGTCTCCGGACTATTCATCGAATCGTTAGCAACCGCCACCGTAACAACACCTTCACCTCCACCTTATTGATGAATGAAAATCAACACCCCCGGAAGGGTTCGAAGGGAGGGAAAAACTTACAGCCTGTCCACTCGAACTCTTCTCCTCCCACAGCTTACTAGCCTGCGCCATCGCCAGCCCAATAAACTCATTCTTGCCACCGGAGCCCCCCGAGCTGCCAGACGAGAACATCTTCAGCGCCTGCATCGCCGCGCCCGCGCCCAGAGTGCGGGAATCATGCTGCTGGCTACCCCCGTTGTAGACGGCCTGGTGGGACTGCACCATCTGGGCCTCGTCGATCTCCTCGTCCTCGTCCCCCTTGCTGTGGCGGTTGGTGATGTAGTTCAGCGCCGTGTTGAAGAGGTCGGAGGAGCCGGTGCCGCCGCTGTGGGATTCCGCGTGCGAGGTGGCCTGCGCGACATCCTCGTAGCTGGGGCGCGAGGCGTAATTGGGGTTCTGGTGGGGAGGGTTGTGGCCGTAGCTGCCTTCGTTGTTGCCATAGCCACCGCCGCCGCCGTAACCACCTTGCTCACCACCATAGCCACCGCCGCCGTAACCACCCTGCTGGTGGTGCTGCTGGCCTCCATAGCCCTGCTGGCCTCCATAACCACCTTGCTCACCACCATAGCCCTGCTGCCCTCCATAGCCCTGCTGCCCTCCATAACCACCCTGCTCACCTCCATAGCCCTGCTGGCCTCCATAGCCACCCTGCTGGTGGTGCTGCTGGCCTCCATAACCACCTTGCTGGCCTCCATAGCCCTGCTGCCCTCCATAGCCCTGCTGGCCTCCATAGCTCTGCTCACCACCATAGCCACCCTGGCTATACTCCCCCTGCCCTTGACCCTGACCGTGGTGCGAACCCCCGTTACCACTGTTATCACTGTTGTTGTTGTTGTTGCCGCCACCAGCATAGTTGCTAGCCGCCTGCTCGATAGCCGAGGAGATGAAGTTGGAAAAGGACATCTTGCTTGCTGGATGAGACTGCAGGAAGGTTCAAACCAAGATTAGCAAGCGGGTGACTACTGCGACTGCAGGTTGATTCAGACAGACAATAAGACAATAAAGAGAGGGAGGGGGACGCTACCAAATGTGTGTATGTGTGTAGGTGATCTCAACAAGACAGATGATGGAAGAATCAGAAGAGAAGAGAAGGAAAAGCCCGAATGACGAGGGGGAGCACCACCACACACCAGCAGCAGCAGTATTTACGTACGTACGTAATTGAGGGGCAATCAGCTGTGGCTGAGCGGTGTAGATCGGCGCGGGGCGGGAGATGCTGCTCCACTTATTGCATTGGGCAGTGAATAAGTTGAGGGCACTGCAGTATGGCGCTCAGCCACTCACTCGTATTGTGTGCCACACGGCAGTAAGTGTGCCGTGCTTGCTTCTGCACCATGATGCAATCATTTACTGTCAACTGTTAACTGTCAACTGTTACCTGTTAAACACTCATCTGGCTCATCAGGCAAATCATCAGTCGTAATATAGACGCAAATGTAGACAATGTACAGTCTACTGGTATCTCGCTAATGCAACCCCCCCAAACACACCCCCACTACACTCTCCGTATAACTACAAGATCAACGCTTCATGCTCCTCATCCCCCAGATTCCACAGCACCCGCTGCTGTCGCTCACGCTCCCTCAACAGGCACCGCTCGTCCTCATCCAACTCCGCTTCCCGCGTCCACTCGTTCGGCAGCCCCTGCGGTCCATACCGTTGCCCCCATTGTCGCCGCTCGTACTCCATGAACCCCCCAAAGTGCTCGTCCGTGTTGGCCACCCAGATCGTACTGCCGTCCGGTGAGTAGTCCGCCCCGCCAATCTCCCCGAAGAAGTCGTGCACCTGCCGGCCCTGGTACGTCTGCGCATTCACAATCGTGACCCGGTCCGCCGGCTCGCACAGCAGCAGCGTCCGCGACCCCCCGCCCACGGGGGAGAACCGCACCGAGCGGTACCCGGCCACATCGGATTCGATCTTCTGCAGCATGCGCCACATGCGCACGTCCCAGATGATCGCCGTCTTGTCCTGGTTGCTCGTCGCAATGTGCCGCATGTCCGGCGACCACGCGCACGCAAACCCAAAGTCGCGATGGCCCCGCAGCGGATGCACCGGCCGCCCGCTGTCCGCCTCCACCACCCACGCATCCGGCGAGTCGCCAATCACCACCCGGAGACGCCCGTCCGGCGCCGTCGCCGTGCAGTTCACCGCGCGCGAGAGCTCGTAGTCGGCGAGGAACGTGTTCGTCTCGCAGTCCAGCACCCGAAGATGGCGGTCGTTCGACGCGAAGATCCCCAGCGGCGATCGACTGCTGCGACTCGGCACCACGTCGATGTGGTTCGTGATGCCGTTCGGATCTTGCGTCACATACCCCGCGATCCCTGACCCGGCTGTGCCCAGCGCGCGTAAAGCGTACTCGCCGGCGAACCCTCCCGCGATCGTGATGTCATGCGCCGACTTCATCGTCGAGATCTTCACCGGGGCCTGCAGTCCGGACTCCACCGTCGGCTTGGACAGATCGATCAGGCACCGCAGCTCATCGTACACCGGGACCCACGAGTAGATCTTCGATTCGTGCGCAAAGTGGACCGTATGGTAGGCCGCCGCGGACATGAGGTTGCGCAGCTGGAAATGCTCGATGCTCGCCTTGTGGCCCGTGTACATGGCCTTCTCGCGAAAAAAGGTTTCATCCTGTGGCAATCTCGCTCCCGGCCGTTGGCGCGAGTACTCCAAGTTATGGTAGGAGGTGTACGAGTGATCTCGCAACTCCCGCGCATAAGACCGTTTGACCTGCAACACCTCCTTCCACGGAATCTGCTGGATATCAAAAAAGTCCCATCGATACCCGGCCGGCCGCACAATCTTGGCCGGCGGCGTCCACACCAGCAGACTATCGAGAGCGACGCGAGAGATCGGAGTAAGCCCACGTGAGGGGTAGGGCATTGAGGGCGCGTATGAATGGCGGCACCATTGCCCGAGAAATTGATCGATGGTCAAGTTCCGTTCTTTGACTGTAGGACAGTTAGCCAAGCCGCCACAACAGAGCGACGATTACACCTTACCTGTCCCACCAGCCGGGTCTGTAACATGTTGCTCATTCGGTGCGTCAACGCCGCTGGCCTCATCTCCCTCGGACACGGAAGCGCTGTGGTCATCGTGGGCGGCGGCGGCGGCGGCGGCGCCGGGAACCATCTCCGAAGACTGCGGCACGTACCCAGAGTCCAGTCCCTGATAGAACTCATCGAAATCGACTTCCGATAAGGCGGCAGTACTGCGGCGGGCCCGCGCCTCAGGATCCTCGTAGTCAGATTCCTCTCCGCCATCATCCATGTAGAACTTGTAAGTGTCGTCGGGATCGTGATCCAACTCGGACAGGGTCGTCGGTCGCGTCTCCACGACGGACGAATCGTAGTCGATGATCAAGTCGGCCGCCTCATCCTCATCCTCATCGTCATCGGTCATCTCCGAGATGCTCGAGGATATCCCGTGCGCGTATACTGGGCCCGGAACCTCCTCGTTGTATGCACTCAAGTATGGCCCCAGCGGGACGCCCCCGACGTCCGAGAGCACGTCGGTCATTTCCGAGTCAGTCAATTCCGAGTCGGTATCATACCACTCTCTCGACGGAGATGACGAGGTGAGCCGGGGCGTCGATGGGTCGGCAGCATGACTGTAGCGGGCGAATCCTTCCGGCTCCATCACTGCGTTGACGATCGCCGTCACCGCGACCGGGGCGGCGTCGCGAGGGGCGTTGGGAAATTGCGGAACCGCCATCAAGGTCATGTCCAGACCAGTCCTTGGGTCTGCGACGAACGAGGCGGATGCGCCCGGCGGGGGCCCGTCACCCTCGGGGGGCGTCATGTCTTGACGGGTAGCGGAAGGCGACCAGTTGGGAGGTTGTGACGATGGACGGGAGACATTGCTGAAGGGGGTGTTCGCGAAAGAACCAGCTGCGCGGACCGGCGAGCTGGACAAGGCAGACGAAGCAGAGTCGGGAGACAGTTGAGCAGGCATTCCGGGCATCATCAGATGCAGCGGCAATCGGTTGGCGACGGAAATGCTGGCGACCGCTCACTCTTCGGGCGACCAACTGGTGGCGAGCGAATGAAACTGATTAATCGCCGATCGGCCGAGGCAGTGGTGGGTGAAGTGAGGTACACACGTTACTTTGTCTTTTCACTTTTGTTCTTTTTTTTTTTTTTTCCTTCTCTTTTTCTCTTTCTTTTTCTCTTCTCTTTTTGCTTTTTGTTGCGATCGCAAATCACACCCGTGGAGGGTTTTTCCACCCCGCAGCGCAACTCCCTCCTCCCCCACACGGAGGGGACGAACACTGGCAGTGGCAGTCAGGATCGGTGGTGCCAGTCGGAGCCGAATGGCGGGCGAAAGACGAGAATCTGATTGACAGGCAGGTGCAGCAAACGAGCAAATCCAACCGAGAGGGGCAATGCTGCACTTTAAATTGTTGACAGGTGATACGCCACTTCAACCAGAGAATAAATGGCGCCCCGGGGGACCAAGCGAGACAGACAGCCGGAGAAGAGGGGAATGGGGGGGGGGAGGAAGACTCGTAATCTAGCTCGGAAAATATCAGTCCATATACTAGTATGCAAATGGAATCTGCAATCGAATGATTCAAGTTCAAGAAACTGAGAGAGAGAAGGAGAAAGAGGAGATGTGGGGGGTGGGGGGGTAAGAAAGAAGAGGAAGAATCCCTAGTAATCATGAGGGGTTTCAAACGTGCATCCCTCAGTGTCAGTCACATGTACCCCCCGTGCCTAATGGGCCTCAACGTGAAGGATTGCCCGCAAGTTACTGACTGCTATGTACTCCGTACTAGTAGTGTTTCTCCTACGCAGCCTACAGTGTGGTTCTTTTCCCCTCTGCTCCAATACTAGTCACTGAACTACTAGTCATTAGTTCCGTACTTTTGTCGGGGTTAGTCAGCAGACGGTACTTCACTGGACTTCACCGCAATATCAACTTGCCACTATCCCCTCAGTCCCTTGCAGCGTGCACCAAATCATCCTCTATCCATTGTCGTCATTGTGGGGTGTTGGACAGATCTGATCAAACGGTCACTCATGGGCCCCCCATGGCACACCAAACGATTTACCCCACAGATTCACCGGCAGGGTCTATCTACCACTACTCACTCATTCCAAGTGACACCTCATCATAAAGCATCGTGAATCCGTAATAAATTAGCATATACAACTCGGGATAGGAACGCGGATGCACCCGGTGAGTAGACACATTGAATCAGAACTTCAGTCACAGAAAAAAAAAAAAATGATATCTACGACAAAAATGGTCCCAGGCACGAAGAAGGAAAATTGGACAGTCCGATCGTATGGCCTACACCCGCAACGAGGGAACCCACGAAAGAGAAGAAGAAGAAAAAAAAAAACTAAAAAAAAAAAACTCCAAAGCCAATCAAATCAACACTTGGCCTGTATCTGTACACACCCAGCTCCCAATCGCTTAGAACTGGTCAATGCAACCCCAGTACTGCTCCACGTCGAACTCGCCAGGCGACTTCCAGAGATCGTTGGCGTACGAGAAGAAGACCGAGTCGCTACCGACCGCCTCCCGGATGGCCTTGATGGCCGTGGCCTGCTCCGACTCCCCGGGAACAGCCGCGCCGTTGGCGTTACCCTTGCTAGGCCAGCCGGTCTCCAGGTTGATGATGCTCAGGCCCGAGCAGATCGTCTTCAGGAGGGTGAACTCGGCGGTGGCAAAGGTACCGGCCTCGGCGGCGGTGGTCTGGGCGTTGAAGAAGGGGTGGATGTTGGCTCCCAGGATGTCAACGACGCTGCAGAGGTCGCTGGTACCGTACTCCTGCCAGATGTCGACGGGCTCCGTGGTGGTGATCTGGCCAGTGTAGCCGGCAGCGGTGAAGGTGGTCTTGCACGAGGTGATGAAGCTGGCAAGGGACGCGGCATCGGTGTATCCGGAGGAGACGGCCTCGTTACCGACGACGATCAGGCTGACCAGCTCCCACTTGCCCCACTCGGTAATGGCCGTGACCTGGCTGGCGGCGCCTGAGGTACCAGTGCTGGAGATGTAGACTCCGAGAATCAGCTTGAGGCCGAGCTCCTCAGCAAGCTCACCGATGATCTCGAGGGTGTTGCAGTCGGTGGAGTAGAGACGGATGTGGGTGAAGCCCTTGGCGGCGATCGTCTTGATGTCCGAGGTGATGGTAGCGGTGGACTTGCAGCCGTTGTCGTTGGTGTAAGGGGTGTAGGTCATACCCATCAGGCCAGTAGCGCTGACACCAGTGGAGGCGGCGGCGCTGGAGGAGCTGGCCGCCGCGCTAGAGACGGTGCTGACCTTGACGCTCGAGGTCGCGGGAACGGCAGTGGTGGCAGCAACAACAGTGGTGGCAGGAACAACAGTGGTGGCAGGGACAACAGTGGAGGTGGCAGCGGCCGCGGAGGGAGTGGTCACGGCAACCGCAGCGGAGCTAGTGGAGCCGCTGAAGGGGCAAGTGTAGGTGTAGTCCGTGACGGTGACGGTGACAACCTCGGCGGTGTGAGAGTAGACGCCCGGGGTGACGGTGGACACGGCGGGGTAAGTCACGACAGTGCTGGCGGGGACATAGGTGGTGGTGGGAGCAATGGTGTAGGTACCCGCGACGGGGCAGTAGTAGGTGGTGTGCTCAATGACGCTGGTGACGGTGGTGCCCGAGGGCTTGACGGTGGCATAGGGGCAGACAATGGTGGTCGAGGTCTCAACGACGGTCGTCACACCACCGTAGGTGTTGGTACCGCTGGTCAAGGCGGTGCTGGTAGGGCTGACGACGCTGGTGGTCTCGCTGACAGTCACGGTGGACGCAGGGATGGTGTAGACACCGGTCGAAGCGAAGGTGGTGACATCAGGGGTGGGCAGCACCACGGCGCTGGAGGTGGGAGCGGCAGCCGCCGGGCTCGAGGTGGTGGGGACAGCAGCAGCCGCGGCGGTCGAGGTGGTCTCGACAGGGACGGCGGTAGCACCCGTAGCGCTAGAGACGCCAGTGGCAGCGACCCCCTCGGGGGTGGAGGAAGCCTCTCCGGGGGAGCCTCCAGCGGGGACGGTACCTGCAGACTCGCCCGGAGTAGCAACGACGGTCACAGTGGTGTAGCTGGTGGAGTGGAGGGTGGTGACGACCTCGGAGATGACGGTCTCGGTGGCAGTCGAGACAGGAACGACTGCGCGGGGTCAGATGAGTGGCATCAACACAGGGGTTCCGGGATACTCACGAGTCGGGGTTCCCCAGACGGTGACAACCTCAGTGGTACAGCCGCAGGTCTCCTCGGAGGGGGCACTGGCCTGCACTGCACGGCGCTGGTGGAAGGGCTCGTGGGCGTGGCGACGGTGTGCGCCATCAGCCAGAGCAGTGCCGGCAAGAGCCGCGGCGGCGGTAGCAAGGAAAGCGCCCTTCATTTTGCTGATTGGCAACGAGGGATGGATGTATTTGCAATGATGCTGGTGGTGTTTCGAATCAGGTGTGATCGCAATGAGGGCCCGCTAAAAGAGTGAAGCGGTAGTCAAAGAGAGTGGTTGTTTAGGGAGGGAGGGAGAGAACTGGAAGCACGCGGGCCTCAAGTATATTGTCAGGTCCGACCCTTACAAACAGAGAACAAATCGAGACACGCCCGAGGATGAAGGAGAGAAACGAGGAGCAGGAGAAAGAAGAAGAAGAAGAGAAGAAAGGGAAGAGGTGGGAAAAAGAGGGAAGAAGTTAAGAAGATGAAGGGTGGTGGCGCCCCTGGAGACGGGAGGATGGCTGGTGATTGGCACTAAAACTCATGCAGGTTCAAGGGCCAAAACGGGCCCAATTGTGGATTTGAGAGAAAAAGGAAAGAGGATGAGGATAGATTCACAAAAAGGGGGCGGTGTGTCAACTTAGTTGGACTCAGGGTTGCCAGGCACTGTCGGCCACGATTGGTAGTGGGTTTCACAATGGGCTCGCGGATGGAGGGGATGTGGGGGCAGAGATGAATGGGACAGACATCTTAAGAGGATCTAGAAGGATCCTGTGTGCTGTGCAGGGGGCAGTATGTGCAGACGATTCAGGAACTACGGACTTATACAATTTGGCTGTATGGCAGCATGTCTGCTGGCTGCATGGCTGCAGTGGCGGAGTGGTTGAGTGGCTGCAGCATATGTACAGTTGATATACAATGAAGTATAGATGAATACCTCGGTGACGGCTATCCAGTGGAAGATGGCAGACTTGATAGTAGTAGGTACTGGATCTACTGAGTGCTTTGATCACAACAGCACTAACCACACACTCAAGCGCAATCGATGACCACCGATCAGTCAAATGCGGGAGATTGGCGGGTGATGCTACAGAACTATACACAGTAGGAACTAGAGATTTCAGAAGATAAGTTCATATCAGTTACTGCGCAGTGACTGCGCAGATGAAGAGAATCAAGACGGATCAACTGCACTTTCTCTTACGGGCTGCAAGGAACAGGACTGGAAACTTTCCAGTCACTTTTTGTTGACGCTTGCCTGAATCGGGTAGCTTGGCGGGGCACTTTTCCTCCGCCCTGAAGCCAACCATTGGATGCAACAACACCTTAATTTCCGGCCCTCCACTGAAAGGACCAGTAAAATGTCACCGTGAGATTTCAGGAGGTTCCGCCCGCAGCCTGCGGTTTCATCCAGTCTTGGGAGGAAAAGAGGATGCCTGGAATAGCACAGCTGATATATATGAAAAAAAAAAGGGCATGTCTGATGTTGCTTTGTTGATTCTATTTCTATGTCACTGGTGTGTTGTGCTGGGTTACATCTCTGCCTCAAGGACAAGAAAGGATATACTAGTACGGAGTATCATCCATGATGATGTTCATTTTCTGATCCCGGGCAGCGGCACGGCATCGCCCCTGAAAATTTGAATAACCTTCAACACATAGTAACACTGCCAATAATTGTCAATAGAGTCAACACCAGGGCGATCGGTGCGCGGACAGATGAAAGCTAGCGTCGAGGACACTTTAACCCTTAGCCGATCCCCATCACCACCTTTCTCTGGTAACTATCTCTGGTATGGGCGATGGTGACAGCTGGAGATGGACCTGGAGCCGAACAACCGAGGCCACTGCAGTCACGCAGCGTCGGTGGTCCCTCGTGGAGGGAACCCCCTTGGGTCTTAGTCTACCCCGGACGATCCGGAGCTGGATGCATCTGATCGGTCGAATCGCTCAGCCGCCACCTCAGCCTCAGTCAGGGTCAGGGGTCTATATACTATATATGAAGCTGTTTGGACTGAGTTTAAACGGTATAAATGCACTTCCTCCAGAGTCACACTATACACCCTGTTGCTACATAGTCTACTGGCGATCGCCCTTCATTTTCTTCTCTGATCATCACTCGGTCAGCCCGGTCAGCCCGGTCTGGACCGAGTCAGTGCAGTCCTCCACTGCGGACCGAGTGCCCCTGATTGAGCTTGGCTGGAGTCTGAAGCCGGCTATCCTTGCCAATCACTAAGCGAATTCAATAGTCTGGATTGGGGTGAGACATGGTGATGGCCAAGTTTACCCCTGATTCAGTGGGAGGTTGGTGTAGTAAGTATAAAGATGGGGTTGCAGTCGAGCGGCTATAAGGTGAGCTCGTTGTTGGACGGGGTGCTAGTGAGTGATTCATGGCATCTCATCTCATCTCATCCTCGATGAGGCGCAGCATTGGAGCGCAGAGTAACATGCAGTCTCCGTAGTGAGTGCTGACAGGATTACTGAAAGTTTTCTGTTGACCGGTGCCTGAGGCAGGATTGCTAGGGTATAGTCAAGATGAACTGAGTAAGATTAAGCGAGTTCCTGATCGCAGTCGAATGCCCATTGAAGAGAGATACATACTATGTATACATTCGGATAGGCAATGGGAGGTACAGTTCTTCCGGATACCGAAGTCACTACCTACACTCTTCGATTGTTTCAGCAACCCCGGGATGAAACAACACTAAGCCAATCCTGGCACGGAGCTGGAAGATAGTTGGGCCGTGTATTATAAGGCATATAACATCTTCGTCATATAACAACTGTCTGTAATTATGGATATCTTTTTATACCACATATTATCTATCTACTATCGGTTCTAGGAGAATCGCAACCGCCGTTCAACTACTGATAGCAGTCAAATCACAAGAATAGCCCCTAATCTAGCTCATCCACACTTGATCTTATTCACAATATATTGATCAATGGAGACCTTAGTGCTTCTCAAATGGCCGAGGCAGCTGGTTGCAGTAAGCAAGCCATCTTTCGACTACAGTCCAACCTCCAACTTTTCAGCACTCATAAAGCCCCCCAATCAAAGGTAGATAGCCCCGAAAAATAACTCCGGTGATACTAGAAGCTCTATATGACCATCTTCTTGAAAAGCCTAATTTATATCTACATAAGATAGAATTATTCCTGCTAGACGAGTTCGACATGCGTATACCAAAATCTACTATAAGTAATGCGCTTCATAAGTAAGGATAGTCGAAGAAAGTTGCTCGCCAGCAGGCCAAGGAATGAAATTCTGATTTATAAGAGAAGTATATTCATTTAATCTCCGACTTCTCTTCGTTCCACCTGGTCTATGTCGATGAGTCTGGGTGCGATAAACAGATAGGCTTTCGAAGAACTGGATGGTCTCCAAGTGGTACAACACCAGTCCAGATATCTAAATTCCACCGGGATTAATACTCGAGATTCTTCCTGCTTACTCCCAGGATGGAATCATACTTGCTCGTACATTTTGAGGCACAACTAATACAGCTCTCTTCGAGGACTTTATCGAAGAACTTCTTCAACATTGCGGAAAGTAGCCCGAGCCTAAATCAGTTCTAATCATGGACAATGCATCCTCTCATCATTCGGAGCGGATTAAGCGAATATGCGCAGAAAGAGGTATCAAACTAGTCTATCTCCCGCCCTATTCACCCGATCTAAATCCTATTAAGGAGTTTTTTGCTGAACTCAAATCTTTCATCTATTGGAACTGGCATGTGTACTAGGACGACACGGCCCAAGGGTTCGAAGCGTATCTTGAATGGTGCGTCGATAAAGTTGGAGCGAGAGAGCAAAGTACAGAGAAGCACTTTCGGCATGCAGGATTGACTATTGAGCATTATAGTAGGACAATGCAATGCCCTGGCGCACCATGCCGCCTTGAATCACAGTACTGCTGGCAGGAATACGTGGGCAAGAAGCATTACAGACTACGGACGCACCATTTGAGGAAGTTGGTGAGGTTTGTGGAGAAGGAGGGTGGAGTGATTCAAACATACGATGATATACCCGACAGTATTCGCGAACAGCTATATGCAGAGGAGCAGCAGTGACTTGAGCTATGACGAAAGACTCCTACACATTCTGCAACCGGATCTATCTTTCTAATTAATATCAATATACTCTCTATACAACCATCTCAGCCCATGACAGCATCTCCTCCAGCCGATGCTGGCGCTCTTTCTGCAAGCCATTTTCCTATCCGTACTGCCATCAATATTCCCGGGCCTCTTGAGGTAGCTGTTGAGGAATACACTGTATGGCACCTCTCACGGGTGAGCACCGACAGTTTCAAAGATAATATCATCAAAGCACGTAACGTGACACTGGAGAATTGTCTTGATCTAAAACAGATTTATTATGATCAAAATCCAGAATTTTTCATTAGCCAGGGTGTCAAATTGGGAGCCGCACGCAGGTTTGTTGGTGAAGTCAATGACTGGCTTCTGGATAGAAAAGTTAATCGAAACGAGGACTTTGAGTGATTTTGAGAATCTTGTACTTTGGCGGTCTTTTCATGTAGTGGTTTATATAGAGATATAGGTATTTGCAACCATGCTGCACAATTTGCGATCATTTGACCACTGTCACCGGCAGCTTAATCGTTAGTATATACATCCCGCCATGCTGAAGATTGCCCAGAAACGTTCTCAGCATCAATCTCAGTCTCTCGTGCGTTGAGCATCCTTTTGGTAACTGATGTTTGTCCCCGTTTATCAGACCCAGTTGAAAGCGGTTCGGAATCTAAATAATTAATAGAAATGCAAAGCCGAAGCTTTTTTCCTTCTTGAGACAAGCTCTTCCACATAGCAAGCTGCCTTTGTATGGCTGTCCAGTCAATAGTTATCAGTCTTCTCAAAACGCTTAGTCAGATCCCGCTGTGAGCGATCGTTTACAGAAACCACTACTGTAGTATCATCTAGTCTCACCCGTCGGTTGCGAGCTACCTTCCGACGTAGAATATCCTCTGGTTTCTGCTTGATATCGGACCAATAAAAGCTGGGGTCGAGTATCAGGTCCTGTTCTGTATCCTTCTGTATCCTTTGTTACTACCCGATTGTTCAGAGTCACCCTCCATTCGATAGAATAATGGATATCAGTTCCTTCCTAGCCATCAACCCTTGTATCCCACTCTGGTACGGAATTGTGTTGTTCGGGTGGAGTATGACGCAAGGGGGTGAAGCTTCGACTTCCATGGTTGGAGGGGCTGGATCCGAACGGGGTACATTCGCGGCCAAAGTTCCCGGGGGTGGGGGCATTTGAAGGGGACCCCGTTCCCACAAAGTAAAATCCTGAACCTGAGAAGCGGTCCCCTCAGGGGATTAAAAGTATTATCATCAAGACAATAGATACCGCCGAGCCTATTGATAAGAAGCCTTGGATGTCAGTCAGGAAGATAAGAGCTTCCAAGTAACCAGAACACATGGAGTTAGATTCAAGGAGGACTTCTGACAGGCTCAGGAGAATAACAAGTAGAGCCAAATGAATTGTACTATTCATGCTGCAGGAGTGTGGTTGATAGCAATATGCCGATAGAGGGGCAACGAGCGGTGGAACTGTCAGGAACAGAAGGTCACATCTCTTGGGTTTCCCTTAGTCATGACTGGCCCTCGGCTCAGGCCGACATCATATCCGATCTCGAATTAATCACCAAGACCAAATTTATCGAACTACGAGAAATCGAAGATTATCCGAACACTCAAATTATCTTGACTTGTGTTTCGTTGATCTTGTCTATGATTGACACCCACGTCTTCTGATCGATTAGCCATGAAAGTCTTCATCGAAATCATGGATATTGCTTCTATCAGGTGCCGAGGATCGCCTCCTACCTCAAATGTTCAGCTTACGATATGATGAATAAAGAGGATCGACCCCCGGGTACGTAAGGTGTTCCGACGCCAACACCATGGCACGTGACTCTGGCTCTGGTAGTAGACGAGGTAGGAATCCCCGCCTTCTCCAGTGCACCACAGAGCTGGCCATGACTGGCTAAGCCAAGCAAGGCTTATCCTTGCCATCCAGCTATGCCAGCTCAGCAGCGAATTTGACGCTAGTATCGACCGACGATGGCTGTGTTCCCTCTCGAACTGCTCTTCTCCCGGAGTTTCGCCTTCACCCAACACGCAGCAGCTGATCTTTCGAAATATTCGAGATGCCACGTCCCTTCGGAAAGCGTTTCAGTCATCTATTCCATCGGCGGAAAGAGAGCGAGAAACCGATCATCGAATCAAGGCAAAACGAAACCCAAGAACATTCCACTAATAATGATGCCCACCCTGTCCCTCGCAAGCCTGCAGACCAGGCCATTCAGTCAACGCAAACTTTGCAGCCGCGAGACTTGTGGCAAGCTGCTTATAACCAGCTTGATAATTGTCAGCAAAATATTCTCTTAATCAAGGAGATTTCAATCACGCTAGGTGATGGAAAAAAACATCTTAAGGATTTAATCGATCAGGTCGTCATAATAACTGAAGAAGGATATGAAAAGTATCATCAGACAGCTGATCAAACATTCCGGAAGACTTCACGGAAAATTCTCGATGCAGCACTGTCATTCAAAGATATGATAGGTGCAGTGGCTGCACTCGACCCGACGCAGCATGCAGCTAGTGTGTGGAATATTGTCTCACTTAGTCTGACAGTATGTATACAACCGGGTATATGAAAAGTCGCTGCTGATATATTTATTACTTGGTGTGCTAGTTGGCGAAAAAATACTCCCAGTCCCGCGATTCCCTGTTCGAATCATCAGAGTACCTGGCAGATGTTCTGACATACAGTGCCTTTATCGAGCAAAATTTCCACGAGAAAACAAAGAGTTTTTCTGAGAACCATCTTGTAGAAGATGCATTGATCAGACTTTACTATGCTATCTTATGTTACGTGGTCCAGATACGCAAATTCCAGGAAGCAAGTGTCAGAGAAAGAGTACTCAATACGTTGACCGATAGTCTTCAGCAACCTCTTATCGCACTCAAAACTTCGGTTGAGAATGAAAAGGCTAAGTTAGATAAATGGATTGGATTGATCGAATATCTTAACCGCACAAAAGAGGCAGAGAATATCCTACAGAAGATTGATGAACTAGCTGATTCCTTGAAGAGACTCCTTGAACATTCTGGCTTTAAGAGCTTACTATTAGCGGAAGGAGCAATTTTCGACTCTTATACTTATCAGCATGAGGATTACTGTCTTCCAGATACAAGAACAGATCTTCTTAACCGCATTTCATTGTGGGCTCAGTCGCAAGATCAACTTATTTTCTGGCTAAATGGCATGGCGGGCACTGGTAAATCCACTATTGCACGGACTGTCGCTCAATCCTTTCAAAATCAAGGGCTTTTAGGTGCCAGCTTTTTTTTCAAGCGAGGCGAAGCCGACTGTGGTAACGCAAAGTACTTTGTATCGACTCTCGCACGTCAACTAATCATCAAGCACCGGCAACTAGGTTTCGATGTCTTCAATGCAATTGAGAATGATTCGAATATTGTGTTTAAATCTCTTGATCAACAGTTTGAGAAGCTCCTTTATCAGCCACTCCAAAAGCTGTCTACTAGCCAAGCTACAACAATCGTGATTGTTATTGATGCTTTAGACGAGTGTGACGGAGATAAGGACCAACAACTTATTCTTGACTGCTTGTTTAAGATGCAAGAAATCAAATCCGTGCATCTTCGAGTATTCCTAACCAGCCGACCAGAACTCCCTATTCGCAATGGCTTTGACAAGAATAAGAATCACCACGATTTGATCCTCCAAGAGCTTCCCAAGTCCGTGATTGAACATGATATTCGTCTTTTCTTTGAGAGTAAGCTTCTGGCGATACAAAAAGAGCGCTCACTGTCACCCGACTGGCCCGGAAGTGAGAAAATTGAAAAGCTGGTGGCAATGGCTATTCCTCTATTTATCTTCGCAGCTACGATTTGCCGCTTTGTCGGAGAGAGAAGATGGCGTCCAGAACAACGGCTTGAAAAGATTCTCAACAGTGCGAGTGCATCTTCAGAAGACGAAATAACGCGGACATACACGCCTATTCTAAGCCAGCTTCTTGCTGGAGCTAATGAGGAAGAGACACATCAGCTGAAGAAAGAGTTCCAACATATAATTGGGACTATCATTCTTCTAGCTTCACCTTTGTCTCTTCATGCTCTCTCCCTGCTCATTGAATTCTCACTTGATGATATCAATAATCGCTTGGACGGATTCCACTCTGTTCTCAGTATACCAGTGGATTCTGAAGCACCGGTCCGGATTCTACACTTGTCATTTCGAGACTACCTCCTGGACAAAAAGTGCCCATTTTATGTTCCTGAGCAAGATACACATAGTAGAATTGCTTTACATTGTCTCCGGCTTATGAAAACCCGGCTCAAAGAGAATATATGCGAGCTGCAAAGTTACGGAATCCAACAAGAGGAAATCAAGCCTGAGATCATCAAAGACCATCTTACTTCTGATATACAATATGCCTGTCGCTACTGGGTTCATCATGTTGAACAGAGCAAAGGTCGTATTGTAGACTGTGATGTTCTTCTTTTTCTCCAAGACCACTTTCTTCACTGGATGGAGGTACTAGCTCTGATGGGAGGAATATCAGAAGCAGTAGGATTAGTAGATGTATTAAAGTCAAGAGTATGTTTAAGTTTATAGTTCGTTGCTCGGGACGCTGGCTAATCATTATTCAGGCACAACTTGGTTCTGAGTTATCTGAATTTTTATATGATGCGGAAAGATTTATTCGTCAAAATAACTATATGGCAGCAATCGCTCCACTACAGATCTATCGCGCTGGTCTTGTATTTGCACCGACCAAAAGTATTATCAAGCAGATATTCGTCAGCAAAATTAAAGATCATCTGGCAGTTGGAACAGCGGTTGAAAATTCCTGGAGCTCAAATCTCCAGACATTTGAAGGGCATTCCAGCACAGTCTTCTCGGTGGCCTGCTCGCCGGACGGCCGCACGCTGGCGTCAGCCTCGCGCGATTGCACCATTAAACTCTGGGACACGGCCACGGGCGTTGAGCAGCGCACGCTGACCGGCCATTCTGACTCGGTTACTTCAGTGGCCTTCTCGCCGGACGGCCGCTTGCTGGCGTCAGGCTCGCGCGATTGTACTATTAAGCTCTGGGATACGGCCACGGGCGTTGAGCAGCGCACGCTGACCGGCCATTCTGACTCAGTTACTTCAGTGGCCTTCTCGCCGGATGACCGCTCGCTGGCGTCGGCCTCGCGTGATTGTACTATCAAGCTCTGGGACACGGCCACAGGCGTTGAGCAGTGTACGCTGACCGGCCATTCCAACCCAGTCCGCTCAGTGGTCTTCTCGCCGGACGGCTGCATGCTGGCGTCGGCCTCGCGCGACTACACTATTAAACTCTGGGACACGACCACAGGCGTTGAGCAGCGCACACTGACCGGCCATTCCGGCTGGGTCCACTCGGTGGTCTTCTCGCCGGACGGCCGCTTGCTAGCGTCGGCCTCGGACGACCGCTCTATTAAGCTCTGGGATACGCCCACGGGCATCCAGCAGCGCACGCTGACCGGCCATTCCAACTCGGTCACCTCGGTGGCCTTCTCGCCGGACGGCCGCTCGCTGGCTTCGGCCTCGCGTGACCGCACGATTAAGCTTTGGGATACGGCCACGGGCGTCGAGCAGCGCACGCTGACCGGCCATTCCGACTCGGTCAACTCGGTGGCCTTCTCGCCGGGCGGCCGCTCGCTGACTTCGGCCTCGGACGATCGCACCATTAAGCTCTGGGATACGGCCACAGGCGTTGAGCAGCGCGTGCTGACTAGCCATTCCGACTCTGTCACCTCGGTGGCCTTCTCACCGGGCGGCCGCTTGCTGGCGTCGGCCTCGCGTGATCGCACCATTAAACTCTGGGACACAGCCACGGGTATTGAGCAGCGCACCCTGATCGGCCATTCCGACTCAGTCACTTCAGTGGCCTTCTCACCAGACGGCCGCTTGCTAGCGTCGGCCTCGCGCGATCGCATTATCAAGCTCTGGAACACAACCACAGGCGTTGAGCAGCGCACGCTGACCGGCCATTCCGACTGGGTCCGCTCAGTGGCCTTCTCGCCGGACGGCCGCACGCTGGCTTCGGCCTCAGATGATAACACCATCAAGCTCTGGAACACGGCTACGGGCATCGAGCAGCGCACTCTGACCGGTCATACCGGCTGGGTTCGGTCGGTGGCCTTCTCGCTGGACGGCCGCTCGCTGGCGTCGGCCTCGGACGATAACACCATTAAGCTCTGGGACACGGCCACGGGCGTTGAGCAGCGCACGCTGACCGGCCATTCCCACTTGGTCAAATCGGTTGTAGAGCAATTTACTCCCAAATATCCTATCTCTGTCGCGGATTCTTGGGTCTCTCTACGAGGTCAAAGGGCCCTGTGGCTTCCTACTGACCATCGTCCTTTTGTGTGTTTTGCTATTGAGGATACTATGCTTGCTCTTGGGTTAAATAGTGGGCGCGTTCCAATAATAAGGTTTGGTTTTTGATAGGGGTATATCTTTGTACTCTACTCCAGTCTCTTGTTTTCTGATCTCTTTCTAAAAGAAGGGCATGGGATCTGCAACGCCTTTATACTATTACTCAGTACAGCCGTCCGTACACAGTACATGTTATCACAGTACACAGTAACGTTACGAAAGATTGTTGTTCCATCCGGTTTCCAGGTTAGGTCTAGCGTGGTTTTATCTTGGGGTTGCTGAAACAATCAAAGAGTATATATCGGTAATGACACCAGTATCCGGAAGCCCTGTATAAATTTATCGTACCGAAGTACTGTAGTAGAGTAGCTGTAATCCCCGCAAGGTGGCTAACCCGATCACCAATGATCACCACTCCACCACCAACATCCCCTCCTCATCACCACAAGAACAAAGAAAGCAACCCAAACCTTCCAACATATACACATCCAAGGTACTTCTCTGTCATTCTGTTCACCAGAATCACCCAGAATGTCACCGACCAAGCCCGCGGGCCCCCATCGTACGACACCGCAGACCGTACCATCACCCATGCAATCTCACCACCGATCATGCCACCCACCACCCAGCACCACCGTGGACATAGACAGACAGAACACCCAGCAATCCGGCCACCGCCACGAGTTCGACCAGGAATCTCACCAATGCAAGCCACTTAATTGGCACATGCACCGATCCATGCCTTCTGGGATCTGCTCCCCGGTCCCTTCCGCTACCCCGGACAACCTCCAACGAACCGCTGAGAATCGGACCAACCAACACAACCAACCCATGGGGTGACTCGGAACTACGCACCCGAGAGAATCCTTCTCAACCCAAGTATCGCACAATGGGTTTAACTGAGACCCAAATCGGGCCACCATCGTACTATACCGTCTCTCCCAGCAACACCACGGGACCCTGACTTCCGGGTTCACCCCGGATGAGACGATACCCTCACCACCATTCCATGAGCCGAGGAGTCGAACCGATGTAGACACCTCCTCGATAAGAAATCTCTTCAAGAGGAGTAGGTAGAGTATATATACTTCCTCAAAACCAGATCCCGAGTCCTCTCTATCCACCACCATCATCATCATCATCAACACATCCATCCATCCAATCCAAACACAGTCGGGATTTGAAACCTCAAACATCCCCCTCCCCCTACACCTACACTCTACACCCTCCACCACAAGTCCAAAACAAGAAGACACCAGAAAGTCACGATGGCAAACACCACATCCAAATCCCGCCTCCAAAACGACTTTGGCGCCGACCTCTGGGTCAAGGATCGTCCGAAGCATGTTCGTCCCCCCCACCAACCATCAGTTTTAACCCTACCTCCTCCCCGTTTGAACCCAAACTGACCGAATACAAAGCACGCAACGGCAGGAAGAGGCCTCTTCGCGGGTCTGCAGGACACGAAACGCTACAACGTGGAATCCGGCTGGGCGAAGCGCAGCACCGCCGAGGCGCAACCGGGGTTGTTTGGGTTGCTGTGGAGTCGGTACGTCTCCTTCTTCCTTTCGTCACTTCCTCTTTCGGAGATGCCTTCTGGGATTGTGCTTTCACCGAACTGGCAAACTGACAGGGTACCGTGGTGAACAGATTCACCGGTGGCTCCTACCGGCCCCCTACCGATTGACTAGATTACTCGGCTTTTCGAGCCGGATAAGCTCAGATGTGCCCATAAGATGGGCTGGGAAGGGAATGAGCTGGAAATGTATACCTTTGATGGATGAAGCCCGGGAATGGGTCTAAGGCTCATGGATTATGGCTTTTCCTTTTGTGTGATTTTTGCGCGGTGTTGGAGGTTTTGGGACCCGTGTTCATGGCCTATTGTTTAATTTAATTCAATGATTGTAACATTCATTATTATTGGTTGCGTTGGTATAAAGTAAAGTGGTGTAGGTATGTATGTATGTATATATGCAGTAGACTACTAAGGTAGTCTGGTAGAGGAGGGCTATCTTAAACACGCGGGCTCAATTAGGATGGCTCACTGTCTATGTAGCGCTTGAACTAACTTCCCAACGCAGTGTTGTGAAAATCAACATCTAGCAAAAATATCGTAGTATCAGGCAGACATCCCTTTGCAGGCTACTCACTTCGACGCGATCACTCACTCACTATGTATTCATGCGTATCTACCTCAGTCAACAAGCAAATCTATTTACATCCAGCTTCTCGGGTATAACTCGCCAGCTTTTCTCCCACATATACCCCCCCCCAACTACCACTCGTCATCATCATCATCATGATGCTGCCCCTGCATCGCATTCTGTCGCGCCTTCAACAATTCCGCCAATCCCCCCGCCAACGCGCTGTTCGGCGTCGCGCGCCCGCTCCCGCCCGGCGAGTCCTGCGCCGAGTTCATGCTCACCGCGCTGTCCCGTGGCGCGGGTGGTGGCGCGGGCGCCATCTTCCGCCCCGCCATGTTAGGCCGTTTCATCGGCGGCGCCGGCGGCGCCGGTTTGGCCTTGGCTTTCGCGGCCGCAGACGCGCCGGCCCCGTTGGTCGTGGGGATCGGGCTGGCGCGTGCAGCCGCCGGAGGTGGCGGCGGCGGCGCGGGTTTGGGAGCGGCGGCCACGACTTGTTCTTCGAGGTAGGCTTCTGGGGTCCAGCCTTGCACAGACGTGGTCATGTTCATGCAGAGCCACCAGCCTGGACAGACATTTCATTAGTGAGACTCAAAGGGAAAGACGGGGATCGGCATACCATTGCCCTCCTTGGACACAATTTGTACAATCTCGCCAGCGCGGATGGACAGTTCATTCGACCGGTCGCTGTTGAAATCGTACAACACCTTGGCGGTCGCTTTCTTCGGCGCTGGAGGACTCGCCGGCGGCGGAGGCGGCGGAGCTCGCACCGAGCCAGATGATGCGGTGCGCGTGTGAGACGCGGCTACGGCGGCCACGGGCTGAGGCACCGGCCGAGCTTGCGCAGCAGGTTGAGGAGCTGGCGGCGGAGGTTGCACGGCGGCGGCGGCTGCTGCTGCCGGCTGCTGGGGCAGAGGCTGACGCGCCGGTGCAGGTCGCGACGCCAGCTTCGACGGTCCGCCGCCTGGGCCGCCCGGTCGCAGCAACTTGCCTTTCGTGACGGGTCGCGCGGCAACCTGCTTCGGCCGGGGAGTGGGCTTGGACACCGAGTTGGCAGGCTCGCCAGCACTGGTGTGAATCGTGCTACTCTTGTAGCTATCCACGTTGGAAGATCCCGGATCCTTGACCACCTTCACGGTGGCCAGCTTGCCGGGTTTCTTGTTGTATTCGATGCTGCACCCGTCAGTGACTGCTACTTTCAAAGGCCAAGAGGAACGTACTGGTCGGCTATCTTCAGATTCAGCTGTCCGCGAAGAGCGTTGCTGAGGTGGGTGAAGAACTCCGTCTTGAACACGCAGTTCACCAATGGGTCCGGCTCCTGTCCGCCCACCACCAAAGAGAACCAGTCATCCCGGCAGTTGGACGCGCTGACAGCCTTGATCGCTCCAATAGGTATCGTCGTCTCAGACGAGATCTGGAGCTGATTGTTGACGAGCGTCTGGGCTATGATATATACATGTCGATTGGTCTGCCTCGTTAGAAACACCCCAGGCCCGGCCTCGGTAGATGCGACTCACCAGAACAAGAATGCGAGGTGAAGGCTTACTGGACCGTCCGAACTTGGACACCAGAACCTCTCCACGACACGAGAAAAGAATATTCTCTGATCCTGCTGTCATCAGTCGAGTTCGCACAGGAAAAAGAGAAGGACCTACCGCTAATGCCTGCACCATCACGAATCATCTCCCCAGGTCCTCCCTTGTTGCCGATCCCAACATAATCTCCCAGGAACCGACGCGAGCCGAGCAGACTCATCCGCCGACGCTCTTTCCGGTTCTGCAGCACCTGGTGACCCTGGTCACGGAGCTTGATGAACTCAAGGCCACCCGTCATGCGACGCCAGAAGCGTTGAATGCGAATGGCGCACTCGGTCCGGTAACGCAGGTAGTTGCGCCAAGCGCGCTGGATCCGGATTGCCATGTTGTGCCAGTACCGGTCGCGCATGGCCTCCAAAGCGAACAATGTCTCCGGAGTCTTGACAAACACCTTGGTGAGACCCATCTGGTACTCCTCGGCGGGAATGCTGGTATCCTTCAGGATCTGCCGAGCACCAGACTCGGCATCGCCAGTCCAGGTGTAGTCACCGGCGTACGAAGTCTTGGGAGACAAAAGGTAGAACCGCTCCACAAACTTGTCGAAAGTTTGACGGTACGCAAAACCAGCGCGACGGATGCGGACGTTCTCCTGCAAACCCAGATACTTGATCTGGTGCAGAACGTTGCCCACGTTGTACTCCCGAGGAGCCTTGTTATCATTCGGCTTGATCGTGCGGATATAGGACGGCTGAGCCTTCATCAAGGTCGCCACAAGGTCGTTGGCAGAAGCCTTAATCTTGTCACTGGCGGTCGGGGGCCGTCTCTTGTCATCCTGGTTGACCTGATTGGGGAACAGTGTGTGGACGAACTGATTGCCACTGGAACCCACGAGGTTCAACAGGTCCTTGAGCAGTTGATCCTTGTTCTTGTCGGTCATTCCCTCGACGGCATAGCTGACATCACCTGCGTAGTGCTTAACGATGAATTGACCTTGGCGGTTCTCAAAGTTCGGGTTCTGGCCCAGGAAGTTGAGTCTTCCAACAAAAGTGTTGTCCGCAGCGCTCGAGTCGGCGTGTGCGGTTGCGCAAGCATCATTGAGCGCAGCAAACACACCCGGAGGACGCTTGTCTTCGATCAGCGAGCACACAACCTTGTTGTCGAAGTACTTGATCGGCGTCCACTGGATCTGCTCGCGTGCGTATTCATCCTGCTCCGCCTTCAAGGTTAACTGAATGAAGATTTGCTGCAGCTTCTCGTTGACGTAATTAATGCACAGCTGCTCGAAAGAGTTCTTCTCAAAAATCTCGAACCCATAGATATCCAGGATACCGATCGAGTTGGTGATCGCCCCCCGAGCGGTCAACGACGAGTTGACACGGCCCACGATCCAGTCAAACAGGTTGAAGTATATGGCCTTGGCCAGTGCGTCGCGGACAGCCAGGGCCTGCACCGTGTTCAACGGAACCTCATACACCGACCCTCGGCGACCGCCACGGGCAGTCTCCATCAGACGGATGGTGAGTGCCCGGTTGACCTGTGCGGCATCGACCTCCAGCAAGTATGCGACGAAATCGACGACCGACTGATCCGTAATGGCGGCATTTCCGGAGTCATCCTCGGCGAATGTAACGTTTCCGATCCACAGAATGGCTGCCAGCATCCGGAACACGTTGTCTTGTTCATCTTCACTCATACCGATCACTCCCATTGCGTTCAAGGTATCGCGGAACTCCGCCGCATCATCGACACCCGGCACATCGAAGCACTTCGAGCGACTCGTATATACGTATGACTGGGGTTGTTGCACACCAAAATTATCTGATTTTGTCAGCACTGTGCTATTTCTTTCGCGAACCCATCTTACCTCGGTATTTCTGCGGCGCAGCTTTGGTGAACTGGTAGAAGATGTGAAAATTCCGCTCATTGGTGATCTGGCCCACGACTCTCGACTTCTCCAGCAAGTAGTTCGTGATGTTGGCTCCCACGGGCTCTCCCTGGGCGTTGAACTCCAGTTCCAAGTACTTTCCGAAGCGAGACGAGTTGTTGTTGCGCAGGGTCTTGGCGTTACCAAAAGATTCTAGCAACGGGTTGGTGGCTAGAACCATGTCTTTCGTCTGTTGGATTGACGAGTCGGTACCCCCCGATACGTTGGCGATGTACTGCATCAGCCGCTTTGCCGCCTCCGTCTTTCCGGCTCCCGACTCTCCCGAGATAATCACACACTGGTTATCTTTGTACGACTTCATGTTGTAGTAGGCAGATTCCGCGACGGCAAACACATGAGGCGGGACCTCGAGGCGGTTCTTGCCCCGGTATGAGTCGAGCACTTGGTCGGTATAGATCCCCACTAGACGGAAAGAGTCAGGCACGCGATCAGCCGAGGGGGGTTCAGGGGCAGCGAGACTTACAGTCGCGGAAAGGGTTGACGGACACCAACACATGTCCGATATAGGTCTATCCACCAATCGAGAAGCGTGGTCAGTGTAATGCACTCGCAGCGCTTGGGGGTGCGACTGGGAGGAGGGGGAGTGGTGGCAGGCTTACGTAGATTTCATCGTGTTCAAAGCGGAGCTTCAGGTTATCGTTGATCGCCTCGTTGGAGATCTTGCTGAGCAGGGTGAGATCGGAAACACCAATTTCCTTCTTCTTTGTGCTTTCGAAGGTGGCCTTCTTGACCTGCGGCTTGCCCGCTTGTCGCCCGTCACCCACATCAGCCGCCGCCTTGGAGCGACCGAACCCCCGACTCTTCTTCTCCCCGCCAGCCGGACGTCGCGAATGTCCCTGGTGAAGGATTGGAGTCAGCATAGCTCGAGTAGATCTGTAATGTGGAGGTTTCCGCCTGTAACAGATGAATGGGGACCTCACTCACCATATCTGTTGTGAGTTCCGATCAGCCCGGAACTTGCGCCCAAGCGTCAGGTTATCTGTCCTATCAGTGGGGAAAATGGTATAGAAGTGTATCGTATGGTGGAGAGGACTAGGAATGAACACAATGCGGGTATTGGTTCATTCCAGAATGTGAGAGGAATTGGTAATAATGAGGAAGTCTAGAAATCGGAGGGTTTAGAAGAGGGGAAAGAGAAAGAGTCTATACGGGAGGGAGGGAGGGAGAATGACGAATGGTGCCTGTGTGGAGGAGGAGGAGGAGGGATGCGTCTAACAGAACAGACTAACAGATGGCGGTTCCTCGCGGCCGATGGGGCCTGCGCCACACTAGGCTTAGTTAAGTTGACCTTCGGAGCCTTTTCTTACTCAGCCGAATACGCGCAATCAATCCATATTTCTTGTCTTTCTCTCTCTTGCTCTTTTGGTGTGAACACCAATTGTCCTGTTCTGTCGAGATGTGGATTCTGCTGCCTAGAGGCAAATTGCCTTCAGACCCTGACGCTAGGCAGTTTGATCTTCTCTTGGCTCATGGTAACTAATGGAGCTACTCAAGTACTCCGATGTCAGTAGCACCTCATGAGAAATCGTATACGCATCTGTGGGCTAGAACTATTTTTATTTTCCTGCCCAAGTGCGGGATTCCTCCCCTCCTCACTACGTCACGTCTGCAGTCAGTCACATCTCGCTGCCTTAGCCGTAAGCAAACACTATCTACACCCATTGGCAATGCCCAACAAAGGGTAAGAAAGGGTCAATTTCTTGGTGGCAGCCAGTCTCCTTCATATCTACCCTGTCTTCATTGGGACACAGTCCTTCGGGTCACCTGTCCACCGTCGCATTAGTCTCGCAGGGCCCCACTGCTCGGATATATCCCTCAGTCTACCCCTGGATCGATAGTCGCGGATTGGGCCACCATAGCCGTGCACCGTTCAGGAATTGTGTCAGACAGAGTGTGAGAGAGAGTCGGTGGCTCGAATCCCTACATATGCTAGGCGCATAAACAAGGAAATCGAACGCTGTCATCAGAGCCTTGGAATGTGTAGGGCCATTTGGACAACAGCATTCCTCCTAGCCTGGATGACATTCAATGCGAGTGGAGCCGGCCGCAACGGTCAACGTCATTGAATTGCCCACAGGCAGGCCTTATAGATGGAGGAGGCATATCCCCGAGACCGTTAATTTATCCGTGGATGGAAGAAAGGAAGCTTGCGGAGTCGGCGATTGCGATGATGGGTATGCGGGTCGGGAGAGATTCGAACATCCTATAGATATATATCTGGAATCAGCGTGCGGCTCCGTCCCAATGGAGAGATGCTTATAAATACATTATTTCTAATGTCATTATTCCAGTAAAACTACATTTGCCGCTTGCACTGGTGAACGTGGCAGCCGACATCTATATTATGCAACTGGGGATCTTCACTCAGTGTCAATGGATACCCCAGTCGTGGGGATAAGTGTAGCAGACCAGCCATAGTTTGGGAAGTCGACAGGATGGGCCCTATGACTCGCCAGACAGACTGCTCGCAGAGAAAGGGATTATATGTTCCTTGCGCAGCTGGACAGCTCTCCATTATCCGGAGGTGGCGATCAAACATAGATCTTGGGATTGTAGTCGTACCAGAGAGGAGTTGATTAGTCTATGATGCGGGACAACATCCGCCTCTATATATCAAGAACCGGAACCAACCCATCGTCAACCCACGCCGTAATGTACAAAAGGGTATCCCAAAATATCAGCAAGCCATGTACTCTCCCAACGTCTCCACAACGAAATCTAACTCATCATATATACAGCGCTGTCACAACAACCTCTAAGCCTTCTTTGGCCCCGTTGCATTCGAATCATGCCCCGCTGAAGTGGCCACTGGCACAGGCTGTTGCGCAGCGCTCGTTGATGTCGTGGCCACGGTCTTGCTCTCATTGATTACCGCTGCAGCCCGCTGCTCTGCGCTCTCCCCAAACGAGAGATACGACGCAACGCGAGAGAACAGCCCTGGCGCCTCGACCTCTGCTACCGTCTCCTCAGGGGTATCCCATACCCAGCGCGGCAGTATCCGTTTCGAAGACTTGGGTAGCTCCCCATGTTTGGCCTTCAGTTGCAGCAGCTCCTTCTCCAGGGCAATCAAAGCCTCCCTCGTAGCCTTCTCCGTCTGCTCCAACTCCGCCAGCCGGCTCTCAACATCCTCCCGGCGCGTTGTTTCCTTCCGGCGAGACCTCAATGATTCGAACACGATCAACCCACCCGCCACCAGGAACAAGAACGTCTCACTGATGAAGGTCGCACCGGATTCGATGGCTTTCGACTCCGACAGCGGCCGAATGTGAGGCTTGGGCGCCGGTTTAGCCGCCTCTTGAACCTTGGCGAGGGCTGCCTCTTCTGCTTTGGTCTCGGCCTCGGTTTTGGCCGTTGGGGAGGTGGGTTTGAGTTTGCGAAGTTCCGCCTCGGCCGCTGCCCGTTTCTGGGATGCGGCGTTGTCGCGCAGCGTGCCTAGGCGGAGGCGCATGTCGATGCGGTGCAGCCCTTGCGCCATGGAGACGCAGATCCGGCGGAAGCGTTCATGTTCGCGAGCCTGTGCTTTTATTTGGTTCTTTGAAGGTGTCAGTGTCAATTCGTGGACGGCGGGGAGGGGGTCGGTTGGGAGAAGCTTACGGCGATCGGCTTCGACAGTGTGCGGATAACAAGGGAGGAGAGCTTAAGGGTGAGAGACATGGCAGGCAAAGATCAAGAAAGAAGAAGAAAAATCAAGGATATTCAAGAATGTCGGTGGGGACCAAAATCCATACGGGGTGTGTCAATGAGGCGTGGTTTCGAGGCCTACATGCGGCTTAGGCTCGGTGAATCACAATAGCTATGCGAGTGATATCGGACTGGATTATCAGGCATCGATCGATCGGCATGTGCCGGGCGTGCATAACGCCCCGGAAATTCCTGCTGACATCAGCAATGTGCGTTGTTGCGGCAAGTCGGATCAATGTTTATCGATTGCCCTTTCGGGTAATCCGTTTTCTCCTCGTCTTTCGTACTGAACTTGACTTACTTTATCCCTACCGGACACCTGCTGAACCCGCCGCCCCCCACCTCCCCTCAAACACAGGAAAACTCTTTGGCTTGTGCGGCGTTACATGCATGGCTTTGTGTTTTTGAGCGTCATTGGTTTCATGATTTTGTTGATTTCCGGGTATGTCCTGCTGCTGCCCCAGATTTGATCTCCTTGTGCTTTACTTTACGGTTCATCTGTCGCTGTTCTTTCATCTAATCGATTGATGACCGGCTTCGAGGCTCCCGAGTGGGAACGCGCATATCGTCATACCGCTTGTTGTTACTAACCACAATAGAAACACTGACCAGTCGATTTACTATACCCCTATTCTTATTCGACCTTGCTCGTCTGTACTGCCACATCTGATGTTCGCGACGCCCGACTCGCCCGAAGCTACCGGTCCGTCCCTGGTCGAAACCTTTGATACCCAACCATAAGACGCGACGTCTCGTGAGTCCAATATGTTGGAGGCATTATCACCCCGATCCACCAACCAAGTGATCAGACCCAAGGTGTCGATGGAGCGTAAAGTGTTGGACAAGAATGCCGCCGCCGCTGCCGCCGCTCAGAAATCATCGTCGTCAAAGAACCATGCGCCCCCGCCGCCCTCATTAGTCGTGGAACCCGAGGAGGATGGCGAACAGTACTCAACGGGTGCGTTCCTGGGGAAGGGAGGCTTTGCGGTCTGCTATGAGGGAACCCTGCTGCGGAATGGTCGCGTCTTTGCCATGAAAGTAGTACGGTCTGAGATGGCTCAGAAAAAGATGCAAGAGAAGGTATACCACCTGGCGCATGCGTTACTATCGAACCACTACTGACGGATTCTGAGCGCAGTTCCGGACCGAGCTTCAGATTCACTCCAAAATGCGACACCCCCATATCGTCGAATTCCATCGTGCCTTCGCGTTCGAAAGCTGCATATATGTCATTCTCGAATTATGCCCCAATGGGTCGGTAATGGACATGGTCAGGAAGAGAAAATGCTTGAGTTTACCCGAGGTCCGGCGGTTCATGATCCAGCTCTGTGGTGCGGTGAAATATCTGCACAAGCGCAACGTGGCGCATCGAGACTTGAAGATGGGCAATCTCTTCCTGGACAAGAATATGGACATCAAGGTTGGCGACTTTGGCCTGGCGGCTATGATTGTCTCAGAGAAGGACGAAAAGCGCAGGAGAACATTGTGCGGCACGCCAAACTATATCGCGCCCGAGGTACTTGATCGGAGCAAGGGCGGACATACGCAGAAGGTGGATATCTGGTCATTGGGTGTCATTTGGTAAGCACCTTGAGACTGGGTTCCAACGATAAATGGACTAACAATATATAGCTTCGCTATGCTTACAGGCTACCCGCCATTTCAATCCAAGACGCAAGAAGAAATCTATAAAAAAGTCCGAACCTTGACATACGTGTGGCCCAAGGGATCCGAGTGCGCCAATCACATTCCTGACGAAGCCAAGTCCCTCGTGAGCTCGTGTCTAAACTTGGCGGAGGAGGAGCGCCCTGAACCGGACGACCTGGTCGAGCATCCCTTTTTCAGCATGTACGAAGGTTGCATACCAAAACGGCTAGACTCGAGAAACTGTTTGAACCGGCCTGTCTGGTTGAAGCCGGACGAACCCCGTGGCGATCGCATGATGACGGGCTATAGTCTGGAGTATGACGACAAGCTTTCTGGGTATATAGAACATGTGGAGGACCCCAGTCAACGGTATGCCATATGCAAGGCTGCTTTTTACACGCTATGTGGAGTGGGCAGGAAGCCCGATGGTACAGCCCGCAAGGCTGCTGGCAGAAACTGCTCGAAATCCGCTTATGCTGAATGTCTGATTGAGGAAGAAAGAGGCTTCCAGCCGGTCATTCCGTTGCCGGAGGATATTGTGTATAAATATCCCAATATCCCGGATGGTGACTGGAGTGATCCAGTATCTGCGCTCCTGGCTCGAAAAGATGGTTCCTCGTTCGACAACAGTGTGTTGTCCAGGAAGAGCAGCGGATCCGTTCGCGCCAACTCAGCCTCGCTTACCCGGACGCAAGCGGCGTTGGCTGCGGCACAGCAACGACGGAAAGAGTCTCAAAGCCACGCGGCGACACTTCGGCAGCAGGCTGCCACTGGAAGAGGATCTATCCGGAAGATACCCGCGATCTGTGACCCTCCAGCCGCAGCAACACGGGCTGTCTCCGATGGGCGAGGCGTGGAGCCCAATTCCGCGGTTACAGCACCAGCCCCAACGGGCGGACTGGCCGAACGCCCGATTCGCGCGCGACGCGGCGTGGTTGCATCATACTCTAGCTCCTTGCGCGACTTGGATCGAAACATTCCACCACAAGCAGTGCCGAACGAAGGGCTCGGTATACTCACCATCGGGAAAACGCGGTCACAATCTCGAAGACTGGAGGCTGCTAGTCAAGGGAGTACACAGACAGTGCCAGCTGCGACAGAGCTATTGGTGTCCGCAACACTAGACAGCAAACCCGTAAAGACACGTCAGCCATCACTCCGCTCTGCAACAAGGCCGGAACCTACAGAAGCACCGAAGGAAAGACTAGAACCTAAGGAAACATCTAGCGAAGGTTCAACCGGAGGACGATATATGGTGCGTTCTGAGACGCAGTCTTCTCAGTCGACCAGCAGTTCTAGCAGCAAGACGACGACCTCGTCTGCCAGCAAGCCACGCTCAACCTTGGGCGTTCATCCTCTCTTTCACTCCAGCGATCCTTGCGAAATCCTTCCAAGGTCATCACTGGAAGATGTGAACGCCGACTTGCGACATATGATTGCCAACATGGTACCGCATTCAGCGGCTCGAAGAAGGGCAGGACTTCGGAGAGCGCCCCACTCGTATGTGATCAAATGGGTCGACTACACCAACCGGTACGGAATCGGCTATGTACTCGATGATGGCAGTGTTGGGTGTCTATTCAAGGCCGAGCATAACCAGCAGGCGAGCGGCGTCGTGGTGCGAGGCGGCGAAAGACACATTCGGCGCAAGGCCCGTAGCCAAGAAGGTGGAAACTACGTCTACCCGGAGGCTGACCAGTTGATCCCGCGATTCGGGAGACCAGTGGAGTTCTATGAGAATTGCGATCTCAATTTTACGGAATGCCGCGGTGGGATCCGGAAAGCGTCCATCTCGCCGTCGTTGTTTGAAGTGAGGAGCTCTTCTAGTGGTTCTTCGGGTTCTGGAATCAAAGTCCGCACTAATTCAGGTATTGACTGTGCGCGTGCGGATGCTGAGAAGATCAAACGTGTCAAGCTGGTGGACCAGTTCGGCAAGTACATGATTGGATCTCTCGGTCGAACTGGCGACGAGACCCTTGTGGAAGATGAATTGGTCACCGACAGTCCTGGCCAATTCATCAAATTTTACCAGCGACTGGGGAATGTAGGTGTCTGGGGCTTCGGAGACGGCGCATTTCAGGTTAGTACCTTGAACCTTCCGTGGAAATCCCCACGTATTGACGAATTGCAGTTCAACTTCCCCGATCACACCAAGCTGGTCATCTCTCCAGGCCGCACAAGAAGTTCGTCACCCTGGGTTGACTTCTACCACCTTTCCCCATCGGCTGCGCGATACCTGAGCGCCAAAGGAAGAATGCACCCATCCGGATTTGATACACGGGCTATAGCATCAGACGAGGTCTCGACCTTTCTCACCATTGCTTATGGCGGCGGTGCCAGTACGGCGGATGACCGCATCCGGGACGTACTTGACGCGAATCTATTCCTGCAGAAGATGGTCTTTATCAAGGAGGTCATGAAGGGTTGGATCAAGCAGGGGCGCTTAGGAGGACGGTCTTCCTCTGGCGAGGGTCTTAGTTCGCTTGAGATCTTCTGGGAAGGCTCCCAGGAGCGAGTCGCCTCAAGTAGCAGCGGCAACAAGTTCGTCTGGGTAACCGTAGGCGCGCCAGGAGGGGATGGGGAGTATCGATCCATCTCCTTAAAGGACAGGAAAGCAGATGGGGATGCTGATGAGGAGGTTGAGGCGTTGCGGGAACGTCTTCGACTGCTGGGAGGACCAGCTTAGGCCTCTTCTGGGGGCCACGGCCAATATTCACGATTTTATGACTATTGCACTCTTTTGATTTCCTTATCTCATTGGGGCAGGCTTTGCATTCTACCGGCTGTCGTTTTCGCGTCTGTGTATTTGATTCATCATTCTGAGCGGTGCTGTCACTGCATGCATGGGCTGGCTGCTTCGTATAATACTATTAGCATATAACGCACGATCATTAGCTCCTGTGTCTCGTCATACTATAGGAACCTGAAAACGGGAGCATGTAACTGCAGCAAAGCAATCGAAAAAGATAGACATCGGTTGTGGTTGGTATGTGCTATGTATGACTTTCTGTGTAGCCTCTTATGGGAAATGCGCTATACATCGATCGTGCTCACGTATCGTATGGAATTTACCCAGAATATAGACCATGCTAGGCAACGTCACCTGAGATCATCACTTCTGTAACCTCCGCTGCTCATCCTCCAAGATCTCCGGCAAGGTGGCCTCGAGACTCGGCCGGGTGGGTGTCCAATCCAACACCTTGGCGGCCCTCTTCGCCTTACCGCGCGAATTCAATCCCCAGCTCAGCGACTCGAAGCCCGCGAACTTCTTCCCGTCCTCGAGACTGATCTGCTCAGCCTTAGACTGACCGATGAGCCCCAGCTCGGCCGCATACTTGGCTATCGCCCGCGATAGCTCCCCCCACACATGCTCACCATTTTCCGTGAGATAGTAGGCTCGGGCGCCCCAGAGCTCCGGATCGTCTTTCCGACGGCCCTCGACCGCCGCTTCGACCAGCCGGACATACAGATCGCTCAGATCGTGCACGTGGATATTGTTCCAGATGGACTTGCCCGCGCCGATGATGGGCGCCTTCTGCAGCTCCAGCGTCACGCGAGCTAATTCGTAGACCTGGCGGCCTCGTTGGCTTGCGGGGCCCCTTCCCCTTCCTTTTCATTGCACCCTGTCAGCCATACTGCAAGCTGACCCGGGAGTGTTAGGGTCTTTCTGGAGTGCAAGCATGCATACCGTAGATCGTCGGCGGACAAACCAGCGCTGTCTTCACCACCTCACTCTGTTTTGCCCCCGTCTCAAGAACAATCTCGTCCACGTTGCGGTGGAAGGCGTGGGCAGGGAGATTGAGCAGCTCGTCGACACCGTCCCAGTCATCGTAGACTTTGTCGCTGTGCTCCCCGAAGACATTCTTGTCGGTGTCGGCGTACGTCAGGATTCCCGTCCCGCCGGTGTGCAGCCAGTACCCCGGGTTCTCTTTGGAGTGGCCCTTGGCCAACCCGGCTGCGATGGCCTTGGCTGCGCCCGCGTGGTCGGAGGCGTCTGCCGTGTCTGGCATAGCAGGGTCAATAGGGAGGGGAAGTGTGTCAAACAACCGAACAACCGGACCAGGAAGCACATACGGAGCACGATATCCGCCTCGGCGCTCTCCTTCTCCAGGAGGCTCGAGTTGTCGAGATCGCCGATCACTACGCGCGCAGAGGGGTATTGCTCCTGAACGAGCTTAGCTTTTTCTGCTGAGCGAACGAGCAGTGTGTAGCTGTATTCGGGGTGTTTTTGGACGAGGGCGTACAGGGCGTCGCCGCCGATGTAGCCGGTTGCGCCGGTGCTGGGAGTTGGTCAGTTGGTTAGTTGGTTGCTGGGTTGTCTTTGGGGGGGGGGTGACTACTTGCATGAAGATCTTCGGAATATGGGTCATTTTGAGAGGTGAGTTATTGCCTGTCTGGTTCAATTTGATTGTTTCGCTTGAGGACCTTACCTGGCATGAACGGGCCTTGAAATACTCATATCCTTCTGTACCAAAATGGATGAAGCAATGATTGGGCCATGACGTGATGCTCGATGCTCTACAGTGTTGATTAATAATCCATCCATCCATCCAACTGGGTGGGTGCCTCATCAGGCAATCTCGGCCGACGGCGGTTGTCGCCGACAAACACGCTTCGAGTTTAGATTCCGCAACTGCATCGCATCTTTGGTCTGCGTAACAGCACGAAGTTTTGACAGGGACTTGGACTGGGATCTGGGATCTGGACCCGTAACGATGCACCGGTACGTTTGTTGACAATCGCTGTGCTATCAATCAGGAATTTCAATTGACAATCGGTTGAATGATTGGATTCAGGGTCACTTAGGCTTTTGTGGGCCACTTCTTCACCACCATGCCACGACCCGTTTCCAGCTCCACGCAGGCAACGCAACCCTCAATATTTGAAAACTCTTGGCGCACAAGACAAGCATCGACAGCCAATGGTGGTTCCGACGTGCAGCTGCTCCTCCACTTCTGCTAAGTTCTGATTTGACCGTTGAACTTCATGCCCGAACCCAGCTTTATGTGCTCGGAGTTGGGGGCCGTGCTTTCGTTCCGACCTCCGCTCGCGGGATGAAGTTTTATCCTCTCGACTGGGGCTTGGTGCAGATGCTGAGGGTTTGGACGTTCTGCAGGGCGATGGTACTTATTCTTATGGTTCCCTTAGTCTAAAATTTGTGTGCAAGGTGGGGAACCAAAAAAAAAAAAAAAGAAAAGGGCAATTGCCTGAGGAGATCGACGCTCTCGCATGCGCTGGGTAACCGGCTACTTCTCTTGTTGCCTGACTCACAATGGACTTCAAGCTGCATATCTCCGCGGTAGTACTTTACGTACTGGAGCTAAGATAAGGCATGATTCCATCCTAATGCGTGTGACTGTGCGGACCTAGCCCAACTCGCCCGCACCTTCGGTCTACATAAAGCGGGGTGCCTTTCCCTGCCTATCTTTTTCCTCTTGTGTCCTGTCATCACTGGAACATTTCGCGTGAAGAGAAATCAATATGGCCACGGAACAGGTTCTGCCAGTGCCTCGTGAGCGTAACATCGAGGCCCAGAGTGCCTTCGCCTCTACTCTGGTGGCCGATGTGGAGAAGGCGCCTCATCCCAAGGAGTCTCCTTCTGATCGGCCGCATACCAATGTCTATGGATCGACGATTGAAACGCCTACTTCCCAGGCGGGAACGGACGCGGTCTATGCGGCCAAGGCTGCGCTTCTGAACCAGGCCTTGCTGGATATGGGGATGGGTCTGTACCAGTGGTTGCTTTTTGTGATCACCAGTGTCGGATGGTTCCTCGATAGTGTAGGTTGGAGAGACCCCTCGCTGTTCGGTTGGTACTGACTGTTTTAGTTCTGGCTGATGTCTTTCTCCATTATCGCGCCGTCCGCAGCCAACGAGGCGCAATTTTTCTACTCCTACAACAAGGAGGCCTACCTGTTCGTGAGTCTGTTTGTTGGAATTACCACCGGTGCCACGGCATGGCCTTGGATGTCCGACTTCCTGGGCCGGAAATGGATCTTCACAAGCACTGTCGTTCTTATGGGTATGGGCGGATTGGTAGGCGCTGGCATGCCGGCGTTCACCGGTCTGTGTGTTGTCGGGTTTGTTGTCGGCTTTGCGGTAGCTGGCAACCAGGTTGTGGATGCCATGATCCTGCTCGAGTCGATCCCTGCGTCTCACCAGTTCTTGGTTACCATTCAGGGTGCCTTCTGGGGGCTGGGCCAACTTGTTGCGTCAGCCGTTGGCTGGTGAGTTTGTCTCTGTTTTTGGGGTTAGGTTGTGCAGAGTGGTCTGACCAAAGTAGGGCATTCATTGCGGAGTATACCTGCGGCACTGGGCCTGACGAAGTCAGCACGGCGACGGCGCTTTCCCATCAGTCCCGTGCCACACACTCCGGCAGCAGCAGCAGCAGCAGCAGCAGCAGTGCGAGTAGTAGCAGCTCCTGCCACTATGTCAGCAACAAGGGCTGGCGCTACGTGTGGTGGACCTTCGGCTGCATCACTCTGTTTCTGTATCTCTGCCGATTCACCTTCCCTCTCCGCGAGACACCCAAATACCTCCTCTCCAAACGCCGTGACGCCGAGGCCACCCAGCTCGTCAAGGACATCGCCACGTACAACAAGCGCCGCACCTGGCTTGACGAGTCCTCCTTTGCTCGCATCGACTCGACCGTCGACGCCAGCGCTCCGGAGTCCCGCCGCCCATCGCGACTCAGGGCGTTGTTGTCTTCCGCCGGACCTCTGGGCTTTTGCGTGCTCAGTCTCCTCTGGTCCGCCACCGGTCTGACGTTCATTCTTCACAAGACGTATATCAGCAAATACCTCGTCACCAAGGGTGTAGCGTCCATCAGCGCCACGACCGTGACCACGGACTACCTGTACAGCCGGTACCTGTACGTCGCCATCTGCGCCATCCCGGGACCCATTCTCGCCGGCTTCCTGATCGAAGCCAAAGGGCTTGGCCGCAAGCGCACGGGCGGCGTCCTCGCCGTTCTCCTCGGGCTGTTCATGTTCCTGGCGACCGTGTCTCGGTCCCGTGACGCTCTGCTGGCTTTTGAATGCATCCTGTCGTTCCTAGAGGCTGCCAGTCTGGCTGTGCTCACGACGTATACGGTGGAGCTCTTTGCCGCACCGTTCCGTGGGTTTGGGTTGGGGGTGATGGGATTCTTGGGGGGACTGTTCGGGTTGATTGCCTCGATCGTGACAACGTTTGAGGCTAGTGCTGCTGGTGGGGCCGCGGTGTGGTTCTGCGGTGCGATTTGGGTGGTGTTGGGGGCGGCGTGGATGGGAGTGCCGGAGACGAAGGGCCGTGCTGCTGCGTGATGTGGTCGGATGTTTGTTGTGGTTGGCCGGTTCAGTAATATAATATGGGTGAAGTATGGGTTGATGAGTAGGAGGTTGATCCCGGGAGACTGATAGTATAGCTACGAGATATGCGTGATGTGTTATGGTGTTATTAGTGTCGCAACGAATCTATGCAATTGTCACGAGTGATTTTATACATGCAAACCCCAACTGGACATGTCTCACCTGCAATCAACAGCCATAGTAACTCCCCAAACACAACACTTACTTCAAGCGATAGTAAGAGTCAACCCATATACTGTACCGCACAGCTCACCATCTCGCCCTCACATCGACGCATGACCAACCAAAAGAACTAATTAGCAGTAGAACAATCCCCCCCACACGCCATAAACCAATACCTCTGTCCCTCCACCTCCTCCCCCTCCGCCACCTTCACAAACCCATGCTTCAGATCCAACGACCGAGCCTGCACCGAGGCGGCAAGATACATCTGCACCCCCTTGCCCTCCGTGTGGTGCATATCTTCCTTCCGACGCCGGGCTGTTTGGGCTTGTAGTTGGGCGAGCAACTCCAGGTCACCGGGGGAGAGATTCGGTGGTAGACCGAGGGGGGAATGGAGGGTTTGGCTGCTGTTGATGTTTTGGTTGCGAGTGCCATTGTAGCGGTTCGGCAGTGGGGTTCAACCTATCTTGAGCGTCAACCTGAACTTGGACTTCTCGCACAGACGCAGGAAGCTCCCACTCCGCAAACGCAATGATCCCTTCTCCCTTTCCCTTTCCCCTCCGCGTTTGCAGCCATCACCATCACCCCCAGTCTCTCGACAGAGACAGACGCAGCCGTCTCAACGCCACTCTTTGTACCCCCCTCTGTCTCCACAATCTTCTCACAACACTCCTCCCCCCCTCAGTCCGTCGACGGAGAGACTGAGTCCATCCACCACGCGTGGGTTTCCGGGGTGGGTGGGAAGATGCGGCGGTGCAGGGGGTTGGTGAAGCAGGCGAAGTAGCAGGAGGCTAGGGCAGGGGCGTCGGTGGGCTGGGCTTGTTGGAGTTTGAGCATTTCGCAGTAAGACTAGATTGGAAATTGGGTAGAGGCTGAAGGTGTTTTATGTTCTGGAGCTTATGGTGTTACGTTGTTGTTTCTGGTACTTTATGGGGGCAGTAATGTGCTTTGGTGGTTGTCTATACTAGGCATCTTTTATACTTACCTCAGTATACACTATTTACTCGGTACTCCATTGTAGACGGCGGATGGAGATGTCGGAGTAAATGCGCCAATCGCATCGCAGGATCGATTTCGAACTTTCAGTATTAGCTCCGGGTCGGAGTCATAAACTACAAGCACCGATCATTACTCCCCAAACAAGGCATCATACTTCGTATGAGAGATATTAGATAGATTAATATGGATAAGCACAGCTTATTAGTTACGATAGACATCGCGTCAGACATCACTTCTCCAGGGTCGGTCCCGGACTCCGCACCCTCTCCACAGTCGGTTCGTTCGGCGGCGAACGCGGCTGCGACGCAGGATACATCGGCCCCTGCGGTCGATGCTGCGGATGCTGCGGATAGAACACCCGCCGATTATACCCCCCGTCGCGCGGCGCCACGCGGTTCTCCGTGCTCTTTGTCTGGTCGATCTCGCGCTTCACCCCCTCGTACATGTACTCGATGATGTGGATCTCCTCCTGGATGTCTAGCTCGCAGCCGCTCAGACACAGCTCGCGCTCGCGCTGCTCGATGTACTCGCGGATGTTGCGCCATTCGTTCTGGTAGTGTTTGAGCCGGTCGGGCAGGCCGGACCCCTTCAGGTAGGTCAGCACCCCCGCCATGATGGTGTTGATCGCTCCAAACGCCGTCACCGCCGAGTGCGGCCCGCTGGCGGCGCCCAGCGCCGTCAACGCCGCCGCCACCACAATCTGGATCCCCAAGCACACGTTGACCAGGATGCTGAAGAAGCGGTACCGCACATACGCCGAATGCTCTGCCTTGACCACGCGGGTGTAGATGCCGATGTTGGGCGCTGTGCGGTCGTAGTGCTGCAGCGTTCTCAACACGGGAATGCTGTCGATCCCGGTTAACGCGCGGAAGACGAGCAGTTTGTCCTGCGGAGGAATGAGGGAGCCGGCATCGGTCGTAGTGATGGTCAGGTGGCGGGGGTGGGGGTGTTGTTGTTGTTGTTGCTGTTGCGGCAGAGGAGCGGGATGAACAGGAGGTGGCACTGCGGTGGCTCCCGTTGCCTCTAAGTCTCCGCCCGGCATCATAGCAGGCGCCGGAGGATAAGCCACCGGATTGGTCATGGGAGGGAAATGATGCTGCTCATGTTGCTCACGTTGGTCACGAGGGAGAAAGCTCATGAGTCGCCCAACAAAACCAGAGCGTGGATGGGGGTGCGCCATCGTGGCGGGTGGAAAGGGTGGGATGGTCCCTTTTCAAAAAAAAACCACAAGATTCAAGTCTTGCTCCAGAGGGGCAACGGGCGCTTTTTAAAGAGCCTGGGGGTGGGTATCCCCCTTGAGAGGCTTGATTATTACACATCGTCTCGGGAGACCAGAAACCGCCACACCTTTCTGCAAATGGCGCGGCTTCCGTGTTGTGTTCGTGCGTATGGCAGTACAGGATAGAGAGCCGGCTTGGCCATCATTGGTGCTTGACTGCGTCCAAGACTTGCAGCGTAGAGGGCAATTTAAGCGGCCGGCTGGACCCTTGACCCACACGGATCGACAAGCAGCAGTTCGGCATAAAATGAGAGCTTTGCGTGCAGATTTTCGACTGATGCGCTGTGTTGCTGTGATCTGCAGATGTGATTCAACTGCAGAGCCTCGTGATGCAAGGAAACCTGAAAATGGGGAGCGACATACAGCTTCCAGTGAGCTGAGTTCGTAGCGCTGCAGCCAGATGTGATAGTGGCGAGCTGAATCTGTTCGATGTGCTCAACCAGATTACGAAGTGCACATCGCAGTAGCTCATGCGGTTCTGATTAGCCTGTCACCACACTAGAATCACAGTGAGTTTGTGGGGAGCGAGAGTGAATCGGCAGATGACTTGCAATACACAGACCCTGACTCGACAGTCTGGAGCAGACTTCGCGCTAGCAAGAATTTCTCGGCCAGATCAGCACAAAAGGATGCTCAGCGATTATCCGAATCTCCGAGACACAATCAGCCACGGGCGGACTAGAGCTCACGGCCCCATATGCAAGCACCAAGCTGAAAGAACCACGGATAGGCGCCTGTCAGATTGGTGGAGGGGAATAGAGATGATTTGAAGAGATAAGCCGCTGAAATGTCGATCACATTTTCCTGAATTGGTCTGTAAGCGATGCAAGCGATGCACTTGACATTATTTGTAATTGACTGGAATGTGCGGCACGGCACGTCTCGTCTTGACATCAGGAGACACTCGGTAGATTGACTGACGGACCCACACCCGATCGGCAGTAATGAGTGACTGACAGAGCGATTCTCCGCAGCAGTAAACCCTTTCCCATGATGCTTGCTTTATTAACACAGACAGTGAACGAAGAACAGATAGAGAGACAGACCGAGCCCGAAGCAATGAGCGATAAGAAGGAAGCGAGACTTCCTTTATTATCTCGACTTTCCCCGCGCTTATTAATCCTTGCTGGAACGTCAAGGCTTCCAGAGGGAAATCGATTCAATTGCCGGCGATAAGAAAAGCGCCAGATATCATCTGAATGGCGCAATCAACCCCCTCATGTCCTTTCCTGCCGACTCTCGCCAGGATTTGAATCTGTTCACCTTCATGACTTCACAATCCGTCATGGGAGACGCACCGCCTGCTCAGGACCGCATCCTCATCGCCAATGCCGGCGGGATCTCGCCGGCTCTCCTCGAGGAGATCCAGGCAAAATTCCCCAGCGCGGATATCACATACCTCAAGCTTGAGAACTTTACGCCAATTCCCAGTGGTAGGTCCATTGTGCGGTCTCGCCTGGCAGTTGAATACTGACAGTTGCAGAATACGCCAGAAGAGCCACCCATATTGTGACGTTCAGCAATCTTCCCAGTGTCGAGGATGTGTCCGAGTACGTGATTCAACCACATATTGCCACTGTCACATAGAACCTCAAGTCTAATACCGATAAGGGTCAAGCTCATCCATCTCTTCTCCGCCGGGGTCGACCACATAATGACCCACCCCATTGTCCAAGAGACCAACATCCCGCTCACCTCCAGCTCGGGCATCCACGGACCCCCCATCGCCGAATGGGTCATCATGAACTGGCTGGTCGCCTCCCGGCGATTCGTCTCCATCTACAAGAGCCAGGAACAGCACGTCTGGGGCAAGTACGGAGACTGGATGACCGGTGTCCGCGACCAGGTTGGCCGTAAGGTCGGGATTCTAGGCTACGGAAGCATTGGTCGACAGAGTATGTGACCCTCCCCCCAGAATCCTCTCTCATAATCCCCATCTACTCACCAAACAACAAAACGGCACAGTCGGCCGCGTCGCCTCCGCCCTAGGCATGAAAGTCTATGCCCACACCGCATCCCCGCGGCCGACCCCGGCCTCCCGCATCGACAGGGGATACATCGTGCCCGGCACCGGCGACAGGGAGGGCACAATTCCCGTGTCGTGGCACCACGGGACGGACCGCGCCTCCATCCGCGAGTTCCTCGCGCTGGGACTGGACCATCTCGTTATCGCCCTGCCCTTGACCCCGCAGACGACACATCTTCTCGGCGCCGCGGAGTTCCAATTGCTGGCGGAGCATGCGCCGTCGAAACCCTATGTGACGAACATTGCCCGCGGGAAGATTGTGGACCAGAAAGCATTGGTGGCGGCGCTGCAGGACGGGGTGCTCGGCGGGGCTGCGCTGGACGTGACTGACCCCGAACCCTTGCCCGCGGAGGATCCGCTGTGGGATGCGCCCAATGTGCAGATCAGTCCGCATATCAGCGGTGCCGGGATGGAGTATATTCCACGGTCACTGGATATCCTGAAGGAGAATCTGGGGCGGCTTGCGCGGGGGGAGGAGATTCTAAATGAGTATAAGCGGGGGAAGGGGTACTAGTAAGCTACGATTACACACACACACACTACAACAAGTTTCCCATTCCAACAAGAATCACTGGTGCACTTTCCGTGTATGATATTCGTGGGATTCAATTAAAGATACGTTACATAGATAGATTACATGATCATTGTCCAGCGTGTATGCTGGCTGGAGAACACAAATTCAGGAAAATAAAATCATTTGGCGAACCAGCCGCGGAGGCCCTCCTCGACCACCACACCGGCCACACCACAGCCGACGATCGCCCAGGTCCAGGGGTTGACGATCTCCTTGAAGCCGGGCCAGAAGCTGTTCTTCTTGCTCTTCCACTCCTGGAGCTGGTCGTACTTGTGCAGGTTTTCGGTCTTGTACCGCTCCTCCTGGCTGGTCTCGGTCATCTTGTCGCCGCCCACGAAGCGGAGGAAGACGTAGTTGGTCAGAGGGCCGAGGATGACGAGCGGGTTGAAGTTGGTGGCGCAGTTGATGAAGGCAAAGCCGAGGTGCACGAGGGTGTCGCCAAGGTAGCTATAGATGCATTGTGTTAGTTATTTGGTCCAAAGCGGTTCACGCCAAGCAGTGGAATTACGCCCGGAAAAAAAAAAAAAAAAAAAAAAAAAACAGATTTTGGACACTCGGGAGGGACATACTTAGGATGGCGAACAATACTCCAAACGCCACTCCGGCACAAGTCCTCTCTCTCAGCGCGGTGCTCCTCCATCTGTCTATCAGCCAGCACCTCAAGGACGAAACCAGCGCTGAACAGACCGACGCCGAACGCGCGCAAAGCGGCCTGCACGTCGGTGTCGAGCGCGACGCTGGGGCTAGCCAGGCGGAAGGGCAGGGTGAAGGGCAAGCTGATGAGGGTCAGGAAGGCGGCCTCGGGAAGGTACTGCTTCCAGAGCATTTCCTTCCAGAAGCCGACGGGGTTTTGTTTCTTGAGTTGGACATAGCGGGCGTCATCGGCGCCACGGCGGAGGGTGCGTGAGGCGATGCGGCCGAACAGGCGGCCGCCCCAGACGGTCACGAGCGAGAGAAGGGTCTTATCGGTCCAGGAGAGAGCGCGCCAGGCGGTTTGCGGGGAGACGTTGTTGTAGAAGACCTGGTGGCCGACGGAGCTCCACCAGGCGTTGATCACCTGGCTGGCCGGCCAGTTCCAATCCTTGAGCTCCGCCTTGTCGGTCGCGCGCGAGGCGAGGAAAGCGGCGAGGTCGAGAGTGGTGTGCAGTGTGAACGAGGGAAGGATGGTCGAGCGGAGGATGCCGACGTCACCGGTCGCGAGGCCGGGACTGCGGAGACGGTCCGCCTCCGCTAGAGGCGAACCAGACCGCGTGAGATTCATGGTCGTCGTGGTGATCGTGATTGGGATTAGTTTCTGGTTGGGAAAAAAGTCATCGCCAAACTTGGGTGAGGGAGTTGGTTTTATAATTCAAAGTAAGTTAGTTATGGGGGTTGGAGGTTGATGTCAGTATTATGTAATGTGGTGATGACGTCGCTTGTCATTTTCTTGCTTCTCCGGAATGGGCCAGGCTTGGATCTTGATCCATCATGATGCAGGGTAATTAGACATTTTGTTCTCAAATTGCACATTATAGCATTATAGCATAATATCAGCAGCCAGGTGCAAGGAAATGTGAAATATGGCCTAATTATGCATATGCATATGCGATGATGCTGGTACATGTATAATAATGCTGTATAAGTAGTTATGCTTGCCGATCCTTAACTATGAATAAGATGTAGCTGAGAAATTGAAATGCAGAGGAAGGACATTCGTTGGTGCTTCATATTTGGCTTGTATCAATTCGTTCAATCGTTGACTCCAGAGATCGGTTGGCGAGTCTCGACCAAATGTACTCAATGCGTCGGACTCAGTTGTGGAATTTGTGGCTGGGGACTCGGGAACCATTCCCTTAGCCAGTTTTGCTAGCTGCGAAAGATCGGTCGAAACAGTTATACCTGTATCATACAATGCGCATTCTTCTGAGATACTCTCAAATGGCAGCTTGTTGGTACTGATCCGTTTGAGTTTCGACCTCCCGTCCGAGGCAGCGTTCTGCGCGTGGTAGCGTATGAGGTATGACCTCGGATCATGTGGGGACAGCGCGGGCTTTTGCTTCTGCTCTAGCTCAGTGATAAGCAGGCCGTGAATGGCTGCATCGGAACTGAGGGCAGCTCGTGCGTTGAGGTATCGATTTAGATGCGGCGAGCGAGGGTTGGATGCAACGTGACTATTCTGCAGTTGTTTCCGTCTCTCCTGTATAGCATCCCGCTTTCGACGTTCGAAATCTAATGCCTTCTCCAGTTCCTTGTGGCTGTCTTTTGATAGTTGATGGAGTCTCGTCGACCATCGTTCGAGGACTGGAAGTCCCCGATGATTGCCTTGGATCTCTATATCCTGAGTTGGTGGCGGAGAAAGACTCGACATTCGCGATAACCCTATGGCTGACATGGGGCTTCCATTTTCATCTTCGACTGAAACTTGTTGCACTTGTGAGGTTTCATCAGACGCCTCAAATCGCCGCGCTGCTAAAGCCGACAGAGAAGGCTCCTCTGTATCCTCCTGTGGCTGATTCGAGGTGTCCAGTCGTGACATTGCCACTTGCGTAGTCTTGCCAAACCAGGTGTCAAGAGAGCCATTCCCGTATCGTTCTCGGTCGCGCTCCCGTGCTGCACGTCTTGCACTGCTATGAGTATCACGCTCTGGGGAACTGTGCGAGTTTTGTGACCTAGTTGGTGAGATCTGGGCTCGTAATGGGGACACTGCTAGCGTGCTCGTGCTTGACGCAGACGGACTTGGAAGAAGCGTCTGAGGTGAATGATGTATCGACTGAACAGAGTCCCTACGACTCTCTGCTATGTTCGTTTCCAAAGGGGGGTAAAAAGGCGACTTAGTCTGTGACGGTGTTCTGGAAGAGCCAACGCTCCCCACATTCATCTTCGTAAAAGACCACGGATTCAGGGCTTCTAGACGCTTCCGCCGCATGTTGTCAGCATCCAATGCCAGGGTGACATTGGGAGATGGTGGTGTGGCCTTCCACACTGAATTTGCTGTCACAAATCCTGAAGGTTGACTGTAAGTGACCATGCTTTGTGTGGCCGCGGAAGGGCTTTTGCGAGCCAGAAGCAGGTCAAACCCATTAGACTCTTTGACTGGCGCCTTCCCTTTCCACAAACCTGGAGACTCCTTTGTGTCTGGTTGCGCTCCGTATACACTGCGAAACATGTCTTCAATGAGTGAAAGCAGCGTCTGTGGGTCTTCAAGCAGAACATCGTCCTTTGCCGGCTCGATGTTCACATCATACGTCGCGTCGTAGCAACGAATATGCAAACAGAGAAACGGATCGGTAACGTTTGACAGGCACTGGCGACGGCTTGTCACTGAGTTTATATATGTCTTGAACAACTTTGCAATGTCTTGGCCGATACCCCTAGTAGCCGACAAAGGCCTACCATCGATGCTTATATACTGACCCGAATTGTTGACTCGAGCAATATCTGACCGAATTAGCAAAGCACGGAATGTAGTCCACGGGGTCCATACCAGCCTCCGGGTCTGGGAGAAAAGCTGTTAATTCATAGTGCAGTCGGCTTCTGTCCTCTGAGCCATCAGGAACGTCATCTTCCCACCGCTTGAAACAACAATTAGAGGCAACCTCTTTACCCGCTACCTTCATAGCGGCGCTTGAGAGAGTCGCTTCCTGCCCTGGGGCGTACAACCAATTGTTGCTTTCATTTTTTGCCCTCAGTACTTTCAAAGATAATCGTTTCGAAGGCTGAGCTAGAGCATAGGCTTGTAGCATCTTCTTAATGCGGACCAAGGTCTTGGCTGAGCTCTTCAACACAGTCTGCCGTCGCACGGGAATGTGTCTGAAGAGGTCCGCTATACGAACAGTGGTTCCTACCGGGTGCGCCATGAATTGTGTACTGCCCGAGTATGTCAGCATAACGCCTCCAATGCGCCTACTGCGACCTACCTGACAAGCTCCCCATCTCTACCATATCTGATGACGTGACCAATGGATTCGTTCTCGACCCTCGTTGTGACCACCAAGCTGCTGGATACCTCGGCAGCACTAGCTAGAGCTTCACCGCGGAAGCCCAGCCAAGTCCCTCCGACATGGCGGAGATCATCAACAGTCTGGATCTTACTGGTGAAGGAGCGTCTGCAAACGAATGGATGGTCCTCGCAGGATATCCCTGTTCCGTTATCCCTGACTTGAACCACGTCAATGGTATTCGGTGAGATCTCAATAGTTACAGAGGTAGCCGAAGCGTCAAGAGCATTGTCCAACAACTCCTTGACAATCGAGCAAGGGTCTGAGATGACGGACGCAGAGCCGATCGCCCTAGCGGTTGTCGGCGGAAGCGCCGCGATTGGCATCCTCAGTTATACTCAGACAGTCCGAGTGATCATCGCTTAGCAAGCTCAGGAGAAATACAGAGTGAACGAGTTATATAGAAGGTAAGCCCTTGGTGCCATTGAGTACTATTGTTGTTCCAGAGAAAGACAAAGCTGCTCTGTATTTCCACGCACACTAAGCCCAACCTGGCGGCATCTTGCTGAGTCAGTCACCAAGCATGGTGAACCAATGGAAATGATGTCATCGTCGGCTTGCCTGCGGAATAGATTGCCGAAATCCCGCTGTCAATTAAAGCTATCTTCAAATTATGGGTTGCACAAGCCTTCAAGTTCACTCAATTGAGCATCTGATATTTCAGTATTAGATGTTTCTGTCAAACGTTCAAGATGTTATAGAAGCCGCAACTTGGGACATTGGCTGAACTACGATACGAAATGGCTCGGCACAAGTCAAGCAAATGCTTAGCCAGCAGATGCACACAGTACCGAGTCTCAGATCACAAATGCACCCGTGCTTCAATTTGCAAGCAGATAGTTAGCCCGCTGCGCTTAAATATCTGCGTTAGGAAATGAGCCGAAGTGAAAACGAAGGCATTCCCCACCATAAAAACAAACCGTCACACGAAAAGGATAACTCGCCGCAGATGGACCTATAAAGTCATTCGGCTCACTCCACCATCTCTCCAGAAGTCCTCAGATACTCTTAAGTGACCGACTCAACCTGCTTAACCCGTTCAAATGGTTTACACCGGTCACTGTAATTGTGCGAATGTCCGCATCACCTTGCCCAGGCAACCTGCCAACTCGGTGATATGCCACTGGTAGGTAGCTTTCTGTCTGGAGGTTTGTAGCTTTGGAAGCTAATGATTTTGCCATACAGCTCTAATTGTAAAAGAGCCGGAGGAGGACGTGAGTTCCCGGAAGCTCAGCAGCCTTGGCATATTTCTCTTTCTTCCACGTTTGGTGCTTAACGTCTCTCCAGTCTTTTCAGTTAACTATCTCGTCGACGAGAGTGAAATGACCGTTGAAGATCCTGGCAACGTGAAGAAAGTTTACCAGGACCCAAACACTCGATCAGGAACCAAGATCTCGGTAGGTTACGTTTATCCGGTCCGAAGCACAGAGGCTAATGTGTGATGGTGGGAGTTGCAGCGTCATTTCTGCTCGAACTGTGGGAGGTGAGTTAACGTAGCCCACTGCATTCTGAAAAACCACTCTGACATAGGATAGCCCATTGTATACACTCACGCCCGGAAAACCCGGCAAGGCATTCTTGAAGGCACCTCTATTTGAGAGAATTTCTCCTCCGAGTATGGCGGTGTTTGAGGAGAAACAGGAGGAATGGGCCAAGGTTCATTTGTGAAGCTGATGGTGATGTTGCGGAGTACTTAGTGATTAAAGCTCCAGTGCAGGGAATCCATGTATGGAATCAATCTAGATTTGCGGTACAGTACCATGGATAAGGAATGAAGATAAGTGAGAAATCCCAGATAAGAGAATTTGGGTAAACTTGGAAGTAGCCGGCCGGCGTTTGGGGCAAACGCGGGGATCGGAGGGTGACACATCATCAACCATGATCATCCTTCCCACCGCAAATCGCCAACGCCAGGCTTTCGTCGTGGCTGGACAATGCCATCATCTTTGTCTTTCAACGCAAACCTCGGTGACTCCTAGGGAATGTCGTACAAATCCCTCTAGAATTCCTTGACAATGGACGAAGTACGCGAACGTCACGTCCAAGGCGACCCGATCACGACGGCAGCTCGGGAAGAAAATCCCCCAGCCCAGGCGGCGGCGGTCAATACGGGCGAGCACCATCGTGAGAGCCAAAGCGACGACGACAGCGACCGTGATGCCTTTGAGCTGCGCAACGTCTCGACCCAAGATGTGGATGAGGCCGGCTTCTCGACGGATTCGATCTCTTCGGCGGAATACCGCGTCAGGACGCTCCGGACGGTGTCCCAAGCTAGTCAGCGCAGTCGGGAGTCACGCAAGGGGCCATGGGGACGTCTCGAACGCTTTTGGACACGAAATGTGGTGTTGACAGTGCCACAACGGAGCAATCGGGACCATTTTGGTGAGAAAATCATCCCTCCCCATCCCTTTTGTATGAATTTCTGAATCCTGGGGTGTGCTCCGGATTGATCGCTGCGCTAAAATGACGGAATCCCACATGGCGATTGCACCAACACGGGCGAATAACCCACCACCATCGATATTGATAAAGAGTAAGATTATGCACAGCTAACAATGACCAGCATTAGAACGGACTTTCTTGGCCTATATCCGCACGTCGGTCATGGTCGCCATGCAGGGCGTCCTGATCGCTCAATTGTTTCGCCTACAACACAAGGCTTCCCCGGACTTGGCGTTGGGATTTTACGAAGTGGGTGTCCCGCTCTCCGTAACTTGTTATGGAGCAGCCATCATTATCGCTTCCCTGGGCGCGTATCGCTTCTGGAAGCAACAGAGCATGGTCGCCCTGGGTACAGTCTACGCTGGGGGCTGGGAGCTGAATCTAATTGGACTTTTGATTGGCTCAGTGAGTGCACATTTGATCCTTTTCTACTGGAATCGTTTGTTACTAACATGCCAATTGCAGATCATCCTAGCGACTTTTATCATATCTATAGTCATCACCGTACAATTGGCCAATCACGATGACCGATAACATTTAATGCACCCCTGCTAGCGGAACGCTTTTCATGATTTCAAGCTTCCGCTCCATGTATACGACTTTCGTTTGATTCTACTTCAAGATGTTATTCGTTGATCGCCCAACTGACATGCACAAAATACCGGATTTTAGCTAAAATAACGAATGCTTGGATCGAATATACCATTACACTTAACTCATACAATTTTTTTTTCTAGTCAAAAGATTATTACGCAGGTTTGAAAGCCCATTGGCTTATTGCAAAATTAATGAGATTGAGTGAAACCATTTGTGCCACTTAGACTTCGAGGTTCGAGGGAAACAGCGACGCAACATGAGCTCTCTGGAGAGTGAAAGTACGACTCTTCTAAATTTGTTTCGTAATTAATTCTTATTACTTGGTGGCTGTAGCTCAATCCCAAAGGCTGTTGTGCGTGCAGCTGCTCAACGGAGTCGGAATCCTGTTATGCCGATGCCGATGCCGATGCCGAACCTCCGCATCACACAAGGATATACAGTGCTCCTCTCATCAACCTCATTCTGCTTTCAGGCAATCTTCCTTTCTGTTTCCACCACACTTTTCGTTCGATGCCACCGCTGCGCCGCAAGAATGGGCGGCAGCCAGCCTGTGAGCCCTGTCGGCGGCGGAAGCTCGCATGCGACCATGAACTGCCGGCTTGTCGACGATGCCAAAGACTGTCCATGGATTGCTTCTACCTTGCCAACCCACTCACAAAAGCAAAGCCTATCAGTGAATCAGGAGAAACTCCTTCAGAATCTAGCATTCCGAGCGACAGCAGCGCCATGCCGAGGGCAAAGACTTGCCCAGGCGCTGAGTCGACCACGCCTATTATCGAGAGCTCTGCGGAGTATCTTGGACCAGCGAGCTTCACCTCGGTGTTTGTCGAGCATAGAGAGCGGTTTGAGGTCGATAATACTCTGACGAGCTCCGGTGCTGGTGCTACTGGTTACTTGGATCGCCAGTCACCGGTCCAGCAAGAGACAAACTCCATCACTCCTAATCTACTCCAACTCGGCGTGCAAATTCTGCGGAACATCCCAGACGAAGAGGCGTGTAATCTGCTGCTTGTAAAACGTGAATTCTCTATGGATGCATGCTTCAGATTAGCGAACTGGCAGGGATCAAAGCTCACTTGGGATGAGTATCGACCTGTGCTCAATGCACGGACAAACGAAAATATGCTTCAGCTCGCTACGCGGCTATCAAAGTGCACTATGATCCCACTGCCTTCTGAGCAGGATCCGAGTCGCTGGATCGAGTCATTCTCGGGCAGCAAGGCGCGATGGGAATTCGTCGGCCTTCTTTTCACTTACTGGTCTTATGGGTGTGTATCCTTGACACCTGATAGTAAGGCAATTGCATCCTATTGTGCGGGTCGAACGATTAAGGGCGCGAAACAGATGATGCTTCATTTCAAAAAATGCGCGGCTATGTGTATTGAGATGTGCAGTGAGCTCGGAGGAATCAACGTGCTATTTGTGCATCTGCTGTACAAGCACAATATCATGGAGAGCAATGTAAGCGGCGACAAAAGTGAGTATTGTCGATCAACTCGGGCGATGGCCTGCTGACAATGGCAGGCTTATCTTGCTGGCGACAACACGGTGATACCATTGCCGTGACCACGTCCATTGGGCTCCATCGTGAGCCAGTCTCCGAGTGGAATGAGGTATCGTTCCAGCATGAGCTTAAAAGACGTCTCTACTCGGCGATCTTCGCTTTTGATAAAGTCGCCTCCACTCTCACCGGTCGGCCGCCGCTTCTGAGCAGAAGATACTCGACTACGCAGCTACCTCTGGACATCAGCGATCGTGATATGTTATCAGGCAACGTGAGAGCGGCAGCTGCAAAGCTTGATGCCGACGGGTGGGACCGCAACAGCGGCAGGAGCTTCAATCAAGCTGCGATGCTTCGCGCGCGGGCCATGTTTGCAAGGAACCGCGAGGAGATACTGGAAGTTCTTGAGTCCTCGTTGGATCAGATCTCCGATTCTGCCATTGCGACATGCTTGTGAGTTGGTGATGACCCTTGCCGCGCCTCGAAACTGACCGATGCAGTGATCTCAAAGCTCAGGCGGCCGCGATCTATGCCAAGCTACCCGAAGGGCTCGTTCATAAAGTCGAGGACATAGACGACCTAGATATACCGGGTCATTGTATACACGCGCGAATCCTTGTCCACTTAGAATACTTGTTGAACATGTTCATGCTGGAGAGACTCTTGACGCGCCATAAGATTGTGACCGAGCAGGCGCTCATGGGAGTGAGCCAAGAGACTCTGTCGCTTACGTTGCTTTACTGGAAACACAAGAATCGGTTTATGGGCCTTCACAATGACTTTTCATGGCTGGTAAGTATCGCTTCGAAGCTCCTGTAATACTTTTTGCGCGTACATTAACCGCTAGTGCAGGCAATGTCGTACGGTGCTCCGTGTAGTGGTATTCTCTGTCTTGAGCTACTACGCCAGACGTCCAATCCACAAGCTTACAACTTGGAGTTGCCTCGTTCGGAAACCATTCAAAAACTAAGCTTGTTCGTGGCTTTTCTGGACTGGCTCAAACCTTCTGGCTCCGACATTTCCGCCAAAGCACAGATCAAGAACATCCTGCAAAGATCGCTAGATCGAATTCTTGCTATGCCTGCTTCCTTATGTAGTCCCACGATCGCCATGGACGATTTCGGCATGCACGATTTTATCGGTGCAGAATACCCTCATCTGGAGCTCTTGAATACTTTCAATTGGGTCGACTGGGATGGCGGGGTATAGGTCGACCCAATTTCCGATGTCCTAAATATTATTGATTCCAGGTCAGGCGTCTTGTCTATCACCAATGCTCAACTTTCACTAACCCGAGCCCATCGAGATCGTCTATCATCCCTCTCTGCAGTCTATCATACTCTAGGTCTAAATCTATATTTTCCAACTCCCAAGGAATAAGAAGGGCGACATCATCCTCACTCCCTCGCTGTACAGTTGAATCAAGATTGGGTTGATCCAAATCGGAACGGTCCACAGCATGAACAGCGCTACCCAGACATAACCGATCACTCTCTTGACACCGGGGTTCATCGTAGCTCGAAGTGGTCGGGAGAAATCTTGCACAGCGCTCTCAGCCAAGACGCCTACAATCTGCAGACAGAAAAACCACAAGGCACCGCTTTTGATCATCGGCACACCGAATCCTACATCCATAAATAGATGAATGGCTCCTGATACCGTGAACGCGAGCAGGGCACGGAAAGACCACGCCAGCCTACCAGTGGGTGAGATTCGCATTAGGGAGAGCAGAAAGTCTGCATTGGATGTAAGCAATTGGCGGAATGTCTGATGCCAGGTTATTCTGTGGACTTTGATTAGCCATAATCTGCTCATCATGAACCAGAACAGACACATACCCCCAAAAGCGTCTGACCGACCACCCTTCCCACAATGATCCAGCCACAGGCGGCCATTTCACGGGATCGTACAGGCCCAGTCCCACCGCGATGATGGCAAAGACATTATATGATGCGACTATCATCGCTCGGCCTATGATTCCAAACGAGAGACAGAATAGAATCCGAACAAGCAGCCTCCGCCCTGTGTCATTCGCACTCGCCGTGCTCAAAAATGGAAAGAGTGTCTCTTTCGTCTCCGGTAGTAATGCAACCGCGGTGCCCAAATTTGTGTCATCCGTCTCCATCGTGCACCCCTGGATGACCATGACCGAGACGGCGACCTTCAACATTGCCTGGAGAAGAAACCGTCCCCGCGAAGGTACATACTGCGGGTCTGCATAGTTGAAGTGAGGGAGACATCGAATCTCCCAAGGAGTGTCGATGCGGCGGTAATTCAAAGTGATGTCGAGGGCCCAGAACAGGCGAGCTACATTTTCGGATGTGTCTGAAGAGCTTGGATTCTGCTGCTTCTGCTGCTTCGTATAGGAACCATTGGAAGACTGCGCATGCTTATTATGCTCCCACTGTTTCTGCGCCTCATACGACACCCGACTCAGAACGAGCAGGTCGATCGCGTTCAAGACGTTCACCCAGCACATGGAAGTGAGAGGTGCTCCGAAGCGCGTTCCGGCATAGTAGGTCTGCGCACTACGCTGCATAGAATAAGCCAGCGCGACGATGAGAATGACGGTAGCCGGGCGAGTCATCGAACGAGGCGAACTGAATGCCACGACGGCCGCTACGATAGGCAGGATGGCCAGCCATTGCGCCAGGGGAATGTGCCAATTCGGAGGGAGGGTGTTGGTGGACATGATTTATCCCGCTCGCCCAAGAAACAAAAAAAAGCAGCGGAAACAAGGGAAGGGCGAGAAAGATTACAGTGGGTTGGCATGTGTGAGCTACGGAGATGTTGGCTTTATGTTGGTGAGATATGCAGGTGTGGCTAAGCCCCATTGGGCGGCTTGAATGGTGATCTTGGTTGGACTAAAGGGACTGGCCGAAAACTCGGTGTGGAGTCTCGCGTGAGATCCTATTTCTAAGGGCTAGACGATTCAAACAATCACTAATCAGATATGCAGGCTGGGATGCTGTGCTGTCGATCATGAGGATAGCCTTTTTCGGTGATGGTGAAGTTTTCGGCGCTGCGGCTGCAGAGCCTGGGACAGGGACAGGGACAGGGACAGGGACACAATTAATTCCACTGCAGTAGCGGGAGTGGCCGGGGATTTCCAGACACGGCGGAAATCGGGTCTCTCTGCCGGTGCCCTTGCAAGTGGGATCCGAGCCGAAGCATGGTTGGGCGGTTAGATGCCAGATCCACGCAAAGATCTTTTGGCATAATTTTAACGACATGATACATACTCTTCATTCAATTTTCAACAAATTGGGGCTGTGGTTTAGTGGTATAATATTCCCTTAGCATGGGAGAGGTCCGGGGTTCGATTCCCCGCAGCTCCATTTTTTGGGCTTTTTCAAGCTGTGCTTGATATCTCACTTCCTATGTTCGTGGTGGAGAAGATGCGCGATTTGTTTTTGTTTATTGTGGTGGGTTTGGGACAAGGATGTCGGTTTATGTTTTTGTAAATACTCTTATTGCTGTTCCTTTAGAGGCCCCGTTTGCTGGCTCGCAAAAGTGAATGAATTGCAAGTGCCACCACTGAAGATATATCTTGACGTGGGACCGCGGGAATTGGCGCATCAGGGTCATGCTTTGATATTTGACACTGTTCGATAGACACAAATACAATGAGGGAGCTGCATCTACCTGCTGGAGCCAAATAAGACGGAGTTTTCGACCAACCAATGGATCACAACCGTTGGTGGGACACCCGAGATGTTCTAAATATAATTGCCAGGCACGTGCTGTCTATCTCCTTTTTTGTTTTCCCCAGGGTCCAAGCGAGTTGGACCCTTAAAGTGCCACGATCACTTTTGTCTTAAGCAGCAGTGCAGATCAGTGTCAGCGTAAGCTTTCTTTGAGCTGATGTCAAGCCTTTACTCTAACTACCGTAACCCGGAATCCCATGGCATTGAAGCTGCTGCGCCGAAAGTACTTAGTAGTTAGAGACTATTCTTAGCCATCAAATGATCGATAACACATCGATGCAAAAACTATTGAACTGACTCTGTGAACTGCTTGATGCCCATCGAAAGTTAGGGGTGGTGGTCACAGCCCCACGGGTCTCCCTCCACATCAGTGGCATCCGTCGTGTTGTACAGTCGTTCAAGAGACCTTGCGACAGAAATAAATATCCTATCCACTCTTGGTCTTCCGACCTCGGCGACTCCGATAGCTCGCTATAGTTACAATCAGGGGTCTACGAAACCCAGTCCCTCCGGCTGTCGCTCCAACTCACCTATTCTGGGGACCCAATCTCGCATATCGGTTAAACTAACCCTTTACGCCTCCATTACGATCTACTATTGAATCTAAAGGGATCCTTCCCCACCATCTAATCTACTTCAGCTTCCTCTCTACATCCAGGCTTTACCTTCAAGAGTTACCTTCAGGAGAATACTTATTTGTACTGTGAGCGACCTTTTCTTGTTTACTTGTCCTCGCTATCTCTCCCCCCGTCGATGCTGAGGCGGATTGCGCTTCGTCCATTCTTTGTCTGATGGGCAACGATCTGTCACTCTTTAGTTGATTAGTTCTTTGATTTTGTGTCATATACTGATACTCAATATGAAGCAGTCTCTCTTTACTCTGCTGGTTGCGGCGATCCCCGCACTCGCTGAATATGTCACCGTCTGTGAGGAGACGACCGCCAACTACGCCCTCAACGGTGGTTTCGAAACAGGCAACACTCAGGATTGGGATACTTCCGGCTCGTCGGTCTCGGTCGTCCAATCCGACGAAGCAGCCGAGGGTGAATATTACCTGTAAGTCTCACCATCTCTTGTGGATTGCCGGTTACAGAACAGATCACGGCTGATGATCGAATTCTACCATCAGCAAAATCACCGCGGGGCCAATGTACAGTGGCAGCCAGCGAACCGTGATCTCAGTGTCCAGCAATAGGAATGGATTCCCTCCCACTAGCACATGGACAAATTCGTTTTACTACAAGATCTACCTGAATGGAGCGTCATCCTGCCAGTTCGTCTCCACCTTCGATAATAATGAGCAGTACCCTCTCATCTCGGCTTACCTGACCGAGGATGTTACCGAGTGGACGTATGTGTACATGGACGTAACGAAGTACCAGGGAGCTGGCGACTCGGTCACCTGGCCTTATTTCTACGTCTTGTGCATTAGTGGGGAGCCAACCCTCTATCTGGATGGGATTTCCATTGCCTATCAGACCGAAACCTGCACTAGCAGTCTTGTCACTCCCACGCCGACTCCTACCCCGACGTCGCTTAGCTCCTCCGCTGAGATCATTACGCTTACCCCGATCGTTGTCTCGTCTTCTGCGGTGCCCTCTGTCGTGTCCTCCCCTGCTGTATCATCTGCTGTGGCGTCATCTCCTGCGATCTCCCCTTCGGCATCATCTGCTGTCGTGACTCCCGTGGTGTCTTCTGCCACAATTTCTACTCACTCAGTGTCCCCTCCCGTGTCTTCGCCTGCAGTGTCTTCTGCCGTGACTCCCGTGGTCTCGTCTGGTGTGGTGTCGAGGTCTTCACAACCTCTCATTCAGTCACCCTCGTTCACTCGCTCCGGCATTCGGGTGTCTACTCCACCCAGTCTCGTGTCGTCCCAGCTGGTGCCCTCCTCAAGAGGAATCATCCCGCCGCCACACTCTAGCGCCACTCTTCCGTCCTCTCGGCCTCTCTCTAGCCCCGTCCGTTCTCCCGATGCAGCAGTTACACAGTCCGTTGTTTCCACTCAATCAAGCGTCAGTGAAGCAAACACAGCGGTACCCACCTCGTTGACTACTGCAAATCCCAACGGTCCCAGCCCATCTTCTAATACTGCCGAGTCTGGCACCGGCGAGGTGACGACATCGACGATCCTCAGCACCCGTACCACTACGGTGACTGCCTGCCCAGAGACCGTGGTCAATTGTCCGGCTCGTCAACGCACCACGTATCTGACCACAGAAACCGTGGTTGTCGGGACTACGATCTGTCCCGTCACCGCCAACGCCCAGCCCACCATAACAACCCAGCGTCCTGGACCCTCGGATGTGCAATCAACTACTTCTACTGTTTTCACCACCCGCACTTCCACGGTCACCGCTTGTCCTACCTCAGTCGAGAACTGCCCGGTCTCACAACGCACGACTTATGTCACTACGGAGACGTTGGTGGCATATACGACCATTTGCCCTGTCACTGCTACTGAGACTCAGGCGCCGGTTGCTACTGCTCCTGGTACACACAGCAGCTCAGGTAGTCAGAACAGCTCAGGCAGCCATGGCAGCTCAGGTAGCTCTAACGCTGGGTTTGACAATCGGGGACCCGTTTACTCCACCGTGGAGCGCACCTTGACCTACACGATCACCGCGTGCCCTTCAACTGTCAAGGACTGCCCAGCTTCTGCGCGTACGACTTATGTCACCACTCGGACTGAGGCCGCCGTCACTACCATTGTGTCCGTGGCAGGTGGACGCCCTACTGCCGCAGGCGGTGTCGATGCTTATGGTGCTGAGCCGGCCGTCGCTACTACAGTTGTATCGATATCAGGGGGTCAACCTGCTACTACATCTGGTGTCGAAGGCGGCAGTGGTTCTTCAGTCGCTCAGAGTGGCACTGAGGGAACGAATGAGCAAGGCTATTCTCAGTCAGCTACAGGAAGCTCCGGCGAGAGTGTGAGCAATGATATCGCAGACAACCATGGTCAGGGTGGACATTCAGTCTCTGCTTCTGCCTCTGCTTCGGAACAGGGATCAGGAGAAGCCACTGGTCAGTCGGCCAGCAACAGCGGCAAGGTCGAGGCTTCTGGCAACACGCAATCTAACGCCCAGGGCTCAAGCAAACGCCCAGCCTCTGGTTCCGCATCTCATTCTCATGGCCAGACATCAAGCGCAGCCACCAGCAACAGCAACATAGGCGGAGCATCTGAGAACACCCACTCGAATGCCCAAAGCTCAGGCGAGCGCCCCATCTCAGGTTCCGAGGCAGCTACAACAGCTGGACAAGGCCAGACTCCAACTGAGGGCATCAACGGTGAGACTGGTGTTGACGCGATCGCTGCATCAGTACCCGCCGGACCGAAGGCACCTTTTGCTACTGTGATCTACTCTGCTGGCGCTGAGACCACTACGGTGACTATTTCTGCCCAACCTGACGCCGCTATCTTGACAGGTCTGCCCGCCACGACGTCTTCGACTCCCCCTCTGGCTGGCGCGAACCACCCCCCTTGGTCTTCCATGTCCAAGAACAACAGCAGCAGCAGCTCGTACGTCGCTCCAAGCTCGGGCTCGGGCAGCGCCTCCACTCAGGCATCTCAGTCTACCACTGCTGGAGCTCCTCATGCTCTTTTCACGGGGGCTGCTCCTGCAGTCGGTGTCTCCGGAGGTGCCACACTGGCAGCTGGGCTGATGGTTATTGTCGGCTCCTGGCTTTTGTTCTAGTGATCAGGTCTTAGGTCAACTGATCCCGTCTATTCTACATGGCGATGTTAAGAATGGTATGACTTGTTACCACGATCTTTGACTTTTCTTACATTGTATATAATTTCTGTTTAAAAATATCATTGTATATCAATTCTTGATCAAATACGTCGATGCTCAATCCCAAGAGCCCCCCGTAAGCGTTGCCTGACCGAAGAAAGTTAATTTCTCGGAGGTCTGAACCAGTGGCTGATGATTCAATTCAAGCCAATTCAATCCAAGTTCTATTAACCTCGGGGGCCCGGAGGCTCCGTGAACCCGCCTATTGCGGCTAGCTATGAAGGTGCTTCCTCGAAGCCCAAGAACTGTCCGGTACGTCTAACCTCTCAAAAGCATGAAGCAACGCATTCTAGGAATATGAATCAACGCAATATATAAAGATGAACCAACGCGTCCCCACTATAGAACATCGGCTGCCCGGCTGTTCCTGGTCCTCCTGTGTGGGCTGTATAGCCTGCACCCTTCCCGTGACCAACGGGCTGGTGATTCCAATTACACATCGTCTCCGGCGCCTATTCCCATTGCCCGTAGGCCTTAATCTTCCAAAGGAAATAGACAAGCCCAATCCTTCTAGTTCATAGCTGTATAATCACCGCTGTGTATGCCTTGGGTAACGCATTATACAGGCCCAAATTCTGTTTGTGTATAGCCTTGATCAGTCTCTGTGTTAGGGCTGCTATTTACTCAGCTTCCCACTGCCTCCTCTACTTGTCCCTGAACTTCCCCCGGACTGCTTACTTTACTGTTGAGGCGAGGTGTATAGTTGCTTTACCTATAAGCTTACTTACGGACTCACTTGTGGGCTTGCTTAATAGTCCTACTAAGGTTAATCCAATCTTACTTCCTGAATCTAATCTGATCTTATCCTTACTACTACAGGCAGCTTGCTTAGCCACCTCGTCGGCCCTCTCATTCCCGGGCACCCTAATGTGCACGGGCATCTAATGAAGCTGTATAGGTCTCGTCAGTTAGTAGGCTTGTTCGTAGATCCTATGTATAATAAACTGCCTCGACAGGCGGCCTGAATTGCCCATGGCTCGGAGTGCGGCCTGTGAATTACTGAAGAGATGACTTGGGAAAAAATCAAGGTGGATTATCTCTGTTGTTAGAGCCAGTTTAATCCCCTGTAGTTCCTCTATATAAACCGTTAAATCTTCCTTAATTTCTAGATGGCTTATCCACTTATAGCCCCCCCGGACACTTACCACCGCACCCCCAACCCCCCTATTAAAACCACTTCCATCTGTGTATACTATAGTAGAGGGATTCTTTTAGATGGCTTTATATTCCTGTCAAGGGCTAAACAGCTTGTGTAGTAAAAGTAATAAGTTGCTAATCCTAAGTCAAATTGCTTGAAGAACTATCTAAAATGTGCGGGCCTTGACCCGATATTTTTATTACATGGAGGAGCCTGTGGAGCAGGATCCTCAGGGAGTTTACCAGCTTGATACAAAGAACTGCTAACTAGCAAGCTCCGCTTCGCCAGTTGGCGAACAAAGACCTGCTTCCGACAAAGAATCCAGACGGGGCGGAACTTTACAAGTTCCGCTACCGGATGGCTTACTGGCTTCAGCCTTTTACATTACCCCCCCCCTTTACGCCGTGCCCCCTCTGAAGGAGGGTGGGTGGATGGGGTCGCATTTCGCTCCAGCCATTGCCCGAGTGCCACTGTATCTTTGACCAGTTCCAGGGGTTCCCAGCTAAGTTGTATATAGCCAACCCATTTCACTAGGTACTCCTTGCGTTCACTGTGTTGATTCAGGCGCCGGATTCGTTCGTCGAGGATTTCTTCCATATGGAATTCTTCGCCTTGGTCTGTTAGTATCGCGCTTGGCTGCCAGTCCTTGAGTTTTTGGGACGGCAGCGGATCAGTAGCCGCAGGTCTCAGCAGGTTTACATGGAACACAGGATGAATCCCAGCAGGTACGTCCAGTTGGTACGCATGTGAGCCAACGCCTTGACTACAGTGAACTTGGCATTGCGGTGATCCAGCTTCTTCGCCGGGCTTTCGGTAGCGATATTGCGGAGATCCAGCCAGACCTTGTCATCCTCTTTATAGCGGTAGGCGGGGTTTCTTCGCCGGTTGGCGTACCTCTCCTGGGCTTCTTGGGCAGCGGTCATGCTGGAGCTCGATATATCTCGGGCTCCCTGCAGTTTGTTCAGGATTCCCTGGGCTTTGTCCCGGGCTTCTCGGGTTATTCCCTTAAAATGTGGGCTTGGTTCGATGTTAGTGTTCAGGGGCTTCATATGGAAGCCGTGTTCCAGAAAGAACGGGCTCACCCCCGTGGTCGACGAGTCCCTGTTATTCAGGGCAGCTGGGCCATGGGTAAGAGTCTATGCCAGTTGGTCTGGGCTTGGTTAACAAGGTGCCTAAGAAAGGCCTCGATGGTCGCTATCTTTCTCTCCGTGGCGCTGTCCGTCTCGGGATGGTACGCGGTCGAAAGGTCCCTACTGATCCCTAAAGTTTTACATAGAAGCCCCCAGAGCTCGCTAATAAACTGTGAGCCCCGGTCTGAGATGATGGATTCAGGCACCCTGTGCCTGCTATAAAAGACCCTAATAAAGGCGTCCACCATTACCTCGGCGCTCATGTCTGCTATCGGCTTGATAATCACCCCTTTGGTCAACCGGTTCAGTAATCACCATCACGTCCCTGAACTTTCCAGATTCCGGCAGCTGTGTGATAAAATCTATAGTAATATCTTGCCACGGGTGCTCGGGCACTGGTAGGGGCTTCAGGAGTCCCTGCTTTCGGTTCCTCCAGACCCGGTTAGCTGCGCAGCTATCACAATTACGGCAGAATTTGCGGGGATCCTCACTCATATGCGGCCAAAAGTACGCGCGGGCCACTATCTTATAGGTATGGTCCCGCCCGGGGTGCCCGGTGATCACGCTATCGTGGCTTTCCTGAACGATTCTGGTCCTTAGGGGCTCCGAGTTGGGGACCCAGAGGCGCTCCTGGAAGAGTAGACGCTCATTAGCATCTGGGGTACACTCCGCAATTGAGACCTTGAGCTTCAGCTTCTTGGGTAGCTCGGGTGCCCCTTCTTGGACAGCCCTCCGGCAACTGGCGAGGTCTTCGTCGTTATCTTCGGCCTGCTTCCACTGCTCGTCCAGGGGCAGCTCGTCCTGACCCGTCAACTGGCGGTCCTCGCTCGCTGGCTCCGCCGGCTGGCCCTCGGGGTCAGCTTTCTCAGTAGCCGGCATCAGGCTTGGCTGGTTGACCAGTTGGCCGTCCCTCTGGGCGAAGAGCTGGATCTCCCGGTGCGCGAGCCGCTCATCAGCCTCGCTTGGCATATCCTGCGGCCGCCGGGAGAGCGCGTCAGACCGATGGTTCAACCGCCCCGGCCGGTAGTCAATCGTGAAATTGAACCGGCTGAGAAAGTGAGCCCACTGCATCTGTCTTTCAGTCAGTCTCCGCTGGGTCATAAAGAACTCCAGGCCCCGGTGGTCACTAATAATCTTAAATTCAGGCACGCCAGTTAGTTCTGATTCCCACTCTTGCAGCGCCCGAACAATCGCCAATAATTCTTTATCATAGATCTGATAGTTACACTCTGCGAGTAGGTTTTTCTTTGAAAAGTAGGCCACTGGCCGCAGAACGCCGTCATGCCACTGCGAAAGCACACCCCCGGTACACCACCCGGAGGAATCGACCTCCATCAGCGTCTCCCGCTCTGGGTCCCAATGGGCCAGAACCGGGGCGCTAACGAAGATCTCCTTGAGGGTATCAAAGGCCCTCTGGGTCTCCTCTGTCCACTGAAACTTAACATCCTTCTTCGTCAAACGTGTTAAGGGCTCTGAATAGCACCCCCAGTCCCGTAGAAACCGCCAGTAGAAGTTTGCAAAGCCTAGGAATGCTCGTACCCCCCGTACATTAGTAGGGGCTTCCCATTCCTTAATAGCCTTGACCTTCGCCGGGTCCATCTTAAGCCCCTTTCCCACTTCAATCACGAAACCTAGATACTTGGTAGTAGTGGTTTCAACTCACATTTGTCAACATCCACCTGCACAACCGGCTTCTCCAAGCTGCTTTAACACTCTTTTTACCTGCGCGCGGTGCTCCGCCAGGCTTCCTTCTGTAAAAATTAGCACATCATCGATATAGGCTGAGCAGAACTCATCCAGAAACTCCCGCAGTACCCAGTTTATATATCTTTGGAATGTACTAGGGCAGTTGGCTAGGCTAAACGGTGCCACTAACCATTCAAAGAGACCAAACCGTGTCCTAAAAGCAGTCTTCCATTCGTCCCCCTCCCGCATGCGCAGCCGGTGGAACGCCTGGATCACACCCAGTTTAGTAAACCACCTGGACCAGGAGATCTTCTGTAAAGTCTCCTGGATCAGGGGTAAGGGATAACGGTCCTTGACCGTGATTCGATTTAACGCTCGGTAATCCACGCAGAAGACCCCCTCCAGGCTTCTGGGCAAACAGTCTGGCGCCAATGCGGGCGAGTTGCTGACTCGGATAAAGCCTTTTCCAAGATAGTCATTCAGGGTCTTGCGAAGGACCAGGAGCTCATCCCGATTCATCTGGTAGAGGGGCCCCCAGGGCACCTCCTTTTCTTTTCCATTGGCGTTTTTCTCCAGATTGATGGCGTGGTCCATTCCCGGGCGATGCGGGGGAAGGCCTTCGGCTTCCTTTGGTTCGAACGTCTTGAGAAATTGGTGGTACTGCCGGGGCAGCTTTTTCTTGATATCCCCAGAGTTCTTAGGATAGTTCAGCTTGAAAAGGGCTTTGTCAATGTCAACCAGGCTGGCAGCGAAGACCTCAGCAGGTCCCCCCTTCTTCACGCGGTTCTTCCATGTGCACCAGGCGTTGGAGGAGATAGGGTGTGTGGAATGCTTCTTTTCCCAACCGCATTTTACCTCTACCCCTGAGCTTCTAGTCTCTAACACAGAGTTCGTGGCCCGAATAACGGCGTCCTGGTGCTTCATCCAGGGCAAACCCAGGATGATGTCGTATCTATGGAGGTGCGGGATTATATATAAATGTACATACTCCTGCACACTTCCTCCTACGTCCAGCCTGATTTTAGCTAGTTGGTCAACATAGGCCTTTCCTCCCTTGAACCCCCGAACTCTGCGGGGTTCTGTTTTTAAGCGCTCCAGTTGGTGCTTATTTATGAAGATTTCGCTGATTATTCTATACGGAGTACAGCCGGTGTCTACTACAGGGCCTTGCACAACCGCCCTGCCCACCCGCGACACTTTAATCCTATTTCCCGAACCCTCAACCGGTAGTACTAGTCCTCATACAGTTAGTATAGAAAGAAAATCTCTTGGTGAGCTATGACTTGTCGTGTAATTACGTTACAGTTTCGGCGTCATGTTACATTGCGTGTGTTGGATATACTGGCCTCGTCCAGTGCAGATTATGTACGACGCAAACTTAACTAAAAGATATTAAGTTAAATTCCACATATCCAGCCAGGAATCTCACCAGGCGTGTTGAACATGTGTTGTGTTTGTGTATAGTAGATTATAACCAAAAGGAAGAATTAAGGTTTATTGCAGGGTGGGGAAAGAGTAAATAGGTTATAATATCAACTACGACAATAAAAGCCTGGTGCTGGACCATCGGTCATGGTTAGGATGCAATATGAGATCAAACCGATATTATCGTCTTCGGAAGAAATTCATGAAGACTCGCCGTTTGCGTCCAGCAGTTTTCGAAGCCGAGATAATATGATCGTTGGCAACAGTGTGCATCGAATTCAGATTTGGTGGGACTATGTAATAGAGCAGATGGTTGACTTTCTGAGGACTGAGTTGCTGCTGTTTCCCAGTCACGAAGGGTATTTGATGAGGATATAGCGTGTGGATGATGCGAGCCTAATATATTGTTCCGGAGGTCTGCACATTCCCTAAGAAGGCTTATAGCGTGTGGATGATGCGAGCCTAATATATTGTTCCGGAGGTCTGCACATTCCCTAAGAAGGCTTATAGCATTAGAGACCTTTCCTAGGGCCTTTAGAGTAAAAGCAAGGTTGTACATGCTTGTTAGAGTGTCAGGATGCTCGGGACCAAGGATCTTCTCTGACCCTTCGAGTGCTTGTCG